AGGTCGAAGGCAGTAGCAGTCTCTGCGTTGCTTCACATTTTGGCCGCGAAAAGGTGGTTCAGATGCTCCTCGATAAGGGCGCCAACGTCAACAGCAAGGTCGAAGGCCTTAGCAGTCTCTGCGTTGCTTCACAGTTTGGCTACGAAAAGGTGGTTCAGATGCTCCTCGATAAGGGCGCTAACGTCAACATGCGGAGTAACTACCCTCTCTGGGTTGCTTCAAAAAGAGGTCACGAGAAGATAGTTCAGATGCTTCTCGATAGGGGCGCCGACGTCAACCAGGGTGGAGAGAACTACAATGCCCTTCATCAAGCTTCACGAAACGGTCACGAGAATATAGTTCAGACACTCCTCAACAGGGGCGCCGACGTTAACGCTCCGGACGGTTACTTCGGTAATATTCTCCAGGCTACTTCATACAACGGTTCCGAGAAGATAGTCCAGATACTCCTCGACAAGGGCGCCAACGTCAACGCTCAAGGAGGTTGCTTCGGTAATGCTCTCCAGGCTGCTTCATACGAAGGTTCTGAGAAGATAGTCCAGATGCTTCTCGACAAGGGCGCCAACGTCAACGCTCAGGGCGGAAGGTACGGCAATAGTCTCCAGGCTGCTTCAATCAACGGTTCCGAGAAGATAGTCCAGATGCTTCTCGACAAGGGCGCCGACGTCAACGCTCAGGGAGGTTACTTCGGTAATAGTCTCCAGGCTGCTTCATGGTTCAGTCGCAATAAGGTGGTTCAGATACTCCTCGACAAGGGCGCCAACGTCAACGCTCAGGGAGGTTGCTTCGGTAATGCTCTCCAGGCTGCTTCATACGAAGGTTCTGAGAAGATAGTCCAGATGCTCCTCGACAAGGGCGCCGACGTCAACGCTCGGGGCGGAGCTTACGACAATGCTCTCAATGCTGCCTCGTCCGTGAAACACGAGAAGGTGGTTCAGATACTACTTCAGAATGGGGCTGATCCTTCGGCTGAGAAAGCCGCGAAGCGTTCCGCATCCCAGGCTGAAATCGGAAGCGGTAATGAGGACGTGGTAGCTAAGAAGCCGAAAGCTGCTGATGCTGGGTCGCCGAGCACGCACGTAGGAGCGGAAGAGGAGTCGGAAAATGCCTGGAAGGACGATGAGAATGAAAATAGTTTTTGGGAATCGTTCCCTTTGTGGTAGGATCACGGGTACTACGCCTCTATGTAAGGCGTAGGCCCGGGCCCTATGACGACGAATGGTCGACGCAGAAGAAACCCGAAGGTCTGGTCCCGAGGAAGCTCATCATCTGCATCAGAAACCCCCAGCATGTGAGGTTTTCATTATGTTTTCATTTCTGAAATGTATATAGGTGTCCGCATCTCGAGTAGTCTCGAGCGCTTTCGTCAGGTATTGAACTGCACTATTTTTCTGTGATTTCATATTGTTGCGGCTTCTTGTGATTACAGGTAGAGAGGAGGCTTCAGTACGAGGCTGAAATGACTTGTGTGGTGTGGCTCGCGGGTGAGTGGGGTGACATACTTGGAGAGAGATCGGATGATCTGCTGGTTGAACACACCCCTTGTTCTACCGACTCGATCGTTTGAGCCGCACGGGAACCTAGCTTAGGGCGAGACATTTTCTCGATTGTAGATTAGCTTCATGCCGGGATTGAAAGTAGGCGTCGCGTTCAATGATCCGAAGGACCGGGAACGAGGCCACCCAAATATCGGGTTGATTGAGTTCCGGCACAACTCAAATCAGCTCAGCCTTTCACATTTGGTCGTCCGCATGCAAAGATGCTGCAGCGTGATCGCGGTTCTCGTGGTTTGGACAAATTCAGCCGCACAGATAAGGCGGGGGAGGCGTCTCCGAAACCTGTTTTACGATGCTTATAATTTCGATAAGCCGCGAAAAAGCAACGGTTTCAGTTTGTGCAACGTGCTGTGCGTCTACACGTATGAGAGGTGGAAATCTATACCTTTCGAGTAAATTGAACCAGCTATCATTGAAACAGTTGACGGAATGTGCCGCATGCTGGATAATGACGGCACAAAATATTGACGTAAACGACACGGAAAAAGGACAGCATCAACAAAGCTCACAGGACCGGCAGCCCCAACCATCCGAAGAACACCTGCACGAGGAAAGTTTCCCCTGCCGTGCCTGGTCCCGCTATCGGGTGTGGAGCTTAAGAACTGCATAGCGCGGTAAGCGTGTGGTCGAACAACTCGAGTAGAGAGGTGCCATTGGCGGTGTAAACACAGGGCGGCAGCCAGCTCAGTAGCGTTGTACGACGTGCTGGCATGTTGAAAGATGACAGGTTCTAGATTGCAGGCGCCTCCTCGTAGGCGTAGTGGTACGGACGGCGACGTAGTGAAGGGATTGGGCGCAGAAGACGACACAGGCGGTAAGGAAATTTTCATAAGAGTATCTGGAGTAGAGGAGCCGGTAGCAAGGCTATATGTGGAGTAGGCACTCGTTATACTCTAGCGCGAAGTATTCGTAAAGGGCCGCTTAACGCTAGTACTTATAGCTGGCGAGGAAAACGCGTATAGCGGGCGATGCCGAATGCCCAACGGCAGGCTAATCGTTTAGGCGGGTCTTGGCCTCGTGTAAATCCAGGGACGAGCCCTAAACGTTGTCCACAAACGGCCCTGGGTAGCGCACAGGCAGCAGCTCAGTGCGGGTACAAGATCCGGCTGGCCCCGCCTCCTGCCTTTCAGGAAGCGGATGACATGGATTGGCTGCACGTCAGCAGCTTACTTTCCGCCCCCACGCTGCATTCGACTCGACTTCGCCACAAACCCTGGACTTCTAGAAAATAGTTAAAACCCTGGCGCTTACTTGTTTGTAAGCCGCAACAACACAATCATGTCTCCCACAGATCCCTCTGACCCACTGATCATTTTCGACCGGCACGATGCCTTGTTCACCCGGGGGGCGCCGCCGACATTTGCATCTCGAGAAGAGTCGCCCTCAGCTCTACTGTTTGTAGATGTCACGACAAAGAAGAGCCAATCGGAGAAACGCAGGATTCGCGCTCACATTATGCATGCTTCACACGAAGCTAAAAGACGTCAGGCCTTGGAGGTCACCAAACGTATATCAAGTCCATTGCAGGATGCGAGCTTTGCAAGTGTCGATCCATTCGACTCGCTACCCGTGAAAACCATCCCCGGGGTGCATGAGCTAGTCGTAGAGTGTAAGTAGCGCGCCATCAATCGGGACCACCCGCTAAAACCACAACCAGACTTCGCCGAATACCCGGGTTGCATACCACTCGTCGACGGTATGCTCAGCTGATATCGCTTGCTGCAGTCGCGCTAACTGGACGCAAAAGACAGATGGCTTCGGGGCCAGGACCCGGGACAGCCAGTGACTGCAAGACGCAGTAACACACAATGGGACATGATCTGCTCAGACGAAACCTGCCTCCTGTCGTTTCTCTCTGGATTCTCTCGCCTGCACATCACCTTCAACCCTGACCCTCCCCCAGAACGGAGAGCAAACCATCTGAGAGCGAAACAAGAGCTCTTGAGGTCTATCAGAGAGAGACTTCCCTCAGCAAAGACGAAGCCATCCGAAATATCCGGAGCCTACGTCTTTGCCATCATCTGCGCAGGCGGCAGCGAGGTGCGCTCATGCTCCTGATCTTAGGTAACTGAGTGATCACTGACGCTCTCGGATCCAGGCCATGTACACCGACGACCCCGCCCTCGCCCTCTCCCACCTCCACGGCGCCCTCGAGCTCATCCGCCTGCGCGGCGGAATCGACTCCTTCGACCGCATCACCCGCCGAGGCCTCATCTGGGGCGAGTTCCACATCTGCGCCGCACACCAGCTGCGCCCCACAATCGTGCCTCCGCTGCCCCCGCCCTGGGACGACTCTTCTCCCACCACCACCACTCTCCCCTCCCGCTCCTCTGCATCAAAGAGCCCCGCCGCCGGCACCGCCTTCCCCTCACCCCCATCATCAAATTCATCCTCACCCTCCTCCTCCTCCTCCCCTCCTTCCTCCGCTTCCTCCTCGCCCCCTCCCCCCTCCCCCTTCCCCCCGCACTTCCGCGCCTTCCTTGCCGCCATCCACGCCCGCACAACCGCCCTCCTCCCGTCGTCCCTGTCCCCGTCCCCGTCCTCGCCCTCGTCGTCCGGGACGTCCGAACTCTCCCGCATCTTCGCCGCCCTCACCCTCGTCTCCCTCGCGTCGACGACTACCTGGGCCCCCATCGTGCACGCCGACGGGCCGACGCGCGAGGCGGTTGCCGCCGTGCTGGACGATGCTACGTATAGGTTGCTGGTGTTGTGTGCTGTCGACGACGATGGCGACGATGGCGACGGCGCCGAGGATGATGGTGGGGGCGGGGACGGGGAGGAGGAGGGGGATGAAGAGGACGCCACCACCTGGGCGCAAGCCGTCCTGCTAAACGCCGCGAACGCATACGTCTGGGCGGAGCTGAGCGAGATCTTCACCGGGACGAAGGGGCACAGCGCGATGCTGAGGCGGCTGCGGCGGGTGTTGGAGGGGGGAGTAGGGGTTGTGACTGGGCCTTCATCAGGTCCTTCCCCCGGAGGAGGAGGGGGACAGGGAGGAGGGGGAGGGGCGAGGGGTGGGGTGTTCAGCGGTGCCCTGAGTGTCGAGGCGCACATGTGGGCGCTGGTCGTGGGGTGGACGCTGGCGGAGGGGTTGGCGGCGGCGAGCGAGAAACTGCGCGGGACGAGCGCGAAAGAAGACGAGATGGTGGGGTGGTTCGAGGACCGGGTTGTGGAGTTGCTGCGGGAGGCGCGGATAGGCGAGATCGAGCGCGCGGCGGAGTTGGTGAGGGATTTCCCCGGGACGGATGCGTTTTGGGCGAAGTGGCATCGGTTGTTGCTGGGTGATAGGTTTCGCGGGAGGCGGTGGCAGGGGTCGGTGGTTTGTTGATGGGGGTGCAAAAGGTCGTTGGGTACGGAAGGGGGAGGGGGGGGGGGCGTGGTGGCTGGGGTGTTTCGCAGGATTTGTGGAAGTGGCTGTTTCTCGGATTCTTCTCCTTGCGTCTTGCTGGACATGGTCCTGAGGAATCCGTCTACTCCGGAATACGGAATAGACGTAGTTAACAAGCACGAGAATGATGATTATGACCAAAGTAAACCAGTCGAACAACAAAAGAGACCATGATAGCTACAGCTGCAAAGATAAGAGACAGGTTTGAAGCTGTATGTAGCGGCATCGGACATCAATCGGAATGATGGGGCAATGCGGGAGGATAGTCTCGTGCAGCCTTCCCCGCGGCAGAATAGGCTAGCATTGGAGGTCAGAAGATACACCATGCCGCTGTTGCAGCTGCACTTGATATGCAGCAGGTTTAAAGGCCTCCTGCATATGCTGTTCTGTGATTTTCGATTTATGAGCAGAGGTAAGCCCTACATTCAATCTTGACTTCAATAGAACAATAGTGAATATAGTACGGAATCTAGACCTCATTCATTACCTTGATCTATTGTCATGTATATTGCTTTTTCCCCAACGTCAAGTATTTACCCTGGCACATTTACTCCATTTGAAACACGACCACGCAATCTACTCCTTTTCTAGTCACGCCGCTGTAGTTAAATAACGAATTTACAGATCATTTAGAAGGTGTAATAGTGTGCTAATTCACTGTTCAATATCAAATAACAGAGCCTTTGTTTGATAATGGTGGAATGCGCGATCGATGTGCACTATACGAAAATCAAGACCACATAGAGCGACTGTGGTCGCGATAAGAATTGAGAGAAAACTCATGTTAGGAATGTGCAGAATAGATCGACAGTGATGCTGCCCTTGCACAAGGCTTCCACCGCCGTTGTGACCCAAGGTCCCGGCACTGTGGTTTGATGATGCTCTCAGTCTTTGACTGCCGAATCATAGGTTGGCAAGAGCCGCCCCGCTATAGGTGGGGCACTTTTCCGACACCAGCCATCCGGTGGGGGCGGGACACCCGTGATCGGCCTTTACAGCTCCAAGACGTGTTTCACTTCAGCTGCTGTACAAACTTGCATGCCGAAATATTTTCGATAGCTCGCTGTTGCGGGACCAGAACGCCTGCGTTGCGTGAATCACTTGATCAGCACTGGCTCCAATGTTGAGCACGGCTATGAGCGGAGGCGCAGAAATTAGGCCCCAGAGCGGCGCAGCCGGCGCTTCGGCTGCCAGCGTCACGCTGGCACTATGGAGTCGTGCGTTGCACATCGGTGACTGGTCAATAGCCCCGGCTCCTCGCTTGTCTCAGGCAACTAGCGCCTGCAAGGGTAAAGAAGCTGAGGGTGCATTCTCTTTAAGAAATAGGTGCGTTTTCACGGGCTCTCAATCCAGTTGGCCTCATCTTCGCCATCAAAAACCACCGACGCCATGGGGAATCGAACAGCCCCCTACTATGATGCAATGCAACTGGGTGAGCTCTTCCACAATGCTAAACTGTCTTCAGACTGACATTCCTCAAATTATAGGTCAAGGGTCTGCTGCTCCATTTCTATTGCCAACCAGGACGTTGTACTTACACGGTGAAGATTCAACTCATTCACCCAGGAGATCCTAGCCGAAGACGCTGTATTCATCGAGCGGCTACACGCAGATGTCCCTTCAGCCTCGCACCTCTTCGATGCCCGTTGGCAAAACGCACAGGTGGATGGAAATACTAGCATTTCTGAGGCAAGCGGCTTCACCAGCGCAACACCAACCTCTACGCAATGGAACCGCATGCAGTCTGACTCCGGTGGGGCAGCGGATGACGCTGGCCCTCGACCTGTCACCGTTAGGGATCGCAAGACCCCCGTTAGGACATTTACGTCTCGCTTCGTTGATAGCTTGAGGTACGCCATCTCTTCCCTCACATCCAGACTCCTCCGCCGCTTCTGACGAGCCCTTCGCCCCAGCGAGGTCATCGCAGAGATGAAAATCTCCAGCGCCGTCCCTATACTCAACGCAAGCCAACAAGGCTCCGATCTCGGCCTTCCCTTTGACGTTCGCCCATTTCTCGAAGCGGATCTCAACTACTACCTTGGTGTCAAGGTAGTTACGCGCCAAGACCGGCCTGCTTCTGCCTTCTCCATCCCTCAAGCTCTCCTAAGCATACCCGACTTCCATGAAAAGTTTGGAGACTGTTTCATATCAGGTTCGAGGTAGTGCTGCGCTTTTGGGAATCCGAGGCTGACATGTAGGAAGGATTCATCGAGGGTGGGCAGCTGAGTGCGATTGTTTCCGCGCAAATCCCCAATAAGAAAAAAAGAGCCGAAGTCATGGCCAGGTCGGTCTTCGTGAAAGCCAATTGAGAGAGCCCGCCATTAACTAATGCCTCGTACACCACCAGTCTCGATGCCGTTCTAAGCTTCCGCCAGGGAAAGTTCCGGCCCATCGCTGGCGCAGTCGAATCCGCCATTCGTACTCTAACCGAACATTCCAAGATCACCGTGACGCTCTACAAACCCGGCGGCCGATCCATCGTCCTGGACGACGACCAGCCAACCGCCCTCCACTCGCTCCGCAACGCAGCGGCCAAGTTCCCCGAGCTGGCCGCCGACCAGCCCGAGCGCATCTACGCCATCCTCACGCGCTTCGATAGCCTCAGTAGCTTCCACACTCCAGGCGGCGCCCACAGCCCGGTCTGCGTCCGATACGACCACTGCGCGCTGTACGCCAACATGCTCCTGGACGCCTTCGTCGAGTACAAGAACATCGACCGGCAGCTGTCGGCGCACATAGCGGCGGTCAAGGCCGGTTCGATGCGCTTCGAGCCCGCGGCCTCTGGCGGAAAGCCGAGGTTTGCAAATTCCTGGACCGGCACCACCAGGGCCAAGCGGGAATGCATGCGGCAGATGATCAAGATCCTGAAGGAGGTGGAGGAGGTAAAGAAGAATCCGGAGATCGCGACGGTGGAGGAGCGGGAGGAGCCGTTTGAGGACCCGTTGATCTTTGGCGAGTATATACCGCGCGTGGAGCCGGTGCCTGACCTGGACTTGGACGAGGAAGAGCAGGAGGCGTATGGCCCTCTGTGTAGTGATGTAAGAGGCGAGCTCCTTCCGGCAGAAAAGGCAAAGGTAGAGAAGCTCAGGGCAGAGAATCCAGGCCTGGGAAAGCAGACCCGGATGGACGTCCCTCGTGGCGCTGAGGGACCCGGGAAAGTTTTCTGCAGTCTGGACTACCTCAAGCCTGACTGGGTCCTCGCCGAGGTCAGCGTGAACGTCTGGAGAGGCGTTGTTTGTACTCTCAGGCTCCGATACACCAACGGCCTAGTGACGACGTTTGGAAAAATCGACCCGCGAGGCAGGCTGATCCGGCTGAGGCTCAAAATCGAGGCAAACGAGAAGATTGTGGGATGTTCTGTCGAGACCGGGCAATCAGACTCCATCGATGCGAACCGAGTCCGTATCACCGCCTTGCGTCTCTCGACAAATCGAGGATCTACGCTCGTTGGACAGTCGTCGGACTGGAAAGAGCCCATACAGCAGTCTTCTACCCGCGACGGTGCCGCATTTGAGGGGCTGCAGATGGTCCACTTCGACCCTATCCTGGAGGGTGGCTACTTGCACGGCTTCTGGGGCCAAACTTCGCCAGACGGAGGCTTGGATCTTGGTTTCACGCGGATCGCCCCCATCTGGAGCAACGTGGAACATCGTATCTCGGGAAGCATTGAAGCTTTGGATGGCGTGGAGGAATATCTGGACAGAGAGGTGATTCCGAGCGGCGTGTGGGACACCTACAAAGTCCACGACTGTCATTCTTTGATGCCACGCACTCCGTCAATCATCCAGTACGAAAACCCGTTTCCAGACAGACAAATGCCACTGATACTGGCGGGGTTTCGGAAAATGGACACTTGGCATGGAGCGAATATGCGCTTCTCAGCCAGCATAGACTTCGTAACCAATAAGGAATTCAGCATCGGCGTCGATCAATGGTCGAACTCCTTATTCTACGGGTAAGTGGTCGAGGCTTTTCCTTCAAGTGAGCTATTAAGAAACTAATTGGTTGGCAGCGGCGAGTTCTCATGGGTCGGTATATGCCCAGATGCGCTAGGAATCCAAGGGGGTGTTTTTCACGCTCACGGCTCAGTTCAGAGAAGTGTGAAGTTCGCCAAACCCTTCTTCAAAACTCCTCAGGTCTTGACATGGATATCTGGACTAGATCTGAGTATTCAAGATGGTAAACGCGTCGAAGTTTCAGCTACGCATGTTGATGAGAATGGGTTTACGATGAACGTCGGGTCTGCCAATTCAGCTCTGATACAGGCCTCTATATCCTGGATCGCAATCGAGAATGGCTCGCACTGCGCCATTGGGTACTGTGTGGCCGTGGCTGAGAACACCAAGAACGCGTCCTGGGATGAGAATTGCAAATTTCCAAAGGGCAAATTTTCTCGGCCACCGAAGGTGCTTGTCGGTTTTAGCTCGTTCGATCTTGGCAGTACCAACACCAATCCCCGATTCGGAACCAGGATTTCGGATATTTCAGCGGACGGATTCAAAAGGAATATTTACTCTTGGGGTGGAAGTGCGATTTCATCCGCAACGTTGCAGTGGCTTGCTATTCCATCTGAGCAATGATTCTTTACTGTAGGAAAACGATTGGCGTGAACAGGTCTTGAGCTTCCAGACACATTTCAAATACGACGCAGTAAACGGCAAGAGGTTGTGTTCTAAATTTTGGCAGAGATATTGAAATCTATTCATAGGAGGCCTTCTTACATTCCTGCTTCGGTGATTACGGGTTTGATGGATTTTGGTGCCGGAGAGCGAAACTGCGCTCCCAGGCTGTACATGGATGGCCATTCAACCGGTTTAGCATGTTCCCAAGTAGCACCTACTTAATCCGGAAATGATATTTGAAGTTGGCTGTTGATGACGCTTTTGCCGAATTCGCAGATGAAGCTGGCATAAGCAGCTGATCAGCATGGCTGACTGATGCATGGTGCATAATTGCGTGGAGGCGAGGCGTCAGCTGAAGAGGAATCATGGCTTCTATGGAGCCGCCAATGCTAAACCTGGTCAAGGGATTCTCGCCGAGTCGCCAAGGTCATGTTCGCTGCATCATTGTCCTGATTCTAACCAGACTCTGCGGTGTGACTGGTGCGGGGTGGATGCGTTCAATTCTGACAGAGATCCGGCGAACTACTGTTAGACAGGTCAGCAAAGTACCTTGCACGCGGACTGGGCAAGCCGCGATAAATAAAGTTGGAAGTAAGATGGATGCGATTCGTTGCTGAGAGTTGGTGAAACAGGCACGAAGTGTGATGCATGCGAGTCATGCACATGGAGGGTCCAGCGCGGCGACATCATCGGCGAAGCTCCCAACGCCGGCGCGACATCTCTCAAAGCACACCTTGCGTTCAGCAACCCTCCTACCTCTTCTCGTCCGACGGATGGGTTGCGCTCGTTCACGCCGCTGCCCGCCATGAGCCAAGTCGAGGCTTTGTACATCTTCGATGAGCACAAGTACGTCGATCCACAACCACCACGGCCCCGCCGCCTCGTCGACCGTCGCGCTCACCTCTACTGCGAATCCCCAGCAACCTGATCCTCGAGCACGTCTACTGTGCGCGCCCGCCGTCAGCCCAGCTCCTACTACCACTCTACCTCGCCCATCCAGCGCCGCGGCCCTCGCTCGTTTACCTGCCCGCCACGAATCCACCGACGCTCGTACACTCGATCATCCAAGACCGCCTGCTCTTCCTCGCGCCGTCCAGCGTTGACACGGAGCCTCTGCTCGTGATAGAATTCCTCCACCGCGTTGCCGATGCGATAGAAGACTTCCTGGGGTCGCCGCTGCTGGCGACTAAGATCGAGGCGCACTACGATGTCGTCGCCCAGCTGCTGGGCGAGATGTGCGATGCCGGCATCGTCGCCAACACCGAGGGCAACGCCCTGCGCGACGTCGTCGAAGCCCCAAGCGTCATGAAAAACCTGCTTGGAAACATGGGCCTGCCTTCGTACGCGTCCTCCCACCCTAGCTACACGCCATCGCTAACACAACCATCTCGCAGCTCCTCCCCCGCCCTCGGCGCCCGCCCCTCCCTCAAACCCACTCTCACACCCCCAGGCAGCAGCCCGACCGCATCCCCCGTCCCCTGGCGCCGCGCCAACGTACGCCACACCTCGAACGAGCTCTACGTCGACGTCGTCGAAACCCTCTCCGTCACGCTCGCACCCTCCGGCCGGCCCATCTCCGCCTTCGCCAACGGCAGCATCGCCTTCACGTCCAAGGTCAGCGGGATACCGGACCTGATTTTGCGTTTGGAAGCGCCCGGCGGCGTCGGCAACGTGGTGCAGCTGCCCGTCTTCCACCCGTGCGTGCGGCTGGCACGCTGGCGCGAGCGCCCCGGCGAGCTCAGCTTCGTGCCGCCCGACGGCCGCTTCGTGCTGGCCGGCTACGAGGTCGACCTGCTGGGGCCGGACTACCTTCTCTCGGCGCACAACCTGAAAGGCAGCGCCAATCGTCCCAGCCTCAACATCCCCGCCAACGTCGAGGTCAAAACAGGCCTGGGCCCCGCCGCCGCAGACTTCGAGGTCCGCCTCTCCCTCTCCCCGCGCTTCCGCTCCACCGCCTCATCGTCATCCTCTACCTCCATCTCCTCCGGCGGCATCGGCCCCGGCCGCCCCGGCCCTGGAATCGGTGGCCGCACCGGATCGGGCTTCAGTCTCGGCGGCGGCATCGGCGGCGGCGCCCACAGCGGCACGTCCGCCGCGCCGCTGCTGTCCGACGTGCTCGTCCGCGTGCCGCTGCCCGCCGGCGTGCGCAACCTGGCGGACCTGCGCCCTTCGCGCGGCGAGGCGCAGTACGCGCCCGGCGACGCGGCGCTCGAGTGGCGCGTCAGCTCGAAAGACGTCGCCGCCCTGCTGCAGCTGGGGATGGGGGCTGTTGCGACGCTGCGCGGGGCGGTTGTGGGGGCGGTGGAGGGGGATGATGAGGATGGGGAGGGTGGGGGAGACGGAGCGTTGTTGGGGACGGGGAAGTATGATTATGATGATGGGGAGGCGGCGGGGAGTGGTGCGGGAGGAGGAGGGGGTGGGGGAGGGTATCAGTCTGCGTCGCTGGTGGAGAAGGCGAATGGGGCTACCTCTGCGGATACGGATGCCCGCGCGGAGAAGAGAAGGCAGGCGAATAGGCTGCTCATGCCGAGTAGCGCGGCGCTGAGCTTCCAGGTCAAGGGGTGGTTGGCCAGCGGCGTCAAGGTGGAGAGCTTGAACTTGGACCAGAGGAAGTCGAGGGGGCTGGGCGCGGGGGTCACGCCGTATAAGGGCGTCAAGTATCTGACTGTGAGCAGAGATGGGGTTGAGGTGAGGTGTTGATGGGGTTGTTGCGTGAGCCTCGATTCCTACGATGCAAACCGAGGTTCAAAAGAAGGCTGTACGATGAGGCATTGAACCTACAATTGAATGAAATGAAATACATTTTTTCTCGTTAATATCATACTCGAGGTAGCTTCCCTTCTATCCCAGTATGTGGTTGCGTGCATTGGATGAGGTCTCGGGATCCGCTACCTCCGGCCGAAAGGAAAGACGCGTGATCCTAGGGTGGTACAACGCAACCATCAATGGTCTGAGATGGAAGCCTCCGGGCAAAGCCAATAACGCCTTCTTCTCACCGGAGATGCGTTACAGATAAAAATCGGGATGGTACACTGGGTTTTCTCTCTACGGACTGCTGACGCAATCGGGAATCTCCATCATCTTGATTGGTCCATTATTCTACAAAAAAGGTTGCCAGACCATTCCCCCAATTCCCCTTCTTTGACTTCTCCCAGCTTCCCACCGGAAGATTGTGGAGCGCGCGCGCGATCATACACGGAATCGACGACGAGGGGCGAATTGGCTTATTGGCCGATGGCCTTGGCGCGCTCGTCCTCGAGCTTGGTGTAGAAGTTGTCGCGGTGACGGACCGACGGGACGTGGTAGCCGTACCACCAAGTGTAGCCGACAGCGGTGCCGAGGCCTGATAACGTAAGAGAGCTGTGCGTTAGCAAAAGTTCCATTGGCTTTCTTTCGGGCTGGTTCATGCGAGCTCTGTTTGCGGGATTGCGATTCGAACGTGGGGGCACGTTTAGGAATGACGCGGAGCTTGGCGAAGGCTGGATAGATATCTGGAGGGTGATTCTACGCACCGAGGGCGACGGAGAGGTCGAGGACAAGGCCTCTGCGGAGCATCTGTTTGCAGATTGCGGGTTAGTTCCAATTGCGGGCGCGCGGCTGAAGGGACCGAGCCGGTAGGCCTCGGAAATGCAGGTTCGACGTACTCCAGTGATGGGCTTGACCATTTTGGCGGCGGGGAGTGGAGAGTTGCGGAGAGCGGGCGTTGGGTTTCGGTGGTTTGCGGGTGGTGTGACGCGCGACGAAGCTGGGGTTCGTCAAGGTCGCAGGTTCCCTTCCCACCGGCCACAAGTATCGCCGGCTGCCGAATGGGTTGGCAAGGATCCATTGACCGCGAAGAATGAATGGGTGGCCCAAGCTGCGCGCCCGCCGCCGCCAACCTGCAGCTCTTCTGCCTCACCACACACCACCATGCGCGTCACATAAGCGCGACGAAAAACGATCCAATTCGCGTTCATCCCCGCCATACCACGAACCTCCGACCGCACGCACGCACTCAATCCTCAATCGCTCGACGCCCTTTTTCTCACTCTGCCGCGCGACAGACGCGAAACGCAGCGCAATGATGCCCGGACTGCGCTACCCCGATGCTTCCTCAACGCAGAACTATGCCGCCGGCACCAAGCGTCCGATCGACGATGACCAGCAACACTCCTTCTCGAAGCGCCGTCGCATCGTGCGCCACGGCATCCGGCACAAGCAGGCCTGGCGCGAGGACCCGGCCATCGCCGCGCCACAGGACGAGGCCTTCTTCCAGGCCCAGGTCTTGCGCGCTGTGTCAATCAGCCTGACGGCTGTGGGCTTCGAGAGCGCAAAGCCGACCGCGCTGGAGGCATTTCGTGCTCAGGTTGACGAATGTACGTGTTATTTCCGTGTCTCCCCAACAATGGAGGACGGGGGAAGTGAGTTGGTAGCGGTGGTGACGCTTTGGAGTGATGTTCTGGCTGTCATGGAAATCCCCTCTCCGCTGAAGAACTCGTCGGGCTTACGCATTCTCCTCTCCTTTCTTCTCGCCGCCTTACAGTCATGCTCCACTTCCTCTCCGACGTGCGCGCCTCGATGGAGAACGCCCGCCGCACGACTCCCACAGCCCCCGACTTCGCGCGCGCCCTCGCGCACACGGGCTACACTGCGTCGGACCTCGAACCACAACTCGCACTCCCCCTGCCCCCCGCTCTCGCGCTCCCGCCCGTGCCCGACCCGCCGCCCGCGGAGGACCCGCCGCCGCGCCTCGAGGCCGTGCTCGGCGCGGAGCTGTCGGGCGCGGAAGAGAAGCGCGCCCGCGCATACATCCCCGCCCACCTCCCCGCGTTTCCCAGCAAGCACACGTGGCAGGCCACGCCCGTCTTCAGCTCGCGCGAGACGGACCCGCGCAAGATTCGCGAGCGCGCGACGCAAGAGGGCATTTTGGCCGAGCAGGCGCTGCGGAAGCTCATGGCGGCGAATCGGACGGGATCGACGCGGAAACGAGTGGGGGCGAAGGATGGTGGTGGAGCGGGCGATGCTGGCAAGAGGAAGTCGCCGCCGGCGAGCAGGCAGATGTGGGAGGATGCGATGCGTGATGTCATACGCGAGGACGAGATGAAGCGCGGAGACGTCATCATGGGCGGGGTCGAAGACGAGCAGGGTGGCGACAAGGTTAACGACTTCGTCGTGGATACGGGGTTGCTGGTGAACTACGACAAGAAGTACTGGAGGAAGGGAGCACAGTCGACGGCATGGTCGTGAGTATCGGAATCAGCAAGAAGCCGAGGAAGCGTTGAACCTTGAGGAAAAGGAAAGTAAATTCAAGCGAAACTGCGGAGGATAAGCATTTTTAGCGTGGCGTTTTCGGGGTTTGGTTTTTTTTCCCCGTCGGGATGGCGCATGTCAGGTGGCGTATGGTCCATCATCTTCTCGGGATAGGAGAGTTCGTGGCTGCATTAAATGGAGGGGACGAAGATACCACGGATGGGGTTGCGATGGTATGGAAATCAAGGCTACATGCGAAGGGGGGGTTGCGCAGCACGCTTGATGGATATGCAAAATTATTCCTTTGTTTGCTGTCACAGGTCACGCTTGCCTGAACGGGGCAATAGCCTCCACGTGTGATGGTTGAGAAGCTCGTAGATCTTTACAGTTGGCTTATCCCTGCCAATCCCATACTTTCACAGCCATCTCGCTCGAAGGCTGTTGCGGGCGTGGATAAATTAATGGGGTTGGTTGTACGAAAGACGTCACAGCCTGTGCTCGAGATCCTCCCACGCCGTCGTCTCGACCGTCAACCCGTTCGCGCACCTTTTCTCCCGCAACACAAACAAAACGTCAGCTCATCCAAACTCGATACCCTGGTTTCAGCTCTGAAACGGAGGGGAAAAGAATTCACACGCACCTCCGGAATAGCCGTACTAAGGGCCGGCACGTTATACGGGCGCGCGGGTCGTTCCTGTTCTCGACGTCGCACGCGTACTGCACCATCTCCAGCAGCTTGCACTGCTCCAGGTCGACCGGCGGCTTGACGCGCTTGCCCTGCGCATTGAACTGCACGCGCGCGGCCAGTTCCTCGGGTGGGAAGGCTTCGACGGGTTGTACCATCGTTTGTGGGGGTGATTGAGGTGTGTGTGGGGGAAAGAGAGGAGAAAAGAGGACACGGATTTTCGGAGACCGCGGAGAGAGATATGCCACCCTGCGCGACGGGCGGCGACTGAGAGCGGGAAGCCGGGTTTCTGGCGAAGGGGTCTCTTCTTTTCGGCGGGATTTTATCGACCGGCAGCGCTGAGATGGGCGCGGAGGCTTTGGGCCGGAGGTTGTTGGGTGAGGTTGAGGAGGCCCGGCTGGACGAGGTAAGTACGTCTGATATATCACGCACGCCTTGACGACGAGTCTCTCTTTTTTTCACAGCACACAACACAAGGCAATGAAATACTGACGCGCTACGCTAGGTCCTCCGCTCCGTAAGCCTGTCCGCGCAACCAGAGCTGAGCGAAGAAGGGCCATTCGGCATCCGCCCGCTAGACCGCCTGCTACGCCTGTTCGAGCAACAACAACAACAACAACAACAGCAACAACCAGTCGCACGCCAGCAGCATGACCCTGGCTCCCCACCGCCCGGACAACCCCAGAGGCCTCGAACTGCTACTACCGGTGCCCCAAAGCCACCCCCCATCATCGAACTCACCTCGGCCAACCCGGGCGCCGGCAAAACCCAGCTCCTCTACCTCCTCATCACGCACGCCATCCTGCCGCGCACCTACGACGGCATCCCACTATCGTCCTCCTCCTCGGGCCACGCCGGCGCCGTCGTCGTCGTCGACGCGGACAATCGCTTCTGCGCTGCGCGCTTGGCTGCCGTCGCGAGGAGCCACGTCTTGCGCCGCAGCAGCGCCCAGAAGAAGAAACTCGATTCCGCTGCCATCGACGCCCTCATCACCGCCTCCCTCGCCCACGTGCACGTCCTGCAGCCGCAGTCGCACGCCGCGCTCCTCGCCGCCCTGCGCGCGCTGCCGGCGTACCTGTTCGCGAAGGGCGAGGGGCTGCTACACGGGTCGGCGTGTCGGCCGCTGCGGGCTGTTTTTGTGGACAGCGTTAGCGCGTTTTTCTGGCCGTTGAGGGCGGTGGAGGATGATGCGAGGGTTCTTATCAGCAGTGGCGACATGAGCGGTGGTGAGAGTGGCAAGAGCGGCAGAAGCTCGACGACGACGAGCGAGGCCTACGCCGCGCTGGCACGGGAACTGCGCGGGTTAAGCGCACGGTTTGGATGTGTTGTCGTTACGACGAGCGTTGCGTCGGCGTCTCCGTTCGCCTCCTCAGCTTCGTCGTCCTCGTCGTCCTCCGAGCGCCACCGACATCACCCTGCTCTTCGCCCCCTGCTCCCTGCGTCGTGGCACGCCGCCGCCGCCGGCGGGTTGCTGCACCTCGGCGTCGAGAGGGTGCGTGTGAGGGGCTTTGCGCCGGCGATGAGCGTGGCGGAGGCGAGGGCGGAGAGAGGGCAGCGGCAAAGCGTGGTGGAGGAGGGCAGGTTTGGGGTTTGGGTTGATGGGTGGGGGGCGGAGGCGTGGCCGAGGGGTTTGTGGGAGGGGTTGGGGGCAATGGAAGGTAGGGGCAGGTGGGGGTTCTATGTGAGAGGGGATGGGGTGGTTGTGGAAGGGGAGGAGGATGGGGGAGAGGGAGAGGAGGGTGTGGTGGAGATTTGAGTGGTTGCTGAAGGGGAGGAGGTTTGTGGTGGTTGGCTTGGATGGATGGATGGGAAGATAAGGCTCGGCCCGCTGCCGCTGACGCATGTGGCAGAGGATACGAGTGAGCGGCGATATGGACAGGAGGCTGTAATAATGTGGGCGCTGGTCTAGACCTTGCTCGGGTCTGTTGTCTGTGCAGGTTTGACAGGACCAGCGGCAAGGGTGGATGCAGCAGTGGAATATCGACACTGATGGAGAAGGTCACTTTTCACTCGGGTCCGCATGACAACGAACAGGATCTGGCACTAGCGTTGGTATACATGAAGCGTGGCGTTGCTTTTCTATTTTCCCGGGTTTGGCTTCGCTAACAGCAATGTAGCTCTGCTCTACCATTGGTGGACTCGGGCAGCACATGCTTTCAGTGCAGATTCGTGCAACAATCTGCTTTCTCCACATGGCTTCGACGCATCTACCTGTACGACATTATGGTTGTCTGCATGCCCGCATTGGCCAAGCCGGGCCGGCAACGTTCATTACCCGATATTGCTCCCGACTCACGACACGACTTCGGATTCGGTCTGGCCACAATTTGTTCTAGATTTTTCTCCACATTTGCTGAGTACCTGTCTGGGCATGCTGAAATAATCATCTGGAGACCGCCGCAGCTCTTGCCCATCTCCGAGCCGTGATTGCGTGACCTTGACTAGCATTCGATCTTCACAATATGCCGATCACTCGGCTGAACCACGGGCCACTCCAAAGAAGGCAATGAGAGGCAAAGCTATCAGCGTCTCCTTATTGGCATACGTCGTGGTCCAGCATTCCCATTGGCGCGCGGCATCTGGGAACTTGGCGGGCTACCGGTACGCCAGCACCACGCCGTTCCACGCTTTGTGACAAGTAGCCTGCAACGTCTGCTCGGCGGACCGTTTCTGAGACAACGATGGAGGGCAGGCCCCCGCCCGCTCGGAAATAAGATCAGGGTTGGAGCTAGAGAAACAGGCTTTGTGGTCGTTTTGGCGACGTAAGTACATGTTGCGGGGAACGGGGATGTCATGAACCTTGCTCTCGGACTTTCTCAGCTCCCCACCCATCCCGCAAGGCTGTAGGTTGGCTGGCCCGAGCCCACGTACATATACAACGATCGGATCCCGTTTTACCCGCGAAACTTTAATAGGACCACCGTCGGTGTGCCCCCCATCGCTCGACAATCTTAAAAAGAGCGATCACTCGGCACTTCAGCTTCCTTTCTGCTCAGTCTGCCTGGCCCCTGCTGACAAGCGCTGCTTGCTTCCTCACGTCTTTCGCGCGACGGAGTTCCGGAATCGCTCTCGTTCTCTTTTCTGATCAGGAGGCTTCGGTTTGTATTGCTCAGAAATTGGAAAAAAGGAAGTCGGGCCGTCCAATTCTTGACTGAAACAAGGCTCGAGTCGGACTCAATAAACCATTTACGGCCTTCTCCGCACAAACCCTACCTGCGGCACAGCTAAAACCCCATGTTGACCGTGGCCGGGTAAGACGGATTTCCCCTCACACGACCTCCCATTACGTCCTCAATTTCGCGCGCGCGGGGCTTGCGGCCTTCAGGTTCCTTCCTCTTCTTCGTCTTTTTTGGCCGTCTCCGCACACTGGTCGAATTACCTTTTCTGGCGACTCGCTACCTACGCTCCGGCCTCCGACCATCACCCGGACTACACACACACATCGCCATCGCACAAGGCCGCCACCCTCACCCTCACCTGACCCGATCCATCCACAAATAAAAAAACATGGCGTCACTCAACACCTCCTCCTTCTTCCACGACCCTCTTCTGCTCAGCCGGGACCTACACGTCGAAATGCCGATCCTCGTCGTCGGCAACGTCCGGCTCCTGCTCTTCAGCTCCACCTCCGCGCTCTTGGTCAGCATCGCCGCCGCCGCCGTCGCCGCCGTCTTCTTGAGGAGGGATCCGCTCGCCGCCTTCCCGGTCATCGGGGAGGAGTGGGGAGACGAGAAGACGCGGAGGGAGAGGTTCGTGACCGGGGCCAAGCAGATTTATTTGGATGGGTATAAGAAGGTTTGCGTGCTCTTGATTGTTTTGTTGGTTGTTTGGTTCGTGTGCTGAGGGGTTGCCTTTTGCGGCTGTAGTTCAAGGACGGCGTGTATCAGATCACGACTGTGAGACGTAAGTACTTGCTGCCGGTACAGGGCTGTTGTGAGCCTCCTGCTAATTTCGATGGCGGGGTGGAAGAGTCCAGGACGATTGTCATTGCGCCAAAGTTTCTCGACGAGCTGAGGAAGCTGCCGGACGATGTGGTCTGCAATCAGTGTGCGGCCGATGAGGTGAGTTGAGCCCGCACCTTTTCCCCCCTCACCTTCATCGACACGGCTTGCATTCCCACCGTTCCTTCTTGGCCTCAGTCCAGCTAACCGCCATCCCCACAGACCCTCGAAAGCAGATACACCAAGCTCAACACCCACGAGCCCCTCCACGGCCACGTCATGAAAACCCTCCTCACCCCGGGCCTCCGTGTGTCCCCCCCAATCCTCTATTCCCCTCCTCCCCTCCCTACCACCACCCCGACTAACCCAACCCAGGCCGCCTCAACCCTCGCATCTCAACCACCATCACCACCGCCGTCCACACCGCCCTCCCTTCCACCAGTTCGTGGACCCCCGTCAACGCCAACGCCGCCCTCCTCCACATCGTCGCCGCCGCCACCGGCGCCATCGGCGTCGGCAGCCCGCTCTGCCTCGACCAGCAGTACCTCGACGTGTCCGTCCAGTACGCCGCCAGCGTCATGCGCGCCATGGCGGCCGCGAGTAGAGTTCCTTCGTGGTGTAGGAGGGTCGTCGCGCCCTGGCTGAAGGAGGTGAGGGAGCTGGATGGGTTTGTGAGGAGGGTGGAGGGGTTTATGGGGAAGGTCATTCGGGAAAGGCGGGAGAGGGAGAAGGAGCAGAAGGAAGGGGGGGAGGGGCAGGAGGGGGAGAAGAAGGGAGGGGAGAAGCAGGAGAGGCCGGAGGATATGTTGCAGTGGACGATGGATGCGGCGGGCAGGTTTGGGTTGGATGCCGAGTGGAAGGTCGTCCGGGCGTATATGGGGTTCGTGTTTGCGGCGATTCATTCGACGACGGTGGTGGCGACGAATGTGTGAGTTGGTCCTTGGATTTTTTTTTCTTCCCCTTCGCGGATGGCTGGAGCGGGGGTGGCGGTGGAGTTTGAGGGAGTGTGCATGGCGAAGCTGACGTTTAGCAGTCTATTCAACCTGGCCGCCATGCCCGAGTTCACGGCCGAGCTGCGCGAAGAAATCGCCAGCGTCCTCGCGCGCCACGACGGCGTAATGACGTTCCAGGCACTACAAGAGATGCTGAAGCTGGACTCCTTCATGAAAGAGACCTTCCGCCTCTACCCGCTCCAATTCGGTAAGCCTTCCCCCCTCCCTCCTCAATCCGCCCCGCAACTCACACCCGCCTCCACAGCAAACTTCCAACGCAAAGTCCTCAAGCCCTTCGCCCTCTCAACCGGCCAAATCATCCCGGCCAACACCGTCATCGAAGTCCCGAGCATGGCCGTCTCGCTCGACCCGACCGTCTTCCCCGACGCCGCGCGCTTCGACCCGCTGCGCTTCTACCGCCTGCGCACCGCCGCCGGCGCCGACCCTTCCGCCCACCAGTTCGCCACCGTCAGCGAGGACGCGCTGAACTTTGGCTGGGGGCGGCACGCGTGCCCGGGGAGGTTCTTCGCTGCGAACGAGATTAAGATGGTCGTCGCGGCGGTGCTGTTGGAGTGGGATGTCAAGATGCCGGAGGTGAAGGAGGGAGAATGCGTGGAGGCGGAGAGGGAGTGGGAGGGGAGGAGGTGGCGGAATTGGGAGTATGGGAATTTTGTGAGTCTTGCTCTGTGTTCTTTGTCTTGTGCTGGTGATGCGGATTGCTGACCATGGTGGTGTGCGTAGTGCTTCCCTGTTCCTACGAGGGAGCTCTTGTTCAGGAAGATTGAGGCGTAGGACGTTCAATGAAAAAGAGTCACGAAAACATATTTGACATAGAATGGGTAAGGGCAAGGTGAGGACGGTGTTGCGTACTGATAGGATTGTTACCTACTCAGAATACCATTTCTCAAGTATTTTCCCCTTGTACAGTCGTAAATTCTATATCTCTTCCCTCCGGCCTGCGTTTCCGCAGTACTGACCAAATCCCTCGCCCCCTAAACGAGCGTTTCTCCCTGTACTTTTCTCTGGAGTCTTTGGGGCTGAACTGAATACTATTGCCATCAGGTCTGACAAGACCGGCGTAATTCTGTTTGAGTCCTTCCTCAATTTCTGAATTCGACATTTCATCAACAAGATCATCTGGCCTGTCAAGCGTATCTATGACGATAGTAGTGAGGTCGACGGCCGCCCGATACAAACCGTAACTAGTCTCGACACCGTACTCGCCCTTCGCCATGAGCCACAAAGACCATACGGAAATGGCCCAGAAAAGGTTCAAGAGGGAAAACAGAAAGAGCAACTGATAGGAGAATCCCCAACTATATTCATTTCCTGGTACACATTGACCATTCTGTGAAACATCGTCCATGTCGTAGATTGTCCCATTGTAGTACCACGTGAGCTCGCTGTAGCGTGATAAATTCAACGAGTCAAGTGGATCGATAGTGTAATTTGTGTAATTGATTCGGGAAATTCCGCAACTGGTGGAGAAGTCGAAATTATTCTGGCAACTGTATGCTATAATTGGGGCCGGGTAAGTATCAGGAAACCATATTGGGAGTTTCTACTTACCTAATTCAAGTGCGCGAACAGTATCTGAACCGTATACTTCTCCAGTTTCGGCAATTTTAGTCAATTCATACTCTACGAGGTGACAGGTACCGTTCCTGCCAAACACACTGCAATTCCCGATCGTGAACAATATTGTACCGAGGTTTGGGCTGGAAATATCAACAGATATGTCGTCAATCTTGATTTTGGTAGTGAACGTGGTGATGTAACCGGTCATTGCGCTTGTAATGGTCGGAAATGCGATGAGATAGATGATGATGAGCGCGATGACAAGGAGGCGTCCTTTCCAAACTTTCCAGAGATGATGCTTAGGAGTGACAGTGAGAAAGCTCCAAAGAGCATTCGCAGACGCCTGATTCTGGAATGATATACCAACGAATAGATGATGCGGGATTGGGTGGGTTTCCATTGCGTATAGCATGGACCGTGTGATGACGCGAGATGAGATGGACACCAGGATAACTTGGCCGATTCGCCCGACGCCGATGTCCCAAATAAGATCGATCCATTTTGCCTGTGCAAAGCTGTACCTTCCAAAGGCGATGGTGATGGTGACAAGGCTAGGAATGGAGAAGAGATGGACAAAGCTTGTGTAGTAAAAGCCAGCCTCGTACGTGTAGTAATCATAGAGTGGATTGAGATCAGGAGCATTCCGATCGAAATCACCATCGGGACTACAGGTATCGTAGATTCCTTTGATCTGTCCTGAGATGGGGATGAACAGAGCAATGGGGAAGGCAATGGATGCGAGGACATAGATAAACGCCAGGGTGTTGGAAATAGTCCAGAAATCATGCTTCTTGAATATGCGCCGTAGTGCAGAGGATGCTCTCTCATGTGTGGAAGTGTGGCCGGGATCGAGCATGGGTTGCTGTGTTTCCGTCATTAGACCGATTGTTCCTGTAGAGTTGAATGTTTTGCTGAAGTTTCTTCTGATTCCCTCGTGTGGGGTTGAGTAGGTCACCAAGGTACGGCTTAGCTAGTGGTCGGCTTCGTGTAGTTCCAGAGCCAGCTTTCGATGCTCGGGGGAGGTGAAAGGCAAAAGAGGGTGCGTGTGAAGGACCAGAAACGCCATGTAATTAGCGTCATACCAAGACTTGGCTCCGCCTCAAACACAAATTGCATGCTTCGTGAAACGTAACGGGGGCAGACGTAGATTATGTTCTAAATCGAGACTACTTTCCCGATTACTCGTCTTGCAGAATGCACAAAAAATTCCAATTAGCGCTAGCCCAGATTCAGCAACTGCTGCATTGGCGATGCTCGGTCGTACGCCGCCACGGCTATTTGTGGAAGTAAGCATTGCGTATGCCGAACACCGGACCAGTCATATATGGAAACCTCGCATCGTCCACCCACGTGTGAACACTCCGATGTAAACTTATCGCTTTAGCAATGCGACGTTTGCTTATGACAGCTTGCAGTGCTCACTAACTTGAGTTCATGCGCAGTAGGACGTTTGGGAAGTTTAAGGAATTTCCGTAACCTTTAAAGAAAGATTCAGCATGCTTCCTGCCAAGTGGATCTTGAATGCTTATTCGTATGCGTCACACTGGAAAATATTTATAGCCACCATGCGGTCAGCATGCAAAGTTCGTTTTCTGCCAAACGCCGCAATCTCTCATTTCGTAGTGATCTACGTAATTTTATTTGCTGACAACCCACGCCAAAATCAAGGTAAAGTAGTACAGAAGGCTTTTTGTGTAGCGCTCGGAGCAGAAAGTACTGGTTTATGATCGACAGTGCTTCGGGCACTAGTCCTATTTCGCTAGTCCGTGCTACTTGCTGAGCCTTATGTAGAACGTTACTTTGATACAAGGCTTAGCTCTTTAGACACTTCGGTGGCTTAGCTCCTAACTCTAAATATAGTTGAAAAATGCCGATAGAGGCTGTCATGCTGCAGCGGCGCCTGAATAGGTACTCCGAACCCAAAGAAAAAATTCCGAGAATTACTTCCCAATAATTACTCACGTCGAATTCTTGTTCCAACATGAACAACTCACCATCCATGGCCGATTTCGATCTCGGCGACCAGCACTTTGGAGCGACCAGCACTTTGGAGCGACCATCGCCGGCGACCCCGAGGCGGCCAGCGTCGATTACAATGGTGCTCAACTGACACCAGACCATGACTCTACTCCTCCGAATAGAGATAGGGAAAGTGCTGCTTCCAATTTGAAGCAATTAACCGACCCGCATGGAAATGACATAACTATTTCGTCAGACACGGTAGATGACACAACGGCAGCCACTGGAGATTGTTCGACTATTCAAGACAATGAGAAGTCACTTGAACTTCATGAAAACACTGAAGAAGGCGAGCATGCTCTACATGCTTCGACCCTGACTTTACTACCTACGACAGGCGGATTTGAGCACCCGATTCAACATGAAATCGCTGTGGGTGGTGTCTCACAAGCTGCGGCGAGCACACAGGATAAGGAGACGCCTGAGGCCTCGCAAACATCCGCATCACCTATTGAGCCGAGTTGGACCCCGTTCTACTTAAGTCGGTCCTTTTTTATCGGAGGTGCAGTGGTGTTTGGATGCATGATTACCGCTTTGGAAGTGCTGTACTGCCTTTCCGAAAAGAACCAGGGACTAGCCACAGTCTCGCAAGATAAACGTTACTTCTGGACATACGGTCCTCTCTCTCGTTAGTAGAGTCTGGAAATCTTTGGAAGTGCTATCGGCTCATTGATTATAGTCTTGGCTATTATATCCACTTTCTGGGGACAAACGGAGTATCGAGCACGACAGCTTACCCCGTGGTATCTCATGAACAATGGACAGGGCGAAGACTGGTTACTTCTCAATTATTTGACAGAATCAACGGCAAGCTCACTCTTCCGTTCGATCAGAGGTCGTCATTTCCTCGTTAGCCTTGGGATATGTGGTTCACTACTCCTGCGACTTTTGACAATTTTCTCGACCGGTCTTCTCAGTCTGGAGTACAGAGCCATGACTAGTCAGCAGGAGTATCATATCGTCGACACATTTGATTTCACCCGCAATGGGTATGGAACTAACCGATTGAACCGATCAACATCAAGTTCCTCGGGTAGAGGCCAATTTCGGGCCATTTCTCATTACAACCTCACACCCCCTTACGAGGTGAAGACTGGATCAGTAGGTGAATCATTCGCATCATCTGAAGAAGGTAGAGTCCAAAAGAAGATTGCCATTGCTATCTGTTAGGCTCACGAACGTTAGGTCTTTTCGATAAAATGATCGCCGATGTTCCAGTATTCGAGGCGAAACTGAAGAATTGCCGAACGTTCTCGACCATGGTCAATGATTCAGCCTGGACTGCTGACTATGGGATCACGGGCCCAAAATTTCGAGATATATTTTCAGACCGAGAAATAGAAACTTGGAAACAGTGGTGTATCCCTGATTGGGATGCCTACGTCGACGGAAATATCAATGGGTTACGTTGGAATCACTCGATGATTGAACATAGCGTTCTGAGTCTCCTGGACACTGCAACACCAGCCCATAAATGCTCAGAGAACAACACAGTCGATGAGGTAGAAGAAGGTCGAATATTGTTTTTCATGTCCGAGTATTATGATGAGGAAAAGCATATTGCAGATATTCACGGCCTCTGGTGCGAGCCGGTGTACTCCTTGACTCGGCGTACTGTCATGAATGTTTCGGATGCCTCCAGAGAGAGCTATCAGATCCACGTCTCCCCAGACGTGAAAGAAGACTTGGAACTCGGAGCGGCCCCAGACGCCATTACATCTTACATACTATACAGCTTGGCTGACCTATTTGCGGGGGGCACGCCAGGCGGATCCATTTATTGGCAAGCTCTTCTAAACCAGTCAGAGCCCCAAAGTAGCCCTGTGAATCTCAGGGATGCCAGTCTCGTGGAAAAACTTTCGAAAAGAGTTTGGAACCAGTTCTCCGCTTTTGCTGTGGAGAAAGGCTGTAAGAGTCTAGTCAGTGAGCGTCGAACAGTCCCAGGGACAGCAATGTTTACCAAAGGCCGACTTTGCATCCAAATCCTTTCTCTAAGGTTAATAGAGCTATTACTCGGACTTTTAATGCTATCTAGCATATCACTTACTTTTTGCGTTCCGTCACCTACTCTGCACCGAGATTCTGGATCCATAGCTGCCCATGCCTTGGAGATAGCGAGAAACCCGTCTCTCAGGGATTATCTGGAGGGCTGTGGGGGATTGTCAGAAATGATGCTCAGAAAGCACCTACACGGTTGTAATGTATTGCCAAATCCAAGCATGGAAGCACAGTGTCAACAACCATCCGTCATCTCAGTCGAACCTCAAGGTTCTACTGCCAAATGCGCCAAGACCCAACCAGCCAGTAATTCCTCAGAATTGTGGTATCCAACAGGACTTACGTGGTGGTTTCGGGGTTTCATAACTTCCGCAGCAGTGGGTGTCGCTATTGCTCTCCAAGTCCTAATTCTCCTTTCTCGAAAAAGCAACGGCCTTGCGAATGTCAACCCTGATGGATATCAGAAGTACACGTGGACTTACATCCCAACTCTGGCCCTAGCATCTCTCGGATTAGCATTCAACTTGGCCGATTCTAATGCAAGACTATTGCATCCGTTCCAGCTACTGAGAAAAGGTGGTGCTACTTTAGGGGACACTATTTACGACCCTGCAGCCCACATTTCTTTCTTTGCAGTTACTCAGACTGCACTCAACCATCAATTTACACTTTCCGCCATCATATTGACCGGGCTACTAGCGCCGTTGTTGACCGTCGCTGGCAGCGGACTATACATTCCTATGCCTATTCTATGGACCCGTAATGCTACGATCCATATACAAGACTGGTTCGAAGTTGGCGATATTGGCGCAGAAGTTTCCACAGTAGGTCAACTTGTAGGATATCCTGATGACTTTTATGCTTTTAAGCTTGTTCAAAAATCCGAGATGCCATATCCAATATGGACGCACGATCAGTATGCCTTCGCAACGATCCAGAAGGGGAACCTACATGGCTTCACCGATGATTCCGCACTTATACCGAATGCGCATGCCCTAGCACTACGCGGGAGACTCAATTGTAGTGTTTCGAATTACTATACAAGGCATAATATTTCCGTGTATGAGACCGACTATACGAGGCGTACTCTTCCTGTGTATAGACTCGACTATCCATATCAGGTATACATTACAGTTGAACCCTCTTCAGGATGTCACACTTCACGCAAGAATAAGCCAGAGAGTCGGTTACTATGGTTTATATATGGTGTTGGGCCAGACATCCAAGATTTATCATACCCAGATACTGTCTGCAATGATAATCGCGAGCATTATTGGTACTCCTCGACCAGATTTACGAACGGCACATTGGAAGAGATGGCAATTATACACTGTGTTCCGTATATCGAAGCACTTCTGGTAGACGCCTCGTTCTCCCTCCCGACATTCCAACTGATGTCCTCTGCACCTATCATGCCCAACGAGGCATCTGCTACCGTGTTCTCCAATGCTCCCCTCGCAAGCAACATAATGGAGGGTTATTCACAGGAGCTCTTTGCGTATCTCACGAACGACACCTACGGCCCTACTTCTCCCGACATTTTCGGCATTGCCAACGTCGATAGATTGATCGACCGCGTGGATCACCTTTGCCGCATCTGGGCAGTGCAGTACCTCAACTTGATCCGCCGTCCCGCCAACCTCACCCCACCAACTAACACAAACACCAACCCAGACGCCATGCATTTCAGGACCGACGAGTACTATGGCACCATCACCAATGGCACTCGAATGCGGCTGGTCCAAAATGAAGTATCCACCCGCATATTGCAAGGTCTCCTGCTCACCATGGCACTCTGCGTAGTGGTATCATGCATCTTCGAGCCACACACCAAGATCCTCCCGAAGGACCCAGGCAGCATCGCGTCGAAGATGAGCTTGTTCGCGGACGGCGAGGTGTGGAAGAACATCTCAGAAGGCGCGGAGAAGTGGAGCGACGAGGAGATTAAGCAGAGGGGGTTGTTGCAGGGCGTGGTGTTGAAGATGGGATGGTGGGGAGGGGAGGGAGAGGGGGAAGAGGAGGAGGGTGGGGGCGGGGGGAGGAGGTGGTTTGGTGTGGATGCGGTGAAGAGGGAAGGGGATGGCGCGGCTGAAGGGAGTTCGTGAGAGGAGGATTTGAGTTCTGTCAGCTGCACGGATATTGGATGCGAGCTTGGAAGTAGCATTTTTGGGTGATTTGGTCTTCGTGTACAACAGGCAACAATGTTTGTTTTCTGCGCCTCTTACGTCATGTGCTTGGTTGCCTGAGCTTCTTACCCCGCCTAAAATCGCTTTTCGTAGCTGGTTCATCACCACCGTCTCTATTATTGTCTTCAACACGATTATTCGCGGTTTCCAGGGCGTAGTGATTTGAAATATCACCATGGAGTGGGGAGAGAGCGGGCCGGCCTCGCCTGCAGACGACAGCGATGAGTACGACAGCAGCACCAGCTACGAGGATGACAACGACAGCTCTACTTTCGAGGCCCGAAACTGCCCGCATTGTACCGACGTGCGAGCGGGAATCATAGGACCACATCAGCTTACATGGAGAGACTGCCAAGACCTTTTCCACCGACCCTGTCCGTGCGATGATGCAGCTGTAGATGCGCAAGAAGACCAGCATGTGTGCGCATTCTGCCGCCATTTGAGAGTGCGGCACTTGATTGTTTGTCCTGGTGAGGAGGATAAGTCGAACTCGCAGGCGGATAGCTTGGACTCGCTGGACGACAAGCCATCTCCACAGCTGCCTTATTGGAAGTTCCTATCACTCGGCCTCACGAAGGAAGTTGTAGAGCGGGCCGTGCAAAGGAGCAACTGTACGTCTTGCCGGTTCTGGGCCCCGCTGGCCGCACGCTCGCTTCCGGACTTTCCAGACCAGCCGTTCATCATTGTTAGTCAGGAGTTCTCTTTGCGTTTCTTGACAACCACGACCTTTTTGGGGAAGGATTTCCGCACGGGGGTTGAGATGGACGTCAATATCCAATCATTGCCGGGAACGTCGGAAAGCCTCAGTGCGCCGCTGCGAGACGGTTATCTCAAACCCGTCCCCCAAAGAATCGATTGGGATCGTGTGGCAGGGTGGATTCGTACTTGCTGTCAAGACCATGAAAAATGTCGCCCCAAAGAGACGAGAGACCTTCCAGCTCAATTTCGTGTAATCGACGTCCAAGAACGCAAGCTCGTGCGGCCGACGCTGCCTTGTCGATATGTAGCGCTAAGCTACGTGTGGGGCGTCCCGACAAAGCCAATGGCAACTCGCTCGAACATCAAGGTGCTTGAAGAGCCTGGATCTCTCCGGCCGTCGGTTGTGCCACAGACCGTCCTGGACGCAATGACGGTCTGCGAAAGGCTTTCCGAGCGTTACCTCTGGGCTGATTGCCTTTGCATCATGCAAGACGACCCTGACGAGAAACAGGACCAGATCAGCCGGATGGCGGGGATCTACACGGCGGCTGAAGCTGTACTCGTCCTCGCATCTGGCGATAGCATGGACCAGGCCGTCCCGGGAGTATCAGTGGACCGCCCGGAAAGAATCCAGGGCGAATTCCTGGGTCTTCGCCTTACGCAATCGTGTTTCAAAGACCCGTGGGACATACTCGAATCAACGACGTGGGCGACACGAGGCTGGACCTACCAGGAAGGCATTCTCCCCAGCAGGAACTTGTACATCATGGATCAAGAGGTGTGGTTCGAATGCGGAGAATCCGTCATCCGCGAAGACCCTTACGCGGCGCAGGTTGAGTACATCAAGGAGGGCAGTAAGCTTGCGAGGACAAGCGTGTCTCATTGGTTGGGCGCCTTGCATCTCCCAGACCGCGATGACTCGGACCCGCGGCGGCCTTGGGATTCCTACACTTGGCACCTGCCCCGGTACACCACACGGTCGTTGAGTGACGATCGTGACATTTTCAACGCGTTTTCGGGAATCCTGAACCCTCTGTTTGACGATCACGGTGGCACTACCTTCGGAATCCCTGTATCAGAATTCGATCGGGCACTTCTTTGGCGCAACATGGACCACAACACGCTATCTAGCCTCCGCCCGGGTGTACCGAGTTGGTCGTGGGGCTCGATGCGCGGCCATACTTTCATCGACGGATTGAAAGATTGGATTGGGACAATAGTCAGGTGGTCACAGTACAGCGAATCGGAGGAAGCCTTCGTTGAAAGAAGCACTCACTGGGGTCAATGGCATCATCAGCGGGGGGCTGGCAATCTCAAACATGCTCATCAATGGCCTCACCAGCGGGGGGTTGGCAGTCTCAAAAATGCTACGTGTATGGCCATTGCGTGGACACATGGCCTCGTGGAGAAGCCATGCCCTCGAGAGCTCGATCACCGATCAGTCTCGTTCGATGAACTCAATGAAGTCGCAGCTGAGAGGTGGCCTTCACCTCGAGTTTTTGTCCGCGAGGCTCTTGAGAAAGTGGAACTGGACCAGTACGCTTCTCTCGATGTGCGGAGAGCCGACGTACTATGCGGCCGTGCGCAAACTGCGGTTCTCAAGGTCATGCTAGGCGATTCAGATTACTCTGAGCGCTGTAAGTGGAAATGTAGGCATGCTGAAAGCGTTGGCTAACGTCATGTAGCAGGGGCTTCTTCTTCATCGAGAGGGACAAGATTTTTCATGATCCTCGACCACCATGGCAACCGAATTGGCTCGATTGACCATATACACGGCCCTACCTTGGAGAGCCGGATTGGGCCTCACAGTCTGGAGGGTGGCGCAAACGCTGAATTCATGGCCCTCTCAGTGGCGACGAACGCTCTGGCTGATGGCATACTTGCAGACGAGCGTGATCGAAATGACTCAATAGTGTTGGATTTTAGCCGCGAAGAGAAAAGGAGGCAGAAGTTGGGTTTCTTGGACTGCAACGGCAAGCTATCGTATCCGTATCCCATCGTCATCGTCATGCTCATCTGGACTGATGAGGAGGGGTACTCGTACCGTGTTGGCATTGGATGGGTAATGATGACGAAGTGGGCTGAAGCCAAGCGTAGGTTTAAAAATATCGCGTTGAAATAGGTGTTGTGTGGCGACAGTTGGAGAACAAAAGGACTGGTGCGACGCGAGTGGATGCAAGAGTGGGGAAGGCACATGGGGAACTGCAAACAGCATGCAGGAAAGGGCGGGTTTCCGGCGGCGCCTCGGTAGCGGAGCCAGTACCGGGATCGAGACGGCTAACTAGGCTAGTGTCCGATCTTATTCTGATCCCGATGTAAATCTGGCCTATCAGATTATTCCTAATGGTAGCGCTTGCATCGGCTGCAGGGTGTTTAGTAGCGCGCGATTAGCGCGTAGCGGACGTGTAGTGGACGCGGGCCGGCGTCGCCACAGCCCTTTACAGCCACGATTCAAATCTACCACCCCCACCGCCTGCTGTCCATGTCCTGCTGTCATCGCACCTGCCATGACGTCGGCATCCAAGAGCCATCTCGCCCAAGAACGGGCGCGAGAACGCGAAGTCTACTCGTGCGCCTGTCCCTCTTTTGACTCCGTCGCCTAGCCTCTGACCTCCGCCAAGCTACTTTCCGCCTTTGGGCAACGTCCCGGACCTCACCTCCCGTCTCGAAGACACGCCCGACGTCTTCCCTCCCCACAACCACACCCCGCGCGCTTCTATCGACCCGGTGCTCACCGCATTTGCCCAACTCGGTGCCCTTCGCCTCGATGCCTCGCGCTCCTTCATCTCGCTGGTCGACAGCCAGTCGCAGATGGTGCTGGCCGAGTCGACCAAGACGCTCTCGCTGCGCAGCCATCTCTCCGGCAATGCCGAAAACGAACTGCGGCTCGGTGTGGCCAAGTTCCCGCGTGCCTACGGCTTCTGCGATCGCATGTTCGAGGCGCCGCAGGAGCCCGCCGTCATCATCAACGACCTGGAGCTTGACGATGCCTATGCCAGCCGCCCGTCTGCCCGGGAACCGCCCGACTTCCGCTTCTACGCCTCCGTTCCCCTGAAGAGCGTGACGGGCACTGTCATCGGTATCTACTCCATCCTCGACTATGCTCCGCGCAACGGCCTCGACCGCGCCCAGCTGCTCTTTATGCAGGAGATGGCTGCCACCATCGTCTCGTATCTGAGCGCATCTCGCGCCCACGAGTCCAACCGCAAGGCTGAGCAGATGGTTCGCGGCCTGACGTCGTTTGTCACTGGCGCCGCCGACCTCCAGGGCAGCGTTGAGCTCGACGTGCTGCGTCTCCCAACAAACACGCCCTTGTCATCCCCGCTGCCCTCTCGAAACTCTGACCAGCCCATGCCACCGAAGTCAAGCTCCTCAGACGGGCGCGAGAGCCCTGCCGAGAAGGATGATATCAATGCTCTGCAAGAAGACATCCTTCCTCCAGGCGCCAAACAAATGTTCTCTCGTGCCGCCAATATTATACGAGAATCGTGCAACCTCGACGGCGTCGTCTTCTTCGATGCTTCGATGGCGAACAACGTTCCTCCGGGCGAGAGCCCCCCGCCATCCGGAACCGACGACAGCGATACCGAACCCTCGGATTTCGTCGAGAGCTCGACTGGACATTCTTCCGAGTCGAATCATTCCACATCATCCTCAAATTCTCGAACTCCTACATGCAAAATCCTTGGGTTCGCTGATCCTAGTCGTTCCAGCCGTGATTACAATCAGCCACGGAAAGCCTACCTCGGGTTGACCGAACAGTCGCTGAGAAGACTGCTGACCAGGAACCCGCACGGCAAGATTTTTAACGTCTCCCGGCTGAATGCCGACTCGGCGCCAAGAAGAAGAACGAAGAAAGGAAAGTCGATGCGTAGCACGGCAGTTGAGGCTATTGTAGACGTTGCCCACAATGCACGTAGCGCCGCCATCATCCCTCTGTGGGACTTCGAACGGGAGAGATGGTTTGCCGGATGTCTTTGTTGGGTGTCAACTCCTGGTCGACTGCTCAGCTATGGCTCTGATCTCCTCTTCCTTCGCGCCTTCGGCCAGAGCATCATGTCCGAGCTAAGCCGCATAGAGTCTGTTGCAATCAACGAGGTAAAGACAACGTTTATCAAATCTATCTCTCACGAACTACGGTCTCCCCTGCATGGAATCCTGGGCGGCGTCGAGTTCCTACAGAACATGTCACTCGACGCAGCGCAGGCGGACACGCTCAACTCAGTCGCCATGTGTGGCCGAACTTTGCTCGACACGGTGCAGAACATTCTAGCCTATTCAAAGATCAACGAAATCACCGGCCCGCTCTCCAACAGCGTCCCTTCTGGAAACATGAGGCTACGAAGGTCATCTACTTCGGGCACCAGCCCAGCCACGAACATATGCCAACTTACTGAAGAGACAGCCGAAGCTATTTTCGCAGGACAGTCCTACAACATCATGACGGCACCCTTTGACTCAGAGGACCCAGACTATGAAAACCTTTCATCTGAGGCCGCTGTCCGCAAGCCCGTACGCGTGATTCTTAACCTCCAGGCCACCCCGGACTGGACGTTCAGGATACGGCCGGGAATTTGGCGCCGCATTGTCATGAATTTGGTCGGAAATGCTCTGAAGTACACCAACGCAGGGTTCGTCCGCGTCGGCCTCGCGGTGGAGGAGGTCAGTGAGACGCATTCCAAGGTCGTCATGACCGTCACAGATTCCGGCGTGGGCATGTCGGCGAGATTCATAGCGGATGGCCTGTTCAAACCTTTCTGCCAAGAAAACTCCTTTTCGCCCGGCACAGGCTTGGGCATGAGCATCGTGAAACGGCTTGTCCAAAGCCTCGGCGGCGAAATTTCTGTTGACAGCCATGTTGGCGTCGGCACCAAGGTGAAGGTCTGCGTCAATCTCCCCAAGTCCGCCACGCCGATCAACAACGCCGTCGTAGCGGCCGTGGCAGGCCAGACAAACGTCAGCCAGGTTTCGGTAGTCAGGGAAACGTTTGCGCAGATCGAGGGCGACGAGACGCAGCAGCTCGCCCACACGAGCGAGCAGTACTTCCACGACTCCCTCCTCAGCACCCTGCAAGACTGGTTCGGCACGAACGCCTCATCGCCCGACGACGTGAGCTCCGACAGCAGCCAGCTCATCATCTACCCCGGGCCCAGCTTCAGCACCATGTTCAAAGGGCGCTCGCGAACCGGCGTAGCCGTCGTCGTCGCGCTCGACGCCATCGAAGCCGCCACCCTGCGCGCCAACGCCCGAGTCCAAAGCCACGGCATCGAAGTCATCACGCAGCCGTGAGTCTCCCGTCTCAACGAACCCCGTCCCCCACCCCACAACACCACCATCCAAGCTAACCAAAAACCCCTTCCAGCTGCGGCCCCATCAAACTCGCCAGCATCCTCCACCGCTACCTCTCCCGCCTCGACCCCCAATCCAACGCCCCCTTCCGCCCGGACATCGCCGCGCCCCTTTCCCCCCTCCCTCCACCCGCTTCCACGCCCTCACCCACCCGCTCCTCCTGGTTCCTCATCTCCCCGCCCCCCATCAACCCCCCTTCTTCGCCCTCCTTGCGCCCTCGCCACCGCCGCCAGCAGTCCTCCACCGCTTCCGTCTCTACCACTCCGTCCTCCAACGCCGCAGGCAAAGAAGTCATGATCGTCGACGACAACCCGCTCAACCTACGCCTGCTGTCGGCTTTCCTGAATAAATCTGGCATCGCGCACGCGTCGGCGGCGAATGGGATGGAGGCGTTGCAGTTGTTTAAGGAGGCGCCGAAGCGGTGGGCGGCGGTGTTGATGGATTTGAGTATGCCGGTTATGGATGGCGTGACGGCGACGAGGGAGATCAAGGCGTGGGAGAGGAAGTTGGCTGGTGGTGCTGGTGGTGCTGGGGAGGCGGTGGGGAGGGAAGGAGGGGGAGAGGGAGAAGGTGGTGGGGTGGTTGGGGTAGGGGCCAGCAGGCTGGGTGCGCTGGGGAGGCAGGAGAGCAATGAGTCGACGCATACGGTTAGGGAGTGGCGGTTGCGGTCTGCTGCTGCTGCTGCGGCTGCAGGTGATGACGGTGGGAGTCAGGAAGGTGGCGGCGTCTCGAAGACGGAGGAAGGAGGAGGAGGACAGGAAGGCCTGGCTTCGCCGCCGGACGATGGTGCCCAAGGCGGCGCTCAGGGAGAAGAGCAGCAGTCCACCCGCTCTGTTCCTGGAGGCGTCCAGATCATCGTGATTACCGGGCTGGGCAGCGCTGCGGCGCGCTTCGAGGCGATTTCGGCGGGCGCGGATGAGTTTATGACGAAGCCGATTAAGTTTGAGGCGTTGACGAAAAAGTTGAAGGAGAGGATGGCGTCTTGATTTGCATTTGTTCGTTCCATCTTGCGGGCGCGGCATGGTTAGATGGGGGGACTATGGGTTTGCATGTGGCTAGGATTGTTTTTGCGGAGTTTGGCTTGGAGTTCTTTCGGTTTAGCTTTTCTTTTCTTGTATAAACTTCAAGTGGATCGGCGAAGAGCCTTTTATTTTACTCTAGTGTCTGTTGGCTGAGACAGGTGGCCGAAAGCTTCAAGGCCATCCGCTTTCTGCTCAATCAATCCACTTCAGCTCTAGGAAGGAGCTGGCCTCATCCTCACACGGGCCTCCGTCGTAGGCTTCGAAAGTACGGAGGTCGCGCACAATGCCGCAAGACCCAATCCCCCAACCTTCTGGTGGTTCATTGTACCCTACTTCTCCACCTTCCGACTCATGGCACCTCATCCGATGGACAATCCGTCCAAGCTGGGAGGTAATGTCTTCCTTCTGATCTTGAGACATAGTTGGCCAGACGTCCTCAAGGCAGTCTCCCTCAACGTAGTCCATCCAAATGTATGGATATCCGTGATAAGGCCTTGGATAGCCGTCGTGAACACGCGGGACTTGATCGCCCAGCAACCTTCTAGCTTCCTTCAGAGCACCCTCCTCACACGAATGCACTAGACCATACTTTACAACCAAACCACCTTGTCGCTGTTCAACTCTACAACCTGGACGACTGAGCAGAACATTGGGGTCTGATAAAGAGGTCAATGGGATTCCTGAATGAGAACTGTGTGTGATATACCGTTTTTGTCTCCTCGTTTCACCCCCGGTGGACCCGGTGGAGGGGGAGGACGGTTGCCCTTTGGAGGAGGTGGACGACGGCGAGGAGGGCGAGGACGGTCTTCGTCTCCTGGCTCCAATGATGGTGGAAGGGGAATATGATGTTTTTCTTTTGTTTGCACTCCCGGTGGAGGGGGTGGAGGGCCTTGGTCTCCTGGTTTCACTGACGGCGCAGGGGAAGAGCAGTCCATGGTTGCCGCGACATTCGGCCGGGCGTTGGCTCAGACGCTACGAATGCCAGCGGATGTTCGTAAGCGAGGCTGGGATGCACGGCCCACTCGTACAGACGCTCCAAGCCTCCAATTGCGCCAAGCGGCAGTCGACGGGGCTGTTCAGCGGCGCAGTCACCCAGTTTGCGCAGCACCGGCCGCCCGATCTTCTACGGCGCGTCGCTCGTGAGTGTTACGGACCGAGCTGTTATCGGTCCTATGCTGGAGCAAGCCGGATCCTATGGTTGCTTTCTACAATAACAGTTAGACGAATTGGGTAGATCGGGGTTTGGCAGCGAGTTGACGTTCGACACGGCCCCCAAGCCCCACATCTTTTTACTACGCCGCACACGACGCCTTCTCCACTTCTGCCTGTTGCTGCCTAACAAGAAACTACCTCGCACGAAGCGTGTGTGCGGAATACAGTGATGGTAAAAATCAGTTTCTGGATGGCACCTGGCATAATCTTGTGTGTGCATCTTGCTCCCAAAGTAAACTATCAGAGCGTTTGAACTATTTGCTCGATTGCGCTTTAAATAATATAGAGAATAGCGACTCTATTTCCCCCCAGTTCTGTGGGGGGTTTTTTTTTTGTAAAACAAAAAAGCATAATGGTGAAGTTGGGGTAACGCCAGGTCTCAGTCCATAAACTGATCCTCGCCACCATACCGGAGCCTAGTATAATCAAGAGACTGCTAATAGTGTCTAGAACTCCGCGCGTGTCAGGTCCACGGGTGCCAGGCCTATGTCTGGGGAACAGGCCCGGCAAATGAGCCTCACACTCGGCTACGCTATACCTTCAGCAGGAAGCTGTAGTACTTCACCACAACATTTAGGCACTCATACCGTTGCCTAGCCTGCTTTGCGCCTGCTCAATCCCGTAGGCAAGCGCAGGAGACCTGCCAGGCAGAGAATATCTCTGTTCCAGGCTCCATCGTTGCACTGCGGCCTGCCCCGTCGTAGGTGCACGGCAGAAGCATGTCCAATCAAAAGTAATAGAATACGCCAAACAACATGCCCGTAGTAGCTGAGGTAACAGAGAGTTGTCGGCTCAGTATCGCAGAGTCGGTCTGGACTGCATTGCCAAGGCCCAGCATGCATCGTCTTGCCATACTGGTGTGATACGTGAAGCTTTGCCATTGGGTAGCATTCCCTAGCACTTAATACTACGGGCCGACACGGCTATACTTACCTTACAGCTTGAGCCGCAGAAGTAGTATACCCGGATCCTTTATCGCCGACATCCCCCATAACTGATGAGCCGGTGCATATATAGGTCGGAACCTCCCATTAAATATGAAAGCATACACTCTATCTCTCTGACCCGCCTGTGAATTCTGCGAAGTCGTTTCATATCCTGATTCTTGTCTGATTCATTCATCTCCTCCATCATGGACGGGGGAACCATTGCAGCTGCCGCCAGCACCATCCACTACGCCCTGAGTGCCAAGGGTGTTGAGTATGGTATAGTCGGAGGATCAGCCGTATCCCTTTTGTGTGCTCACTACGGATTGGGGCAACGGTCCACGAACGATATCGACCTAATCATCATACCCGATCGCGAAAAGAACCTCGATGCCTCGACCATCTCGAAAGCGCTCTACGAAGAGTTCCCGCAGTACTTCACAAAGATCGACCAATACGGAGTCCAGATCCCAGCAGTCCTGATCGGTGGAGAGCTGGGCCACGCCGAAGTCGAAATCTTTGACATCGACGCGTGGCCCCATCGGCGACAATACGACTTGCGCGACCCAGACAACGACCGCGTGACTCTGAAAGTCAACCAGTATCCCATCTCGGTCCTCAGCCCGCGGTGGATTGTCCGCGAGAAGATTCTCTCGCAGCACCAGCGCCAGGGTGCTCAGAAAGAGAAATCGGACATCCTCGACATCAAGATGCTCCTTCCGCTCCTGGACGACGGAGCGTTGAATTTCGACACGAATGAGCGCATCGAGGCTCTCAATGCCCTGTTGGCGAAAGAGCCCGACTTGCGGGGCCAGCTGCAGGAGAAGATTGTTTGTCCGGCAGTGTTCGATGCCAAAGTGGCCAACCCAGAAATCTGAGGAGCGAGACATCAAGATTACTCCCGCTACGATGAGAACAGCAACGTCACCTCGAGCAATAGTCAAACTGATTATCGCTAGACTGGGAATTCAACATTCCCAAAGAGGGCACTGATGAGGCCCTAGTATGTGTTCGTTTTCTGACCCTCGTCACTCGCTTCGATCTCCTACGCTTAGTCTTCTTTATTTTTGAAGGCTTCTATATACTCTACCCAATGCGAACATGATCCCGCACCGAATCAGCTGCGTGAAATGCATCGACGTGAACCTTTCCAATCCCTATTCGATACGCAACATTGTCCCTCCACTCAACTAAGAGAACATTGTACAATGGATACACCTTTCGAGCAAAGCGGTAGAAATCCCACTGAACAAACCCCTCTGTAATATGACCACGAGGCCTTTTTACCGACGCCTTGCTGGAAAGATTTTCCTTTGGTGGACAGATGTTTTCAAAGCTCTTTGGGTCCCACTTCAGGGGGTCCAGTTCTGATAACATGCGGTTTTTACTTTCGAAGAGCGGAGTGGCCGGATTTTGTTCAGCCCTTGAGAGTGCAATAAGGCCAAGCCGGTCTTGTTCGACTTCCAGAGTCTCGAAAGATCCGTTCAGCTCTACCGCACCCGCCAGGTACCCTTCGGAGTCTCGCAGAAGTTTGAGTGTCTCGCTACCCTCGCCATACACGTCTTCAGTGCAGAGACGCAGTGAGGTCGCATCATCATATTGCTTTGTTCCAGACATGACGACCCGAACGCTGTGCGCCATCATGTTGAGACAACGGAAACGGTCAATAGGAATATTGGTTTCTTGAGCCGGTGCCCCCAGGTCGACTGGGTGTGGAAACTTGATGGCCGGTGCATCAGGATGCTCGTACACATGTTGGCTTCCCGACCAGTCAAGCCCATGATTCCATCCATTTGACTTTGCCTTGGGGAATCTCAGATCTTCAGAAGTCTTTTCCACAAAGCCATCGGCATTACCTCTAGCTCTGCATAACCATGTGACAACTGATATCGCAGGTTCAAGCCGGGGAGAAGGATACAGAATTCTGCCCTTCCACCCTGCCCAACTCCAGCTTGGAAACCCGGACCGCCTTAGGCAAACGGACACGCCTGTGTCCTGGGGTGGTTTCGCCTTCGGACTCTTCTGATGGCTGGAGTCGGGGTACCAGAGAAGAGCTTCATCGAGTTCCGCGATTGGTAAGTTGAAGCTATGGGTTATGCACGCTCCGGCGCGGAGGTAATCGAGAATGCCCTGGAAAGCAGACACTATGTCTTTGTCATACGTCATTTCTCGCGCCGTGTAGCCCTCGACTGCATTCCGATAATGGTCCCATAGTGTCTCGTTTGAGAGAATCAGTTGTCCAATGCTGCTGTGGGTTAAGGCCTCCTTTCGCGAGCTATACTGGTCCTTATCGGCAGGTGCTTGAGGGCTCAACTCCTCAAAGTAGACTCCATGTGGACAGATGAACTGAAACTGTGTTTCATTCACCAGTAACAACCTGCACGAGAGCTTCATTTCCTGATACGTCCACCCGCGAGTGTTCCATTTCCCGTTTTGAGCTTCGGCAAAGGGAGACGTAGGGTGATGAATAAGTTTCACAAGGCGTATGCCTTGAACAGTGTGTACTTCTTGGGAGATTTTACGAGGTGAACTGACACCTTGTAACCCAGAATCTGCGTTTGTTCCTACGGCGTCTACGATCGTGAGGACGGCTTCATGGTAGATCGTGCCCATCTGCTTCAAGGTATCATGAAATACACTTGGATCGTCCTGAAGGATGCAAAGAGAGTCGACCCAGAGGAAACGAACGTCCAAATGTTGCGTGATCGTAATGGCATCCATAATTGTTTGTGGTAATTTTACTTTCAGCAATCCCCCAGGGCTTTCGAGTAGTTGCCGAGTTTCGTGCGTGTAACTGATTTGAGATGTGCCTCCCCAAACGTAGCTTAATGCGGTGTATCGGCAAGGCCCAAATATTTTGACGACATGGTGCCCATTCACGTCTATGACCACAAGACTTTCCAGTTTTCGTTCGCTTGAAATTGTCTCATGATTCTTCTCGCATGTCTCAAGCCAGTCTCTGGCTATGGGAGTTTCCAACGCAAATGATTGTAGAATGCGTGCATTCACTGGCTTGTCCCCAACGGGCAGATATAACATACTTGTCGATGAGGCTGCAAGATGAATTTCGATTTGTTTCCCTCGGCCAGTCTTGGAGGCTCCGTTGTATATTCCAAGATTTGCACTTCCCCAGTACAGTATGACGAGTGGATCATGGTCATGCTTTATCCGAGACACGATCCTGCAGAAACTGCATTCGCTATGTCGTTGGGAATAAGAGAGCGGTCCAAGTGGGAGTCCAGATAGGCATTCTGAGACGCTTTTCAGAATCCAGCCAAAGTCGATGGTCCGGCAACGCTTGCACAAGTATGCCGGATCTGAGATGAGAATGTCGGGAGGGTCTTCGATCCACCAACCACAACCGCACTCAGCATCACGTCGGCCACCCATCCCCTTCCGGACTTTCCACTCTTCATCCCATTTGTACTCAAATCTTGCATCGGCGAGAGCTACTCTTGTGCTCTTTGTCAGATCTTTCGGGGCCGTCCATCGACTTGAAACTTCCATCGTGCTCGTCTCCGAATTGAATGCGTTTTGCGTCCGGTGTGGGTTCTCGTGCGGATCCAATCCGCGGGTTGCGTGGAGATCGTGTTATGAGTGTGGATTGCAGTTGATGTTCACAGGTCAGCTTGCGTCAGAGGCCGAATTTCCCCGCTTAGCTTCCGCTTAGCTTCACGCGTGGGGATGCGAATTACATAAGCATCTGCCCGCGAGAGGACAGCAGAGATTAATGTTTGCCATGGAAATTTTCCGCAGGGAAAAAAACGGGTGGTAAAAGGCTGCAGCTGGAAATGCATGATTCTTGTGTTATCAGTTACAAGCTTCCTTCAAATCCCTAATTCCCCCTTCAAACTACTCTTCCAAACCCTCCAGATAATTTCAATTCTCGCACTACCCTCACCCGTTGCTTGTGAACTATATAGTTGCTCCAATACATACTCATGCTGCAATCCATAGCTATAGGGAGTTTACTTTTGAGGCCACCATCTTGGAAGTTTGGCACTTGCATACTGTCGCACACCGTCGTCGTTGCACATTCGATCAAGGCGTACAAAGTGATGCGTCGGAGCATTTCACGTTGTACAAATTAGCACGAGAGGCTAAAAAATGGAAGTACATCAAGCTTACCTCCCAGCTCTGCTCTTCATACTTTATCTTCTCAAACATTTCCTCGTCACTCCATCTACCATGAACAGGAACTCCTCCGTCAGCACCACAGTCTCAGCCCTCAATCCTAATAGCTCTCGCCACAACTACTACCACTTAAGTCATATTGGCCTTCAAAAATATCTGGACAGGATTGGAGAGGCCGTAGATTGGCGGACTGCAGTCGTCGAAATTGCGTTTGATATTTATAGAGTCATTGCCATTCCGAGCAGCCTAGCCATTGCGGACCAGGATATACCTGTTGCAATCCGACGCAGACATTAGTTTCTCGCCTTCAATCAGGTCTGCACCTCAAGACTCGCCCAGTTCAGCATATGAATCCCCACGATCATACTCATATAGTACGAAAGCCAACCCATCAGCTACCTCATTACATCTTTAGACACCTGATGGGGTTTGGCGATGTCTCGATGCACCTGCCCTTTCCGCACCTTTATGGAGAATAACAGCAAGTAATTTGCTGCTGATTCTATGGATTTATTGACGTTACACATATGACGAACCAACATTAAACCACCAAATAATGGTTCTCTACACTTACAATGCCTAGAGGTCTGAATGGCTATGGAAGGTATTTGGCAACGTGACTTTTGGAAATGTATTTTCCGCAAAAATGACATCTCACATGTGTTCCTGTCTACGCCGTGTTGGCATTTTTGCTTTTTCCCATCGCAAAGGATGCAACACGGGGAACACGGGAAACACGGAGAACCATACACATGGTACCAAGCGGCGCGCGGGAATGGCTCTGTATTGTTTTTCAGGGCGTCAGCAATCTACCATTTCGCACGAAATGCCGACATCCCCTTGCTCTGTCTCAAACAGGGGTCATCCATCGATGGTACATAGCTAAGCTCGTCCCTGCGTGCGGGAATGCACACAATTCGGACTTTTCTCCCACATCGCTATGGGTGCATTGGAAGATAGGAGATGGCTCGTGCTTACTTTTGTCTGTCTGGTTCTTTCTGTTGACCTTCCGATGATATTATTTCATACCTACGTAAAGTTAAAATTTGAAAAGCGGGTGTCAGCCGACGACTTGGTCATTGCACTTGCAGATGTAAGTGGACCCGCACATTTGCATGGCCATGTAGTACTGATGCGACTGACGCGTCCGCAGCTACTCTGGATTGGCTACATCATATGCCAAGTCGCCGCGTGCATGAACGGATTTGGCGCACACGCGGCAGATCTGAGCAAGGAATTCCACTACATCAACTCATCATCAGCTCGCAATGGCGACCTCGCTGAAGCCCTCCGCGTATGTTCCAGCCGAAGATCCCTTGGAATGCACCAATACAGACCACATAGCGCCTATCTCCTCTATTATCTTGTTCACATGACGCGCTCGTATCCCTTCATCACACCCACTGACCGCCTCTCACCTAGTTCTGGTACCTAACCACCCTCTTCCACGTTCTCTCGAGCGCGGCAGCCCGCATCTGCATCGGCCTGGCCTCCATGTCTCGTAAAGCCTTCCCCTCGCGCCGGCGCCTCGTAACAATCAACCTCGTCAGCCTCTCCCCCTTCCTGTCTCCTCTTCCCACCAAGCAACATCTTCTCACTAACCCTCCATCAGATCATTTCCACTTCCACCAGCATCCTCTTCTTCTTCCTCTTGCTCTTCCAATGCACGCCCATCTCCGCCTACTGGTCGCGCGACCGCGCAGCTGCGCATGCGTCCTGCTACACAGCGCAGTTGGCGGTGCCGTGGTACGTGTTCCTCGGCGTGAGCATGGCGGCGGATGGAGTGTTGATGAGCTTTGCCGTGGCATCGGCGATGGGTATGAGGCCGGGGCAAAGCGGAAAGTTGGCGGAGAGGGTTGCGGCGGGGTTCTTCAATTTATTTGCGTTCGGGTGCGTATCCAGACGCCAGTGTCCGTTGCTTTTCCTTTAAAGCCCGGATTTCTTTCTCTCCACCCAAGTACTACGTGGGTTGGGGGCTTATTTGCAGGCTGACTTTACCTCTGCCAGACACGTCGTCGCCACGGCCATCCAAATCACCTACGTCCCCGGCTTGACCAACCTCGACGACGTCACCTGTAAGCCAATCCATCCCCCCCCCCGTTTGTGCAACTTACTTGCCCCACCACAACCCGTCCCAGTCTCCTCCCCTTGCCTCCCTCTAAGAACCACGCACCTCCTTCACACACCCAACCCCACAAATCCCCCGGCCTAAATCCACAACCACACAGGGACAGCCACCCCCTTCGCCCTCCCCTTCCTCCTCGGCCCCTCCTTCGCCCTCCTCGGCGCACACGCCAGCAAAGTCGCGCCCGTCGTCCACGCGCACCGGGCCAGCCTCTCCGTCTCCAGCACCACCACCACCACCACCACCACCACCACAGGCACGACTGGTAGCATCAACAACAACCGCGACTCCCTCGTCCGCGAGCTCCTACGGGAGCGGAAGGAAGAAGAGAGGAGCAGGATGAAAGGGAAGAAGAACAGGAGCAGGAACGACGGTGTTGGAGGAGTAGTAGGCGGGGGGAGGCTGGTTGTGCTGAGTGGGCGGGAGGGTGATAGGGATGAGGATGCGGCGTTGGCGGCGGTGGTGGAGAGCGGGTTGGCGAGGCTGATGGAAGAGGAGGAGGAGAGGAGGAGGAGAGAAGGTGGTGGAGGAGGAGGAGGAGGAGGAGGGGGCGCTGGGATGGGGGCGGATGGCTGCGCTTGAACGGGTTCGTTTGCATGTACGTTCAAGGAAAAGGTTGAGGCGAATAGGTGAGTGGTGATTGAGGAACTTGGAGCTGGGGTTTAGTTGGTTGTGGCTATGGTCATGATGGATGGGCATGCGGTGTCGTGATGGGTTGTGCGTTGCGCAAGATCTGAATAAGTTTCGGATCTGGTTATAGTAGCCAAGTTAACCTCTGTCGATAAATGCATCGTTCGCGAGCTCCGCAATGATTCTGCTAGACCCGGAGAGGAACGAAACGCAGTTTCTGTTGACAAGAAAGGGATGCCGCTTAGAACCAGTGGTGGTGCTGAGTTTTTGGCTCCATACATTCATTTCGGTGTTTAAAGCAAATTGATGCCTATTTCACTCTTAAATCTTCGTACGTGAATCACCCTCGATACTACATAAAGGCGCTGATAAGGGTATGAAACAAAGGTGTTGACAGCTAAATCCGCCCGATACCTTTGACTCCGGTGACTACACAAGTACAAATACCTCAGCTGGGCTATTTTCCTGTACCCCGCCGTAAACGAAGCACCTGCCAACAAGCGAGAAATTGGCTCCTTGTTTTCTTAACACACAACAGGCATTGTTTCGCCAGGGGCCATGCGCAGCTGATAATGTTTGTAGCACTTCCAGGCCCACTAGAATATCTCCTTCTTCTGTTCTCTCCGGACACATGCAGAGCCGACCTGAGCTTGTCAAGCACATTTTCTTGCCACGGAATACCGCATTGAGATCATCAAAGAGGAATTTACATGCCTCAGATAGATTTTGCGGTGTTGAGGATTCAGCACCTAGCTTAGAAAGCCCAAGATCATCGCAAATTCTGTGAAACCCCACCTGTCGCAAGCGTTGCCCCTCATGTTCGTCTAGCTTGTAAGCGAGCAGAGTATGGAAGAATGTTTGAATCAGATCTTCACGTCCGATTACTACTTCGTCGACTAGGTTCTGCCAATCCTGAAGTGCCTCGAAGAAGGGGACCCCAGTAGATGTAGAATATGCGAACCTCCACGCCGGCGCAGATCCAACCTTGTCAACGGTGTCAAATTGCACGCCTGAAACAGGAAGCTCGTAGAGATCGTACCCTGAATTAGAAAGAACGACAAAGTCCTCTTTCCAATCCAACCTCCAAGACCAAAGGTTTGGAACATGATAACGCCAAGTCAGGCTCCAATCAATGGCCCAAGACGGTAGGCTCTCCACGGATTTAGCCGTGCCGGCCAGCTCAAGGAGGAATGCGAGCAACATTGGAGTTCGGGACATGCACCACTTGGTTACGTGTGCATATAGATTCGCCACAGGGACATTGTAGTCGATTTTCCCGGGAAAGTCATCCAACATGCGTTCGGGCAATTCGACGAGGCCTAAAAGGGCATAAATCTTGTCTCTTGGTTCAGATGACATGCTGTCAAATGCCTCAATCAATACGGACACGAATGGGCTGGGGATGCGACGGTTTTGGATTGCCACAATCTTGTTTGACTTCTCCCCAGATATACCCCTCAGTTCGTCTTGAGCTTTCGGAAGGAGGTGTTCCAAAACACCCCACAAAACGGAGTGAGAGCCGCATATTATTGTTGCATGCTTTGCGAGAGCAAATTCTTGTAGAATCCACACACGAGTGAACCATGGGCGCTGTAACAACTTCTCGAGTGCTAGCCATGCTCGGTTGTCTCGTAGAAAGATGTCATGTATTGAGAGTGGATATTTCCTTTCCTGTGAACTTATCAGCTACACCGTCAGAATTCAGATTTGTTGCCCATACCTCAGATTCCGAACCAGAAGTGAGTCCTGCGTTCTTATGGACGCCCCTTGAGCTGAAATATGGCAACAGAGAAAGAAGTTGGAATGCCATTTTGCTCTCCTCTGCCTCTTCTCCCAGCCATATGAGAACGCCTTCGGCATTCTTATAAATCTCACCCATCAAAGGGATCTGGTGATTCTTTTCGGGGATGCTGCTTTGGTTGATGCATACCGCGTCGATCCATAGTTGCCTCGGATGTTCGGGATGCCGAATTCTACGCAAGGCGTCACGTAGGTTATGTCGAATCCTGATGACCCATCTGTCACACCATATCGGAACGGTGTCTGAAGAGTCTCCCCACGTGTAAGATAGAGCTGCGTACGGTGGAGCTTCATCCAGACGGTGAGTCGTGATCTCGATGTAGAGAGGAGATTCCAAATGTGGCGACGGGTAAAGGCTAACCAGCCTGATGAAACGTCCCTCAGGAAGAGGTTCATGCGTGTAATCCACCAAAAGAGACATCGTCCTCGATGGCAACACAGATGATGAGTTGGAGTGCCGGCGTTGCTGGAGAGAAGGCAGGAGAGCTGGCAAGGCTGAGGAACGCGGGGCTGTCGCTTAGTTTCCCATTGGCCCCCAACTTAATTACAGCAGAAGAACACAACAAGTACCACCATCGATGTTGGAAATTTCCGTTGCACACAAGAGCAATTCAATCTTGTCATTGGCTCAATAGGCATGGTATGCTATGGTCTCTTTGACTTTTTTTTTTCATCGCCGCGTGCATAATTGAAGTAGGCATTAATTAATATCTAGAGAGAGGCTCCGACTGCTCATGTCGAATTATGTGTGCCAAAAAAGGAAGAGTCGCACATGGGATTTATCCAGGATAGAAAGCCAATTTGGCTTAGTGCAACCTCTAAGTGTGCATAGTCTCTGCCACTCGCGTGCCTCTTAGAAGGTGACTGTGGTTTCAACAATGTGGATGGCGATATGGATTTGCCATTAGCCGGACGCATAACTGCTCCCATAAAAAAAAAGAAACAATGGTATGTAGGGGTTTTTGTTTTTGTCCGGATACCTGTCGATAAATGCATCGTTCACCACGGCAAGATTTAAGCGAAGCGGCCTCGTTTTCTGGGAGGGAAGGCGTTGACGAGACCCTGAAAATTAGCGATCAAGGGAAAGGCCGAGATAGGCCGTCATGACCCCTATTCAGGCAGCTGCTCAACAGCAGATCTCTGTCCTCAAACCAGGCACGCCCATCCTTCGCAGGGCGATGCTCATTCGAAACATCGATCCTAATAATAGCCGGGGGGCACATCCCAATGCGCCCCTCACTCGGCGGGGTCGACTCCGAAAATAATGACGTCGCCACGACAAAAGCTGGAGAGAGGCAAGCACGCAATCGCAGCATCGTCGGGGAAGCCAGCAGCGGAGTCATTTGCGCGTCAGCGCTAGAAACGAACGAAAGGCCACACCCCGGCATCCACGTGGAACCTCCGAAAGGCTCTTGGCTTCTCCACCGTCCGTCTCGCCCCCCCGACCCCTTCCCACCGCCCCCCTCCACACTCCACCCCAGCTGATCCCATCCCCTTTGCAACACATCAGAAACCAAACCACACACCATGGTTCGTATCGCCGCCAATTGGGACCCCGTTGAGAGCCCGTCACTGACTAGCGCGCCGAACGCGCCCGCCCGCCAGTCCGACACACTCACGCCCGAGGAGATCGAGGAGTACAAGGCTGCCTTCGCCGTATTTGTACGTCATTCCCGCCCTCCGCGCGCATCACATGGCCTTCCGCTAACCTCGCGTGTGCTTCGCAGGATAAAAATGGAGATGGTGCGACAGCCTCCCCGCGCTTGTTACAGGCTGCCCGCCGGCCTTTTTCTCGGTGGTTGTGTCAATGTGGCCTGTAGCTGACATGTGTTGATTTTCCCCCTCCGCAACAGGCGATATCACGGCCAAGGAGTTGGGCGAGGTTATGCGCTCGCTGGGCCAGAACCCCACCGACGAGGAGCTGAACGACATGATCAATGAGCTCGATGTCGACCACACCGGCTCCATCGACTTCAAGGGTAAGAAGGAAAAAAATGGAACAAGAGAAAATTGACACCTACCTCGCCTCGCATACCCCTTGTACCACCACGCTCTCACACGTCACCCCCACATGCCACCCTCCCCCATGCTAACACAACAACACCAGAATTCCTCGTCATGATGTCCAAGAAGCCTAAGTTCGTCGACCCGGAGCAGGAGATCCGTGAGATCTTCAACGTCTTCGACCGCGACGGCTCGGGTACCATCAACTCGTCGGAGTTGCGCCACGTCATGAAGGCCATTGGCGAGAACCTAACGGACGCCGAGATCGACGACCTGATCAAGGAGGCCGACGTCGACGGTAACGGGACTATTGATTGTGAGTTCATCTCCTCCATTCTCCTTCTTCCCCTTCACTCCTGCCTTGTGCGGGTTGATGTCTTGTGGAATCCTTCGAGTGGGCCGGAGACTGACGCTTGTGTCTGTAGACGAGGAGTTCGCAAGGTTTTTCAAGAAGGATTAGAGAAAGCATTGGGAGAAGAAGCGTTGGATTAGTTTGAGAAAGCGAATTCCGGTGGACTGGGTTGTCTTTTTTTCCCCCTTTGGTCGAGTATCATACCATGTGGAAAGATCGTAATCGAAGTTTTATCTGATCCCGACCTGCGGGCTACTGACATAGCAAGGGAGCCTGATGCGGGAAACCGTGAGCAGCGTTGCTCGGAAGGTCGTCGGCGTTGCGCCAAATGTCTCGGAAGAACGGTCAGCGCAGCAGAGCGGTTTCTCGCTTACCTCAGCAAAGAGGACCCTTCTACTGCTCTGGATTCCCTTTCAATTCACTCGCGCCTGGCCTGTGGGAGACTGATTGGTCATTCACCTACCTCTGTCACCTCCATGGTTTCTGCGAAGAATCACCAGCAAACGGCTGACATCTTAATGAACGGAGAAATGATTTCGCGGCACACCAGGATCGAGTTCACAGCACTTGTCAGCATTGAGTTCGTCCTTTTTTCCCAACTGACTCAATCCCGGGGGGCTCAGCCACCGTGCTAATGTAGCCAAATCCCAAAAAGCTTTTCCCTGAACACAAGCATCAGCCAAAAATAAAGCTGCAGGATGGCCGATCTACGTGTATGCGGAGAATCCAAGTGGACGAGCCGACAACATTACGAGGTGTGTGTGATGTGCGGGCTCCACACTGCACTGCCTACATAAACGCACTAGGCCAACAGGGTAGGTTCAATTGCAATCGGGAAATCCTACCCGGCCAGTCAGACCTTCGAACGTAGCAAAGCCCAAACGGGGGACAAGGGGGCACGGCCGCGGGCCCCGCGGGGACCGTGAGAGGGGCGGAAGGAAAGGGTGACAGCGGTGAGAAAAGGTCAACCACCCAACCCCCCCATACAATATACATACCGGGGTCTCGCTGCCGCCGATATGCTGACTGCCGGACCCCACTAGCCTGCCGCTGCCACTTACCAGCTGCCACCACTGCGTAGGCAGCAGTCAGTACCTTAGCGCCGCCCCCCCTCTCGCCGCACTATTTCATTCGTCGCGACTGGCTCTGACGGAGATGCGGGATTGCCACTTCACCGACTGGCTCCTATAAAAGGCGGCGCTGGCGAGTCGAGTATCATGCAGCGTGTTTTTTTCGAGCTGGCTGTGCTTTTTTTGGCTCACGCTTCAAGCTGGACGCACGCGCCGTGTTCTGCCGGTGATCAGAGCGCCTGGTATGTATCGTATCGCGTAGGCTGTTTCACACAACGAGGCAGACTTTGTTGCCTGCTGCGGCGTGACAGGTGCAAGTTGAGTGGTGAGAAGACGGGCGATGATCACACAACACGTACGAGACTCCATCTCCTGGAGGAACTGCACGATTCAGTAGGCTGCGGATGCTTCTCGGGGCGACTAATGGCTACTGAAGCGGATGCTGTGGATAGTAGTGAGTTTCACATGGAACGAACGGCAGCCACGCAGCCCTAACTAGCGGCCGGCATAGCCGACGTCTTTCTTCTCTGTTGTTCTGTCTTCTCCGCGGGCCGCTTGTGTCGATCCGCGGGACATTTCCGCTATACGGCAACAGCCACCAGGGCTTGTGGGAAAAAACGGCACTACTCACCGCTATCGATTCGGCGGCTGCGGCTGTGTCACGCTACTGCGGATAAGACCTGGGGGAATGGGGCCACCGTTTGGCGCGCTGATTATTATTATTATTATTTTTCAGCGCGGGATCTTCCACACGAATGGCTTGGCCATGTCGACTGCCGCAAACGGAATAAGCTTCTTTCCGCTTCCCACGGGCCCTGCGGAGCTTGTGTTGGTAGTTAAGTTCTCGACGTAAGACAGCCTCGTGTTCGGCGGAGAGATGCAACGTGGCTAACGAGTAGGATGCTTCAGCACCGCAAACACATGCCAGTACGAGGCGCACTTCTGCAGCATGCGAGGGGGAGAGAAGAGAGTGAGAGACGAATTACGGGGGGCCCCGGGGAGCGCGAGGCGCAGGCCGCCCGGCCGGCGCCAAATTAGCTTGCATACAAGCCTTGCTAAGCTTTGTAGCGCACGGAGATCTGCGCTCTTTCGGACCAAACCCTCCCTCTGATTCGTATCCGGACATTGCTAAGCTTTCTTAGCTCGCCCTTGGCTGCGGGCTTTTTTACCTTTGCGCCATCCCTGGTCCGCATGATGGCAAGCTCTGGCCCCCCAAGAAAGCCAAGTGTTTCCCCTCGCCCTCGCGTAGAGTTGGACCCCTAAGACTTATCCGTCGAGCTTATCCGGGCCTGTGGTAGGTCCGTTGGGTGTGGGTGGTGTTTGCTCAGCCCCTCCCCGCACTCTCGTCCATACCATACAGGCACCACTGCCCCCGTGGTGGCCGCGGGGCGCGGTCTAGCCAGACGCCCGATGCCTTTTAGCTCGCGCCCTCGTACGGCCCCGGGTGCGCGCCGCTCGCACGCATGCAGCCGTGGAGAAGCGAGAGTCATCACACACAGGCCCGTACGAGGCGGTTTCCGCCCCCATAGTCGCGCCCATCTGCCGTTCGGATGGTTACTGGTGAGGCAATTATTGGCGGGAAGCCCCAGAAAAAAAAAAAAAGCGCCGACCGGCACCAGACCCTGTCCGGCTTCCTCTCGGAGGTGAGGAGGGGCGGATGGATGAGAGGAGGGCGGATTCTTTGTTAAATACACACACACATCCCCGTCGGAGTGATGAGCCATCGCCGCAACGACCTTCTGTTCTGAGCATACACACCCCACTTCACCCGGTTTTCTTTCACACATTTTTACTTTTCTTCTACTTCTTCTTTCTTCTGCTTCCGTCAAACTTCCAACCAACCATGCACATCGCGACGATCTCCCTACTCTACTTCTTAGCCTTGGCGCCGCCGAGCCAAGCCTCCCCGCCTCGACTGGTGCGCAGCACCGGATGCAGATGCGCGACGACAAGCGCGTCGTCGGCGTCGTCGTTGGCGGCGGCGGTAGCGGGAGCGGACGATAACAACGACAGCAACAACCAACAACAACGCGTCTTCTGGCTGCAACCGCCGCCGATGGAGGCTCCCGGCGACACCTGCAGTCGGCTCGCCGCACAGCTAGAGCACTGGCTCGACTGGATTGACGGCCGGTCCGACCTCCAGGCGGCGTGGCAGCTGTACGACGACGTGCGCCAGAACCGGTTGCAGCAGGAGCGGCTCGTTAGGACGGAGACGGCGGCGGAATCGTCACAGCAGAGCGGAGGCGCGTCCGGTGGGCGGCAGCAGCAATATCACGACGACGACGAGCGGGCGCGCTACGAAACCGCGGCGAAGGTGACGTGCGACGTTGAAGGCATGAACGACGAAAGCGATGGTGTTGCGCTTTGCGACATGCTGGTGGTCAAGGTGGTGTTGGGGGCGATTATGCTGGTGGTCTTGTTCGAGTCGATCACGACGATATCCAGGTGAGTCTGGCTGACCGGCAGGAGGTGTTGTGGGAATTGCGTGCTGATCAAGACTGGGCAGGAGGCTGGGCAGGGGCCTTAGCGAATTCTTCTCTGGTCGAAGGAGCACAGGCGCGATTCGCATATGACGAGAGCGAGGGGGAAGGAGGAATGGGCAGAGAGGAAGTAGCTTGTTCTCGTGCGGGGATGGGAGCGACGCTCCGTAATTAGCGCGTTAGGGTTTCAGCGAGACTGCATTTCTGCGGGTCGCTTTGGGGCGGCCCGCGGGTGGAGTAGTGGTGGCTCGGCCAAATCCTCCAAAGATGCTGCTCTACTGTCTGCCTTGCTGCACGGTGCACCATCCCGCCGAGCCCCTGGCAGCAGGGAAGGGCGGGTTGGCAGGCCATATATACTGGAATGCAAAGCACGCGACCCCCCACCAGACAGACGGATCAAGCAGCCGCTCGCGTGCCCACCCGGCTCCCTCACTCACCACCATGGAGCCGTCGTCCATATGGCCGCTCAGCGTCCTGCTGCGCACCAAGGACCAATTCGCCCTCTTCTTCGTCTCGTCATTCGCCGCGAAGCTGTTGCACCTCTACAGCCACCGCTCGTCGCTGCCCATCCTACTATTCCTACTGTACACGCCGACTTTCCTGCTTCCAGACGTCCTGCTCATTCTTTTCGGCCGCCTGGTTGTCTACCGCCCCAACAGAGGCCGCATATGGAGAATCTTCGGAGGCCTTCTCGCGTGGGTGACCTGACGATTTCAGCCAATTGCGAGCCCAGACTGACATTCTTCGCACAGCCTCCTCACGGCGTCGACGTCGGCGTCGCAGATTTCCTTCTACCTGACCACTGGTGGTGAGGTGCAGTGGATGGCGGCCGGCAACCTTGCAACTGACCCGGCGGGGCTGGCGATGCTGCTGTCGGAGCTGCCCAAGTTTGCCTTCATCATCCTGGGCTTCTCCAGCGTGGCGTGGCTGGTGGCTCCGCGCTTCTACGCTGCCATCAGCCGGGTTCTGGTCGAAATTGGTCTTTCGTTCCGGCAGATGCATCGTTACCTCAGAGGGCAGTCGCAGCTCAGCGGATACGAGCAGCTGGACGGCCCGTGCGCCGACCATGTGGAGCCGAGGTGAGTCTAATTATTTGCCAACAGGAACCTCCTCGTGTCTCACAATGGCTGCTAACCGTGCCGATCCAGCAAGTCCGACCGCCAGCAGATCCCTTCGCTGCCCAGGAGCGCAACCGTCTCCGTCGCAGCAATCGCCGCTGCCGTCACCGTGCTGATCCTGCAATGCGTCCGCCCGCGCAGCGCCCCATACGCCCACATGTCTGGCTCGCTGCCCGTGACCCTGGCTGAGTCGCTGTTCTTCAATCCCATCAACGCCGATTTCTGCTTGCCGCATCCCACCCACCGCGTCGATTTTCCCTTTGAGCAGTACGCCAAGGTTCTTGGCCACGCCCCGCCCGCGGACTGGAAGCCGCCCTCCGACGAGTGTCGCCGACGTCACCACCACCGTCCGCCTCCGCCTCCGCCTCCGCCGCACGGCCCACCACCGCCTGGATATCCTCCTCCGCCGCCGCCTCCTCCGGATGACTTTGAAGATGATTGGTTCTGGGACGAGGAGGGCGGTCCTCCTCCGCCGCCACCACCGCCCCCGCCGCCGCCTCCCCACGGTGGACGTCACGGCCATTACGATCCATCCTGTGACCCGATGAAGCTGTCCAATCTGGACGAGGGCCTGTTCGATCCTCTCACCACCGCTCTGAAGCAGAACAAGCCGACTATCAAGAATGTGCTTCTCGTCACGCTGGAAAGCACGCGCAAGGACATGTTTCCGTTCAAAAAGGGCACCCACGCCTACGACACCATCCTTTCTTCCTACGGCTCCCCCGATGCCGCTGAGACGCTGGACGAGAAACTGCGGAATCTTACCACCACAGCCTCTTTCTTGACCGGCGAGTCTACTAGGTTTGAGGAGGATACGGCGTTCAATGGGACCGGCCATCTGGGAGCTTGGGCGTCGGAGTTTGCTGGATCCAAGGGCGGAATCAATGTGCAGGGAGCTGTCACCGGCAGCGCCTACACGCTGAAGAGCTTGATCACCAGTCTTTGCGGCATGGAACCGCTGCCGGTCGATTTCACTGACGAAGTGAGGGCTCACATGTACCAGCCGTGCTTGCCTCAGATCCTGAGCATGCTCAACAAGGCCGAGCAGGCCAAGGGTAAGAAGGAAGATGGTTTCCTCTCGTGGCCGTGGGATACGGCCCATGTGCAGTCTGTTACGGACCAGTTCGATTCTCAGTACATACTGGATGACCAGATGGGATTCCGCACTTTCGTGACGGACGACACGCTGGATGATCCGGCATCGGGACACTACCCGCCCAAGGAACCGCGCAACAACTACTTTGGCTACCCGGAGACGGAGACCCTGCCGTACATGCGCGACCTGTTCGCCAACGCCAAGCGCGACAACCGCCGCCTGTTTGTCTCGCACATGACCAGCACGACGCACCACCCGTTCGCGGTGCCGGCGGCCTGGCCGGGCAAAGAGACGTACATGGCTAAGCGCCGCTTTGCGCCCGAGGCCGACGAGTTCGAGTCGTACCTCAACACGATCAAGTGGCAGGACGGCTACCTGGACTCGCTGCTCAGCATGCTGCACGCCGAGGGCGCACTGAACGAGACGCTGGTCGTCATGGTCGGCGACCACGGCCTGGCCTTCAAGGCGTCGGACGACTGCAAGTCCAACTTCGAAAACGGCCACATCGCAAACTTCGGCATTCCCATGCTCTTCCTGCACCCGGACCTGCCCCGCGTCCAGCTCGACGTCGCCGACGCCGCCACCCCGACGTCCATCATCCCCACCGTCCTCGACCTGCTCCTGCAGACGGACAGCCTGAGCGACGCGAGCAGCGAGGTCGCCAAGGGCTTGCTGCCGCGCTACCAGGGGCACTCGATGATTCGCGAGCAGCGGTGGAGCGTGCCGGTGCTGAACCACACTTCATCTTCCTCTCTATCCCACCACGACGACCGCTACCACGACCCCTACGACTTCCACCACCCCCACGACGCTCCCAACGCCATCATCGACGCCTCCTTCCCCACCACCAACGCCTCAGCCAACACCCACCCCTTCCACTTCTCCACCATCAACCCAGGCGGCTCCCTCCTCGCCATCTCGCAATCCCACTCCCCCTACCGCCTCGTCTTCCCGCTGTGCTCGACCCTGCCCCTCCGCTTCACCGACCTCTCGTCGTCGCCCAACGAGCAGACGGTCGCGCCGCTCATCGCGTGGAATGTCGACGCCATGGTCAAGGCGGTGCGGGCGCGGCATGGGGATGACGCGGCGGCCTGGGCGGACCTGGCGCGCAGACTGGGGGAGTGGTGGTTTTGGGAGCAGAGGCGGAGGTGGGGGTATCATTTGCCGGCGCGCAGCACGGATAGGGGCGTTGTGGATGGGTATGCTGTGGGTCAGATTCGGAAGAAGCATTGGTGGGAGACGTGATCCTCCTCTTCTCTGGAAGAGAGAGAGGGGAGGGGGGATGTGTGTTGGGTTTTCGTTTTTGTTGTTTTGGCAGGCACGGAGTTATTGTGTGCATACACGCATTTACACGGGCGTTACGACATGCGTTGTCCTATGGGAAACGCTGGGAACAGGGCGTTATTTCTGTTTATTGGGAGGACTCAGAGCCTGGGTTGGAGCATTGCATTGCATTGCTGGCGCATTATTCTTTTTGCGACTCCTACGATGACGGCTCATAGATGATGAAGGTCGTTTTGGGGTACCTACCTGTTCAGCGGCTGTGGCCTACATACAATAGATATTTTTAACAATGGATGTGGAGTTGATTGTATGTGTTCTTGTCATGATTGAGTAGAAAATCAAGCCGAACACAAGCAGGGAAACCTTCAAAAGGTACCATGCAAACAACAGTCCTGTCTGTAAAAGACTAGCAGATAGCAAGAATACAATCAATATGCGATTCTTGCAATTAATTGAGCGGTAATGATTGGCAATCATTCGTTGCGTTGTGTTAACGAGTGAACCAATCGACATGCGACGTTATGATTGAATCTGAGACACAACGGGCAACTCTAATTTCATGCATAATTCCCGCGCGCGAAAGTGGAGACCTGCTGCGGGCGCGCGGGCGCCGCGGCGGCGGCGCTGCGGTGCTTTCTCGGGCTTACGTTTGACAAACGAACGGGCTTTTTTTTTCTCCCTTTGATAGGATGTGACGATAGGTTGATCATTGCTTCGGACAAGTCCGACGGAGGAAGACTTGTTCGCTTAAAGAAGGGGGTGCTGCTGTGCTGTTGGATGCACGGCCTCCCATGTTGCTAGCATCCTCCATCCGTAGGTAGTAAATCCTGATTCTTTGGGCCCTAAGATGAGCAGCAGCTGTGCGGAGTTTACTCCACATCGTTGGCATACGGCGTCCAACGAGCCTGCCACTCCAGCACCCCAGCTTTTTGTTTTTTCGTCCTTCTTTCGATTCGACACTGCTACGTACGTACGTACGGCCCCCAAGAATGACGTGCGAAAGGGGGTTGAAACGGTGGCGCCGCCCCAACTTCGCATATGGTAGCGCAAAGCGAGGCGGAAACAAGAGGCGAAAAAAGCACGGCGGCGGCAAGCGTGGTGCGGCGGCGGCGAGGAGCAACAGCCTCGTGTTTCTTTTTTCCGTATAACTAGGTAACACAGCGTGTGCGAATAGAAGAAGGCGGACCGGGGTGTGTGTGACGTCATCGCCAAGCGCTGCTGCTGCGCCTCGCACGGCACCGACGATCGGTGTGTGTTTGCTTGATTACCTACTTTTTTTGTGGAGTGAGGCATTAGATGTGCTGGGGCGACGGAGACGGCTCGGAGCTACTGCTTCCTTCTGCAAGGATGGGGAGAAGGGATGGAAAGGTTCAACGTTGTTCGTTGTTTCTTGGACTTGGTTGAGGTTGCCTGTTGGATGGTAGATAATGTGGGTCGGGACGGGCCAGGTCGGGCCAAGCCATTCGTGCCCACTGGACGGCAGATGGGAGACGGCAAGTAGTAGTCTCTACCCAGGTGCTACTACTACTCATGATATTACTAACTTTAGAATCACCAATTGACTAGCCGTGCAATGATTCTTCGTATAATTAGAAACTGACTTTTCGCCGTATAATAGCGCGCGAATAACCATTAACGTAAGCGAATACTAGTAGTATGATTAACTAGCGCCAGTAGCCATTAGTAGCGCGGTGCCTTAGCTACCCAAGCCAGTAACGTACGTTAATCTACACTACAGAACCGGATCTGAGAATCATTCATCTTATGCAGCGCACAACACATCCGCAATACCGCGTGCTCAATTATCATGGCCACAACCATTAACAACTAAACCGCAGCTCCAGCCGCTCAATCAACACCAATCCACTCGCTTCGACCTTTTTTCTTGAACGCATATGCAAACCAGCGACTAAGCCCTGTCATCCACCCCCAGCCCAGCCCCTCCTCCCCCTTCTGCTCCCCCCCTCTCCTCCTCCATCAACCTCGCCAACCCCTTCTCCACCACCGCCGCCAACGCCGCATCCTGATCCCCATCTCCCTCCCGATAGTCATGCATGGGCTTTTAAGATTCGGCATGACCTGCTCAACGCGTTATGTAGGCTCCGGAATCTAGAATATCCGAGACGGCTCTGAGCCAACGCGCTGTATATTAGCTCGAGTAACACGGCCGAGAAAGGCTATCAGATGCCTTTTATGAGTGAGTGACATCTACAGAAATGCTGGAGAAGTCTTTCTATGGCGAAGAATGGAGGCAGATGACAGCAGATTAGCAATTTAACTTCCTGCCTTGCTGCCTTGCATCAACTCGAAGAGTCTGCACAAGATCGCAGAATCCGTTTCTTTCCAGAGACGTTGGGCGGCTGATTCCGATGTTGGCACTGCAGCTGATCCTATATCAATACTCGATATCGTTCCAAGCGGCAGCAAAGAATGGAATGGGCTCGGGGAATTATCGCGATACTCGAGGTGGAGCTGCTGGGAAGGCCGCTGAAACGCCGCGCAAATCATCACAGCTTACGTCTGTGTTGGGGCCGGATTCACACCAAGCATGACATGATCCGGTGCCCGGATGGAGAATTTCTGAGCCATAAGAGCAGGGTAGACGGGAGAAAGGATCCAGCTGAAGCAATTCGCCGAGGGGATGCACTGCGATGTGCCCCAGCTGATCTGCAAAGGGTGGCAGCATGTGGAAGGCAACGAAATTGGACAGGGGGCTAGGGTGAGAGCAAGTGTCAGCACAAGGACAGGCTCATATTTGAGCCGCTCGTGGTGGTGATGGTGGAGGACCAGCAGGCGCGTCACCGTCGTCGCCCTCCTCCATGGGCAATGAAGTCAGGGATCGAAGAGGAGATAATCGAAGACGGTATATCACATACAGTACCCATTCAGGAATCCCATTAACCTCTTTATTAGACCCAGACCCCACCATTCTCTGGAGCACCCCAGGCCGTACAATTCAACTGCGAAATGGCGGACTGGTTGCAAAGTGGGGTGTAGGAGTGACTGAGGATGAGCGCGCTGCTCTCGAGTATGGTAGAAAGAAGCTGGGGTGACCATTCCCGCGTGTTCACGATTATGAAAGCCCAGACCCCCGATACGTATGTATTTGGATGGACCAGATTGAGGGTCGTACCCTTGAAGAGGTCTGGCCAAACATGGATGAAGATCAGAAGAAAAATATTGCCACGCAGCTTCGAGATATCCTCGCTCGGATGAGGTCCCATCAGTCTGACACTGGCCGGATTGAGAGTTGCAATGGCGGCCCTGTACGTGACCTCCGCTATATCAAGGACTACATTGGAGGCCCGTTCCCGGACGAGACCAGCTTCAATGACTTCCTTCTTGACCTATATGATACCACGCCAATAGAGGTACGCGACGATCTTGCGAATGGTTTACGTTCAGACCATTGCATATTCTTTACCCACGGGGACTTGTCACAGCTCAACATCATCGTCAACGACAACAATGAGATCCAGGCTCTGGTTGATCTGGAATACGGAGGATGGTATCCTGAGTACTGGGAATATGTCAGATTTATGAACCACGCTGGCGGCAAATACAGCGCGGACTGGAAACGCTACGCGGGTTACATATTTTCCGACCAGTACCATGATGAGCTCCATGCTTACCGAGCACTTAGGGATTACCGAAGCCCATGAATCGATAGCCATATCCATAGCTTAATCAATCCATCCAGATAGCATCATGCTCTCCCCTTGCAATGTAATAATAACTAATTCAATATGCTCAACTGTGACATAAGGTGACTCTTGGAATCAAAGCTCTGGCTTCCCTCTTGCCTGAGGAAGAGCATATGTCTCGATTGACAACTATACCTCGTTAGCGTTCTGCATGTGAACCGTTTCTTTCTGTGGCTCTTTGGTCCCGATATGATGTTAATAAGGCTTAGTGAACAAGTTCCTAATATTTAGGTATGGCCTGTTGCACGATGTAGACGAAGAGTCGGATTGAGTGGAATGGGGATTGAAAGGGCGGCTAACTGGGTAGTCCCTCTATGCTTTGTTTAGACGATGAAGCTATCTCCGTGGATGCTATAGTACGCACTGTACGATGGCCCCACCCATATTGTTTAGCAGATTTTTAACAATTATCCCTTACGTATATCCATATGCTCTGCTTTCGCAATGGCCTCACATAATTACTTATGACCTATGATATAAAGTGGACGAAGGGTTGGATTGTAGATATACTTAATAAATGATCGGGTTTTAGGTGTACTAAAAGAGTGACATAAGGACTATACTAAATGAGTGACAAGGAAAGAGGGTGGCTAACAAAGAGACAGCTGTATACCCTATACAGCTTACTCGTAGCCATCCTCCATTAGCTCAATCTCCGGCTCGATTATATAATCATCTACTTTGTTAACCACAGATGTGAACTCGTCCTCCGTTATCCAGTTCCTCTTTACTAAACATTGGAGTGCAAAGGTCAACCAAAGCTGGCAGTTGAATTCTTCGTCGTCGTTTTTCATTTCCACATTTTCCTCCGATTGGAATATGGCCTGAACATCGCTCCTTGACATTTTTTGTGGAAGCCATGCGACGTCCACTTCTGCCCTAAATCTCTTGCTGTGCGTAGTATTAAATCCCCAGTCGGCATTGAAAACGAACCCCTTCTTTGGTCCTGTAGCGTGTGACAGGCCAAAGTGATGCCTAGTCGTGTAATCGTCCTCGTAGAGCTCGAGCTATAGACCGACGTGGCGGGTACTCTTCGAATCGTAATCCAGATTTTTGAAGACATGAACTGAGACGTGTATCTAGAGAGGAGTATCCTTATCGCCTAATAACCCGGTTCGTTAGTTGACTAAGTCACGAAAAACAAATAGAAATACTTACAGATACCCATGATCTCGTTAGCCCTGGCCAAGTCCGGATTCGCCATCTTGAGAGATATTGGTAAGGTCTTGAGAGGTGTTGTTAAAGCCTTCGGGGGTGTCAGAGAGGTTTTCAGAGGTGTCGGTAAGGTCTTGAGAGGTGTTGTTGAGCACTAAAGAAATCTTAGGGGACCGGTTATCTTGATATACACGGATTGCCTCGCCGCACAACACATGAGAATGGCTTTGCCGGGTAGAAATTTACGTGGAACATCATCCTGATCTTGCATATCCGTTTACTGAAGCCCGAAAAAGTGGCTCAGGACTTCCGTCCCAAGAGAGAAGGGTTTTCTTATCGTAGCTCCATTGGCTCGAGAAGGCGCGCGGCTCGCTGGAAGGATTAGGGCCCACCTACGCCACTAACACCGCTCGACATATTTCTTCATCTCATCTAGGAGAACAAGAGAATGTTTTTAACGGAGATAGGTTCGCAAAGGTAACAGATCGGCGTCTACAACGATCGGAAGTGTTGGTGGCTGAGGCGTAGACTGCGCCGCTTGGACCTGGGATGTTGGGAAGATCTCTATAGGCCTGAGCTAGAAATAAGGAAAAATTCTAGAAAAGCCTTCAAGCTAACGAAGTTTTGCACTCCCCAATTTTGCAAAGTCCTAAGTCGGTCCGATAATTGCGGCTCAACAGGTGGCGGGGCCGTCGGTGATTGTTGTAGACGAAGTCATTAGAGCCGCCGTCACCGCCACCACCACCGCCGCCGCCTGTTTGGGGAAAGGAGTAGAAAGGACTGTCCGTGGAGGTTGGAAGTGGGAGCGGAGACAGCAGTCTGGGGCTGGGTTTTGTTCACAGAACGGCCAGCTGACCGCCATTCAGATAAGCATCAGCACTTTCGCTTCTTTGATTTCCACGACCCAGCCATCGATAACTACCCTTCGCTGCTATATATTCAGCATGAAAAGAAAAGAAACATCATGATTAGTCAGCCATCTAGATTGCTTTCAAAACAAGAGAAGAAGGAAAGACGAAGCAAAAAAAGAGGACTTAAACCAAATACTGCTTCTCTCACCCTGCCACATCCTGACTCCGGGGTAATCAGATGAAGGCCTTTCCACGCTTATGACGTAATCTTACACTGGCTTTCGAAAACTGGAGCTGCGAACGCCACTTGTGACGGTAGACCTTCGATTTCGCCTGCGACGCCGTCGTCTACCACCATGTCGTCACGGTGAAACAGGCGCCTTATACTGTCTTGAAGTTCCATCTCCAGTAGAGAGTGAAGTGGTTGGCGATCAGGTCGAATGCAATAGCTGCCTTGAGCGAGCACGCCACTTTATAGCCTCTACTACTGTCTCCCGCTGGGTCCTTGCGTATGGGGAAGCGAATTTCAGCGTCTGGATCCACAACCGCAGGGCTGAACGAAGGGTCCAAGATGAGGCGCCATGGCGTGCGCGCCGCCACGATGCGTATTTCTTTAAGCGCTTGGCTCAATCCATCAGTGTCCGTACAGTGCGTGCAGTGCGCGGCGGTTGCGGCGAAGTCAAAGTACCGGCCCAGAATGACTTCGCAGTATCTTGCCAATACTCCGCCGCATTTATATTGTTTGTTGGTATGTTCTGGTACTTGTAATTGGAAAGAAGAATGTTCGTCGCGCCTACTGCGGCGCAGAAGGAAGCGGCGCGGTTATAGCGCCCAACACCATGATCCACTGACTTAGTAGTAAGTGAGGTCGGTCTCGTAGCTCGCCTACACTTATATAAGCAAATTATATACTTACCTAGGATGGAAACCCTTTCAAGCCTCAAGAAAGCTTTTGTATGTGCGCGGCGCCTTGCGGCGGTATAGTAGGTTACGCATCCACGGGCACAGCAAAAGATTGTAGAAGAGCACCAGAGCCAGGTGGACCTTTTCAAGACGCAGGTTTCACAGGTGCATCAATCTTTTGTGTTATAGGGACCCGAACGGCGAGCCAAAGGAGACGAGAAGGACATCAGTTCAAATGTTACCAAGGCAGAAGCGTCTTTCCAAAAAGGGACTAGCTCTGTGCCACACCAACTTCCCTCTTTCTAGAGCTATCATGGCGCAGCATAGTTTCTTCTTGGTCCATTAGGCTTCTGAAATAGTAGCGCGCGCTACTCTAGCGGTTGGTGTAGCATGGTTTGATACATGGCGTAGAGAGTTTGGGCGGTGATGGTTGGTCTGGCTCGAAGCTTGGCCGAAGCCTTGCGAGACCATGATATCTAGCTTGTGGTCGCTTGAGTCTTACTGAGCTCCTCTTACTCTCCCTTGTGATAGGTTTAGTAGAATTCACACATCTCTATCAATCTTATAGACTGTGATAACAACGGGGGTAACCACAGTTCTGCCAACCAACTCCGCAACTAGCTGATGCGGTGGACTGGCTATTTCTATCATATACATGGTGCTCTTTGAAACGGTCAAGAAGATGCGCGCGGCTACTGCGACGTTCTAGACCGACTTGAGAGCCACATTTTCACCGCCTTTGCTAACATAAAGGCGTGGGCTATTGCGACTTGCTATATAAATCAACCAGTCTTTCATTCTAATAGACAAGGAAAACTGAAGGTCATCTCTCCACTTGTCTTCATATACTGAACGGTTTCATTGAATCCAATCTTGTTTGATACCACCTAGCCATCCAAAAAAACAAAAACCCCATGTGGGGCTTTTCCAAATATGGCGACGAGTAAGTTCATAGTCTTTGCCAGCTCTGGCCTTTGCTCCGTTTTCTTCATATTGACCATGCATTTAGAAGAAAAGTTCTCGCAGAAAACGGCCGTAGCTATCCTTCTGAGGGTTTCGTTCATCATCTTCTTCGTGTGTATCCCAACTTTCGGGGGTAAGACGCCTACTGCATTCGCTTTCAATTCTGCTGAAAGGCATCTGACGCACCTTTTCTATAGTGATGACTCTGGCCGGTTGCATATCCAGTTCGCCTGCGATTCCGAATATTTTCCTAGCCAAGCTGCGCCAAGGACAAAACGATAACTTTGAATTACGCGTGGGATATTACGGTAAGAGAAGATTCACCATTCTACACTTTCTAAGTGGAGGCTGTTGACTTGGGAAGCAATCGCTAATAGCTGGTATACCTTTTAGGTGTCTGTGCTAGCCAGAACAAGCAAGTCGCATGCTTCCCTACCCCCCACACCGCAGGTGCATCGTCCCGTCTTTCCAGTAGCATCGCGGAAAGCTTCGACAACACAGCATCCATGGACTCGCTCATTGCTCTTGCATTCCCGCTCCAGTCTGTATTTCAACAAACCCTTCCTACAGCATTGACGATATACCTGGCTGGGATCATCTCCAGTTTGGTGTTCATGCTGGCCTATAAGGTTTTCGTGAAGAAGGGTTCTTTGGAAGCGTTTCAAACGGCTAAAAATTCCCGAAACGTAGCCACAGGCTGTTTCTGGGGGTCGACAGCATTGACTCTAGCAGCGGCTATCTCTGTCACGCAGGCACAAGCTGCGATACAATTCGCTACGTCCAAGATGGCGGACTCAACAGTGCACGTTTCGCGAGGGGTAACGCTGGAAATATTTCAGTGGTTTATCTTTGCTTTCTCGTTTTTGTTCGCCTGTGTAGCTACGGTTTTGATGTCAGAGCGAGCGAAATCCGGTCCACCACCACCACCCAAGCCCACGTCCGATGCAGCAGCTTCAGCTACATCCGGTGCATCCCCACCTAGCGCTCGTCAAACCGCATCTAGCGCTCGTCCAGCCACGTCCACAGCGTCACCAGCTGCAGCTCGTGCAGCGCCAGCTCGTGCAGCGCCAGCTCGTGCAGTCCCATCCAGACAGCAGTAGCCATCACATATCACAGTGAAGCAGAGACCTGGCCAGGGTAGAAGAAGTCTGGGACGGTTCATGTAGTAGCAGGAAAATTAATACTTCTGACGGGGTATCCGGTGGATTTCATGATATTTGTTTCTCTTCGTTTGCTGTTTGCTATTTTCTCTATTTTCTAGTTACTAGTTGGCCACTGGCAGCGTAGAGTATATACGCTGCCTGCACATAATCTATATCTCATCTTGCGCAACATTCCTCCACTTTCTTCCAACTCTCTTCGACACGGTCGTCCGATCTACGCCACCTTCCCCTCTTTTGATGTTTTTATTGAACCACGCCTTGACTTCTTCATCCTCACATGCATCAAGGATATCTTCTTCCAACATGAGATGACAGTACATGTAAGGTATGCACCAGACGTGCAAAGTACTTTTCCATTGACCAGGGGTGGGCTGATTCAGGTACACTCGAACAAAGCTTTTGAGAAGGAGGGCGCTATCCGGACAATAGAGACTGCTCTCCTTGTACTGGCTATATCCCACCATTTCGGCTCCATCAGCGGGTGGGCACAGGCCGACATAGGCGCTACGGATAAGCACGACTCTGGTATCCCTTTCAGCAGCATCTGGTAGGTTGAAGCGGACAGAATTGCGGTCTAGTTCCTCGAAGTGCCGTGCTACGTCCCGGTGGATCTTCGACAACTTTTCATCGTCTTGAAAGCGCACAGGGTCGATGGTTGAGCCGAATGACCACGGGGCAGGCTTGAATCCAGCCTCAAGGAGTTTCTTTGCAGCTTCCTCAAAGTCGTCATCGGCAGGTACGAGCATGTAGTTCTGAATTTTTGGTCAGACTTGGAGAGTAGGAGAAGACGATGTGGCAAAATTATGAGCTTACAGAGATGAAGATATTCACACCAAGGTGAATCATGGCTGATTCGCCCCATAGTGCGAGGCTGAGTGGGCTCAGTGCAGGAACGACATACTTGTCAAAAGGGTTAGGTGCGTTAAAGTCAGGAATGGGAGGCAGCGGAAGCTGAGCAGAGCCTGATGTTTCTGCTCCCTTAGCGGAATCAAACATGGATTTTTTGCTGGTTTGTGGGACGTGCAGAATCGACGAAGTTTGTGCAAACGGATGAATGGAGAAGAGTGACGCTGCGCCGCGCTGCCTGCTGCCGCCTAAATGCCCCGCCGGCGCGGGAAAACTAGTCACCGCTGCCGTCGCCAAGCTCTAATTTTGTAGTAAATATGTGGCCGAGTCCTGCTGGTATATTTGATAATTACACGCTATCTATATCTGCCGAAATCTCCTTGTATCCAATAAGACGAAAGGTCTCGTTTTGTTTCGTCCCCTTAGCGACCCTACGATGTTCCGATTTTATGCTTGGCTGTCATCAGCCGCACTATTGGTTACATCGGATACTAGGATCCATCCGTTGCACATAATAGCCCAGCTAGTCACCGCTGCATTTTCGACAGCTTCGTTTTGCCAATGCTCAGCGTTCTGTCTTCTGTTGGCATGAGTCATTTTCTCGTACCCAAACATCCCGCCTATTTCACGCCTCATCCACGTTATGTGTGCCGCGAGCAGTACAATCGGAGAGTCCCTTAATAGCCTAGAGCGCATGAAGCGGGCTCTCAAAGAATGCGTGGACTGGAGCATGTCATCGAGAATCTCCCTAAAGCATTACATACCTCTTCATAATGTAGTCCAGATACAAATGCGATCAGATAGTTCATTACCAGAATCAATCTCCCCGTTTCTACCCCCAGAGCATTGCTATCGACCTACCTACGCATTATCCACCGGCACATTCCTCACCCTCCACCCCCTCCACTCAGGCAACGGCCTCTCCCACCCCTTCACCCTCCGCGCATCCTCCACTGCACTCGCATACCTCACCAGCAAGCCTTCACTCCACGCCGTCCCCATAAACGCCAAGCCAAACGGCATCCCTGACATCTTGTTCACACCAGCCGGAATCGTCACGACCGGATACCCCGCCTGTGCCGCAATCTGCGGCGCCTGCGCGACATCCGTCGGAGCAAGCAGCGCATCCAGCTTCGTCACTTCTCCATTCGCCCCCCTCCACACCAGCGCTGCATCAATCCCATCCTCCCGCGTCGCCTTTTGGCAGAAGTGCAGCGCCTGCCAGTACGTCTCGTTCATTTCGCCTTTCGTGGCGAGCGAGGCCAGGAAGCCGTCCTGGCCGGAGGCGAAGGCGGGGTGGACGCCGGGCAGGCCGCCTTCGGAGCCGGGATTGGCGTTATTGTAGGCGACGATGTCGTCGAGGGTGCGGATGGAGGTGTTGTTGAGGTCGGCGAGGTAGCGGGCGATGTCGTTGTAGAAGTCGACTTTGATGTAGGTGTATTCGGATTCGTTGGGGAAGCCGCGGGTGGTGCCGTAGTCCCTGTGGGTGGGTGAGTATAAGAGCGAGTATGTATGGGATAGAGAGGTGTATAGGGTGGAGAAGAGGACTGAAAGGAGGAGGGGGAGGATGGAAGAAAAGAAAGAAGGTCAGGGGCTTACCAGTTCCAACCGTCCGGGCTGACAATAGTCTTCCAGTTGAGCAGCTCGGTGCCGTTGATGACGGTTGCGCCGGCTTCTTCCATTAACGCGACAGTCTCGAGCAGCTGCGCTTGCATGTCTTCGTCGGCCCACTGCCAGAAGCTCAGCCACGGAATACCGAAGGTGGCGCCTTTGAGAGCATCCTTGTTAGCAAGGAAAGACGCATAGCCAGTCTGGCGGCTCGGCACATCCGAATTGTTGAGCTGCGCCGAAGTGTAATTATCGCGAGCATCGTAGCCGTAGATGCCGTCGAGGCAGTACGTCGCATCACGCACTGTCCGCGCCAGACACCCCACAGTATCCTGATGCGAGGACTCCGGGATAACGCCGTCTCTCGACGTCAAGCCGACCGTGGGCTTGATACCGACCAGCGCATTCCGTTCCGCCGGGTTCACGACACTCCCATCCGTCTCCGTTCCGAGAGCGAAAGTCACGAGATTCGCTGCCACCGCAACACCGCTGCCAGAACTACTCCCGCCGGGGTTGACGGTGAGGTTGTACGCGCTGCGGCACTGGTCGCCGCGGGCGGAGAAGCCTTCGGAGTACGAGTTGGAGCGCATGTCGGCCCACTCGCTCAGCGTGGCGTGGCCAAGCAGCAACGCTCCTTCGTCGCGTAGACGGTGCACGACATGCGCATCGCGCGGCACGACGGAGCCCAGCAGTGCGTAGCTGCCCGCAGTCGTCTCCATCTTGTCCTTGGTTGCGATGTTGTCCTTGACCAGAAAAGGGATGCCATGCAGGGGCCCACGGACCCGGCCGGCCGCACGCTCGGCGTCGAGGCGGGCGGCGATTTGGAGGACGTCTGGATTGAGCTGCATTATGGCGCTGCAGATCGGTTAGTTTTTGGTGTATAAATGATTGGTTTGCGTGATATTGCATCAAAGTCGGATAGTTGAAGCTCTCATCTGGGTGTTTTTGTTTCCAGATATGACACGCAATCACGTGCCGATGGACGCTTCAGCTGCCTACCTTGGTGTTGTAATACTAAGCGAGAGGAGCGGGTAGTTTGGAAAGGACGTTCATGACTCACTGAAGGTATGTGTCGGTTATCAGTATTCTTTGCATATAGCAAAGAGCAAGCTCCACGCTTGTGAAGACGCCGTTCTCCAATGCATCCTGAAGTTCATCAATGGTGGCCTCTTCGAGCTTGAAGCCGTTGCATGTCGGCATTGGAAAGAGGTTGGCGGTGCCATTGGTCCCAACATCGCCCCCAAATGAGGGTGGAAGGGGGTCCTGTAGACTGCTGTTACCCCATTGCGTTGCACTAAGGAAGCAGCCGGGTGATTGAGCAGCGGATGCTACCAAAGCCGTGGAAAGCGTGGCTGTGACAAGGGTCCGGATGTACATGGTTTGGAGATGATGGCTGCCTCAGCCGCAGGGGAAGGAGAGTTCAGAATTTGTACGCCTGGCAAATAGGGTGTTTCGGCGGATGCTGAAGGCCCCAAGTGCGGCGTGGCAGCGCAAGAGTGGGGCGGAGGTGAGCTGATGGAGAATGTGGCGCCGGGCTAACGATTCGCTTCGCTTGCCGACCGCCCTGCCTCTCCAGGCACCAGGCACGCCCGACCGATCTGCACATTCCTGCAGCAATCCAGCAGATCTTATGGTGATCTTGCTGAAGCGAATTTTGCAGTAATATTCGAGATGCAAGTAGCCTGAAGCTTAGCCAACGCTGCCAAAACATGATCAGACCTCACCCACTTTTTATAGTTTGCGTCATCCCCGCGAATAGCCGGAACAACTTCCGGGATCCTGCTCCTAGAAGCCGTATAGGGAAACCGGCACGTAATACCGGCGGAACCCGACGCCTCTGCCGTTACCACGCTAGGCATTTTTTACCCTGTCAACGTCGTAGCAACTAGTCCGTCATTCAGCTCAAGTTCTCCTTAAATTTTTTTCACATCGCGATGCCGATTATGTTGCATGTGATGATGTCTCGAAGACAATTCCATCTTCATTTAATGACTTCCCTTGGTTCGCCACGGTGTTGAGACAATTATTGCAATGCCGCTACTCCGCAACCCTGTGATCATCGTGCGCAGCAATGCTCGCCGCAGACATTCAGCAGGCTCTTACAGATGGCCGAATACCCAATGGCATCTCCACTGAATACCTCGCTGCCAGCAAAGATTCCGGCGCCGAGGCTGGCATCTTGGCCGTTCTCGCTCTTGCGTTGATCATAACAGCCTTGCGCCTCTACGCTCGAATATCTGATCCACGAGGTCTGGTCCTTGAAGACTACTTGATCATATTAACAGCTGTAAGATGTTCCGCCTGACTGTTTCCAACACATTCCACTAACCAACGAACAGGCACAACTCATCACCTTCGTCGGCCTCTGCCTCAAACTCCTCGCCCTCGGCTCCGGCAGACACATCGAATACATCGAATACGTACTTCCCCTTTCCACCGTCAACACGACTGAAGTCCTCGACTTCACCGCGCACATCATCTACACCACCGCCCTCTACACCTGCCGCATGTCCGGCCTGAGCTTCTATCGGCGGCTCTGCCTGCGGCATGGCGTTCTCTCGCTTGCCGTCAACATCTCCTTCGGCCTCATCACAGCCGGCTTCGTCCCGCAGCTGTTCCTCATAATCTTCCACTGCACCCCCGTCACCGGCTTGTGGCCGTATCCGTGGCAACCGGAGTATGCGTCCGGCCGCTACCATTGCATTGACTGGGGCATCGTCTACCTAACCAACTCGATTGTCAGTCTCGTCAGCGACCTGATTCTGTTCGTCATCCCCATCGCGCTGATCGCCATCTACCGCGGTTCGATCAAGAATAAAATTAAACTCAGCGTCGTACTAATCCCTGGTATACTGTAAGCCTTCCTCACACCCACCACCACATCAACTGCTCACTCTCTCTCCCCCCCTATCCAGCGTCATCGCCATCTCCATCACCCGCCTCGACCTCGTCCACCGCGGTTGGACCGACCAGGACCAGTCGTGGTCTTACGGGCCCATGCTGGCCATCGAGACGGCCGAGATCGGCGGCACTATGGTCGCGTTATCGGCGCCCGCGCTGAAGGTGTTTTTCGGGCGTGTGTACCACGCCTCTACTTTCCACAGTTCGAGCAAAGACCGGGCGACTGGAAGGCGGACAAACGACTGTGGATACGGAGCAGGGGTGCCGGGGGCAAGGGCACGGGATGCGGGCACCGAGTTGGAGGGTTGGCAGCGTCGAGGTGTGGTAGGGAATGAGACGGTTGTTGGGGCGAGCGCGGAGGAGTTGGACGGGGAGGATGGGAGGGGGAGTGAGGAGGATTTGCTGGTTGTGGGCGTGGGCGTGGGGAGTAAAGATGGGGGTTTGAAGGTTTCCACAACGGTTAAAATGAGGACGTAAGTAATGGGGTGAGTCCTGTAGATAGAGTCTGTACCTCTTCGAATGTTATGAAAGTGTTGACTTCCCTGTTTATATGCTGGAAAAACAAAACAAAAGAGACTCAGAGGGTCAGCGTATAAGAGGTATGCAGGGATGCTTGATGTTCCTTTGCCCTAATGTCGGCTAATTGCCGAGGTGTTGACCGGGGGCTGTCGTGCGGGGAAAGCTATTCGTGTTGACAATTAACTCCACAATTACCGACCCCGGACGCGGGGTTTAATACGGCGCTAACCTCCCTAAATTCTCCTCACCAAGCATCCTTTTCCCTTTTCCGACCTTTTGTCTACTCTGTGTTCCGTATGCTTAACTGCCGCGCAGCCACTCACGTCGCTTCTTAGCTTACTCGAGATCCGAGTAAACAGCGCAGGCTTTGACCCACACTGGAAACGATTCCCTGATTCAATAAATTCTTTATCAAATTGATTGAAGAACACTTACCACGCATCTGGCTACGGTAGTAATTATCTCTGTAAGCTCCTGAGAGCAGAGATGGAAGCTGGAAGCGGGCCGATGCCTGCCACTGCCGGACGCAGCGGGACCAGCTCAAGATCCGCCGCTTCGGCATCCCACAATGCACGGCGGTCGGGCAGCCGAAAGCATCGTGGACTCACATGTGCAAACTGCCGTGCGAAGAAAGTGCGTCTGAACTGGTGCAATCAAAACCCAGTATTGCATGGCAAGCTAATCAGGGTTCCAGATACGGTGTGAAGGAAGCCAACCGACATGCAAGACGTGCGAAACGTATCGCGAAAAATGCCGTTATGAGAAACTTCCTCCAATGTCGCAGGTTCTGGCCATGGCAAAGCGGCTTCAAGAGGCGGAGCAGACCATTGCTGAACTTCGGGCTGGTGCCGGAGAAGCTACGCGGCGCTCCCAAAGCCGCGGACCTCAGCCACCCGTCGAAATCAGCACCCAGTCCATCGAGATTGACCAGCTTCTCGATCAACCTGCAGTCAATTCTCCGCCCGAACAAAATGCATCAGTGGTTTCTTCGCCCAAAGAGGTGCCACCAGACCTGAGTGTCGACCAGGACGGCAAGATATGCTTCTATGGGCCAACGTCGGCCGTCCACGATCCACCGGCCTTGGATCTCCCCCTTTCCCGAGCGTCAAATCAGGAAGAAGCAACGCTGAAAGCTCAAGCCCGGACAGTGTTGGCCGCCAAGGCGAATGAGGCAAGGGTATGGGAGGCGTTCGCCTTGGGGCGTGCTGCTATCCAAACCGACATTCCCCGTGAAGTCATCACCAAACTTCTAAACCTCCACTGGACATGGATCTCCCCGATGTTTATGTGGGTCTACCGGCCAGCCTTCATCTGTAAGTTCTCAGCGAGAATTGTGTGTGTTAGCGCTAATCAGGGGCAGTTGACATGTCGACGGGCGGCCCGAACTACTCTGAATTTCTCCTGCTTGTGCTGTGTGGTCATGCCGCAAGGTTTTGTGACATTCAACTAGCAGAGAGGTTAATTTCGAAAGCGCGGATTCTACTCGGCAATGTTATCCACCAGCCGGCTTCCGTTCCCACGGTCCAGGCACTTCTTCAATTGAGTGCTCGCGACTTGGCTTATGGATCAATATCCCAAGCATGGCTATACAGCGGAATGGCATTCAGGATGGCCTGTGACCTAGGGCTACACCACAGCACTCCAGCTGACCTGAGCCTCGAGGGATTGAGCGTGGTCGATATGGAAGTCCGACGGAGGCTTTTCTGGAGTTGCTATTTCTGGGATAAGTAAGATTTTCCGAACGGTATCGTGTATGGCCACATACCTCGATAGCTGACAGGTATTTACAGAGCTATCAGTTTGTACACCGGGAGGATGCCGGCTTTGACGGATATTCCGGATAACGCCAGCTTCGAATTCCGTGAGTTTGCCCATTATTGAGCAAGGTGTTCTACCTACTAAATTCAGCTCAGTGGATGACAGCTCTGAGTCGGAGCTCTGGTCTCCCTTCTGCGTTGACTCGCTGGCGATGGCCAAGCTGGCGCCTGGCGAATATCCACCGCGGAAGGGTCACTACGTCTCGTGTTTTGCCAACTCTTGCAAGCTGGCTGTCATCATCGATGATATCATCATCAGCCTGTATTCACGGCGTGCTGTATCGAAGTTCAACGCTTCCCTAGATCGGATTAAAGCAAAACTTGCTGCATGGCGGGCTCAGTCACCAGCTCACCTGAGTTATGATGGAAACGAGCTTCCGGAATATGGTCCACCACCACACATAATATCACAAAAGTGAGTAAAACCGTCATGGCTATGAATCGTCTCAATTAACCGCTCGGCAGCCTCTTGTATTATGCCAGTGTAATTCTCACGCACAGGCCGTTCTGCTCTGTCCCTACGCATTACGAAGCGTGCGTTAGCGCTGCCAAGAGCATGGAGAAACTACTTCTTCTGATTGAGGGAACTTTCGGGTTTGAGAACATTACCTACTTGATGGCTTATTGCGTGTACACCGGCGCGTCGGCTCTTCTACGAGATGCCAGAAATGGCAACGCCGAAGCGGCGACAAAGGTACAGACATTTCACCAGGGCGCTTCGGGTAGGCTCCGTTAAATGTCCTTTACTGGAGCGAAGTCTGGAAATCATCAATAAAGGCCTCAGACCACCCCCGGGTCAGACTGTACCACTCGATGACTCGCAGGGCATGAGTTCTCCTACTGGACACAACTTTATTCCGGCTTTCCCATACTTCGGAGTCACTGGAGCTGACAGTTCCAATCCGACTGCGGAACCATTTGGTATGAATACTGCAACATTCTCCATGCTGGACTGCTTTCCGGAAGCGCATATGGATTTCACAGAGTGGTACACACCTCCAATGTAACCGGAAGTCGAATTTGAGCAATACTTTACAGATAGGTGCACGCCACTGCCTCATGACGAATCAGAAACATATGGATTGTTCTGTTGATCTAAAGCTTGCTGGTCACAGCTTCTGCGAGGGTATCGGCTTTCAGGGCTGGTCTGTCGGCCCTGCCAGCAGTAGTCTATAGAACAATTGTCAGCATGTTTTCAAAAAAATCAGCCTCGCTCTGGTGAAAGATCCTTACGCCTCCATCCACAGGCATGATCAAGCCTGTAATCCATTTTGCTTCTTGATAGGAAGAGAATAGCTGCGGCTTGTTAGCTGCGCTATATTCACTGCCCTTGAAGTGTGGAAAGAAGGCTTACCATATCCTACGTCCCAGGCAGTGCCCTCCTTTTTCATGAGATTCTGATTGATTCTCGCTCGTCTCATTTCATCCGTCATGCCGCGCCCTCTGGTCATGGGAGTGTACACCATTCCAGGAGCCACACAGTTGACGCGGATGTTCTCCTGGCCATGGTGCGCTGCCATTGCCCGCGTCATCTGGATGATGGCTCCCTTGGTTGTGGGATAGAGAAGACTGGGGTTGCCGCCGAGCACTGCAAATGTTATTTCTGGGCTCGCGCTTCTTATGGGGAACCTGGTTTACTCACAGCCGCTGACGGATGACATGTTCACAATGGATCCCCGGCCCGCCTTTCTCATTTCGGGAATGGCGTATCGGCTCATTAACACCATGCTTGTCAAGTTGATGCGCATGTCTCGGTCCCAGGCTTTGAGATCGATCACGGTGGCATCGCCCAGAGCTCCTCCAACTCCCACTGCACACGAGTAAGCATTCATATCCAATAGAAATGGCTAGAGTTTTCCGCAGCACCCCATGCATCTTGTTCCTGCTGCAAGACTTACCGATGTTGACCAGAATATGTAGCTCCCCCCACAGTGCCACTGTCTTCTCTACAGCAGCCTTGCAAGACTCCTCACTTGTCACGTCACCCTGGATAACCTCAGAGATACCGCCTTCCTTGTCGATCATCCGCTTGGTTTCTTTGGCCCAGTCCACGTTAAAATCAACAAGCGCAACTTTGGCCCCGTGTCGAGCGAGAAGAATAGCAGCCGCACGTCCGTTACCAATCTCACCTGTTGTATGGCTTTAGGTCAGCATTACGAAGGCATGCGGAACAAAGTGGGCTGGCTTTCGAGAAAAGAAAAAGGAGGAAATCTCTCACCGTCCATTCGTGAGCCAGCACCAGTCACCAGGGCTACATCGTTCGTGAGGTCAAATGCTCTGGATGGCTGCATCGTGAAATCCCTCTCACTGCGGCTTGGTGGAGTTTGAGATGGAATCCTCCTCCTTCAGCTGTGGCAGGAGAGTTGTGGTGCGGGGTAAATGCGCTGTACTTAATGACTCTATTTCCCTGAAGTTTGATACGCAGCTTGCATAGTGCCATGCATCGATCCCTGCAGCGCGTCGGTTACTCTCCACTCGGCAATCCTCCGTGGTCTGTCGGCGCGCTCGAGTTCCGAGCTGTGCATAGGTTGGGTCTTTTGAGGGGCTTCACTCACTTCTCATCACGACCCACACTGCAAAGACAATTTTTCGCGTACTCGGCGCCATTCCGCGGGCAATGGTACCTCTACGTCGGAATCCGGATTTGTGGAAATGATGAGCAACTGAATTGGGAACGTACGCAAAAAAAAGGAAAAGGGGCATCGGCCTGAAAGCAGGAAATTGTCAATGCTTGATCGATTAGCAGGAGCAATTGAAGCCTTCGGGTGAGAAATTGGGATGCAAAATCAACTCCGTTGGTAAGATTAATTTTCATGCAGATATCTACCACATTGAAAAACAGCAACTGTGATGCGGAGACTATATGAAGTTCCAGGTACACGTCGCTGCACTACAATACGTAACGAAAGTTCTTGTTCTCAAACTCGGTCTGATCCAGCATTCCAGCCTTGTCACTTTCTTCTTTGTTTTGAGGGCCATGGATCCTATTACGCCGCCGATTTTCCAGGAACATGTACGCTACAAATGAGAGTCAGAGTGTTTTCGCAGCAGGTAATTTTCGGGTCTAATAGAACATACCAAGGAGCAGAAGATGACAGCCCAATTTTATACTGTATCCAACCAACAACCCAATGCTCGCTCCTTCGTAGTACGGAGCCTCAGACCCTTTGACGACGAAAGGACCTGCAAAGTTTCCCCAGCAATACGCCGTGCTGTTTTCACGGTCAGATGAAATTCAGCAACGCAGTTAAAGAAGGGTACACCTACAAAACGAGTGCACTTGCCAAGGAGCGGTGCGTGTACCCTGCCATGTTTGACGAAATGGTCGTCAAGGAAACCGTGAAGCCGACAGACTGGGCATTAACCAGCCAGAAACACACAAGTCTGCCCCAAGTACTGGAGCGGGGAAGATATGCCAACAGCGCGGCAGACACGGTGCACAGGATGTTGGCCGCCGTAGCCGTCAGCAGCCGTGCTGCTAATGGTTAATGGCGGTCGTAGGAGAATATTCAGTACTACCACTTACAATTGCGAACGTTCAAGGTGATGGCGCCGCCGATGAATAGCGCAACAATCTGTGTAGCGTCGCCAACAGACTTCAGCTCTGTCGTCTTCGTGGTGCCGAAGCCCATGTCGCGGATGATTATTGTCGAGAAGGAATTGACGACGCCGTTTGGAATGGCCCTGCGTGGATTTAATGATCAATAAAAACGTCTTCGAGGAAGGAGTGGGGTACTTACGCGGCAAAAACGGATATGAACAACAATATTGCTTTCGGGTCTTGGAATGCCACCACTGCTTGCTTCCTATCGAATGATTTGTTCTTGATGCCGGTCTCGTTGCCCGAGACGCGCTTGACAGCAACAAGGCGCTCGCGCTGCTTGAGAAACCATGCGTTGGATGGCGAGTCGGGAAGTAGAAACCAGACGATAAAAGCCCAAACGCAAGTAACTCCGCCGAGCTGGAATGGTTAATTAGCCTTGCTTTTCTTGCTCTCCAGAATATTTTCGAGGTGCGTACGATGTAGAAGATAAGCTCCCATCTCTCTGGAGTCATATCCGCCGGGAGCTTGGAAACACCCATTGAGATGTAAGAGCCGGCCTGAACAGTCGTGATCAGCAAGCATCATTCAGTGTATGCCGAGGAAATTATCTGGCACATACTATACCACCCCATCCTAAAGCGGAACTAAAACAGAGTTTAGCAAAGGTCTTCCTGTGGTTGGGGTCTTGTTTAAACACATACTACCAAATGCACTGTCTGAGCGGAATTTCTCGCCTGGTGAACCAAAAGCCGGTCATAAGAGTTAAGCCACTATAGGAAGGTACAATCAGCTAACTACACTTTGACACGATGAAACCTGGTAGTTGGCATACGGTGTAACAGCAGCCTCAAATATGCCCATGATGACTGTCAACATTGTCAATATTTTAGCTGAATGAAGCAGCAGGAAATCTGGCTCTGACATACATCGAACGGCAGCTTTATGAAGTCAGCCTGCGAAGTTCCCATAAATTTACATAGTCCTGAGACACACCTGCACTGGAATAAGACCGGCACTGGGTCAGGACAAGTACCATGACGCCCCAACATAAGATACTGGTGGCCATGATCCTTTGTGCTGGGAACCGACCTATCAACCAGCCACAAGGGTATTGCCCGAAGAAATAACCGGCGTAGACCACTGCCGCTTGTTACTATCAAATCAAGCGGCGTTATGACAAACTTACAAGCAGACAGGTAGTTGAACTGTTGTCCATGAAGCCCCAAAGCCTCTTGATAATCGAAGAGGTTGGCATAGTTCAAGGCGGTTTTGTCCATAAATTGCAGAGCTTGTGTGATTAAGAAGGCGGGAAGGATGATGAGGTCGATCTTCCATCGCACAGCTCGAGCCTAGGTCAAACATTAGTTGAGCATATCATAGTCTGTTGTGGCCATTTTCACTATACCTCCTTCTCAGAAACTTCAATATCCAGGCCTGCCAGGTACTCCCTGTAGCCGACTGCGTTCTCCTGATTTGACAACCGTCATTAGCACTGCATGGGTATAGCAGTAGAAGGGCTCAACAGACCATATGAATAGCATCTTCCTGGTGACCGCCATCTACTCTGTCCACATGCTCCACTTTCTCTTTGGTATCGTGTACCATGTTCTCCATGTCGAGGGATGCAAGCTGGAAGCAGGGTCCAGATCAGGGCGGCCGGTTGTTCTTGGGTTCGAGTAGGTCTTGAAGAACGAGAAACCAATCCACTCTGGCCGGGCAAACTCCTTATCGAACCTTGAGTCAAATTGAAAGAGGTCCGGGACAGGGATGTTCGGATACATCTCGCTTTACTGGCCACCTGCAAGCCTCGCGTCACTCACCCCGCACGAAAGCGGGGACACTCGGCGAGATTCCGCGGGCAAACACCGCGCCAATAATGCAGCTGCAGGAGATGGTTTGCCTTTCTGAAATGTCCGGGAACCAAGAATAGGCGTTTTTATGCTTCTCGTGTGGGAAAGCCGAGCGTTCTTTTCGCGGGCATCTTGTTGCTTCGTGCCCGCTTCTGCGCGTTTGACCCAGCTGCTACGCTTTTCTGCCTTCTAATTATCCCCCCAAACAACGATGGCTAGCAACGAATACCTCGCCAAGCCAAGCGGCGCGTGTTGCCTCGAAGGAACGCTGCACAGTGGCGAGCCGCGCGGGACCTTCACACAGATTGCCGACGTCGAGACATATGTGGCCACGCCACCGCCGGGCAAGTCCAACGGCAACATCGTGCTGTATTTTCCTGATGTCTGGGGCATGTTTCCAAACGGACTCCTTGTCATGGACGGCTTCGCAGATGCAGGCTACCTCACACTGGGGCTTGATTATTTCCGCGGCGTGTGTTACCGTTGATCTGATCTCGTTTGACAAGGGCGCGCTGACTGCGGTATCTAGGATCCCGTGTGGAAACATCGCAAAAACCGGCACGACAAATCAAACCCCGCATTCGACTATGAGGCATGGAAGCGCAAACATGTCGCCTTCGCGGATGTAGCCGTGCCGAAATGGGTGGAGGCGGTGAAGGCACAGTACGGTGGCGCTGCTACAAGATATGCATGTGTCGGCTATTGTTTCGGGGCTCCGTACGTGTGCAACGAGCTCGCAGGGGACACGGTCACGGCCGGAGCATTTGCCCACCCTGCCTTCCTGAGAGAAGAGCACTTCCGCAAAATCAAGAGTAGGTTTCACGCTTTATGCAAGGATGAAAGTACGTAACGAGGAACAGACACAGATGCTAAAGTTGTCGACACAGAGCCTCTCTTCATGTCGTGCTCAGAAGTAGACCACACTTTCGACCAAGGATCAAGACGGAGAGCGCTGGACATTTTGCGTGCAGAAAAGAAGACGTGGCATCTGCAATTGTTTTCTGGGGTTGAGCATGGATTCGCTTTGCGGGGCGATCCAGAAGACTCCTTTCAACGTATGTGATGCAAGTTAAGTCAATGTCTAAAAGGATGCTGACGAGAAAGTTTAGGGTGGGTTAAAGAGGAAAGTTTGAGGGGTATGTTGCAATGGTTTGATTTCTGGCTCTCTCAGTAATTTAAAAAAAAAAAAGGATAAGTATGCTTTCACATAATTCTTCTATATAAGTAATATGTAGTAAAGTCAATGCAGCCCATTTCACTCCGTACCGATTTCTTTTACGCTGAACCACAAGAGCATCCTTCGCGCTAATAACTATTTCGTGGTACAGATGATGTATCGATTTTATTCCCGAACTTTGCATTGATAGTCCACCCCAACTGCCTGGAAAGGATCGACTGGGCAAATTTGAAGCAATTTCGCAGTTGCCTGCGGGCGGTTAGACTAAGCTAGCTAATTTCACTGGGACATTGGATGCATACTGTGGTCTTGTAATGCGTAGGCTACATGGTGATGGTTGTGTGCCCACCGGAAGTGTCAGTAAGAGTTTCGACTGCCGTGACCACTTTCGTGAAGGTGGCAGCGGAAATCGTCGAGGAATCCCGGGCACGAAGAGCCGGGGGGAGAATATGTAGTGTTGGAGAAGCGGAAGCAATGATTGGGGAAGGAATGATTGAGGTAGCTAGAGTCGATATATCTGTAGTAACTGCTCCCGGAACAGCACCCGTGGCACTGCAGTCCGTTAGGCCGAACGGAATGGCTGACACCGACGGGTCTAAGGCAAGGGAATTAAGGAAATCTGGTGGGACCGTTGTGAAGCTTTCCGGTCCTGATGTCGGCGATGGAATGATGAGAGGATTTGCCGCGAACAGTGAAGTCGATGCCACGGTACATTGAGATCCGCTGAGTGGTCTCCATGTGGAGGCTGCAAATGTGCTGTATTCCAGGTACGCGGTCGGCCAATATCTTGAAAATGTCAGACAAGGAATTCAGATATCAAGTAGAAGACCTACAGGAATGTAGTACCCCTTTTCCACGTAATTGTATTTGTCGAAGACTTCTGAGTCAAAGTATACGGACCGATACGAGTGCTCGTGCAGCCATCCGATAGGATATACGTGGTTGTGATCAGGGCTGGTACGGTTGTAGTTGTCGTTATTGTAGTATTATAGACGATTCCAGGAAATGTGAGACGCGATGGGTGGATTGCTTCAACAGCGCACCCCGTGCATGTCGGATGAAGAGGGGTAGTGTTGGAGGAAAGCAAGAGAGTGCTATCCGCGCGTGGGGGAAATCGGGCAAGAGAGGGAGCATTGGCAAAAGCATAGATCCATTGGGTGAGGAACGAAAGTAGAGCGAATCCAATTGTGAATGAATGCATCATGAATAGCTCGCAACTTTCCAACGAAAGTCTCTTGCTGATTCCTTACCTGTGAATGGAGATGCGCACTGAAATATACAAATTCATGATGTGGGGAATATTGAAACCGGTCTATCTACCGAGCCTTTCCCGAGGGGCGCATCTTGTGACGAGAAACATGATTCCTAGGTCAGTCTAACTTGATGTTGCGCTGGAATCCGGGAATTACCTTTTACCAGGCGGTGAATGTAAAACTATGGGTCGAGGAACTCTGGATACTTACATCTGTGTAAAATGTGGCTGTTGGAGTTGATACAAGGTTGAGAAATGATGCATGGAAACTTTGAACTGGTATCATGAAATGCTAATCCGAAAAGTGAATAGTATGTGCGTCATTGAATACCGCTTTCTTGTCTAACACGAAAGGGGACGCCACAAAGCTCGAACGCACATTCTCAGGCCATAACATGACTTGGTCGGGGTCAGATCGAGCGACTGCTAACACGTTTCATATTGTCTTTGCTCTCCTTGCCGGCGTCGAATGATTTAGTTTTGAATTTCGTATTGCGCATGTTGGATATTTCTGGAACGCGAATCCTTATCGCGGCTGAATTCTATCCAACGGATCGCCCAAGAAAAATTGCTACAGAGACTCGCCGAACAAATGCCTCACACATAAGTCAGGATTGAACATTATACAAAAAATTCATTAACTGCTGTTTGTCACGAAGTCGGGATGTGAATTGGTGGTACACACCTCCTTGAGACCTGCAAATAACTCCAAAAGTTTTTTCGCAGACCAAGTAGAATCAAGCGGTAAGGGAGCTGAGCCGTGCCGGCTATGGTGTACTACAACTGCAGGGTACAGAGGCTGAGAAGCTCGATTTGACAGTTCCTGTCGCACAGCAGATGCTTGCAACATGACTTATCAAGACAACACGCTTCGGAGTGGCAAGGTATGAAACATGCGGTGCTCATCCAGGCAGTAAGTAATTCCGCCTTTGCCGTAGCTGAGCCAAGACATCTGGTTGCCTTCTCCTAGGTGGTCTAACAGTAACACTGACACAAAAGTTCCACTCTCAATTCCGGTATGAGACAATCGGAATTGCGCTTCATGCGCGCTGTCTCCTCCATTGGGCATGACAATTCTCGTGTCCCCCGGGAGTATTTCGCAGTCTGTTAAAGCCCGGCCTCCTTGACTGAATACTCCTCCCACACTCCCAACCAACACTGAAGCCTCAGCAAAATGGTTGCAAGCTCGAACACAATTCCATCGCCATTTCCACTTACTCCCACAGACCAATGGGATGGCATTGATGGTAATTGGTCTACCTTTCGCATGTCCATTGGCACCTATCCTCAAAACTTCCGTGTATTGATCTCCACTCGTGGATCTAATCCTTGGGTACCCCTTGCAGAGAATTGTCAGAACCAGGATTCAGACTGCGGGAATTTGCGTGGTGTCGAACAGTTCAACAACAGGCCAAGCTCTGGATTCCGAAAAAATGAATCTAGCACGTGGAAAAACTTGGGTATGTATAGCCTTTCACTGGAAGAAGACCTCGGTTATCAAGGAAACGGTTTCTTCGGGGACGACACAGTTCGCCTTGGTTATGATGGGGACAACGGTGCTCTGGTGCAGAACAACTCCCTCGTAGTCGGCACGTTTAGTGATCACTACTACATGGGTCTACTGGGCGTTAGCAGCACCCAGACAAAGGTGGGAAGTGAAGATACCGTCAGCTTCATTGACAGTCTGAAGAATGACCGCCAAATTCCAAGTTCAAGCTACGGATACACGGCTGGTGCTAGTGAGTTCCCTTGTTCTCTTTTATTTATTTCCGGGCGCATATTCTGACCCAGAGATGCAGAGTATCAGCGCAAAGGTGTTCCCGCAAGCCTGGTGCTGGGTGGATACGACGAGTCCCGACTCGAGCCTGCAAAGCTCGCCTTTGACTTCGCAAACGACGCCGATCAGCCGCTCAAAGTAGGGATTCAATCCATTATCACCAGCCGAAGCCTTGCAGCGCAGACCGAGGTCAACTTAATTCCAGTCGGGAAACCTGCCCCCTGGTCATATATCGACTCCACTGTTCCGCATCTTTGGCTTCCGAAAGAAGTTTGCGACAAATTCGAAGCAGCTTTCGGCCTCACATATGACGAGTCGGGAGTATACCTAGTCAACGAAACAATCCATGACAGACTTGTCCAATTGAACCCGACTCTGACATTTCAACTGGGCAACGATATCCGCATCAACACCAACAACACGTCAATCACATTACCCTATGCTGCTTTTGACCTGTGGAAAAGGACCGCAACGAACAGCACAACAGTGCGCTACTTCCCTCTTCGCCGATCCCCTAGCGAAAAGGAGAACAAAATCGGGCGCGTCTTCCTTCAGGAGGCCTACCTGATTGTCGACCATGAGAGACGTAACTTCAGCCTCTCGCAGGCCAAGTTCGCCGATCCTATGCCTCCACCTGACATTCGCGCGATATATTCCCCAGGTACAGTCTTCCCTGCTAAAGGCCGCGGTCTCAGTCTAGGAGCCAAGGCCGGTATCGCTATCGCCGCCGTGCTCGCCTTCCTCCTGGTCGTAGCGGCCGTACTGTTTCGCTGTTGGTGGAACCGTCGCCATGGGGAGAAAGGGAGGTCGCGAGGAGCCAGCATTGCAACCAGCACAGCTCCAACATACCGAGAGAAATACGACCAGCAACCCCCTGGGTACACGCCGTTGGCGTACGATAGCAACACCAGCAACAGCAACCACAACCGCATCAAGCCAGGTGAGACCTGGGTCGAGATGCCGGCGGGGCAGGTGGAGCGGAGGCCGGAGCTGGAGGGCACCCAGAGTTTGTCGTACGAACTAGCCGACAACCATGAACCAGGCCCCGTTCATGAGATGGAAGCCAATGCTACCAGCGAGAATAACGAGGCAAACTCGAAAGCCACGGATGGTGGTGGGAAGGTTTCCACTGAGAAAACAAGCAACAAGAAGCGTGGGAGGCGAGCTTCGATGGTGCCGTTTTCATCGCATGATTGATATATGTTTGGTTTGTCGCCGCCCCCTGTCTTTTGACCGTCATATATGCCCTGTCCGTTTGATACAACATGTATGCCAGCCTCGTTAAGTAATTGTAAACGCTGTATTCTTCGTGAGAAAAGAGCCCCTCCTCGCCCTTCCACAGTGACGAAGCCGGTGTGCTTGGGCTTTGATTGAAGTTTCAGCGTATATAGTTTACGCTAGCATTATTGGATAACTTCCAAAACGCTGGACCGCAGTGTAATGCTATTCTACCTAAAAATAAAATGTTCAAGACACCTCTTTGGCAGCGTGATACGGCAGGTGAACGTCCTAACATAGGGTGGGGTCCGATTGACAAGGCCTGACACTTTGTCGATACGGATAAACACTGGGGTATGCTGTAACACCCGTGTCGCTTCAGCTACTCGATGCTCTCATAAGACAGTTCAGATCTTCCGTCAACAATTAGAATGATTATGCCGTCATCCTGTTGTGTAAGTCTGAATTGCCCTTCAGCTGAAAAACTTGATGTGGAAGCAGAGTTCATGAATAAGTTTCAGATCTGCGGCATCATCTGTGTGGCTTCATCGATTGGGCTCGTTTCCAGCTTGTTTCAACTCGGCTCGTCGGCACCCATCTCCTTACCTTACGTCAGAATTCTGCGCTCTCGAAATCGCGGCTCTTGTGGCCAGATTTCTCCGCGTGTCAGCAATAGTAAGTGTTCTGATCATTTACGACGGCAAAGAGATCTGTTCTTGGCATGGTGTCACATACAACACCTGGGTGTCTATTCTCTTTGCGAATAGCGAAGGGAGCCTGGATTTTGCTTTGGCAGAGTTGATAAGTCAGTGAAAACTGATATTGTCCCATGACTGTGAGCGCTGACGTTTCTACGCAATCTGCGATTTTGTCCGAGCTGACCAAACCTGTTGGAAATTTATTGAAGCAAGTACCCTTTGCATTCCGCAGTACTTGTCATGAGCTCTCACGATGATGAGTACACGAAATAGGAGAGCATCTGTGTGAAAGTCCGGCGGCTTGGCTGTGCTGTTGCGTGGCCCATACATGGGAGGCAGATTGGAAGGTGCAAGTTCGCTTTCGGGACTGAGTGAGCGAGTTGCGGCAGGGTAAACGCAGCTACTGGGCTAGGATGCAGATCCCCAAAGTGGGCCTTTTGTTGGATGTCAAGTGCTTAAGAGACATCAGGGGGATCAGATGTTGAGCTGTCCTTGGCAAACGCCGCGATCAGCGGGTCAGGGACCAGGTCATTCGCGTTGTCGCTTGCAGAAGGTAGATATGGCACGAATGAAATAGCCTAATGTACTAGGCGAGGCGGCTCCACAAGCCACTCAGGCGCACATGCATGAGGCGCAACGCAAGCTTGCATAAGCCTTGCGTTAGAAAGGATTTGGGACCAGCTCCCTCGCTTCCACCGCCTGCACGATCACGCAAATCTTGCTTTTGCCTCTCATAAAAAGAAAGGAAAAAGGAGAAAAAGCGGATCACGAGCGCATCAAGGATCATATGGTGCTTCTTTTGAAGGATTCAAATGGGTTGGTCACCTCTAGCGTGTCCTTGGGTTTGCTTGGTCGGGTCCAGGTTCTCGAATATTTCAAAGTCGCCGGGGGTCCAGAATTGGGAACTCAGTAGGCAACAAGGGTCACGGCTCTGTAGCTTATCACTTCCCATGCACGAACAATTGGATTTTGTGGGGTTCCCCTACTAGAATCCGGACCTGTCTCCGCCACTTCCTGTCCCGCATCACTCGGCCACAGTGTTGTACCCCTATCGCATTTTGAGGATGCGAATGTTGTGCTAGGAACATTCCGAGTGCTAAGAATAGGCGTAAAGATGCATTAAGTATGTGTTGGTATTTTGGCATGTGAGATCTGCGCGCACTTCGTATGAATCTCGATTGAATGCTTCCCACTTTCCATGACATGATTGTAAGCAGCGCGTCAAACATGATGCGCGCTGGCTTGGCAACGGACAGCCCAAGATTGATTCAGGTACCAAACCATCTGCGTGTCACCAAGCGGTGGCGCAGATAAGTCCGAGGAGATCAACTCAGGGTAATTGCAATCCTTGTGGGCTGTCTCAGCGCGAGCCTTCGTAGCTCCCCGGCGGGTAGCTAAGTAGGCTCCCGTGTTCCCAGGATTCCCGCACGAGGATCTTCCCTAGCGCGGCTCTCGGTTACCCTTTTCTGGGGGTTGACAGGTGCGCGCTAAACTTAATCTCCTTTTACTGCTGACTTTGCCCCTGCGCCGGCTATCGCGCGTCGGAGACTTAACGGTGCGATGCAGAAGGCTAGAAGCAAATAGGCAATTGCGCCTGTGCCTTGGGCTTATCGCGGGCCTACCTAGACCGAGGAGTGACGCGGGACGGGGGAAAGAAGCCGGCTTGGCTCCTCGGATTGCCGCACCAAGTACGACCTGCCGAATCCCCCTTTGGACGCGGCGTTATTAGCGTCGCTTAACGACCAATCGCCACTTTTACAACGACGGATCAACACCGGGAAGGATGAGCTGGCACCGATCACATCTTGCGCCCACGCGGTCTGTCCCCGCCTTAGCCCAACAAATAGGTACCTGGCAGTTTCGGACCCTGGTATAATTGTCCAAGGACTTTCTTTTGTTTGGGCAAAGTACACTCGTGCCTCGAAGGTTAAAATGTACCTGGTCTCCGCTTTAATTTCCATCCGCGCGGTACCTTCCTCAACATCTCAGAGATGGTTCTCTACGACAACTCGCGCTACCTGGCCTTCTGCGTCATCGTCCTACTCACGTCCAGCTTCGTTTCTCTGATCTTGCGCGTCTATGTGAGGCTCGCAAAAAGTCCATGGGGATGGGACGATACAATCGCGATGGTGGCTTCGGTAAGTACAGCGTGGTCCGGAAGCCCTCAGCTGTGGTGTTGACAACAAAAGGTCCCATTCGCGTGGCTCTGTTCCGAAACTCTCATTGCAGCCAACAACGGACTCGGTGCTCATGAAGAGCACATCACGCCGGCCATGTCGATGCAAGCTTACAAGGTATGCGCACCCCTTTCCGTGTTAGGTGGTGCCTGTCCAGCTGAATGTCACACAGGCTTTCGTGCTTTTCCAACTCGCTTACTGCACGTCAATTGTACTCATCAAGCTGAGCATCGCCTTTACCTTTGGACGAATCATTACCCACCAAAAAGGTATCTTATGGACTCTGCGGATCACAGTCGGAACTTTCATGGCCGTTACTACGTCCGTGGCCATCTACTGCGCGTGTCAATGCCAACCCATAGCGTACGTTTCTACGAAAATACCATTGCGCCCCAAGGAAACTAAAGATGGAATAGTAAGAGCTGGAACCCTGCGATTGAGGGGCATTGTCAACCGTCCAATATTCTCGCGTCTCTCAGCATGACCGTTACCGTCTGCAGCATCGTCAGCGACATCGTTATCGCCATTCTGTACGTTGGCCTGGCCACACTGTTTGCATTCCGCCAGTCTGATTGCATCATAGTCCGATTCCGCTCCTCTGGAATGTTCAGATCAACCGATCTGCAAAGTTTGCTGCCTGCTTCCTGCTGTCGCTCGGCTTGTTGTACGTATATCCCCACGGAAAGACCCCGGCAAGCTGGATCTAATCGTCTTAGCGCGTGCGTTTGCGCTTGTGTTCGCCTTGGATACACCCTGGCGTTGACTTCGACCGAAGATTATCTGTGTACGTCACTCACGTCGATGATACACAACGGGAAGACTAATTTGATCACAGTCCAAGTATACGGCGTAACAGTCTGGTGTTGTACGTATCCGTGGCCTTGAAGCCGGCAAGATCTCAGGACTAACATCATTATCCAGTTGCCGAGGTTGGCGTCGCATTGACAGTTGGCTGCCTAAGTGTAAGGTCCCCCCGCAAGTGGTGGACGACGGCGTTTCACGAGCCGAGGACTAACGGCGTTCTTTCCCACCAGACCCTCCGCCCACTCTGCGTCTCATGCCTGGGAAGCAGCTTCAAGAGCAGCCGCGGAACTTCGGATTACGCGAAGGGCAATTCGAATTACGCGAGGGGAACGTACGAGCTGAGGAGCAACAAGGACGGCCTCATCCACTCGACCGTCCAAGCAGGCGAGGTCACGACCGCCACGAGCGATAGGGCTGGCAGCTACACCGATAACGACAGCGACCGCGGCATCCTTGGCTCCGACGAGATTCGCGTCACCAAAGCTTACCACGTGAGCAGCACCTCGGCTGTGTAGCAGCATTATTAAGGCGTTTCATATTATAATATCTGTTTTGTGGAGTGGTATAGATTCAACGGCAACAAAAGGACGGTGTTTAATGGCATTCGCGGGTTCATTCAGATTGCTTCATCTCGGGGGCCACACATTTGGCGAGTCACTCGGCGAGACTTCAGGCGGCTACTCAGTGCATTAGACCGATACCCCCAGCGCGCTGTAAATCATGCAATTTTGTAGGTAATTGTTTGGAAGATCGTGGCGAATACGAAGGCTCTGCGCAGTGGGCCTAGATGCTTGTGCGATGGGACTTCAGCTCGGCCTGTTGGCTAGCGGCCTCGGATTTAAACTGACTCAAGGCAAGACGTAACCGTCTCAGACCCATTCCTTCAGGCGATGCGTTCGTGCAAAGTCACCAATCATATCGTCCGGACGAGTCAAGTACGCACAGGCCATGGTTCGCCTCGTACATGGTACGATGGTAATGTTGGCGGGCAAATGAGAGGCCCTAGATACAGCTGACAACTTGTAACTTGGGGAAATGGATCGCTTGCGAAGATGCGCCTGAGACGAAATGCCATGTTCTGAGTCAGGTGTGTTTCCAAGGCGGTATCATCATTGTTGTTATGCTCGGGTTCACCGAGATGTTTCAAGCAGGGCTGGGGAATCGGCTAGCCGATTACCCAGCCAATGGCGGCGCCACACCCGACAACGCCCACGTGAACCAGCTACAAACAGCCTCAACACCGAAGAGGGGGTGGAGGGGAAGAGTCATGGGGTCTGCACTCGCAAAGGAAACCCCTGGAAGAAAAAGAGTCGTCGTCATGGAGGCGTTGCTGGCATGTGCGGTGAAGTACGTCGGCCCCGCGGGTGATCAGTGCGCTTCTCCTGGTAGCTGAATCGTCATCCTCCTCCAGTTTGTGTCCCAGCTCTATCAGCGATGATGAATAGCATGTACGGGCGTAAGACGAGTCTCTTGAATCAAAGAACTCTTTCATTCTCCTTTACTATAGATCGTTCTCGCCGATTAAGCGGAAGTAATATCCTCGGACCTTCCGCGACTCGCGTTGGTAAACAATGCTGTATAATTGGCAGCTTGATTGTATAGCAGATGAATCGAAGAGTAGTTAGCGGACTGTGTCATGCACATCGCATCCTACACAGTAATCTTCAGGGTCCTTGTAACCAGCAAGGTAGACATCATGCACGCTGGTCTTAGAAATGGACAGACTAATATAGAGCAAGGTGATGCGGGGTAAAATAATGGGACACCTCAGAATTGAATGGCACCGGTTCTACCATCTCATCAGGCTATAGAAAAGCTAGCGTGGTCTGGTGTCGCCGCTGACCGCTTCTCCACGACACCGGTCAGGATTTAATCCAAGCAGTCACATATCACACTGTCAGCTTCTATAAGAACAGAAAATGTACCTATGGGAAGTGATGCCGGGGCAAAAGCACGGTGAGTGTAACCGCGGCATTCACCGTGGTCATCTCAGCCCTGTGCTCTCTACCCAAACTCATTTAATCGCGCACAGACACCCAAGGCTGAATGACGTCTTGTTGGTGAGCCATTGTCATGAAGTGAAGTAATAGGCGAAAATATCAACAGTCGTCCTGAATCGCATACCTAATGTTGTTCGTTTTCTACAAATCGCCCGGCTTCAATTGGTGGCTTTCATCTCAGCAAATGTACATCTTAATGGCATTTTTAATATCAGTGCAAGCCGGCCAGCCTTGAGCTGTGCAATACATATGTATGTTGATGATGCAATCTTGCACATTCTTAGCTCTGCTCTACTAGGATCACTAGGCTGAAGACGAATAAGCCCCCCTGATTCTGTGACACGTTACCACATCTCAGCCGCAGCTGAAATTGGTGCAGGAGGAGATCCAAAGGGCTCACATGTATCTCTTTGTGGTTGAACCTATCATGGATTGCTAAGGATTACAAACATTGCACATGCTCGGGATGCACTTTGGACTGGCCACTCGCTGTCCAACGAAAGAGTGGTACAAGCCTTATTGAGACCGAGCCTCGGCCGCATGGTGCATTGCAAGTAGTTTAGTACCGATATAATGTGTGCCATCGGTTTGGACTATGAGCATTAAGGCACTGTTCTGCAATGATGAGGGACAATCGCCTTCCTGAGTTTTCGGCTTCTCTCTAATAGCACGAAGAACATGCTGCAACGTTGATTAAGACCTAGCTTATCAAGTATAGTGCGTATGCGTCTGTGATGCGTGTAGCTGAGTAGACCCCGGCTGTCTGGGAATTGCATTGCTGACGCTCTCGCCTCGAAGTCACTTACACCCCGCACCGGGTTTACGCTTACAGTCATAGATGCATCCGCGGCCGCCGATACTTGCTTTGAATCCCATTTCAGTCAAAGCGGCACCACTCCCATTGCTTCGACCACCCGTAGCTTCAGCTATGTTAAAAGATCACACATTTGACTTCGCAGCCCCACTAGCCTTTCACTCCCCGCCCTTACCGGTTGTGTCAAGAGCGTGCTCCAATGGCGCTCGAAGTGTTTACAGCAACCTCGTACGTCACTGCGAGACAATGAAGGGCGACTTGAGCATCTCTACGTTCTGTAACCGGCACGTTCCTTCAGAAGGTGTTCGCCCCGATATTGGTCAATCCCAACTGTTCACTTTGACTATGTGAGAAATCAGCATCCTTATATGTGCAAATTAGATTTAACCTTACATTATTAAGCCAAACGGACGCTAGAATAACTCCTTGCGTGGACTGTGAAGGCTCTCGGCGGTGTATGTTGTGCGATGGGAAAAAGATAATCTGGCAATAGTACCCAGGAACCAATCAGGTTCTACCGCCGGAAGACTGTTTTGCATGCAAGGTACAGGGACGCCCTACTGGCATTTGCGTGAGATGCCGAAACAGCAACGAGACCGATCAGTCCAATGACCAGACCAATGGGCAGCAGCAGTAGACCGCATCAGACTGATGGATATCAATTTGACGGGCATATATACGCATGGGACAAATTTTGTTCAGTTTTCTCGGTTTAGGCAGTCACGGTGATGCTACATATGACAATTTTCCGCGATGAAGGGCTCGATAATCGGTGCGGTCGATCTGGCGGAGCCCACCCGATCCGGAACGCGTCCTTCTCCACCCGCGTCTTCCTCAATCGACGCCGCTAGCATTGTGCAACCAGCTCTATTCGTAGAACTCAACAATATTTCTCTCAAATCAGTAGAGGAGTCTATAAGAGTCTGCTTTGCTTCAATCTATTTGGTGTTGAACTCAATATCGTCTTAAATGAATGACTAACAATAAACTTATGTAACATCAAAAAACCGGCGACTTGGACAAGCGGGTTTGTCGGATTTCCGGCAGCATCAACCCCCGTCATCCGGCGCTTACAAATTAGGATTTCAATCGGATAGCCGGACTTCTTCGTGTTGCATATTCTATTTCGCTCCCTATGCTTAATTTGGTAACCGATTGGTTGCACTGGTCACCATGTGTTATTGTAAGCAGTCGGCTGGCTTTGCCAAAAGCTAGGCAATATGATGCCATCTAGGTTGGCAAGAATAAATAGATCCAGATGACAACCTCTGGTTTACTGCAACTCCATTGTTAATTGAGCAGTCTTCAGCTAAACGTTCTCATCTCTACAATCTGATACTTCTCACGATTGGCACCATGCCTTTCACACGGTTCACCTCGAAGAACAGCGAAGGCGCCCATCGCCTCGCTGAACAGCTCAACTTTCACTTCTCTGGTAGGACTATGAAAAACCGCCTCATGAAGGCCGCCATGGCCGAGCAGTTGGCGACATGGGACCCAGATAGCGCAGAGAACAGCGGCATTCCCACCAAAGAACTAATCGAACTATATCGCCGGTATGTTTTGATTTGCTGAGCTCCTGGGAAGAGCCAATGCCTTCCTCCTGACATGTGCAGAAATCACTGACGAGTCTTCTTATTCCAAAGATGGGGCCAAGGCGCAAACAACTGGGGCATGATCGTTACTGGAAACATCTCCATCTCGTACGAGTCCGTTGCCATCCCGGGAGATGCCATCATCACGCAGGATGCACCGTTCAGCGGACCTCGCTTCGAGGCCTTCAAGGAACTAGCAGCAGTCGCCAAAGCCAACGGCTCGCTGATAGTCGGACAACTCAACCACCCGGGCCGCCAACAGCAGGCGAAATACGCGCGAGGCCACGAAGTCATCGCCCCTTCCGCCATCCAGCTCGGTGCGCCACTAATTCCCCCAATCCCCAGCGACAGCCGTCCTCACTGACACGCCTACAACAACACAGCCCCAAAATCCCTCATGACCTTCGCCAAGCCCCGCGAAGCAACGCAAACCGACATAACCACCGTAATCAACAGCTTCGCCCACGCCGCCGCCTTCCTCGCCGCCGCCGGCTTCGACGGCATCGAGCTGCACGCCGCGCACGGCTACCTCATCGCGCAGTTCCTCTCCCCGAGCACCAACCGCCGCACCGACGCGTACGGCGGCTCTTCTCTCCGCAACCGCATGCGGCTCCTCCTCGAGATCGGCGCCGCCATCCGCGCCCGCGTCTCACCTTCATTCATCGTCGGCGTCAAGCTCAACAGCGTCGAGTTCCAGGCCGGCGGCCTCACGCCGGACGAGGCGGCCGAGCTGTGCCGCGCGCTGCAGCAGCAGGCGGGGGCCGGGTTTGACTTCGTCGAGCTGAGCGGCGGCACGCTCGAGACGGTCGACGACATGCGGTGGGAGAAGCCGAGCACCGCCGCGCGCGAGGCGTTTTTCCTCGAGTTTGCGAAGCAGATTGCGCCGGCCCTCGGCACGCCGGCGGAGCGTAAGACGAAGCTGTTCGTCACGGGCGGCTTGCGGACTGTTGGCGGGATGCTGGCGGCGCTGGAGGGCGGGTGCGATGGCGTTGGGCTGGGGAGGCCGGCGGCGCAGGAGCCGGAATTTGCGAATGATGTGGTCGAAGGCCGCGTGCAGGCCGCGGTGAGGGCGGTGCCGCCGTTTGATTTGGGCAGCAATTTGGGGATCCCGCTGGTCATGGCGGCGGTGCAGATGAGGCAGATTGGGCAGGGGAAGGAGCCGTTTGATGGGAGTGATGAGGAGCGCGTTGCTGAGTTTCAGAGGGCGTTGGGAGAGTGGTTTAAGGCTACTGCGGCGAGCCAGGATAGCCTTTCTCAACATGGTTACTTTGACTTTTAGATGGCGCTGTACTATTAGAACATAGACCTATGCTAGAAATTTCTTGAACTGCCCATTATCCTTGTTTAATACTATAGCTAAGGTATTGAATGCTAAACGGTCGTAGGCGACGACCCGGGCTTTGGCGGCGTACGAGGGCGCGACTGGGTTGGTTCAGTGGTGGGAGACCCACTTGCGGTAAATCATTTGATAGAAAGGCAAAATGCAGGTCTCATGACCGCAGCTTCGGATATGAGCTTCTAATACGGGCAAATTTCTGTTCAAAGCATGTGTTTGACTGTCAAGTTCTGGATGGACTACACCATATCACGGATTCTTTGATATTCCTCGATAACAGAACTAATCTTTACAGGAAGATCATTGGAAAATTAAGGTTATATCGGCATGCATGCACTGTTGGCGTATACGGCGAATCACGCCGATGCGGTCTGTCCAGCACGCCTTCTTTGCGCAGCCTAATGGATTATCCGCTATGTGCCCCAGCGGCAATCAAAAGCATGTAAAACCAGTAGTACGAGAAGTTTGCCTCATTGAATTACTTCCGGACAGGCTTCTTCCGTCAGTTCATCACCATGGTGGGTTCTCGCCGAAGTACGTGCTTGGGGGTGGGGCATCCTTCATCGCGCCGAGGTCATAGAATTTGCCATTGTCCACAGTGGTCATGCGGGAGGCAAAATTGAGCACCGCGTTAGCGCTTTGTTCCGGCGTGATGTCACCTTGATTGCCACTCAAGTCGGTCTTAGCATACTGCCAACGCGGTCAGTATCCACAAATCAGATAGAAGAATGTAGTGATGTGCTGAAATGCTTACACCTGGTGAGATTGGCACAACGGTGAAGCCCTCCCCCTCGAGCTCCAGCGCGTATTGGACCGTGAGCGAATTGAGGGCTGCCTTGGAAATCTTGTATGCTGGCACCAGCATTGCTTTCAAGGCAGACGCCATTTGAATAGAGCCAAGAATCGAAGAGCTGGGCAGTCAGCGTCGGCCTATTATCATAGTTTCCCACGGTGAGCACTCACACCATGATGATTTTCTTCAAACTGCCTTTCTTCAACAACGGCAGGAAAGCGCTCGTTACCGCATGGACGCCGAACACATTGACCTTGAAAACATCTTCAAGATCCGTCCTTACGCACGTCAGTTTCATATGCACTACAAAGGCGTCCGGGAGAGCTCACATATCCTCTGACTTGTTCCATTTGCTCCCAACTCCAGCATTGTTGATGAGCACATCTAGGCCACTCCCACCCAGCGACTCGGCAACCTTGCTGACCGCTTGTTTAACACTCTCTTGAGAGCTGACCTCTAGAGGGAGCCACTCGACACGACCTCCCGATTTGACAGTGAGCCGCCTCAGGCTGTCAGTTTCGGTTCGCGACGCCGCAAATACTTTGCCAACTTCGGTAGTTGGTTTGGATGCAAGGGCGGTGACCAAGGCAAGCCCAATGCCGCGTGAAGAACCGGTGACGAGGTAAGAGGCCATCGTAAGCAGTGTCTGATATTGTGATCTCTACTACATTTACCAGCGTTTATACTGTTATCTTATATAGTGTAGTCTCGGAAACGGAAGAACGGCACCCGTTAGAGCTGACAAATGTGCGAGCAAAACAAGGTTCAAGACCTCGGAGTTTACTACCTCCGATGCTCGTCTGTGGTTCATGGCTCCCGTATGTCGGAGTTTAACTCCGCATGTGCTGGGGCATGACTAGCTAGGGCTGTGGGAACAACACCAGCAAACTCAAACTCGACAGGGCAGAGGTCAGCAGTTCGATGTCTACCTTTGTGCTATATATTTTTCAGAAATACCTAACAAAAGAAGTATCCTCATTGAGTCTACGCGGAAATCGTTTCTCTTGTTTTCTTTCTCTTTTCCTTTTTGCTGTTTCCCTCTTCAGGACATTAACATGCATAAAATAATCGTTGACTATCCGTATGTAGGCTCTTGACTTGTCCCTTTCACCAACACGCGCGAAATCCTACCTTACATCTGTGTTCGGGCATAAACGTCCTGGGTACCGCTTCCGAGCTTGAGTGAACTTCTGAGGCTTGCTAACAAGCACCGAGGGCTTTGGCCTTTTATGAGGAGATACTCTGAAAGAGAGGGATCGTTTTCGCAAAACAACAAATCCATCATCAATGGAGACATGTCTCATCCCTTGGGAATCTTTGACAAATTTGAAAAAGAGTTCTCGAGACACGAGTGGAATGGATTCCAACTTTTTATTATAAAGAAAAGGTGGCGGAGAAATTTACGCCTTCGCAAAGTTGCAACCCTCCAATAGCAGACACCGTTATATCTTCAAGGCATTGGGTCTGTCTTCCAAGAAAATCTATGAAATCCTGTTCGGCGACAATTGAAATTCTAAAGAGCGGCCGGTTCTGAAGGTGGAAGTGCGCCATAGCAATGAGCGATGGGATTCATCCAGACTTGTACGAATTCTATGTTGGGGCGGACTGAAGTATTATCGCTCCTGCCATGGTTCAAATTGTCGCGATCCTCGTTTACTAGTCGTGGGAAAATGTTAGGAATAGACCCCCACTCTTGCATATTGTGGGCCTCGTTATCCCGCCAATACCCGCCCCAATCCGCTGTGGCGTTGCTGCCTAGTTTAAAAAACTGTTCAACCCCTTTGTACATTTTTCGGGACCTCTCTAACGCTACCCACTCAAGCTCGACAATCCACAGACCTCTCCTATCCATTTTACGACAGGCAATAGTACTCTGCGAAAGCACGAGAACGATTTGGCGTTTCTCTACCAGCGAGAAGTGTACATTCAGCAGTCAGACCCCCGGCTTTCTATTTAACAATGAGGGACCGAGCTGATCTTGTTGAGCAAGTAGATCTTGAACATCTTTCGCAAGATGATTCAAGCATCGTCTCGGACGGTGAAGGAGGCCTGCAAGCATGGCTTACCATCACCGGATCATTCCTTGTCTACTTCGCTTCCTTCGGCTACATGAATAGTTTTGGCTTCTTCCAAGACTACTACCAGCAGCACTACCTCAGCGACTATGCACCCTCTCTGATTGCCCTGATTGGAACGCTTCAACTTGGCCTCATGTATCTTGTTGGCCCGGTGGCAGGCGTTCTGTTCGACGCGTACGGGTTTCAGGTACGTCCAGCACTGGCGGTAGTCCATATTAATTCACTCGAAAATGCTAAGGATTTATAGGGACTGTACGCTATAGCTGCTGTTGGTTCAATCGTGTCCTGCATTGGGCTTTCCTTTGCTCAATCGGGACACATATGGCAACAGTTTCTATTTCAAGTATGTTAGCTTTTCCGGAATGTCCGTTTGCTGACATATTGCAACAATTAGGGAGTCGTATTCGGGCTTACCATCTCGTTCGGAACGCAAAGTACTCTTGCTATTGCTGGACAGCATTTCAAAAAGAAGCGCTCACTTGCCATGGGAATCGTGGCTGGAGGAAGCAGCGCTGGAGGTGTTTGCCTCCCAATCATGTTCTCCCGCCTGGTGCCGCAGATCGGCTTCGGCTGGTCCATTCGAGTCGCTGCCTTGATCTTTCTCTGTTGCTACGGTACGGCTACGGTCATCTCCAAACCGAAACTTCCGCGTAAACCCCTCAAGTCTGCGCGTGAAATCCTCGATTTCGACGGTTACCGAGACCCTCGCTACTGTGCTATAGCCGCAGCCAACTTTGTTGGAAATCTGGGGCTTTATATCCCATACTACTACGTTGGTAAGCTTTGCTTGTTGCGACCTACTTCACACGTCATAATTTAACTTGCTGCAGAGCCGTATTTCTCCATCGCCTATCCAAACGCCTCTATCCGGAGCTACCTTCTTCCCCTCATTAATGCATCAAGCTTTTTCGGCCGCCTCTGGTAAGTCTCCAACTCCAAGTACTTTTGCAACAACATCTTCTGACAGTCAACAAACAGTGGTGGATATGCCGCCGACCACATCGGCCGCCTCAACCTGCTGTACCTCATGACCACTCTGTCCGGAATCATCAGCTTGGCCATGTGGCTGCCAGCCACCAACCCCGCAACAGTCATCGCGTTCACGTGCCTCTACGGATTCTGCTCCGGGATCTTCATCAGCGTCACGCCGTCGGCCGTTGCCCAGATCTCGCCGGAAGAGAAGCTCGGCGCCCGTCTCGGCGCCCTGAACATCAGCGCCATGACTGTCCTTGTCGGGACGCCCATCGGTGGTGCTTTCATCAAGAATGGCACCGTTGAGGAGTACAATCGGTTGATTGTCTACGGTGGCGTCACGACTACCGTTGCGGGGCTTCTGATGTTCGCTGCCAGGATCCTGTGCGATCGGGATCTCAGGAAGAAATGGTAGATGCGCCCCCCCAGCCGTCGAAGGATCGTAGATCATGGTTTTTGGAGGTTGGAAGCATTGAATTAGGCTTCGGCGAGGGCTTAGCAGTTGGCAAGTTGGCCAAAGGAAGTGGTGACGGGACCGGTATTGCAAGTTGGGGTTCAGGAAATGGATGTCCGAAGAGCTGTTCATGTGGAAGAGAAAGTTCGGCAATTATTGGGAGATGAGGAGATTCAAATTGAGTCAGAATGGTTGTGGTCAAATGCGTGCTTTCAAGTGAATGTGATGCTGTAAATCTGCCACGTCACATTTTGCTACAAGGTCAGTCTTGAACAGATCATTCTGGTTTGCTTTGGCCAAGCGCTCATATGCCCCTCAGGGCCGTTATTCCGCTGTCGCTGTGTCTAAATACCTACAACTAACGCACTTGAGCAAGGCCTGAGTTTTGGAGGTGGCTAGGTTTACTCATGAAACTTTGCGGGACCTCCATGTCAACGCCGGCAAATCGGGTTCTGCCATGGCATACCTGACCTGCACAAGTCATTCGGTTGCCTAATGTAATCAGGGTAAAAAATAAACGGAGAGGAGAGTGTGCATGCCATTATCAAGGGTTGGGACTGTAAACCCCGAACGTATGGGTAAAATGCAATGACTGTTCAGTGAAAAAAATAGGTAGCTCGTTGCAAGAGTCTCACTTTGCAGGTGCAATAAACTAACATAGCTTATTAGAAGACTTTTCTAGTTCGACTTTGTCATTATTCTTAACCGTGAATAAGAAAGCAGGCCGTTTATTTTTCATTCTGAAGGACAACAACAAGTGAGGCACAGAGAGAGAAAAAAAAAAAAGGGCAACATCAACCCATAAAGAGACGTCGTAAAAGAGAAATCCGTACAAATTATTGCTTAGTCCTTCACTAAGTATCCCCGTGGAAGTCGATTGCCGTCGCCTATTCCGTCACTGACATTTATGATGAAGTGATCATTGGCATACGCCTCCCCGTCAGGATGCCACTCTACGGTTTCCAACATGTCCACGGCGCACCTCGGGCATATTCGCCGACCGCAGACTAAAATGGGAGAGTTGTAGGCCAGCGATTTGGAAATATTGACTTTCATGATGTCGTCAAATACAAACGTGTGGTGGATATGGCGAGGTCTCCCAACCTCCCCTTCTCGTCCCTGTTCGAAAGACCATTTGCCCAATAAGTCATCGAACGTATAGACGAAGTTATTGCCGACCTCCAATTCTGCCTCTATGTTCCATTCCACGTGGGCGCAACTCTGAGATCCTTCTGGGCGCCCGGAAAATGTGAGTACGTTCTGGGCCATGCTTCCAAGCGCGTCTGCGAGACACACTATCCTGCTGTAGTTCTGAGATTGCACTCGGGTCAAGAGTGTGTATGTTTCGTCGACAGGGGAAGTTGAAAGGATAAAGTCATACGCCACCTGAGAGCTGTCAAGCACAAGCTCGTCGAGAGCGTTCCATGGGTGCTGAGACGCGTTTCGTCCATTGAAGTTGCTGAAAGTCTCCTCCGTAGCTCCAGCACGAATGATGGCAAAGTTTCCGCTGACTGTGCGGGTCTGGCGGCGTTCATGGACACCAGTGGCTACTCCAAGCCGTCCTCTTTCTGTGATCAAGCCAAAGCTGCCACGAAGACTCAAACTCCGAGAAACATCTATCCATTCTGCAATAGCTGATAGATTTCCGTACTGAATTGCGGCGATGTTTGAGCCTTCAACAGATAAAGATGCGATCGATTCCGTTGCTTCGAGTACCGGAATGTCGTTGCCAAGGAGAACGGACGCCGCGACGCCAAACCAGATATCCCATAGGAGATATCCACCCTCTGCAATGTCGAGAAGTAGGCGACTGACATTATGAGCAAGGTTTTGTGGATTTGACTTTGCGGATCTGTCATCAACTCCAAAGCAGTCTGCAATTGCATGGCCAAGCAACAGCGCAACCTGCACGAGGGCCATATTCAGAAGGCATCCGGTCTTCAGCTCCCAGTCCTTCGGGTCGGTGGCTTTCCTGCATTCAATGCAGTTGCAGCTAGGCTGGAGTTTGATGAGCAGATCTTTCAAAATAGGAAAATAAAGAATCAGCCGTTTGAAATCATGATGCTCTGTTCGGCGTCCGTAGAAAGGCATTGTTCCTCTGTCGGGATGGGCAGGATCATCAGTGTCCATATCATCCCCTGCTGGAGCAGCATACACAGGTGTAGTGAGAGGATCATTTCCCCATGATATGTTGAAAATCCCCGGGCTTCGTTTCATGATGTCAATGATCTGCAAGGAAGGAGTCTGTCCTGTCGCGCGTTGGGCCCCAAGCACCACGGAGAAAGCTATTTTGAAATTTGGCGGAGGAGAAAGAAGGTGGAGTTCGAGGAGCCAGCGCATGATGTGTTGAGCCGCGCATCGAATCGGAGATTTGTTGACCTCGAGCTTCTTCTCAACCATACAACTTAGTGATCTGAACTCATACAGACTCTGTCGAGTCTGCGGCTCACAATCCTCCCCGGTCTGAGTCGCGTATCCGGATGACAGCTTGGTGAATTTATCGCCAATGATGTCGAAGATCTCATATTCATGCTTGGGGCCTGTTACTCCTGTTGGAGCGCATGAACCATCTCCAGGGCACGACCTTGTGATCCTTATTTCAAGTTTCTGAGGGTTGTCACCAAGAGCCTCTCGAAAAAGGATTTTCCCACTGACAGTCACCGTGAGGTTGCCGCCGAAATGATGAACCAGCCAAAGCGTGAGGTCAGTAAGGATGTGCTTGGACTGGATCATGATATCCCCCTTGGTGCTACCTAGAGCTTGAATGATCATCTGGAGTCCTTTGCCATCCGTGAAATGGCCCATTTTGCACACGTTGTATAAGCTCACTGGGAGGCTTAGATCCAGCTTCTTCGAGTTCACAACATTGTACCAGATGCTGGACACAATCTTTCTAAGGACACTCAGCATTTGGAGCCTGCTGAAGTGCCCAATCCGATGGGAGTTCTCATGAGAACCAACTTTAGGTCCAGCCAGCATGGATGAAATGCGGCTGACAACTTCGTCTTCTTTGAAAAACTGGTAAAGACATGTGGTAGTTGAGACGAGCCACGAAAGCTCAGAATCGCGCGTAAGCCACATTCCAATGGTACCTGATTGTTGAAGAATTAGAGGTAGTACCGACTGGGATGCCTTTTCAGCGATGTCATCGAGGTACGATTGACCCATGACATTTGGGTGGACAACGCTGCTAGCCCGTCCAAGGCATTCAGCAAGATCGTTTCGGTCCAGTCTTTCACGCGACAGCCACTGCCCGAAGTCGATCCCGAGGCTCAGCAAACTATTAGTCGTAGCGGATGAGCCTATGAGTGCTGTGAGAAGGTCGACATTTCGAGCAGCAAGGTCCAGACGTCGTGAAACGATATCCTGAGAGGGAGACATTGGGGATTCAACTTGATGATGATAATGCTGAAGAAAACATTTCAGCGCCCAGATTTTGATTAAGTGGGTATTATCGAGCTAATAAGAGGTTGGAGGCTGAGTTTTCGCAACGCCACGACGCCCATGGCGCTCTAGGCAGGTATGTCAGCCGATGTGTTAGGATTTCATTCGTCCGTCGAGGGCGAAACACAAGGCATACTCCGTAGAGTGAGGGACTCAGTACAGCCTGAATAGCAGACAAGGCTGCGTGCTTTCCGTCTTTTCCCAGCTGAAAAAAGTTTAAACCATGTGGAAAAATATATCGAAAACTTGCATCAACTTGTTCGTTACGCCCAGCAAACGAGTTGATCCATGGTCCAATGCTGCGATCCTTTCTTGAGTTGAGTTTGTACTTAAAGCAGGATTGAGACATATCTGATGATGACTGCATGTTTTTTTTCACGTGACAGGGCTGTGCATCACGCATGAAGCGCTCACATTGCGGCATGGCGCAAACAAATAGCCAATCACACAATTGCGAGGCTGCCAATCAGTAAAGTATGTCAGGATCTATGTATTACTTGTTTGACCAATTATACACTGTATAGTTATCCTCGCCTATCGTGGATACGGTAGCTTCACCTGAAACATCCTTGCCATTCGCCACTGGAGAAAGATTGAGCTAACGATAAACTACAGACGAAATATCTAAATCCCTTCTTAGACAATCAACCTTAACAATCTTCCGTTACACAGAATGCTAATGTTCGGTGAAACCTTTTCCGTAAAACTCAAAAGAACAGCAGCTACAAGCAAAATGTCCGCACACAGGGCAGGTGTATTTCCACGCGTCCACCCTATTGCCGCCAGTACAGCACCCACAGCAGTACCAGATCCAGCCAACATCCATCCTGATTCCTTGAGATGATAGAGTTGTCCTCACATGGGGTTGTTGTGGCGTAGAGAGCACATTGACTTGAGCCCCAACAGTAATTTGTCTAGGATGATATTTTGTTAATACATTCAGTATTTTTCATAGAGAGGAATGCTGGTATACCTAGGTATCCCCGAGGATGTTTGAGCTGTTGTGTTGTCGTACATTGTTGTTCTCGGACAATATTTTCGATAAACAATGAGAGGCTTTCTTCGAGATTGAATTTTGAGAGAGGACGTTTAAGACCTCTGGCGAGTTGAGAGCGGAGGGTTCAGCGATAATCGCATCAGAAACGGCGCATCTTTATTCTCGAACTTGGGTGAGATACCAACATACTACTAACGCCATCCTTTTCTAAATTTGAAGCTACTACGTACGCTCAAAACCATCGTGCATCCTATACGAATATCCTTGTTTACCCATTATGGATAGTGCGGCTCTATTGCAGCCCCAGCCACTAATAGCCGAAGATCATGGTTTCGCTGACGGCTATAATCCTTCAGCGATCATTTCCATTTGCAGTGTGTTCGATGTCCTCTTTGGGATCGTGGGCCGAGCACCCATCTGATTGGCCTATCACCAACCCTGCGGGGCTGAGTGAGAGCCTCAACTCCGACGAGATGACGCGGGGCAGTAGGGCGAACAGGCATCCACAGACCTGACATCCGCTCCAAACCCCATTCAGCCAAGACTGATTGCTCCCAGGTGTTGACCGAGCCGAGCATGTCGACGAGACGATCCGAGCCAAGCGTTGGCGAGCCGCAGGGTCCGCCTGCGGCGCCACGAGCCGATACGCGCGAGCTAGCCTTCCGCGATCCACCGCCGTCGTTCCAGCTGCCAATCGCGGGCGGGCAACCCTTGCTGTTCGTCCAGGTGGATGCAGCTAGCGAGAGGCAGAAAGCGAAGCCACGTGCACGGACGGTCAGACGCGATGTTCGGAGCCATGTCAGGTTTCATGCGCACGAGAACAAGCGACGGAGCGGGATACAGAAGGCTGAAAGGCACTCGCAGCAAGCGGCTGTAGTAGCTGCGAGGCTGGACGAACACACGATCTGGAGCATTAGCATGGGGAATATTGATCCATTTGACTCGATGCCGGTCAAGGAGACACCTGTTTACCGGAATGTTGTGGAGTTTTGTAAGCGAATGAAGCCTCGCTGCTTTTTGTTTCAGACTGTGGCTGATTTAAAAGAGAAGACTTTTTTGATCTGCCGATTCAAATCCCGTACTCTGATGGTCAGTGTGACATTTCACAAACTTTCGAGACCCAATGGCTCATGAAAAATAGGCAATGTTGCACCTGAACTTCGCAGGCAGAGTCCACCCCCATGGGCGAACTCGTTCTGGCGGCTAGCAAAATTTGAGCCTGCCACATTCCTCGCAGCCATTTGGTACACGGCTATCGTATATAGCATCATGCGAGGAAAGGAGGTGAACGCCGAATTCTTATCGTGGGAGTATCAAGCGGGTGGCCTGGTCGGAAAATATATTGACTCCGGATGCCCCATATCTGACTCTATCGCGGCCGCAGTTTGCTGTCTGGCAATGTGTGCAGTAAGTATCACCACTTCATTTGAAATATGTGAAGCACCTATGCTGAAAGAGTATTAGACCAACCAGGGCTTCCACGAAGTATCTGATAAGCATTACAGCGGCTTGATTGGCATCGTAAATGCTCGAGGCGGCCTTGGCACGTTCGAACCATTCACACAGAGCGTGATCGTCTGGTCCGAATTCTGCTTCCACATGCGCCACATGACAGTTCCAGCGTTGTACAAAGAGCTTTCTCCAGGCAGTTTGCAGCAGTGGAGGGAAACCTTCCCACTCGAGCTGCAACGACAAGCTTCACTTCGGCATCAACGCGGCCAACCTCGCCTCCCATTGATGGGAGCGGATCTTGATGCTATACTTCTTAGCCTACACCACTTGAGTATTGCTCAAGATCCAGAGTGGGCTGGGCAGACGACCAGAACAACCATGCGAAGCATCCTCTACGACTCAGAATACAAGCTTTTGTTTATCCTAGCAGAATTCAAGGTCGACCACGAACGTTCCACGCATCCACCAACCCTGTCAGCGGCGCAGAGGGTACGCTGTGCGGTGGCTCAGGCAGCACAATTGTTCCTCCTTGGCGCACTGAGTGAAATGCCTTTTCGTAGAACATTGTACAATTTTCTTGTCCAGCGACTCAAGGCGACCCTATCTGTATCTAATCTGATTGACCAGTGGGTACGGGTAGCCCACTTACATAGCTTGACATGGGTACTCTTTGTTGGATGGGTCCTCGGCGGCAGAGGCGTCGGTACCAGATTGCCACAAGAGTGGTTTGAAGAGCGCCTCAGGGGGATCATGTGGCAACTCGATCTGCCTTGCGAAGACTTGGAGAAGATCCTGTTACAATTCCCTTTGACCAACGCGTTCTGGGGAGAGCATTGGCAGCAGCTTCGCTGAAGATCGGCGAGCTGAGCTCCAAATTCATCTATGCGCATCGGTTGTAAATGCGTTCGGGCGCACCAGATGATGCTTCATCTGAGCCTATTGATTCCGCCGTTGATAACGGCACATTGGCTGTCCGGTGTGAGACAGAAATGGATGTGGTCTAGAACTGCAAAGCTATCAGCCAAGAAAAAAGAAATGTGCACTCCGCACTTTGCGCAGCGACACGACTGGCTCGCTTATTCGCAAGGGGGTATGAGTTGACAGCTATAGCGAGAGATAGCTGAGACTTCGTATAGTGGCTGAACATCCTGGCCTCCACTCGCTATTTCCTGCCCCGGAGCTTTTGCCATAAGGCTTGCTCAGCACATCGTCCCATAATGGGCAAGTTAAATTTTGCCTCATAAGCCAATCATTACTGACTGGAAGAGGCTGAAGGCTTACAAACCTCAGCCTTGGAGCTGATTATACACAGTCCTGCTGGGATCTCTGCACGATGGCTCAGCTCATGCATGTCAGCCTGCCACGGAGACCTTTATGGCAAAAGGCCCTCTGAGCACATTGATTAAGCTGCCACTGTCGTCAATCACTCTCGTTGTATCGAAGTCATAATTAGAGTGTTGCAGTTTACACGGTTGTGAACAACCGGGCTTCTTTTTATTTCCATAACAACTAGTCAATTTTAAAGTTAGCACCACAGAGGCCAGTGCTGAACGCGCGGTAATATCTTAGAGAGAAAGCTTATCAGCAACTCGGGTCTTATCTTGAGCGCTACATGTCTTCTATATCCATCATAGGGATTAATTTCGTTGATCATGCATGAGTACGCATATCAAAGCCCATCACAAAACTCCTATCAGGGTAGTTGAAGCTATCGTCCGGACGAGAACTTCGAGTTAAAAATTCTACATACACGTCCAGACGATAGCTTCAGCTACCCACATGTGGTAATTCTCGGGCCTCCAGCTCCGCACATTCAGCCACAATAAACCTGGTCCGGCCTTTCGCACCTGCCCTCACCCCAAGCTTCTACCCACTGACTGGCTTCTGACAGCATCACACGGCAGACGCGTGTGCGTGGCGAGCTGACAGCCCTCGCCAGTGTGCCCGTGCTGGAGAGGCCGGGGTAATTTGGTGTTGTGGTAGGTTCTTCTTTGTCGACTCAGCCGTAAGATGGCTGGCAGCCTCGTTTACTTATCCCGGGGGACTTGAGCCAAAACCTGTTCTCTTATCAGCCTTTCATCCAGCATAAATGACTCATTGAGCTTCGCGATCGATAGTGCTGCCTGCAGAGTAGCATCTTATTTGCTACGTCCATCTCTTAGATGAGGCTAGTCTTTAGATATGCTTTATCAACCGTACTGGGGTTTCAGTGTCGCAACAGTAGAATTTAAAGTGAGCAGTGTCTCTCCATACCGCTTGTGCCCTCTCCTCAGCCTTTGCAACCTTTTTTCCAAAAGAACCCAAGCTCTTCACACTAGCACAAACGTGCATCTGCCTGGTAAGCTGGCCCCTTCCTCAAAGCCCTCGACCTTCGAAGGCTTACGAGCTTACCTGTGAATTAGAAGCATGTCACATAGCCCAAACTCAAACCAGAGCCAGAGTACTCATAGTCAGGGAGACTACGAGATGCATCGTTTTCACTCAATCCCGTCCGGCCAGGAAAACCTCGTAACATGCCTGGACCAACCAGCCACGACGGGTAACAAAAGCAATCGGAAGTCGCCGGTTCTTCACTGGAGGCTTTTCGTTGGCCTCCTATGGATTGCAGCTATAATCCTTCTGCTGTGGCTCAACTTTAGTAGCTTTGTCATTGGTGGCTCTGCCTGGTGTTTGAAGAAGCAGTGCGGAGTCATCCAGTACAACGCCGAGTCTGAAGTTACCACCAACTCATTAATCGAAAAATACGACAAGGACAACCATAATTTACTAGGTGGTCTTCAGTTTGCAGCAAAGGCACTTGAGGTGTGGTTCATGTATATCGCTTCAAGCTTAGTCTACCTTGTAGCTTATACTCTCGCTCGGCGAACAGGAGGTACGTAATTACACATGATAGTAAAGAGCGATCAGAGCACTGAGTACCATAGGTCTTCCCACCGGACATATTTTGACGCATCTGGAGTACGCCGATCTCCTCTGGCTGCTTGGTCTAATCCGATCCCTGCTTGGTCTAATCCGATCCAGAACTCTCAGAGTAGAGTCCGGAAGGGCCGTGCTCAGCAATCGTATGCCCAAGACGTACCTGTATCTCTTCACATTACTGGCGGTCTTGATGTGCATTATTGCAAACCTCATAGGTCCATCGATAGCTATTCTTATACTACCCACTCTCCACTGGAAACAGACCAAGCACTTCAACGAGGCCCACTTCGTTCACCTGGAAGCCGATAGTCCACCAGCGGGCGATCTCACTCCTGGATGTACCGCTAACGATTTGAGAAAGCCTGACTACACATGTTTTCAGAGGCATCACGAGAACGACATCGATGCATTGATTATCGGTAACGCTGTCATAATTGACAAAGCAATCAATGAATCGATCGAAGATTCATATCCGTTACAAAACACTGTTGTCTCATACGAGGGTATTCTGCCTTTTGTATACAACATAATTAATCCTGATCCGAAATCGAAAGCGAATGCATCCATTATGTGGGTTCCAAGTAGACAAGTACTCCGCTCACTTTCCAATGACTTCGAACAACTTTACGCTATCTCCGAAGGTAAAAAGCCAACGGAGTCTAGTTATACGAAGCGCTTTGAAGCCTACAACAATTCGAAGTCTCTTGTCCTTCAGCGCCAAGGACCGGTAATCGGGATGGAGCCCTTTTTAGTCTATGGGAGTTTGACAACTACCACAATCGACAGCGACCGCGAAGTTCTTTGCTATCACTCGGAAGTCGCAACATGCTTCGGCGCCCTTCAGGGATGGAATAAGGCAAACAAAAACTACACGATCGCATCCTTCACGATACTCGCAGATGAAGCTAAAGGCTTGCTTCCAATCAAGATGCGGATCTACTGGTCTGACCGCAGTGGCCTATTTCAGAGCAATTCCTCCGATCCATGCCTCAGAAACGGCACAGCTACTGAGAGCAACCAGTGCGACTATGACACATTCCTTCCTGATGATCCTGACGAAAGTTACTTGGTCATGGAACTCTCGCAACCCACTTCTCCACATCCAGAATTGGTCTGGGTGATATTGTTCGCTCTTTCGTACGGTTTTGCTACGTACACCTTTGATGCAACAACTATCTTTCCAAATCTTCAGAATGTCATAGTCCCTGAGCCTCCACAGCCAAATTCAACCAAATCCACAGCATTTAATCCAGCGTGGGTGCTCGCCGCATGGGGAGTCAACCCGGATGGCAGCCTGTCTTCAAGTCGGGACGCGGTTCTCAAGCTCCAACAATCAGCTCAGGCTGCGTTTTATGAGACTATAGTCAATCCTCGCGATTCCTCGAACTTTATTGGAGCACTCATGTACACCATGGCTCAGGCGGCTTCCCTCGTCACGTTCACGAATAGAACCATTGATGATCCCTGGTTACAGCCGTTGAAGACCGACAACAGAACCGTGCTCTGGACGAACATCAAGCAGGAGATCTGGGGTTGGGAGATCGGATCACGCACTTCGATTCTCGGTGTCGGGGTTGCCATCGCTGGAATCCTGACAGTCCTCGTTCGAACAGGGCTACTAATCATCATGCGGGAGAAGCAGCGTGGGACTACGGAGATCATCGCAGCAGCGCTGCAGCATCGGTACCACGGCGAGTTCGGTCGTGCTATGAAGGAGTCAGAGCTTGCTCGTGTCAGATATCAGATTGGACAAGATGAGGAAACGGGGAAATTGCGGTTTGTACCTTTGTGATGAATTCTATTTGGTAGACTGAAGTGGACACAACTGGGTTGAAAGGTATGCGTTTCCAACTTGACGACTGATGAGCTTACTCAGATTAAATGAAGTATATATGAGAGCTTTATAGATTGAATGCGCTTCTCTTGTGCCCGTAACGCGACATGAAGTAATAAATTGCACAAAACAAACCTAACAAATCCAGCTGCCCGCACATGAAGAGCTTTGCTTTGGCGGTAGCTGGCGCCGCAATGCGGAGGCCGTGCCTGCTACGGAGCTGGGTGAAAGACTAGGGATGCTTGACTTGGAGGACTTGGAGCATCACGCCCTAAAGTACCAAATCAAAGGTCCTCCGCTCAAAAATCCATAGCTAAGTATAATTATCAATCTCAAACCGCATGTTCGGCAACCCGCTCGAAAAAAAAAAAGTATCTATACGCTACCTGTTATTATACTCTCGTAATCGGCAAGTGCCTTCTTAGCGGCTTCAACCTCCCCAGCCCTCAACCTCGCCTTTTCTTCGGCGTTCTTCATCTTATCTCTCGCCTCCTTGAACTCATCCTCCGCGTCCTTCGCTCTCACCTTCGCCTCTTCCACCTTCTCGGCCGCATCTCTTATCGCCGCTCTCACCCTCTCCATTACGTCCCCTACCGCCCGCGCCGCCTGGTCATGCTCCGCCTTTACCCTGGCGCAGAAATCCTTCGCGCCCCGCTCCAACGCCTCCATGGCCTCCTTCCGCCTCTGCAGTAGCCGCACCGCACCATCAGAAACAAATGTCGTCAGCGCAGAGCGCCGCATCAGATGGCCGTGCTCCTCGGCGCTCAAGCTCGCGCCCACTTCCGAAAGCTGCCGCATGAGCGCTATCTCGGAGACATCCTGGCACACCCGATACTGGATCAGGGCGACGGCTTTGAAAAACTCGGACGCCTGTTGCGATAAGGCCTGGAGGCGTTCGCTCTGCGTGTTGGCAGCGGCGTGGGCGCGGAGGAGGTCGAGGATCTTGGGGTCCGGCGGCGGCTGTTCTTGTCTATCGTGCTGATCACGACGACTCTGTGCGGCCTCTGTGGTAGTGGCCGTTATGGAGTCGAGCTCCGCGGTGAGCTCGTCGACGTTGCCGGGACGCAGGCCGCTTTGCAGGTTGCAGGCGTAGCGGAAAACGGCGCGCCAGAAGGACCCGCTGGCCGAGGAGGGCAGGGTGGCGCGTGAGATAATGTAGATGGCGTGGATGATGACAAAGACACCGCAGTCGTGTTCGTTGTCTTGCTGGAGCGCCTGCGCTTATTTTCTTAGTGAAACGTTGTTCCTGGCTCCTCACGTCTTCCTTACCGTGGGATCGAGGTACAGATCGAGCTGCTTCTGCGGAGAAATCCCGAGGAATTGCGAGATGGCCAAGATAGCAGGTCTCAGGCTTTCAAGATGAACTCGCCCGGCTATCGAGTCGTACACGGTCACCTTGATTGTTCCGGGTGCAATGCGGTATGAAAGTAGTCGCCAGTGCCGTAGCTTTGAATCGAATAGCGGCACAAGAACAATCTCATCCGACTCGCGAAGCCTGATGGCTTTGCTCTTCGAAGACGCCCATGTATCCCACTCACCATCTCCTGGAACCTGGCCAATGTCTACTAGGCGTACGCCTATGATAGGCATGAAGAAGGATATAACCAACATGATTGTCTCCTCTCCAAGCCAATTTGACCCTTGCAAATCGCGCGTTGCCTTGGTCAGTCTTTCTTGGTCATCCCGTCCGGTGGCAGAGCTATCAGCCTCCTCAATGAGCGATTGTATTCCGCTGGCACCATCCTGAGCTGCATCAAGGCCGTCAGAGTAGTCTTCTGCGAGGTCTGGGTCGGAATGGGGCATTTTAGCAGTATTCTCTGATTCGAGCGAGTCAGGGCTGGAGCAGTCATCTGGCTGCATGTTGGAGGAGGAATTCCACTCTGCAGCTATGGAGCTATCACGGATTGGAGATGTCGATACTGAGTCATTTTCGTCACAACGATCCGACTCTAGCAGGCCCCGGCTCCGGTTAGGAAGCGTATCAATCCTGTGTCTCTTGTTCGGCCGCAATGCAGTAGGTTGTGTGCCGCCTGACATTCCATCTCGTAACCCGTCCTGCGCCATAGACCTCTTTTTCTTTGCATATTTGGATTTCCTCTTAGGGGGCTCCGGGGTTCTATTGGCGGGGTTTACGTACGGTCCGGTTGGCAGTTGGAAGTGATTTGTTTCTAAGTGCTGCTTCCCATATAGAAATCCTGTCAGAGGGTGGTAAGCTAAATCGTGCTCTCTAAGACGTCGTGAATGAACGTGGCCCGGTGGCCTTTTATGGCTGACTGTTTCCTCGGGTCTCATGTCGGCTGGAGCAGCATCTAAAAGTCCCCCCTTCCGCCAGACGTTTTCCCAGTCTACTTCGAGAGGGTACTTCTCATCCGATCCGCCATCTTGGAGACGCAAGACCATGGCGAGATTTATCCATTGGACTATTTCCGCCCATTCGAAGGTGTCTTCCGGCCAGGCAACTATGTCGCTGTAAACGCACCGCGGGATGTGCTCGAGTGCTTCAACACCCCATCTCATCCTAATGACCTGAGCCATTTTCTTCATTTGAAACGGGTCACCCGCGTGTGGTTGTTGTTTTCTCGCAGGAGTCCGAAGGGCCTCGTATATGGCTACGGTATCATCAAGCATGCGCTGCATGTCATCGCCGTAAAGCCCAAGCATCGTCACATCATTGGCCATAAAGGCGATGAAATCGTCAGCCTGAATTGCAACGCCATCACCAGTGGTACGGAGGAGAGTTTCAAATGTTTCGTACACCTTCAAGCGACTTGGCCCAGGGGGCACATTCGAAGCATATGAGACAAGGGAGTCTTGTCCATCAGAGCTTCCCTGCTTAATCCGCTCAAAATAATCTAGGACGGTAATGTCGAGGCCCGAAGGTGTTTGCAATCGGGTACGAGGTCTATGCGTCGCCGTAACCTCGTCTGCCTCTGTTGCCGTAAACCATGAAGGACTTGAGGGGGTGGTTGCGCTCTCGGAGTAGGATAAGGCCGTTGCGGGTGAGATTGGAGGCTGGCGCGGCTGTGATGATGAAGGAGGCGATTGCGTTCGAGCCGTAGTATGTGGCAGGGTAAGCTAGGTAGATATAAAGGATGAACCTGTTTCGGGCGTACCAAAAATCGGCTGGGTGGACGTTGTTGGTCCATTGTTTCGGCCACAGCCGACGACGGCCCGCCGGTAGCTTCCCCGGGCGATACTGTTTTGCACTGATGAACGGTACCACAGAGCAGTGGCAGGCTTCTGCGGACGGGCGCTAGAAAAAGTTTTCGCGGCCCCACTTGAATCGCTTGGCGAGGGAGATCCCTCGTGATGCGAAAGAAGTGGAATTGCGGTGCGTGTAGAGCAGATGATGTGACAGCAGAAGGCTAACAGGCAGCAATGTAGAGAAGGCCAAGCAGATTATCTAGACACTAGACGAAAGTAGAGCATTGCTCTACTACTTATTGTCGTATAGCTGAGGGCATTTTTGGGATGCCTCAGCAATCAGCAGTGGCTAAAGGCTGTAGCTTCAACACATCCCGACATCTATGACTATCTGGAATTTCTGTTCTTGAATTCCATTTGGCACAGTAACGATGCGGGGAGACCGCCGGTGGCCCGAGCGTAAATGTAACGGCGAATCAGCGCTTAAACCTACACTATATAGTACAGCCCCCTCTCGCAGCCGATAGCTAGCATAAAGAACAGTAGGGCTTTAGAACGTAGCGTAACTGTACCCGAGCTTTACCTTAGAAAAATAACATATATGGGTAGTTGAAGTTATCGTCCAGACGAGAATATGGAGATAAGAATTCTACATTCTCGTCCGAACGATAGCTTTAGCTACTTATAACATAAGCAAAAGATAAATTTACGCCATCGGCTCCAAGAGAGGATTTATTATATAACGGCCGCATATGTGCAAATTCAAAGCTCCCCAACCGGACCTCCACGGCTGCGTACAGTGATTAATCTCAAACCACAGTTTCGGCGGCACGCTTTTATTCTGCTAAGCGTATACAATTCAAGCGGTTGTGCTTACGCCGCTTGTAAGCACAACCGCTTGAGCTTGAACGTAGATCAAGTAGGCCATTTAAGGTCGTTTACAATCCGCTTACTTGATTGCTTGCTAAGCTGCTTGTGCTTACTGCGAACCCTGGTATTTCTCCCGCAAAACCCATGTACTGACTGCTATTCCACAAGAAGTACTATCGAGTCTACGTAACGGTGTACGCGTTAAGCTCCCTCGCCAGGTGCTGCGCGAAACCACACATGGTCAAGGTGGGATTCCAGCTCCCAGCCGTCGGGAACAAGGCGCCTCCCGTCACGAACACGTTCTGGACGCCATGCGGTCTTCCAAGCGCGTCGACCGAGCCCCCTGCCTCCTCGCCGCCCACAAACGCCGTGCTCGCTTCATGCACGATTCCAGGAACGCGAACGTTCTCCGGGCGCTCCCTGGACCAGAAACCAGAACCACCGGTCGGACCATCATGCCAGTACTCCAGCCCCAGATCTTTTCCTTTCGGCGCGGGACCCGACATCGCCTCAATCGTCTGGTATGTCGCCTCGTCCATCAGGTCCCACAGCTTCCTGTCGGCGTCGGTGAGCGTGTACTGCAGCTTCACGTTGGTCGTGACGTCTTGGTTCTGCTCGTCGCGCCGGAACCAGCTGTGCGGATTGTGCTCGGAGAACTCGCCGAGCGTGGCGCACACGAAGACGACGTGCTCGGTCGAGTCACGCAGCTGCTCTTCCGTGGCAGCGGCGGCGTAGTCGGGGCATTCGCGCGCCGCGTCTTCCGCGTCCTCCGTCGGGTTCGGGCTGTGGATGGCCGTGACCTGCACGTGGTACTGCTGTTTGGTGTCCGCGTCCTCGCCTGCGAGGTAGTGCGCCGCGATCTCGAGCTTGCAGGGCTGGTCCGACTTCCCGATGGCCGGCGACCATGGCCCGAAGGTGGAAAGCGGCACCCTGGCGGTTATGTGAGTCTGGAAGTGGCCCGTCACTCGCTTTCCCACTGTTTTGGCGCAGCTGTCGAAGCTGTTCAGCAGCAGTGTGGCGGCTGGGAACGCCTGGCGGGATCTGTTAGTGTTTCTGTGCACCGTTCCGGGCGCGTGGGACTTACACCAGCGCAGAGTACGACTTTAGTGTTGTCGTTGGCCCATGAGATTGGCCCAAGGCTCGTCTCAATTGAGCGAACCATACCGCCATCGGCTCTCAGCTTTTCCACAACACACCCGAGCGCAATATCAAGACGTGCGCCGGTCCCCTCCTTCTCCTTTGCCGCCTGTTCCTCTTTGATGCGAAGAAGGGGTCCAGGTACCGAGAATTTGTTGAAGCGAAGCGTTGACGTTGGGCTGCGACGGCCAACAGAAAGCTGGGCAGGTTCGCTGACTGTTGTGGTCGGGATTCGGTCGCCCGGTTCACGAAGCCTTTCGTCAATCACATCCTGAAGACCTGCGAAGATGGTATCGTCCACATCGCTGGCACTGGTGACATTTAGGAGGCGCTTCGCCTCGGGCCAGAATATGGCTTCCTGGGTGGCTTTGATCATGGACTCAGGAAAGCCTCTCATGTCCTCGATCCTGGGTTGCGGCGACCAGGCAGACCAGAAGGCCGATCTGCCGCCGAAGAAGGGGCAGGAGCCATGGCAGTATCCCAACAGAGGGTCTTTGAATGTTTTCTCCGACAAGGTCCAAGGGAACGTCTCAGAGACTCCCCCAAGCACCACCTTGAATGGAAGCGGAAGGTTTTGGAAGTGGCTCGGCAGCCAAAAGTCTGCGTACTGTTAAGCCGACGAGTCGCCGTGGCCACAGGGGGTTGAATCACGCATACCACCTCGTTCTAGGCACAGAATACGCTTCTTTGGGTCGATCCGCAGAGTCTCGGAGATGAAGGCGAGAGCGGTGCAACCGGATCCGACCACAATGTAGTCGAATTCTTCATCTTTGACAATCGTGGGCCACTTCTCATGACTTGTAATGCGTCAGTTGGGTTGTTATGCGACCGTTGCTAGTCACTGACCTGACGAAATAATGGTTGGTCATCACCCAAGAGGCACTCGGATCCTGCTTGCCAGGTACGGGAAATCCTCCTCCGGTTTTTTTGGGCTGTTGAGTGTAGTTCTGCGGCGGATGACCGACACGGTCGTAGAAGTTTGGAATTCCAAACGGAGCCATGGCGTGTGGTGAGAACGGGAGGTAGGTGAGCCGATCAGGCTGCGCAGGTGATGTCCTGCAGAGATGTGACGTTTGAGGAAGATTTTTTTGACCGTTTGGGATGTGGGATTGAAGGATAGCGCAGGCTTGTGGCGGAATGGGTGAGGCATGATCTGAAGGGTTATATATATGACCTCCCGCTTGACATGATGACGTTCACCTGCGGGCTTCAGGAGGACGACGGTGTAGCAGATTGCCAGGGTAAGCAGTCCGAATCCGAGTAGACGGATAGGCCGGCATGGCCTTGTGGTGAAGACCCCCAAATGAAGACTAGCCACCGGCTGTACTTACCCCCCTTTGTGCTCTGTAGCTAGGTTGAACCTAGTAACGGCTCGCCCCGGTCCGCAGGCAAAGCTGAAAACGGAAACACCCCAGGCAGTGGTTTTCGCAACCGAGAGTGATAGGTTGCGGCCCCCTCTCCTCGTGCGTCTCAGCGCAGCAGCAGCAGCAGCAAGACACGCGCTCCTCCACTCTGGCATCTCCACTTGCATCCGACAATCGTCATTGTCACATGGAAGGTGTGCCAAATCGCTTGCTCCCCGCGCCGCTGTCGTGCCTTCGGTGCGCGCTATCGAATCCTTCCTCCCTCGCTCCCGTCTGACGGGCATGCGAGCGTGTAAGGTGCCGCTTCCGATAGGCCTGCCGCGTGAAGGCTGACTTCAACCACGGCCCTCTCCCCCCCCCCAGCTAGTTCGCAGCAACACTGCCCCCGCCGTCGAGACCTCTCCACCCAGACTCAGCGATCTTGTGTACTTCCAGCTGTTGGATCATTGCCGTTCGCAGAATTACGCACAGATTTAGAATCAGATCGAAAGTCTGCGCTGTGACTAGCGGACAGAGGCGTATCATTAGATCACAAGGCTCATCAGTGAACAGTTCCAATCCTTCATGCGACCGAGGCTGCTTTACTCCGCAGACACAGCCCCGCCTAGTGCTACGATGAGTGAGACACTGAGTTGCATGGGCACTGGTTGGCTGATCTTTATAGTACACTCTGCCTTGCCAACATTGTACAAATGCCGTACAAGCTTATCTAATTTATAAAAAGTATTATAGTAACTAGCTAGTAGTAGATTAATTTAGTAACGCTAAACGGGTACATTATTTGGTAGACGCGTTACGATAGGCGGTAAGAGCGGGTATTTAGATTAGTAGTAGAATTTGGGTAACCCGCATTTACAGCGACCCGCGTGGCGGACTCTAATTTTCGCGCAAACTCTGTATCTGAATAGTTGATACATGGTGGTAGAGACGTAAACGCATAACTGTTGATTCGATATTTACGTCAGGTTGTAGTCGAAAGTTTGATTTACCTTGACCAATAATGGACCACGCTATCGAAGTCGCTATCTTTCAGATCCGCCAGCTGTCGTGTGTCTTCGGGCCTCACATCTCTGTATAGTTGTAAAGCAGAACTGAGTGCAAGCCGAGCTTCTTCTTGTTGATTCAGGCCTTGGTGAACAACGTGTTTGACCCAATGTGCGCGCGCCCGCTCTCCCCGATAATGATGCTGATTGCGGTAAATTCCCAACGCCTGATTTACTAAGGCTCTTTTTTCCTGCGTGTCAGCGACAGGACTATTGCAAGTGGTTGGACTGCGTCTTACAGCGCTTCAGACAGCTCTCTACGTTTGGCCAGGTGAGCAGCGTTTTTGCAACACATGTCAGCTGTTCTGTGATGGTAGTTGCCGATGGTCTCTTGGAAGTGGATCATAGAACGGTGGTGGAATTGATAGCTCTGATTCGCATCGCCCAGTGCGGCATGGATGTTGCCAAGCGCCGAAAGCACTCTTCCGGTTCTGTGAAGCTGAATTTAGCATTGTTAAGAGGGTAGGACGACATGGATGATCATACATCATAGACTGGCGGTCATTGGGACCATAGAGAGCCTCGCGTTCTTTTAGCGCCATTGACGCATGGCCCAATGCTTCCTCGGTTCGTCCTGTCAGAAGACAGGCGCAAGCAAGATTTGTAAGCGTCAAAGTCCGAATCGGCGTTAACCTCGTCACATCTTTAATTTTGGCCGCTTCTTCAAGAGCTGCATGGTTGCAGCGCATGGATTCATCCCAATTCCGTAACATGATGTGCGCCGTGGCTAGCTCAAAATAAGAGATGGGAAGCCGGGGGTCAGCCTCAGCAGTTGGAGCCTGAGATGCTTCTATCATCATGTTGTTGTAGATCTGGAAGTTGTGTCGGGCCAGCTCCCCTTGGTTGATCTCTGCCGCATTGCAGCCCATGTTTCGATGCGTTTCAGCCAATAGAATGCGGGCTCTATCAACGTCGTCAGTAGCTGAAGAATTATCCCTGCCATTGAAACAAGAGTAGAGGTTGCTTTGTGCGAGCTTGAAACATCCTATGGCTGGCTCATTCATTCCACGCTCTTGGTGGTACCTGTCTGTGATCAGCAGTGGCCCAAGGGTGGATGGGACTGTGCATACCATCCAAGTTCGTTCAACAGTTCTGCAAAGTCGATGTTTTGGACTAACTCATTTTTGGTAGACGTTGGACTTCGCTCAAACCGACTCTTGAGGCGTGTAATGTGCGGACATAATTCTTCGCAGTCTTTCCAACGCGCAACGCTTTGACGAACTGCAAGCCCCGCCTTGGGCCATGCATTCAGAACGATGAGGCATGCCGTACCAAAATGTTCAATAAAGCTTTGATGGTCAAGCTTTGCCCGTGCGGCATCCTGAATCAGTCGATGAACCGTAATGGTCTGAGATTCTCGGTAGTTTGAAATCAGTGAAGACTTCCAAAGCTCGAATCTAGCGTCTTGGTACTCGGTCATGGTCCGCGGATATCCAGAGCAGTGAACTTTCCCAACTGAAGCCTCCAACATTCTGCCAGATATGCCATCTGGATCAAGGAATGACAGGACACTGAGAAGAGCGGACGAGTGACGCAATCCCTGAAGAGCCCAGACAGATGCAATTGTGTGCACGTAAGATTCTGGTCGGTTTCTGGACTCGAAGGAGAGGCTGAATAGTTCCTGGTGAGCTTCTTCCTCATCATAACGGGACACAAATTCCTGAAACGAAAGGTCCTGGCGAATCATGACGCCTGCCATCTGCGTCAAGGCAAGAGGGAATCGGTCAAGTCTCTGAACCACCTGCTCAGCCCAACTGTGTTCACTAGCTTCATTCTCGCGCCACGTAGCTTTCAGCAGCAGAGAAATGGCGTCAGGGGTGCTAAGTGGTTCCAGAGCCCTGCCGTGCGCCGAGTTATAAAGCTTCGTCTTCGCCAGAGGATCTCGACTCGTGATGAGAATAGACCCCGTGCTTCCAATTGGAGGCCAAAAGTCTACTAGAAGATCATGACTGCTCAGGTTGTCAAAGACGAGAAGCCATGAAGCCTCTCCGTCAGGTCCGTTCTCCAGTCTTTTGTAAGATCGAACGGGTTTGGCCAGCCAGCCCTTGACCATCTCGCGGGTAATGTCCAAGTCCTTGGCATCCAGGGATACTTCTGGCACAAGGCCAAGCTCGATCGCAATCCTGCTAAATTCGCTGGCCAATACCTGTGCTTCGTCGGCGTGGAGCCAGAAAATAGCATCATAGTCATCCAGGTGAGATAAGCAAAATTCGACTGCAATCTGGGTTTTTCCCATGCCTCCTGGACCGCACAATGCAAATGTTGATAGACCTTCCTCACGAAAGTCTTCGGTGGACTGGTTCGACAGCTGAGGCAGTAGGAATTCTTCCAATTCCTCAAGAACATCACGGCGGCCAGAGAAGTCCTTGTTCCGCGTGAAGGGCACCATGTGTCGTGGCAGTTGAGGGTCTCTCCGAACAAATGAAAGCTCTGGGACATGGGGTAATATGTCTATTCGCGGTATCGTATGGAATGTTGCGTGATGGCTTACACCTTGTTGCACTGTAATTATACAATAATTAGCTGTGATGGCTACTTGTAGTATTTTGAAAACTGACCTTCGTCTGCGGGAGTAGGAAGCTGCGAGTTGGAGAGGCTTGCAAGAGTCAGCTCGTCTAGAACTTGCGGAGGGCTATCTGCAGCAAACAATCAGAGTAGTGCAATCGTTCCGCATTTGGGGGAACTTACAGTCCCCTATGTTCTCCTGGATTCGATCTTGGGCGCTTTCGATGGCTGGGCGGAGAAATCTCTTGATTGTGTGGAAATCTTTTCCGAAGGGCCGAATTTTGCAGAGGTTGAAATGATCTGTGGAAACTTCAAGGTATTCTTCAAGGCGGGATTCAGTTTTTGCCATCCCATTCGCTGTCAGCTGCGGCGCAATCAGCAGTGGCCGGGACGGGTTTAAAGCCCTCTGTAGCATACTTACTTTGACTTTTGGAGACTGAAATGGAAGTCCTTTCAGTAGTGTGGCAATATTTTCACATATTGATAGGATGGGTAGGTCTGAGGCGATTTCTTCAAATTGTGTGGACATTTTTGTAAGTTCTCGAGCATCCTCTTTCGAGACTATGTGTCTCTTTCTATACCTCTGGCGGAGTCTCAAGAGGACTTGTGCATTGTTCCAGCACCTGTCTTTGTCATTTCTCGAGTGTGGTGTCCCCAACAAGATGATTGCAGCAATAGCATTTGTGAAAGCATGAAGCTGCGAGCCACGTTGGAAGGCAAGACAAAGAGCCTAAGTGGATCAGCGGATTCACTTGCTAAGTTCAAGAACTCTTACCTTCTTCAAGATAATTCCACCACTGCTGTGAGCAACAAAGATTGTTGGACATGATCGAATCTAATTATCATGAGAAATCGGAAGTTACGAGGGGCAGGTGGATTAGCTACCTGATCCTCATCTTTGAGAAGTAAAAGTGCCTCTAGTAGCTCTGATCCTTGTTCGAAAACCTCTGTCCACGTGCACGAGCCCTCCGGATCAAGCCCATGGTCGAAAGCGTAGATTGCGGGGTTGGGAAAAGATTCATCTGCCATTGCTTCCAGCCAGGTTCTCTCAGATCCATCTCGCCAGTCTTCTGGGGGCAAGACTCCGATTCCAGGAACAGCGATCACTCTGTTGCCAGACAATGAGCACGCAGCATCACCATGTTTGGCTGGGGGGTCTCACAAAGTCCGAGCGTCTCCTCCCCGGGATAGCTCCCGAAGCTTCCGACGTAGCTCTGGCCGGCGGTCCATGGCTGGTTCTCCTGGGAGGAAGTGCGTTGGGCATTGCAGCAGTGGTCGTTGGGCAGAGGGGTCCCCAATCCTGCTCCATGAGCGATGAGGCTACCCCGCACAAGGCTGTCGGGCGCCAACACCTCATGTGCGCTGCTGCAGTAAGATAACATGCGCGGGTTGTGTGGAGCCACGCGAAAATGGAATTCATGCGCCATGAACCGGTGTGCGCAGCCGCGCATACTATGGCGTCAGCCTACGTAAACGTAGCTCATTGGCTGGTGGACCCAAGCTCGCTGCACGATAAGCATTAGTTGAGAATCCTTGCATGTACCGAGGAGCAACGAATAGAAAAACTTGACCACTTAATCAAAGAAGCTTACGCTGGAACAATTCTACATTTATTTCTCGACGATAAATTCAGCTGCCCACAGACGTTGGCTCCAAAGCGCTTTGCGAATCAAGATGGCTGAAGATGTTATAACCTATCTTTACATGATCCCACGAGACAAGCTGTGGGATCACGAAAAACCATACTTGCTCGCGCTTGACCAGCCTGTGAGCATTCCCAAAACAAACATATCTATGGAAAGGAACGATGGCATCAAGGTTGCTGATATCCGAGATCGACTGGGTGACTTTAATATGAAACAAGATGGGTTTTCATTGATGAATTTGGATGTAGACATGAGCCCGGATGAATTTGACAACGAGGAGAAGATTGAGAAATACTTTCTCCCACCTGCGGCGGAATCGTTGAAAGAATTTCTTGGTGCGTCGAGAGTACAAGTTTTTGACTTTTTGGTACGTTGCACTATCACGACCCTACCGTATGCTCACTGAAACCGGCAGGTGCGTCGGAGCCACGAGAGCTTTCCGATATCTACAGGCGAACCTTACGACCATCAACAGCCCTCGACAATTCTTCACATCGGTAGGAAGAATCGCAGAGCTTATGCGCATCCACTGACTTACCTGAAAGATACTACGCCTGCTTGGACGAGACAGCAGGTGCAGAACCTCAATCCGTCGTCTTGGAAAGAAATGTCTGCGAAGCGATTTCAATTTGTAAAGTGCGCAAGTGGCCTTGACCATCAACATCATGCATACTAATTTTCCACAGTGTATGGAAGCCATTGCGTGGCCCAGTCAAGAGATGGCCGCTCTGTCTGTGTAGTAGTCAGACAGTTGATCCGGCAAGCGATCTCCAAGCCCGAGATCTTGTACTCAGCAATACCGTCGTGGAGTCCTATCAAGTGCACTACTCGAAAAGGCACAGATTTTACTACGTGCGGGATCAAGCTCCTAGCGAAGCATGGGTCTTTCTGCAATCAGATTCGTCAGGGCAAACAGGTATGCAATTCCAAAATCTAACACGGCCCGACACTAATTTACGTACATGAAGGCACCCCTCATTCATCATTCTCGAATCCATTGGAAAATGATACTGACTGTGGTCGGGAGAGCATTGAACTTCGGGCATTGGTGTTCTATGACTAGCAGGACTGATTGGGGTTTCCTGCATGTCATAACGGTTGGGGTCTGATAATAAAAAATCATAAACTGATAATGACCGCTCAGCCTGACCTCCTCTCTTTTGAATCCTCTCCCGGCTTGGGCCTCGATGATGATTTTGATTCTTCCTTATACTTTGTGTCGTTCTTCGATTCTTGGCTGTCTTTGGGCCTGGATGAACTTGATGTGGAGCGAGATTTATCGGTGTCGTATAGGGCCTTTTGATTACCAGGAAGGCCTTGGCCCCCAATCACGATATGTTCGCCCTTCTGAAATGCGTTTGTCTCGGCAAGGCGGCTGCGAGGCTCGCTTTGGCTTTCCTGCGCCCCAAGATTGCAAGCGATAGCCTTCCACGGCTGAATGCGGTCGTCTTGGTGGGGATCCATGCCTGTTCGCAGTTAGTAGAGATCCTGGTGATGAGCATCGCCTTTGGAGCTCACCGGCTGGCTTGAACCAAAGGCCTTTTGGAATAGTGAACGTGCAAGGCTTTCGGAAATCGCCACGCTGCGCAAGCTCTTCAGACGTGGCTCGCACTGCCATCAAACGCTTTATATGCAGGTCCATTGGGCAGGAATTCCTGTACGCCAGCCCATGAACATCTGAGCGAACACAGCCATCTGATGATCTCTCTGACTTGTCACGCGGCTTGCATGACGATTGTGGCGATTGAAACCACGTAGAAGATGTACGCAAGCATTCGATGCGGAGTTGGACCGTAATGGGGCAAAGCTGTCACCAGGCACTCATCCTTGGCAACTCTCAGTTCTCGGCTACGTTCGGCTGAATGCGTGCTACACAGCCTGATTCCATGCGGCTCTGCTCCTGTGATAGGGTGCCCTTCAGCCTTGGGTAGATTCATTGGCGACGCCGCAAGGCTGTGGGTCCAGCGAGAATTTTGTGCCGGAACACGTCGTTCGCAGGAAGTCAGCCTGTTGCCCTGCATGTCCGCATCGGTTCTCAGACTCCGTGAATATCGAGGCTTTAAGCTTTGTCCAGAAATATCATATGCGCAGCAGTTAAACGTAGTCGGGAAACATGGATACATGAGCCGCATTGCCAAACTTACTTAACCCCACTTTGAGCATTGTCGTGCAGAGGCATGTGAAACAAACCACCCCGCTTTCTATCTCCGATAAACAAAATCCCGCCATGCATCCGTCAGCGAATGGTTGCAGATCCCCACCACCCAGTGCGGGAGGTAATGCCTGTCTGATAAGCCTGCATGGACCGGCGGAAGCTGACCAATGAGAGCCGCAGTCACTCCAAGGGACTACGCCAATGCGGTTTCGCTCTATGCGCAACGGAACATCTTTACGTCCATCTACCCGGGCGAGCACTTTGACGGACTGGCCAAGTTTCTGATGAGAGGCTTCTCCGGGTCGTGCGCAGATCGACGCTTCGCGCCCGTGGAACGGCCCGGCGAGTTTGCAACTTTGTACTGGATGTCCGGTTCGGACGAGAACCAGCTTCGACACCTGCACACCGTGGAAGAGCTGAAGAAGCTATTCGCAGAGGGCGCCGGGGGTACACCGCTTCTTTCCTCGATTCTTTTCCTCAAGGGCCAGCCATCTCCGTCATGGCTTGCGGGATTGGGCTCGTTTCTCAGTGTGGATCCAGTGGTTTTCCAGAGACACTTGGAGCTTGTTCCATCTTTTGGTGGGCGGCGGTGCTTCTTCTCTCCGCCTTTGCCTTCGGCAGAGCATGATACTATCCGTCTCAAGTTTCCAACAATTGGAACGAGATGGACAAACGGACACTCCAACATCCATGCCCATGTCGACGCAACCAGACGCAAGGGGGCAGAAGAAATGAAACAATATCTTCACCTATCCAGTGTTGCCGTGAATGTGGCTCTTGGAAATTCCATAGTCAGATCATATCACGTTCATGATGCTGAGATATTCTCAATTGAGCAGCACCTCTCTATTTCCCTCCATCAATTGCACGGCAAGTGGATCGGTACATTTCCCATACATGTGCAAGAGAATAGCCTACTGTATGCTGATCAATCAAGCAGTTCTTGTCTGGACTGATGCAGGACGAGACCTCAACGAAGGACCGAAGGGACCATGGCTTGACTCTCACAACGAACAGGTCACACCAGTCACTTCGCCTTTCTTTCCGACATTCCAGCACCTCCCAGAACTGCATCGAAGGTCGAGCTCTATTCCTACAACCACCGAAAACCATCTGAAGGGCCCGTTTCCTCAAAGCGCTGCGCTTCTCCCTTGCAACTATGGTAGGTTCCTTGACAAATCGCTGATGGCAAAGGACGCCTTCTATGCCGTGCATGATATATTCGGCTTCTGCGCTTCTGCAATCTGCCAGTTCCTCAACATGATCGAGAGCGTCATCGAAGAGGAGACGGGATTTGCAGCAATGTCGAACACGCAGTACTCGTTGTCAACACTGCTGTATCACCAAGACGTTCTCGAAAAGCAAACACGGGACCTGCGCTCTTCTATCGAAAAGATTCGAGCCCGAGGCGGGAGCAGCTGGCCGCACGCTCAAGAAGGGGACGGGAAAGAAGACGTTGAAGCGGCCGCGCACTCGCTGATGCGGGATTACGAAGAACTCTTGTTCAGGGCGCACACTCTCTCCAAGCGCTGCAAGAGTGGGATTGCTGTGCTGATGAGTCAGGCTTCCATTGAGGAGTCCAAGAAGGCGATTTCTCAGACGGAGAAGATGAAGGCGCTCACTTTGCTCGGGTTCTTCTACCTACCGCTTTCCTTTACTACCTCTTTCTTTGGCATGAACTTGGGCGCGGTCGGTACGGGTGGTAAAATGGGGATTTGGGTTTGGTTTGTGGTGTCGATTCCCGTCCTTCTGATTTCTTTTGGGTTTCTCAAGCTCATGACTTTTCGTCTTCGCTGATCTCTCGTACTAAGTTGAGCCATTTTTTTTTTTACTTTCTTTATTGAAGCATTGATAAATCTACTATTTTCACGAACCGAACTCTAAGAATGCATTTTATACCTGCAGACAGCGTAGGGGATATTCGTTGCCAGTTGATCATCGACCAACAAACAGGAAACGAGTGACGAACGAAAAACAGGATGAGAGGTAGATCTCATGGACTCTACACGATATTCCGTCAAAACATGCGCTTGCCGGTGTTTACTTTTGTAGCACGGCCGGAAGCATTGAAGAAATCCAGCACCGTGGCAATCAGTGCCACGTCCATATGCGGCTTGCCCATTAAAGACGCCACAACCGGAAGCATCTCCACATCCCCTGAGATCCTTGACTGGTACGGGATTTCCGCAACTAAAACTGTGCATTAGCAGCTGCTCGTGTTCCGCAGAGCTTCGGTTCAGAGGCTTACTGGGTACCGCCAGCTCGGGTGCTCCGAGAATCGCGCTTAAGTCTGTGTTGCGCAAGCCCGGAGTTGGAGCCGTTGGCAGCGCTTGGTATTCGTCTCTATAGTTTGGCTTGGCTTCAGCGATGGGGAGGACCACAATGGTGTTTGCGCCAGGTGCTGAAAAGAATTTCTTTGTGAACCAGTCTCTGAATACGTCGAGCCGCCTTTCTATTTCTTGGTGCTCTTCGAGGGTTACCTTTGAGCCTTGTGTCCTGTGTGTTGTCAGCGTAGCTGCGGCAGGTTGCAGGTGGTTGTGTTCTTACCATATCCAACGGACGCACTCGGATATGAAAGGCTCTTTGTGGTACTTTTCCCGATAGGCTGCTCTGAATTCGTCGAATGCGTGGAACGCGGCGTAATAGAAGCCATGAGCTGTTGCCTGAAGCACAGCATGTCAGCCTAGATGTAAATCAGTCATTTGATAAGCACTTACATTGAACAAGTACACTCCGAGATCCGCCTCATTCTCGGCAGGGTTTGATGCCCAGTGATCTGCAATAGAAACCCGCCTGACCTCGGTCCCGCCGTGTCGGGCGAAGTCAGCTGCGAATTCCTCAAGCATTCTCGACTGCACTTCGCCAACAACAGGCACAAAGTCGTCGAAGTAAATGACCTGGGGATGTTGTTTCTTTGCTGGCTGGCCGGTGATCCAGCCCTTCACGAAGCAGTGAAGCTTAGTCAAGTCTCTGGAAAACGCTCCAAGAGCATCGAAGCGGTCCCAGAGCCGCACGATGCCGTCGACAGGCAATATGCCAGTTGTCATTCGGAAGCCGAAGATGCCGTTGGCCAGTGCCGGGATCCGCATGCTGCCGGTTGCTGGAACACGTATCAGCAACAGTACCGGTCAGCCATGCGGGTTTCTCACCGTCGGTGCCTAATGCTATATCGAGCCAATCATAGGCGGCCACTGATGCAGCACTGCCGCTGCTGCTTCCTCCTGGGATCTGGTGCCCGTCTGCTCGTGGATTGAGAGGAGAGACGGAGTTCACATTCTGGGTCGGGTGCTCTTGTAGAATGAATGCACTCATGCGAGTTTTTCCCACGATGTGAGCTCCTTTCGCAACGAGGTTGCTGATCGCCGATGCAGTATAGTTCTGCACCGAGTGAGCTTGCCGATAGGGCCGACTGTTGAGCGAGGTGGATATTCCATCCAGGTGGAAGACGTCCTTTACCGCAACTCTGATGCCGTCCAGTGGATAGCATATTGACGGATCTGCGCAGAGCCGTGACGGAACCAGGATACCGGGCGCACAATCATCGTCGGAAGTGTCATCGGCCGGATAGAAAGTCGTTTTGGAGTCTTTGGAGGTGAGAGTCGACTGGATAAATGCTTTGTTCTCATCGTCCATGATGCGGAAGACTTCGTAGGGTACGCCTGACATTATCAGATACGGGCCCGGGCGGAGAATCCCCTCCTGGTCACCGGGAAATTGCCCCTTGATCCATTCTGTGTTCCATTCGTGGAGCTCCGATTTTTCAACCTTGATAGTGACAGAGCTGTCGTTGAGTCCGTGGATGATGATGCCTTCAAGGAACTCCTCTCGGAAAACGTCGTCTTTTGCCGTGAAGTCTTCAACATTCTTCTTGACAAAATCGGCATCGATGTCGGTCTCTGCTCCAATCGAAACCACAGTAGCGAGTGAGGTTATATTAGAAAAGTCGGCGCCAAGGGCCTGCTGCGATTAGTATCATTGTTGGCGAGGAGCAGCAGGGGGGTGGGCGATGCGCATACTTTACCCACAGGCCGTGCGAGATATCGACAATCTCCAAGTCGGAACCGGACCCCCGACTGGGAAACCTGCTCTTCCACAGGATAGTGTGTTTCTTTCGAGTTCAAGAGAGGCGTCATGAGTTCCACCTGAGCGAACGCCGAGCTGACCCAGACCACGGCGAAGAAGGCGGTCCATCGCGGAAACCCCCGCTTGAGGGGGAGAGCGCTCTTCGCATGGCGAGTCATGCTCTGTGGGCATCCCACTGTCTGGTGTGTGCTACGACCGGTGTTTGCTACGAGGTGCACGCGCTGACGGTCAGGTCGAGACACGTTGAGCGGGAACACTTGTGTAACGTGGGGCCGCAGCGAATCGTGGGCAACGGAAGAGCGCGGGGTAAGCAAAGAGTAGTTAGCAGCGGGAGACGTTGAACACCGCGGAAGATGGATTTATTTTATTCCTTGTGTCTGCCAAGTCTGAAAACAGTTGCAAAGAAGGTAGGTCGATGATGGGGCTGGTGACGGGGCTGTTTCGCCTTTTTGAAACACTGCGATAAGTAGCTTAGGTACTCACCGCCTCACAAAACCAAAGCCTCGCTGTTGAACTCAGCTTATTTCTTTAAGGCAAGGCGTTAAAGCTTAAATCGAGGACACGGCAGCGGAGAAAGCCTGACAACAGGGACCGGAAACCGAATACCTGGGCTGAGGCGTCCACTGATGCGGGAAGGTAACCCGTGCCATTGAGTACAGGGCTCAGAATTCGGGGGCTGACAGCCTGTCGATCGCCAGCCTTGTACGGAGTCTAAGCGACAACTGCTGCTTGCAGATAATGCTCAGTTTATGCTCTCAACTGTATTCGTCTCCTACAGGGTCACTGCGAAGGGATGTTACTTGTGCGTTTTAATCGTGTGACCTAAATTTTATTACCCGCGGAATCTCAGTCAATCCGCGTTTCAGGCAGACTCTGCATTCCTTCACACATGAAATAAACAAAGGCGGGAGTAACAAAACCAGCTAGTCCAATGCAAGCACCGGGCTGAGCAGCCAAAAAAAAAAAAAGACCACATATAGCAGAAAACGGCTTTTCTTTCTTGAGGCCAAATTGTGGATTCGATCTTAATCAAACCCTATAAATTTTCAAAAATTAAAATTCCGCCGCCTATAAGTAGTTCGCATTCTCTAGGAATACTAAGTATAAGATATTAATCTGTCTCGCCAATGAAGTTGACATAGTGCAACGGTAGATTAGAGGAACCCACCAATCCAGAAGGATCACGATCTCAAGGCCTGAATGACTCGTGTTCTTTAAAGTACTATGCTTCTGATTTTCTCAGACCTCTGCGTTCTGGTCTTATGCGCACTGGAGATTTTGAATATCTTCTCTCAAAGATGTAATAGTCTGGCTATTGCGGACGCAAAGCTCTATTATCTATGGATGTGCGGTCCTACATTTGATATGATTTATAAGTGAATCAAACTATCAACCAACTAGCGAGACCGCCAGCAGCTTAATCACCAATAAGTCTTATAAAATCTCTGTACTAACAGGTATCACAGGCTGTCTGGTTATAACTAATTAAACTGACGATGTGTACTGCTGTATCCCCAAGGAACGATAGGACTGATATTTTAATCACTGTTGGAGCTAAAACTAGAATCAGAGCGAGAGTCATCGTAGTCCCGTGCGTCTTCTTCCGACTCTGACTCTGATTCTTCCTCCTCTTCGAACTCAGGCCCAATCTGCTCCCACTCATGATCTCGATGTGGACTAGAGTCCTTGCGCGCGTAGCACTTAAAGCAGTAATCGAAGTCGTCGCATACCTTACACTTATACAGCCAACCGAAAACCCTCTACAAAGGTGCGAATCCGCGATTAGTTTGGAAGGCTTCCGGAATTTAAGGGGATGATGGTTTTCACTTACAAATTCGCAGCCATTGCAGTTGTTCGGCGTCGGGGTTCCCTCCTTAACCTCGTGCTCCGCATCTACCCATTCCTTGCCATCTGACGGCGTCAGCAGTATCTGGACCTCCTCGTCCGCGCCATGATACCGCGCCAGCTTCAGCGGCGACCACCTCTTCCCATCCGGCCCTCTAACGCACGCACGCAGATCCGCGCCTTTCTGCACCAGGAACTTGATAACTTCTCCCTGGCCTTTTCTCAGAGGGCCAGCCGACCGCTTCTGCACATCCTCATCATTCTCGTCCTCCCCCGCCATTAATGCCATCCTCACCGCGTATCCCTGCGTAAAGTAGCCCCTTGCTGCATGGTGAAGCGGTGTCCAGCCATCCACATCCGCCTCATGTAGTAGCTGCATGCCCGCCTTTTCGGTCCACTGTAAGACGCGCCTGACGAGCTCGAGGGAGGCGCTCTGGGAGGCGTAGCTCAGGACGGAGCAGCCTGCGCTATCGCGCGCGCTCAGGTTCGCGCCCGCAACCGCCAAGGTCTCAAAAAAGTCGACACTGCGCTGGGCAGCGTGGTGCACCGGTAGGCGGCCTGTCTCGGGCTCCGCAACGTCAACGTCAGCGCCGGCCGCAAGCAGCATGTCAACCATGCGCGTGGTCGGGGCGGTGAGGCAGGCTGAGACCAGTGGGGTGCCTAAGACGCCACCGGCGAGGTTGAGGTCGAGCTTTTTGCTGCTTTTGTCCTGCAGTAGCCGGAGCACTGCCTCGATATCGTCCTCAGTCTCGCGAGAGTAGCCGTGCTTGTGAACGCGCATGCACAAGAAGCACGCCGGTGTGCCATTATGGCTGCTCACCTGGTTCGTGTCGGCACCCGCATCTAGCAGCAGAGACACGGCGTTAGTCGGAGCGGTGGGTAGGTAGCACGCCGTGTGCAGTGGCGCACCCCACGAGCCGGGAGCGAGGCCGATGTCGGCGCGGCTACACTTGAGAAGAAAGCGTGCGACGTCAAGGTTCTCCTTCGCGACGGCCTTGTGCAGAGGGGTGGCGCCGTGCTGGTTGAATTTGTTCACGTCACAACCGGCACCGACGAGAAGCCGCACGATGCTTAGACTGGGCTCATCATACTCGAGGAAGTCATTGAGTGGCGTGTCACCCGATCTGTCAGTCAGGTCAAGGTTGGGCTCGGATTCGAGTAGCGTGGCGAGCATGTCCGCACCCTGGTCGACAGCGAAGTGGACAACGGAGGCACCGCTGTCCGTCTGGACGTCGGGCGAGGCGCCTGCGGCAAGCAGCTTCTTGACTACCTCCAAACAGCCGTTCTTGACGGCGGCGATGAGCGCGGTTGAGCTGGGGGAGCTCGCCGTCGGGCAGCGCAAGTCGAGTGTAGGTTTGAACTCGAGCAGCGCATCAACCACGTCCGGCTTGTTCACTTCGGCGGCAAGGTACAGCGGTGACTTGCCGTTACCGACGTTGAGCTTGTCAATGTCTGCACCAGCCCTGAGAAGGAGTCGCGTGTGCCCAGCCCGCTCGAACGCGCCGTGCAGAGGCGTCCAGCCGTCCCGGCTGGTCACGTTCAGCGCCGCACCCGCGTCTACTACCGCCCGCAGGATGTCAATATCGGAGCCGCCAGCCGCCTTGAAGATGACCGGATCGGAGTCCATAGTGGCGTCGACATCGGCGCCGTTCTGGAGTAGGTACCAGACCATCTCAACGTTCTTTTCGAGCGCCGCCATCAGAGCGGTAGGGGAGTGCTCATTGTCTCGGGCGTCGACCTCAGCTTCGTGCTGAACCAAGAGCTCCACAATGTCAAGACGGTTGTTCTCCACCGCCACGACGATGGCTGGACCCCGCTGGCCACTGCAATTCGGGTCCGCGCCATTCTGCAGCAGAAACCGACACATCCGGCCATGTCCTCCCACAACGGCCTTGTACAGCGCCGTCTCATCTTCCTCTTGTCCGTTCACATCGACCCCATAGTCCACTAACGCCCTCGCACACTCCACAAACCCCCTCTCCGCCGCTGCCAGCAGTGCCATCTGCAACGAGCCGGCATTCCTCGCCGCCAGCAGCGACCGTGCCGCCGCGTGCATCCCAAGCCGGCACGCTTCCACGATGACTTCCGTTTCTGCTTCCTGGTCCACGCCGCCCCGATCTAGAAGTACCGTGGCCACATCCGCGTGCCCGTTGACGACGGCGAGCCACAAGGGTGACAGGCCGTTGGCGTCGCGCACGCTGGCGATGCTTGCGTCGGCATCAAGCAGCACCATGGCCACCTGCATACGGCCTGCGACGACCGCGGCGTGTAGCGGGCCCTGTTTGGCAGGGAGTTTGTCGGCGACGTCTACGCTCGCGCCCCTCTGGATGAGGGCTTGTACTACGGCGGTGTGGCCGAGGTGGGCGGCGCGCAGGAGGAGCTGAGGCGGCCAGATGAAGTCCGGGCCGAGATGATCAGAAACATGCTCAACAAGGGCGAGCTGGAAGTCTTCGTGTTCTCCGTGAGAGGCGGCGGCAAGCAGCGCGGCGTTGGCGGTTGAGGCGTCCAGCTGGGCGCTGCTGCTGACAGAAGCCAGGATGCGCAGGGCCAAGTTGCCGTGCCCGTTCCTGCAGGCCTCGATAAGGGCGGAGCGGACGGCGATTTCGTCACCTTGGAGTTGGTCGAAGACGTCATCGAAGACCTCTTCGAGTCCGACGGAGGCGATGAGGGCGAGTGGCGACAGCTGTCTGTCTGGTGTCCGCGTTATCGGATTCGCCACTGCCCAGCGGGCTCTCCCCCATCTGCTCACCTGGGTGCTATTCTGCAGGAAGTCTTGCACGCATCTTCCCAAGGAGTCTCTGTCTGCAGCGAGCTTGTAGTGCTCGTGCCAGTACTCAGCCGCGTAGGCCGTAAGGTCATTCTGAGGCTTGCAGATCGGGGTCGCCCAGACGCCGAGGTGGGGATCGCAGAGAGCTGAGAGACGCTCGTTGGTCGTGCTGGTGAGGTGGTTGAGGCAGGTTCGGGTGATTGTCGAGTGCGCGGTGCTTTCCACAGCGTACCAGCTGCCTGTGGCTGTCTGGAGGAAGGCACGCACCTCAGCATGCGAGAGCCGGACGTTGCTGCCGGATGTGTCAAGCATACCAGGCAGCAACTCGTCCAGCACCCGAGCGAGGTCGCATGACGCACCAGTGGCAGCCGCCAACTCGGCGAGGCTGGGCGGACGGAAGGCGCAGAGCACCCAGCTAAGCGTTATTGCAACAAGCTCCTGTTTCCCCTCGCAGGTGATGCTGTCCAGAGTGTCTTCAACCAGCTTCGCCACGGACGCTGTGATGGCCTCCGGATTCATCGACATTCGTCGAAGCTGGCCGGTCATGAACCGCGCCAATCCAACATCTCTTCCGCACCTGTCCGCAATTGCTTTACACAGTGTCCGTTCCGCCGCCGCTGTGTAGTCTGCATCGAGCAACTGGGGCACGGCCGATCGAACTTCCCGATCTACATCATGATCCGACCCCGTGGGGAATGCATCCCCACTGATCGCAGGCCACTCCTTGAACCCCGCATCAAGGTTGTCGTCCGGCCTGGCGAACACCACAAACTTCCACGCCACCGCCTCGGTGGTGGTGAAGAGTCGCGCCATCTGGCTCCAGAAGGAAGGCACCATATCATCACATTCGCCCACATTGCTCAGCACAGCCAGCGTCCTGCCCCCCTGTGCGCCCCCCATGCGCATCCGCCGCCACGCATCGAACACATCAGCAGTGCTGGCACCGGAGATGGCACGCTCACGCAGCATGCCGGCGTCACGCGGGGATGCTTGACCGGCGCGGGCCCACTGCGCGATGCAGGACAGCAGAAACGCCTTGACCGTGTTGCGGCGGGCGTCGTAGCGATCAAAAGAGAAGTAGACTGCCCAATCGCACCGCAAGGGGCCCGTCGAGGCGAAGACGGACTCAGCAAGGCGATCTGACTCGTCGCGCGGGCCCCGGACGAGGAGGATACTGTGCACAGCGCTCTGTTCCCACTCAGCAAAGGCGGGGTGGCGCGTGAGCCACGCGGGCTCTGTATAGCCCGCCTTGGTCAGGGGGTATAGCGGAGGAGCACAGGATGCGAAGACATCGAGGCTGGGGTCGGGCTTCCCATCGCCTGCTGGAGGTGGGGATATTAATTTCCATAGATGATGTAAGCAGAGATACGGGCAAAACTCACTGCGCAGGTAATTTTTTTGAAACCACTGGATGTTGTTGACCAAGATGCCCCAAAGCTCTTGGTCTTCTGCCGTACGGGTGAGGCTGCCATGTCCTACGACGATCCCGGTTCTGGCCTCCGTACTTAGATTGATCGTTGCCATGTATTTGTCAAAAATCTCAAGTGACGATCTATCAGTCAAAAGTCCTATTACTAGAGGCGTAGGAAGGCATACTTGCTCGTTGACTTTTGGCTTTTCGGAAAAGATGTTGAGGATGCTCGCATGGAGCAGCATCTTCGATTCTACAAAGCCATTGTTGCACTCGACGATGGTTTTGGCCAGCTGATGGGTCTGAACGACGCCTTTGCTCCATGACGACACTTTCTCGGGTGAGGAGAATACGAGCCGAGCGAGTGCATCTGTTAGTTCCTGGAAGCTGCGAGACCGATGTGGGTAACCGAAGAATATCTGCAAGTGTCAGGATCGTAGTCATCCATGTTGGACTCTCCCAGGAATAAGGAATGGTACCAGCAATCGCGCAGAATGCGCAACGTCAACAAATTCTGGAGTTGTGCATGCAACAAATAATGCCTGGGACGGTAAGCATTGAATATCCGGACGGCCGTGCGGTTGGACGGGATTCATACTCGTTTGACGATAGCTCCTCCGATGTCGTGGGAAATGAAAACTATCGGCCGAAGAGCGCCCTACGGCCTTCCTCAGTAATCGAAATCGTCATGTGTTGCAACACACATACTGGCCTCAATGCACGTCTCGCTTCCATGATGTAGCGTAGTAGACCAAATGCTTCAGAAAATATTTCATCCCTGGAGGGGACTGATTCATCGGGAGTGTAGCTGTAGTTGAGCTGGCGACAGTTGAAATGATCTCCAAGATTGAGTAGCCCTTTCAGAGATTCTCGTGTATCGGGATCATGAGTCTCCCATGTTGTTTGGTTATCTCCATAGAGACCATGGACCGTGACGATGCTGCATGAAATCAATTCACATTATTGGTCTGATTGCAGGACGGAACGTGGACAACTTACTCAAAATCACCTTGGTCTTCATTGTAAACAGTTGACTGCGAACCGAGTTCCTCTTCTCCTGATCTCTCCAATTTATTCTCTATGTTAGAAGCATGGACAGCGGAATTGAGTTCATCGTCACCAGAATCGCCAGCATCGCTCTCGGAGCTGACGGAGCTATCATCTGGGGAGCCCGAGGCAGTGATTCCATTCTCTTCGGCCGCATTCGACATGTTTAGTGTGGTGGGAGGCTGGAAAGAACCAGATAGCTAGGAATTCGCTTTGAGCAATAAGCAACTTTTTTGCTCGATATGCTAGTAAAAGAGTGCAAGCAGACTCTGCGAGATGCGGCTCGCCGTGCGGCTGATGGAGACCCACGCCTCTTTTCGCCCCCAAACCCGATGCCCTGGTTATATACCGTTTTCGGAAGTTGACCCGGCCCCTCTCAACTGCGACCTTAGCTCGGACACGTAGACACACAATACGATTGATCTACACACTCTAGTGAAATACATCTGTTCAAATGTCCCATGAATCTACACTGCCGATTGGACGGGGAGCTCCCACTCACCCAGTACTCCACCAATTGTTCAGCTGCCTGCTGTGCAGATCTGCTCAGACGTGTTCGCCAGCGCCATCCAGCGCCGTCGGAAAGGCGACGCTCGCCAGCTCCTCAATGTTCACCGCCTCCAGCGAGTCGGGGTCGTACTTTTGCAGGTTCTCTGTAGGCTCCATTGCGGGATTAAACCAGATAGGATCGTCCTTAGGCCTCGATCCAAAGAGCTTCTGGACCGAGCTTAGGAAGTCCACGGTTGCCTTGATTTTGAACGCGCACCGGAACGGCTTCTCATCGCGACGCTTAAGCAGTATTGCGGTGCACATGGACGCTGGCACACCGGCCTTTGTCATGCCATTCTCCATCAGTGACCACGACGCAGCGTCCGCAGCACCGTAGTTACGGCCCACCAAGTCGATCGACCCGACGAGCTTTGTAGCATCGCTTGTCTCGCGGCTCACGTTCTTCTCCCAACCCAGCTCGGCGCTGGCCTGGATGCCCGCGAGCGGTGGGGCGCCGATATTTAGCCCCAGGCTGCGCTTCTCGTCCTCCTGCTGCGTCGTGCGTACGAGGTGGAAGCTACCATGCGGTGCGATCTTTGCCACCTCGGGGTCATCGCCGCCCTGATCCATCGCGGCGAATTGGAGCGAAATGTGCGCCGCCTTGATGCGGCGGCCCTCCTTCCGGCTAGCGAACGTGAACTTGAGCAGAATGAGGGTTGCGAAGAAGTCGTCAGAATCGGGGTGCGGGAGCCCATGAGCGACGCCGACAAGTGAGCAGCGCACGTCGACCACCCCCTTGCGCTCGGTAACGTTCTTACGCTGGTAGGGTGAGGCTGGGTCGTTTTCGGTGCGGAAGGAGCTGCCGTCGTCGCCGGTGGGGTTGAGGCCGATGTCGAATTCGTTTTCCAGTTCCTCTTCCATTAACTCCTCGGCATCCAGCCCTTTGGCTTCCGTCATAGCTGAGTTGTGGCTTGCTTGCGTCCCCTCAGGTCTCCGCTTTCTTGAACAGCTGGCTTTGCAGGACTAGTTGATGAAGCAAAGAAAAATTTGTCGCATTCGTGAGCTTTCTACTTATCCCGGCAAGCCCGGGTCCATCTTTTTTTTTTCTCAGCTCCGAAGACCATGCCCCACCGATAGCGATGCGAAGCAGGCGTTGCGGGTCCGGCGGGTAAATCCGTATCGGACCCAATCGGAGCCGGAGTGGTGATGCAGATCACTCGGTGCTGCCTCCGCATCAGAGCCAGCTGAAAAGTGTCGGTGGACATGCATTACGGGGCAATGGGGCTCTCAGGGCGGCCCGCATGTCACTCATCTCGGCGCAATGCGCATCGTGGTCCAATGAAAAGTTCAAAAAGTGGCGGAGGTGAGCGGTAGTGCGGATTCTACGCTCCATACGCTTCACGCGCCGCACCCTCAACTTTTTCAATCACAGAGTCGTGAGTTCGAATTCTGGCCTTTCCAACACCATCTTTCGTTCCCCCATCCTAAACTAGTCCTAGAATTTGCACCATTTGAATACAACCTCGAACCGGCACGATGGTGAACAACGAACCCAAATGCCAGCCCCCAGATAACGATTCATGTTCAGACAGCGACTCGGACAACGGAGGTCATGAAAATGGTGATGTCAGTCTTGAAGATCAATTCAAAGATATCATTCATCAAATACAATCGGTCAAGAAGGGCAAAGGAGAAGGAGTAGCTCAAGGGATATTCAAGAACTACTTTTCGGTCTTGGGCAGAGCACTGGAGGATAAGACGAATTTTCTGCACAAAATTGCCAAATATGCCAGGAGAGAGCAGATGGATGTATGGCTTGAGCTCATGAGGAAGATAATAGCGACCCACGGCCACCTCATGAAGAAGGACGACTACGGTGGGAAGACGCCAATGCAGCTGGCATTGGAGAACGGGAGGTCGAAGCTTATCCAAGGCATGCTCACTGCAGTCTCCACGGATGACATTGACGACGTCCTGCTGAAGACGACTAAAGACGGGAACAACTGCCTGCACACCATTCTCGGCACCCACAGCATCTCTTCCGCCCTTGCTCTGGAGTTCATCGAGAAGATGAAAGACCCTGCGAAGGTGCTCTGCACGCTGAACCGCGATGATCTCTCGCCCCTTCACATTGCCACCGAGTACAACCGGTGCACCGAGTCCCAGTACAAAGTTGTCGAGGCGATTATCAACCGCTGCGACTCGGCCCTTGATGTCAACGTATCGCTTGACGACCCCAAAAAACTATCCGTTTACCGCTACCATGAGAAGACTCGCATGGAGGCTCTGAAGAAGCCGAAAGCCACCAAGGAGCAAGGGTCAGAGATGCCAGGCAGCGGCGCCCGCGACAAATCGTACAAGTCACAGGGCACTGGCCCCGGTGATATCTCCACTCCAAACATGCGGATGCCGCAGCAGAAGGCTCCGGTAACGAGTCCCGAGATGCCGCAGCAGCACACTTCGAACTCCGGGACCACCCCACGTGAACGGCTACAAAGGGTCCGCACCGAGGCGCCGCTGGGACACGAAAACGGCAAGACTCGTCAGTACTCAGTCGTCAGCGGCGGTATGAAACCCAGCAAAGGCAGCGCCATGACACAACCGGAGAAAAACAAGTCCAGTAGCAAAGAGAAAGGGGGCGACAAGGAGAAGGGGCCCGTCACCGAGAATTCCGCCAAAGCCATCCGCAACCTGCTCAAGATCCGCTTCATGTGCGGCCGGACGGACCCCGAGAAGATCCTCGCCTTTTTGTACAAGCCGGATGAAGGTGAGTCAGATGCCCCATCGGAACCCGGCGGGCGTTTTGCTTCCTTTTGCTGACGACAAACTCCACAGTGAAGGAAATCTACTTCAGCCTTCCCGGCGGCCCTGGCGCTTCCATCACCAAGGACGTGCTCGACAGAATGAAATACCTCGACTTCGAAGACACGCTTCAGTACGTGCACATACCCATGTTGCAGGTCGAGAAGACCGGGCCCGCCGCGTCCCGTCGCAATGCCACGAGTAGTAGGGGCCGGAACGACTATGTTGACATATTCAAGTGGCTAAAAGAGGAGAAGAAAGTAGAGCGCATCGTCAACCTGCAAGTCGAGGACGTTTCGGAGATAAGGGTGCATGGTGAGCAGGCAGAATTGCTGTCCCACAGCGATGAGAGCATTGAAAAGGCGCTCAAAGGCATCGAGGTGCTCAAGACGTGGGACTGGAAGAAGTTTGACCTGAGCTCGGAGACAATCCGGACAGTGGCAGGAAGGGCCAGCTCTGTGGTCTTGTACTGGGGAGGGAATGATGCCATCCTGCGCAGCTGGAGTGAACGAGAGGGGCTCGTGACGCTTGAGAGGCTGAGAACTGTGACCGTTTACGGTGAAAGGGTAAGTGAAAAGGATGTCCAAGTGCGCTCCCGTGCATTTTTGCTGAGAAAGAACTAGGGTCTGGAGACCGACGCAAAGGCCCAGAAAGACATGCAAAACTTCAAAAGACGATTGCTCTCGAGCCAGAGGATTTTGAATGAGGAAGGGAAAGATATCAGAGACGAGAGGACTGAGGACATCAAAGTGGAATGTAGCCTTGATCCACGACTACGGAAGAGTACGGCCAGCCGGCAGCCACGGAAGATGGCTCCCGAACAGCCTAAGGAGCAACACGAGTGGCTGATCACAATGGATAAGTTTGCCACATTCATACAGGGTCTTAAATTAGACCTGAATCCAGAACTGGAGGAAAGGCCGATCCGAGTGGCGGTTATTGACGACGGTATCGACATCACCGAGAAGTCACTGCAGGGCAAGGTTATTGGAGGACGAAGCTTCTGTCAGCGAGTGGAAAACGAGCAGATGCCTTACTACGTCACCGAAGGCTGGCACGGGACTGTTATGGCGAGCCTGATATGTAGGGTCTGCCCCAAAGCGCAGTTGTATATTGTCAGGCTTGACGAGTACCTGGGCGAAGACGGTAGGCGGCACATCACGGCTGAGAGTGCGGCTAAGGCAGTACGCGCGGCGGTCCACCAAGACGTAGACATTATCTCCATGTCTTGGACCATCGAAGAGACGGTCTCGAATGTGGGGAGCCTCAAGCAGCTGCGGGAGGCAATCAACGAAGCGGTCGAAGCGAACATCCTACTCTTCTGCTCCGCCAATGATCAGATCTCCAACGACAACAGCTTTCCCGGCCTGTGCACCGAGAAGCGCTTCAAGATCGGCGCCGCCACGCAGTATCGAAAGCCGACAGACAGTACGGGCGAAATACCGGTCAACTTCATCATGCCGGGGCAGAACGTGCTCCGCGAGCGCCCGGAACAGGTTCCGCTAGACAGCTGCAACCTGCTGACCGGCTCGAGCGTTGCCACGGCGTTGGCGTCCGGCCTCGCCGCGCTCATCCTGCACTGCGTCCAGTTTGCCGCCCTCCGCACTGAGTTGACCAAACCGCTCAACACAGATGGGTCCGTCACGATGGATGACTTCAAGAAGCTGAAGTCGCACGATGAAATGCAAAAGGCTTTCGGTAGGATACCTAAAGACATCGCCAGCAGGGGTAAATTCCTCCTCGTGGGCCAGTTGTTCAATATCGACAGGGTTGTTGACAAGACCGAAAAGGAAAAGCAAAAATTCGTCCAAGAAATTGCTTGGATGCTTGTTCACTCACCGCTCTCTAGTATCTAATATAAACTGAAGGTTCTCTCGCTCTTCTTGGATTGATAGGCACTACTACTGAAGAGAGATTGCGTTGTATGGATTGTCGTAGTATTAGTCATTAAAATCATTGTTCTCCATCACATAGCCAACGTTTTTGTCTTTCAGACATTGCGTGCATAATTATTTTACAGCTCAATTGAAGTTTTCAATACCAGAATCCATCTCCTTCTTGGTAGAAACACTCCAGAAACCATCAGCGAGAGTATTGTATCCTCTATGAAAAGCAGAAGGTCTGAAGGAGTATCCAATATCGTTAAATTGTGGACCTCAACAAGAACATGGTTCTATGTGTTGAAGGCGCGGCTGTCCCTGAGTTCTGTGAGAAGTTACAGACGTCTTTCACCGGACCGAAAGTCCGTAGAGACTTAGGCGAAGACTTCAAGAGTTGCTGCAAGCAGATTCCACCCTGGTCTGAAGACCTCACCTTACGTAGACAAATTCTTCCAGGCTATCATTTATGCATACAACCGAACGCCAATCGAAGCCCTAATCGGTAAGACCGTAAGTAGAACACGGGAAAACCGATTTCGAAAATGGAACGCCTCTGGAACTAGCTCATAGAGCAGGCCATGAAAAGATACCAGAGCCCACCGTGAAGTACTTTTAATACAAGCCAACCGCCAGCGGCAGAATACATGAACAGGTCAATGAACGGAAAGATGTTTGATAGTATTCTACTATGCCTAATACAGATTCCAATATTTACACGCATCCTTGATGCGCTTCTCCTGATTATCGCCATCTGTGACATGATTTCGCGTCTTTTGGACCGAGATATGAAAGTACTACCGAAATACCCGGGCAGTATAGCTGCGAGCATGAGTCTTTTCGACGATAGCGAGCTCCTTGCGAAGGTACAGCATATTGAACCCTGAAATTGGGATATATCGAACTGGAAAGAGGTAGTAGAGGGTAGTGTGTTAAGTCTGGGGTGGTGGGAGGGCCACCCCGACAGCGGTAGGTGACGATTCGGTGTTGATATTGGTTGGGCGGAATGATACTGAGTATCTATACTCACTGTTTTGGTAGGAAAATATAAACCCTTCTCCCGCAGCCCGATCATTCACGCTTCCTTCCCTAATGCGAGGGATGATTCGAATTTCTAGTGTTTGACTCATGGTAAAAATCGAGCAAAGGTATATGAAACGGTTGACGGGATGTCTGCTTTGACTTCCCCAAAGATTGGTGCCTGACTCATTCCGCTGTGGGTGTGCAGGCGCAGAGTGCCGATCATGCTGCGCCGCAGGGGCACATGCTCACTCTGGAACGCGCTATGGGCAGTACGAGTACGCTATCATGTCATTCGGCTCGTGCAAGACATCCGACACCTTCCGAGGGTAAAGTGACAAGGCACTGTGCGCGATTTTCTCCACAGCTGCTTCACCGCATATCTCGTGATTCGTAGAATGTGCTAAGGACACATTCAGCATGTCCAGACAGTGTCTTCAGCCGGTGACAACACAGCTACGTGCCTAAATCAACGAGAATGAGTTCTTCATCCCGTAAATTAAGTACGCCATTGTTCGATTCTCCCAAATGGTGCGGTGTGTGCTGGTAAGGCGTACCGTGCAGCCATTGGCTCTAAGCCAATCCGAAGGGCCGATCCGCACGATCTCGATGCGTTCCGAGTCGTTTCTTAATTTCCGGCTCTCCAACTCGACCAAGCTTTTTTCTATGGGGTATAGTAAAAGCTTGTCCTTCTGCCAAGGTGTGGAGAAGGATGACGTCGTAAACGAAGTCACGTACTCTCGATGCGACTCATCCACACTCCATGCGATCAGGCCTCCTTGAGTCTTTTATTTTGACTTACTCGTAACTCGTATCATGCTGACAAGAGCCGAATATTCACGGAGGGCTGACTTTCAGGCGACATGGACTGAGTTAGTACTGGTACTCTAGAGCTCGCTACGAATATAAAAGGGTTGCGATATGTCCTCTCTCCTTCTCCTCTCCAGAACCACAGCCAGGTCACCTTCATTGCTCATTCCTCTCCGACAAGCCAAAATTTCCATCTGCAAACCATCTGTCCAGGAATTTGCATCACGGTAGTCAAAAATCCCACCCTCGCGTCCCGTAATAATTTGCCCTGACTGACTGCAAAATATTAGATGAGACTCACGACCACCATCATTTCTCTGCTTCTCGCAAGCTTCACCACCGCCAACGTCATTAGGCGCGATGGTGGCCAGACAGACTGTGCCGCTAATGAGTGCCTTTGCGAGGTAAGAAAGTAGTAGGTGCATTATTGGAATACATTTTATTAATGAACTCTTCTTTTAGACCCCCACGGGTAGGAACGCTGGTGATCATGATGGCTTTGCCACCACCTGCCAGCCCAACCCAGAGGGCAAGGACTGCCTGAAAATCTGCGACTAAGAGCAGACTGAAATCAGCTGGGTGACCGGGGAAGATCTTCTTGGCTGGACGTCTCAAACCTTTCTCTAAGCTATATAGCCAAGGAATATCGAGTTGTTCGCTCTCCAATTTCACGTGATGATGGTTTCTTAATGACGTGAATTTGAATTTCTGAAAATGCATGCGTAGTCAACATTGATTTACGGAATTTCCAGAAGCCGTGACACCAAAGTGGAAGATCCCGGAGAGCAATATACTCATTAGGATCCCTTCTTTTTTCGTATAGGGCAAGGCCCATTTATTGCTTACTCAACGTGCTCGATTGTCGAATCGCGCTTGAAATTACTGTTTCCTGACTGGCTACTCGAATGATTCTTACTTTGGCCCCCAAAAAAGCTTGGCTGTTCTCAGGCGTGCGGAAGGATTTAACCGTCAGCAATTCAAAACGGGTACTAGTGAGGCCCAAAGAAGAGCATTGGCCCGCTGCATGTCTCAACGGTCGCATATTTGCAGTAGTGAGTTATGTTTGAGGGTCGACCTGTACACTTTATAAAATGCGAGTCCCCTCCGAGCAGCGGTCAAGGCCTTGAGTTGCCAGCTCCCACACCCCACCTTTCAACGCAAGAAAATTGCGGCAACGATGGGCACAGAGACTAAGTACTGGCTCTTTGAGTCGGTGTCTCCAAAAGACATTCCTTGGGTTCTCTTGTCAGTTGTTGCCGGCTTCGTGAGTGCTCATTTCACCGCTCTTCAAAAATCAATCGTTTTACTGACTCGCATCCCAGATCGTCCTCAACATTGTAACCTCTGTCATCTACAACCTCTACTTCCACCCGCTCGCCAAATACCCAGGCCCTGCATACGCAGCCGCCACGAGCCTCTCGTACTGGGCCGTCTCCATCACAGGCGACCTGCTACCATGGATCCAGCGCATCCACGCGCAGCACCCAAATTCCCCCGTCGTGCGCCTCGGCCCCAACAAGCTCAGCTTCATCACCCCACAAGCATGGCGCGACATCTACGGCGCGGGCTCCACCACGGCCGCCGGCAAGTCGAACCCCAAGGACCGCATGCACTACATCGAGGAAAAATACGGCATCCTGGCCATCCACGACGACGAGCGGCACGCGCGCGTGCGCCGCATCTTCGCGCCCGCCTTCTCCGACCGTGCGCTGCGCCGGCAGGAGGCCATGATCGTCGGGTACGCGGACATGCTTGTGACAGCCATCGCGCGGGCTTCGTCGTCGTCGTCGTCGTCCAAAGAAGAAGAAAAGGAGAGCAGCCTGGCCCAACCAGCCGTCGACATGTGCAAGCTCTGGACGTGCGCGACCTTCGACATCATGGGCAAGCTGACGTTCGGCGAGCCGCTGGGCATGCTCGAGGCGGGCGAGTTCACGCCGTGGGTGCGCGCCGTGTTTGCCTGGAACAAGGCCATCGACCTGTCGCGCCTGACGCTCGAGTACCCCGTCCTCGACTGGCTGGCCAAGCGCCTCACGCCGCCCAGCCTCGTCGAGATGGAGCGTATGCACCATGCTCACAGTGCCGACCGGGTCGATCGCCGCCTTGAGCAGGGCAGCGACGAGCCGGATATCTGGAATCTGATACTTAGTGCAGAGGAGAAAGGGAATGGGGGTTTGGACAAGAAGGATATGTATATCAATGCCGGCGTATTCATGATTGCGGGGACGGAGACGACGGCGACGCTGTTGAGTGGGTTGACGTGGTTGTTGTGCAAGAATCCGGAGAAGATGGCGAAGCTGTGCGCGGAGTTGAGGGGGAGGTTTGCGAATGGCGAGCAGGTGACCGCTGAGGCATTGGCGAGGCTGCCGTACTTGAATGCGTGCTTGGAGGAAGGGTTGAGGTTGTACCCACCGTTGCCGATTGGGCCAGCGAGGGAGGTGTGCGAGGGTGGCAACGTTATCTGCGGGGAATGGATTCCGGGGAAGGTAAGCCTGTCTTTTCTGCCTCCGTGTGGAGTTTTGACTGACAGTTGTAGACTCGTGTGTCGGTGGCTCAATATGCCGCTTACCGCTCTCCACTTCACTTCAAGGATCCGGACTCGTTTATTCCTGAGCGCTGGTTGCCGGGGACCGGCCATGATGACGAGAATAGGGATATCCTACAGCCCTTTTCGCTTGGGCCACGGAATTGCATCGGCAAGAAGTAGGTCGCACGTTCTACTGCTCTTGTTCATAGTTCTGACCACCATAATCCAGTCTTGCGTATTACGAGATGCGTGTCCTCACGGCAAAGGTTCTTTTGAACTTTGACCTTAAGCTCTGCCCGCAGAGTGCTGAATGGATGAATCAGAAGAGCTATACGCTATGGGAGAAACATCCTCTTTGGATAACGGCAACTCCTGTGTAGCAAAGGACGAACCAGCAAGTGAGAACGTGGACTCTGAATTCAGGAACAGAATTTCCGAAACTATACTATTACGATTGATTCACCACTCACGGTAGCATTATCTGACCCGTTCGTTAGCTACGCCATTCAAAATGCATTTTACATAGACGAGGAACCACGGCACCTTAGCTACTTAGCACAGGCGACAGGCCCTTACGATGGTCGAATTGATAAGTCTTGAAATATAGATCCTCGAGCATTGCTTACTCTTCCACAAATGTCCTACTACGCAACGTATCCTTCGGATACCCTTGGATTTATATCTGGTATACTCCGCGGAGATGCTTGAACTTTTCGGCTTCGGCTACTTCTGTACCCGATTCCGGGCCGATGTCAAACGGTGCTAACAACGTCTTACAGTAACTAACTCATCCTTTTCCAAGTATTCTCAAAAGAACTCCGTTTCCTTTGTGGCATCCTCTTGCAGGGGACACTCGATCTGCCTGCAATCTCTTCTCAACCCTATCGTCGATCATGGGTGTACCTCCTCCGCCCGTCGAGAGCCCGCTCGACGCCATCGGCAACACGCCAGCAGTCCGCCTCCGCCACGTCGTACCGTCCGGCCATGCCAAAGTTTACGTCAAGCTAGAAAGCCTCAACCCGACAGGCAGCTACAAGGACCGCATGGCTAAGAAGCTGATCGAAGAAGCCGAGCGCCGCGGCACGCTCAAGCCGGGCATGACCGTCACCGAGGCCACGGGCGGCAGCACTGGCTCATCTCTCGCCTTCGTCTGCGCCGCCAAGGGCTACAAGTTCCAGGTCGCGTGCTCCAACGCCTTCGCCCAGGAAAAGCTGCGCACCATGGCCGCCTTCGGCGCCCAAGTCGACATCACCCACAGCCCCGACGGCACCGTCACAAAGGACCTCTTCCCGCGCATGACCGAGCACGTCAAGGCCCTCGTCGCGGCGGACCCCGGCGCCTACTTCTGGACGCAGCAGTTCAGCAATGCGGATGCCTTCGCTGCGTACGCCGCCTTGGCCGAGGAGCTGGTGCAGCAGTTTCCCGGCGGCATCGATGCGTTCTGCAGCACCGTCGGCACCGCAGGGATGGTCATGGGCGTGGCTCGCGTGCTCAAGCCTCGGTGGCCGCACATTCGCGTCGTCGTGTGCGAGCCGGACGGGTCGCCGTTTCTGACTGAGGGCCGGGCTGGGACGCATTCCGTGGAAGGCGTGGCGATTGGGTCTATGCCGCCGCTTCTGGACCGCGCGTTGTACGATGAAGCGAGGGCGATCTCGGAGGAGGAGGGGCGGAGGATGGCACGCCGTTTGGCGAAGGAGGAGGCTTTGCTGGTAGGGACCTCAACGGGTTTGAACGTTGTGGCTGCGGTTGATTTGGCAAGAGAGCTGGGTCCGGGCAAGACTGTTGTGACGGTTTTGTGTGATACGGGTCTGAAGTATCTGAACAGCAATCTCTTCTCTGAGGTGTAAATATCCATATGGAGGAGTGAACTGCCCTGAGCTTTTTTATAATTTTACGAAGAATGATGACTTTTCTACATGAATCTAAGTAGAAATTCTAAGCTACTCGAATAGACATTCTCCTTTCTTTTTCCTCATATTGTGTGGCGTCATGAGCGCGCAACTTGCAGCTCAGCTGCATACCAATTTTGAATTGCCCGAATATCATAACTTAAAGCCACAGTATCGAACACTTTTAGATGCTCCTTGCACAAAGCGCCGTTGTTTGATAATCGTCCAACCCACTTTCCATGTCTTCTGGCTGCTGTCACAATTTTCTCAATAGCACTGACAAACTCAGCCTCATCACCCTTCGCCGGAACATAGCCAAGAATGGACAAGGCAAGGTCATTAGGCCCGATGAAAATCATATCTACACGGAGTTAGCGAAGTCATATTCATGATCAAAAGGTTCAAACACTAACCAACACCAGGTACCGCACAGATAGCGTCAACATTCTCGACCCCCGCTCTCGTTTCAATTTGAACACAGGTGATAAGTGTTTCGTTCGCCGTCTTCAGGTATGTTGGGATGTCGATACCGTGAGTGATGGCTGGAAATGCTGAGCCTTGCCCTCGAAGTCCTTGTGGGGGAAATTTCGAACGAGAGACAACAGCTCTAGCCTCTTCGGCAGTATTGATTTGAGGTACAACGATGCCACTTGAAAAGCTTTAGTACTGGAATGAGGCAAACTTTAGACTACTTACTGTGCACCAGCATCCAACGCTCTTTTGATCAAATCCGCATGGGTCATTCTGAGGCGAACAAGCGGTGACACTCCCAAAGCAGCAATGGCAGCGGTCGAGCTATGCATTGAATCGTCGCTGATATGGCCATGCTCACAATCGATGATGATGCCCTTTTCCATCATGAGTGGGGAAATGAACAATCTGAGAGATGAGGAATACTAACATCAACGCCCGACTGAGCTACCACCTGTGCTGTTCGAAAGGACGGAAGCCCCAAAAATGTCATAATAGGCTTTGAGCTGGCTCGGAGAGCATTGAGCATGCGTAACTGCGGGTTGTGAATCGAGGTTGCCATGGCCGATACGCAGGACATTCCGCGTCCAGAACGATTTTGATGAATTGATCAATACTCGGAAGACGCTGTTATAAAGATGTTGAGAAGTGGCAGAGATGAAGAAACAGTGAAGGATGATAGCACGACAGGCAAAGATTTTGTTGAGAAGGGCTTTGAGAATTATCTGGAAATAGTCGTAAGAAAGCCAAACAGCCATGCTAGGGTGGAAAGGCCAACGGCGAAATTGAAGTCTGCCGACGGCAAAGCTAAAAGCCCAGCCGCCGGCGAGACCAAGATCTGGCCGAGCACGAAAGCATCATGTAAGTTTACTCGGTGACAAGGCTGGTGCAACCAGCTTCCAGTCTAACTTCCTGTCGGCGAATCAGCAGCATGCCGGGATCAGTCGGCGCAATTTGCTCTACGCCGTTACCCACCATCCGTACCACCAACAACAACATACATACATTTATTCATTTGCCTTGGTAAGAAGTAGGCTATGTGCATTAAATGTAAGAGATCCACGTATTTTGTCTGTTAAAGAAGGAATAACGGAGGTAAATGAGGCGGATCGCTTAAAGTTTTTGACTGTGTGAAGATTCTGTCAATGGTTCCGCATTAAGCACCTTGTTTAATATTCATTCAAATTGCGTTAAGTCCATGGGCAACAAAATCGACAGCGAGTTTCAACATGGCATTCCATTGAACCAACTCTAAAGCATTTCCGCACCCAATCCTTAACCTTGACGCTGAAGTGTGTGATATCCGAGCTTCTCGCGTGCCTCGCCGATCGTGGATCCACCAGTGATCATTTCCCGAATGCTTTCTTCGCTCTTTTCGATCCTTCGTGCGACTTCGGCCACCTCACGAGCTCGATGACGCGGAACAATAACAACACCGTTTGCATCGGCAACAACGATGTCGCGGGGATTGACACGTACTTTGCCGATGCCCACCGGCTCGTTGACACCTCCCACCTGAACACGGTCCTTGCCGGTCCGCATCCAACGTCCAGCAGTAAAGAGCGGGTAATCATCGCTGATAGCACGATTTACATCGCGGCACACACCGTCGATGACAGATCCAGCAATTCCTCGTAAGCCGGCGTACTGTGTCATGATATCGCCCCAGACGGTGCAATCGGTGCGACCGCCATTGTCGATGACTATGAAATCGCCAATGGCAACGTCGTCGATGAAATCACCAACACTTCCTGGCGGGTCGCTGGCGGGTACATAACGTACAGTGAAAGCCGGCCCAATGGTAACTTTCTTGTAATCGGCCAAGGGCATGATGCCGAATGCTTGTCCAGGAATACCAAGTTTGTCGAGCGCGTCAGAGACTCCAGGGGTGTCTGAGTCGGCAAACAGCGCTACTAATTCGCGATCCTCGTCACCAGCTTGGTTGGGATTTCCTTTGGAAGATGGAGCGGCAGCTATGATCGTTGCTGAAGGTGGTTCCTCGCGGATTGCTTCGAATTGGGTGTCGTGCATAACCTCAGACACGGCCTTACCGGCTCGAACGGCGTGGACCATGAGGGACTGACGACGGTCGATCCGCTCGGCAAACTCCAGGACCTCGTCAATCCTCTGAGCTGGGACAAATACCGTCCCACAGCTATCGGCAATTACGTAGTCGTCTTGGTGGACCGTGACACCTCGCATCTGCAACGCTGTGCCGGACTCGACCTGCACCACTCGATTGCGCGCACTGATCATAGTCACCCCACGACCGTAAACGGGATAGCCGACCTCCCGGCTGCCATCGATGTCACGACTCATGCCATCGATGACGGTCCCACGGATGTGCTTCTCTTTCGAGGCATTGGCGAGGATGTCACCCCAGCATGAGATGCCATCGATGCCACCGGAAATGACCAGGATGCGATCATCCGTTGTCACCGCATCAATGACCGGGGTTAGTAGATGGGTCGTAGGAGCAGCATCCGTCTTGGGACCCACTTTCACTGTGCTGGCGCGTCCAACAATTTTCGGGCAGTCCCAGAGTGGTCGTAGGCCATACGTAGCTCCCTTCAAGCCGAGGAAGTCCAAAGCATCGGACACTGTATTGGTGTCGAGTGCCGAAAGCCGATCCAAAATGCTGGATTGCATTGTCGTGTACACTGTCGTGAGCCGTGGGAAATCAAAATGATGAGAGTACTTCGAAGGGAGGATAACTTTTGTGGAAGGACGAGACGAGACACAGGATTGAGATGGAAAGAAAGTCCATAACCTGCTCAGGTTTACGCCTGGAAACAGTTGAGTTTTATCTATAGAGTCTATTCGGCTCGGCGAAGAAAGTCTGTTACGGAGTGGCTCTCGGCGTTGAGGAATCATGCCGCGCTTGGCTCAACTTCCCTGCCCTTCATCTTACGTAGTATGCTCATAGTTGACTAATTCGGGAGAAAGCATAGCTATCTCTCGGCTTCGTTATTGTCAAAGGCTGCCCTGAATCCCCGGTGTGGAGGGAGGTGGGCGTAGTGCTGTCCGCGAAGGCGTTTCAACATCTTCGCCGAGGCCATCGGCGAAGCGGGTTCAACGCCGAGGCGTAGAGGAGTCACACGCAGACAACAGTGCGGAGGTTTCCTGCTGTGGGCATTTTCCCATGCACGCAAACCCGGTGGAGATGTGCAGGCGGATCGAGGGGCTTTTGGCGAGGATCGATCCCGGGAGAGCTATAGATCTGTAGCAACATAATAGGAATGATGAATGGGCTACAGAATCTAGATAAGTTGATAAAGGACTTAGCGAAGATGCAATAGAGCATGCTCAATGGAGAAATCACGCTAGAGAAGAACGATTTCCCAACGGAACTACTGTTTTTTGTCTTTACCTCCCTTACGCAGTAGACGTACTATGAGAGAGTGGACGCTTAAATGACTATTTCAGACTACTTATGAATCATTAGTATTGCCATTAATTCCTTAAAAGTCTAATCCACGGTACTCGCTTTCCAGGGATTTGTTGCCTGAAATAAGGACTATCGACAGTCATACAGCGCCGTGAGCTGGCTGTTGGGGGCCAAAAACCGTAGCATGTTTGACGCACGCGGCTCGGGAAAAAAATTGCAGCCCACTCATGACACTAAGACTAATCGACATATTCTCCCATCTTATCTTACAGAGCGGGTGGAAGTTTCAAACGCTGCAAGTTTTGCGACGGTGGTAGAATGGCGGCTGGGGAGATTGGAAATGCGAGTCGGTGGCTGCGGCGCAGCAAGGCGTAAAATTTTACTCAAGTTGATAGAAAAACGCCAAGTGTTCGCGGGGGGCTCAGACCACTAGGCTACAGTTTTATTCCATTCCGATTACCCCACTGCTGCCTAGAAGCTATGCCGTGATAAAACTCATCCACGAATCCATCATCACCAAACATTAACCACCCATCTTGTTTCTACTTCCCTCTTTAAGATAAAAAACCAAAAGAAAGATACGAGGAGCCGAACAGACCAATGTCTTCCAAATTCCGCGACGAGCTGCTTGAAAGCTATTCGGATGAGGAATTATTACGCCATATTGTGGCCTCCCCGCGGCATCCGTTCCCCCCAGGCGAGGCTCATGGCCCGTTCCCGTCCAGGATACGCATCTTATCCGAGAATCTTCTTGCTAAGGGATATGATCGTGAGCATCTGCCGGAAGTGACTCGGGCTGTTGAAGTCGCTCACCGGCTTGGTATCCGCGTTCCCAAAATCCTGCGGATCGTCAGGGGCGAAGACGATTGGGGTTACTGCATTATGGAACGCATCCATGGGCCGACGCTGGCGGAAGCCTGGGCGAAGCTTGGCTGGTTTACGACGGTGAGGCTGGCTTTACAACTTCGCCGCTTCGTCCGCCTCCTCAGGTCGGTAACGTCGACCACGGCAGGCCAACTCGTAACGGGCAGGTGTTACTCATTCTATCTCGACGACCGCTGGGGCCTTCCCGATCGAGCAAGCATGGAGGACGTCAAAAGCTATATCCAGTTCTGGGCCCGCTTCACCACTCTTAAGAAGGAAGTAGAGGCCCGCGATCACGGCCGAACCGGTCCTCCGCCTCGAATTCCGCCGATGGGCGACACATTCGTCCTCGTCCACCACGACCTTAAAGCTCGCAATCTCGTGCTGGGGCCTTCTGGTCAGCTTTGGGTGATTGACTGGGATGTCGCTGGCTTCTACCCAATCTATTTTGAGTACGCTGGCATGAGATATTCCTGGGGTCCAGACTGGGGCCGGTGGGGGCTCTGGAGGTGGCGTTTATTTTGTTGGATTGCTGCCGGCCCTTACGAGCAGGCCTCAGACCTTCTAGCTCGGATACGGCAAAAGACTTTGCGCTCCGGATATGCTCGGCGATTCGAGCTTTTGAAGAACGGAGGGCCAACTCGGGATACTGTATTCTAGATGCCCTTTGTAAGTGATTGGAATCCAAGTAGAGGATCTGCTGTTCAAAGCAGATAGCTCTATCAATTTAAAAATACTTCATGCGGCCTCTTTCTAACGAAATATGATTAGTCTTGTCTTTTCATACCTTGCCGACAGGATGAAGTGGCTAAAGCTGCTCGTAACACGTGAGCTGCAGTCAGAACCTGAAGAAATTCCACAAAAACACCCCATAGACGTGCCTCCCGCTGGAAGAGCTGAGTGCCGCTTTCATTACTATTTCGGAACCCGTGATCATTGGTAGACGGCCGTTGATGACCAGAAAGCCCGATCCATGGTACTCCTGTTCAGAGTATCGTGCGTAGAAATCCCCAACCAACCAGAACCCCCGCACCCCGCAATTCCCCGGCGATTCTCCGCACAATATGTGGACAACTTAGCAGAACGTCTACAATACACTAAAGCAAGATGCGAACCAAGAGTAAGAGTCCTGGAATAGCGAAGCGCCGAAGAAGACTGGTAATGCAAGTTGTCGGGCCTTGTTCGTGAGTCCAGATAGTAGTCATTTGATGGTTCGGTTTGGTTGAGGGGCAAAGCAACCATGGCCGGCTGTCGGCCTGAGTAAGGCGGGGAGATGTCGGCCGCCATGATGCCGTGCTGCGGAGATATTTTGGACATCTATAGTTGGTGACAGGACAATTGAAAGCAGGCATTTCATTAAATCATCTATTCATAAAGTACCTCTGATGGCATCTATCCTGAGGGGGGCATCACATCGAGAATCCAAACCAATCGCTAAAAACAAGGGAGAAGTCAGAGATCCTCATTATCATCCGTCTGCGTATCCGCCTCGGTGGTGGACCCCGGCACGAAGCGCAGATCCGGGTCCATCTGTGCGTCTGTCAGCATTGCCATCTCACTTGGGCTGCTCTCGCTCTCCTTGGTTCCGCCTGGGAGAGCAGCTGGCTGGTCCAAAAGACTGGGAGCGCCATCGCCGTCATCATCACCGGGACTTTTCTTGATAGTGCTTCACGCTAAGATGAAAACTACAGCAGGGGCCGCCATTGTTGTTCTGGGCGACGACTACATGGCTGTTGAGTATAGAGTTGAGTTGCGGATGGTGGCGGCGTGCGGGAGGCATAAGTGGCTACGAGTAGGATCAGCAAGTCAGGTTAAGGTAGAAGAGAAAAGGGCAAACGAGGACCTCGCAATAGCGGATTCCCTCCCACCCGGGCTTTGCATGACTCGAGCAGCCCTGACTCGGTTCGGGCAGCGATGGTCGCCAGCGCGGCGAAGATGCGATCCGGCGGCCAGTCGACCGGCGCCAGACGACTTGCCCCCACCTCGGACGAGATGGGCCCTATGAAACCACAGGGATGGCAAGCCCGGTGCCCGTATCGAGAGGCCGACGCAAAAGGCAATCATCACCAGCGCTGCGGTGCTCCGACTTGGCTACCAATCTACCGGCGCCAGACGACTTACCCCCACCTCAGAGGAGATGGGCCCTATGAAGCCACAGGGATGGAAAGCCCGGTGCCCGTATAGAAAGGCTGGCGCGAAAGGAAGCAGACGCAGCGTCAGGACCAACCCGAACACCAAAGCAGAGCGGGCAGTCCCAACCACCGGCGACGACGTTCAGCCTATGAAGACGAAATGATGGTAAGTGCTGAAGGGCGAATGCAACGGGTGTCGGAAGAGGATCGGGCCTGAGGCGAGGGGTACGTACAGCGAAACTCAAGCGTTGAACTGATGCAATTGCGGAGGAGTGGCGGGCGCGAAAGTGGAGAAGCGGAAGTTGAAACGCGGTCGCGCAGGCGCAGGTGAGGCCGGATCGGCTGCGCGATCTTCCGGCCCGCGCCGCCGGGCGCCGCTCGACCCCGCTAGGCGCCAGCGAAACGCGCTAATCCCCGCGACGCGTCTTCCGGCGACGCGTCTTTCAACAGCGCGTCATCCAGCACGCCCGAAACATCCGCCTCCGCCGCCGCTACCTACTGCGCCGAAATAGGTCAGCTACGAGTCCCACTTCCCCGCCTATCTGGCGTCATTGCACCCTCCACCCAGCGCCCCGACGCGCCCACCACCACTCCTTCCGAATTGCAGCGATCCGACAACGACAAGACCGTCACATTCAATACAAGGGATGTGGGAAGGCATAGGCATAATCTAAGGGTGCAGTAGTCCCGAGTGTCATGGAAAAGCACGCTCGTTGACAGCGCCAACACCGGTCGCCGTGGTCAAGTTCTACGACAGTCGGCGAAACGCTAGCGGTCGGAGGGCGGGCTTGCGCTAGCGGCGGCTGCGAGAACTGCGCGCATGGTGTGCACAGAGACACGGCCATGTCGAGCACCTCTTATCTTCTCCATACCGACGCAGATCCCTTCTGTTACGACACCGACTCAGCAATATCCAATTCCAGCTCCTCCGAGCTCAACCGCCTTCACTCGCGCGTTTGATTCGGAGTTTTGGGGGGTGCAACTCCCAGCCAGAGCCCAACTCTCGTCCCGCTTCAGCCCTCCCGGCGGCTTTGCTGGTGAACAACACCCTTTATTCGACACATTCCGTAGAATCTCTTCCGCGGCAGGTTCTACGCCGTTGACATGGCGGTCTTATATGCAGTTGGATGTCACCACCGACACAGCCGGAGACGAGGCTAGCTGCGGGCATTGTACTTGCTGCCGAACCGCGAGGGAATACCGGCCCCGATTGTACAGTCCTGCGTCGTAGTTCGTCCTCACGGGCCGAGGATGTAAGGCATGTGCGGGTTTCTCGTGCTGCGCGGCCGAGAGAGTCCATGTGTGCTCCTCCGTCGTCCTTCCAGCCCCGCCAACCACTTACTCCCGCGATGCAGTTGGGTTCTCCGCAACTCTTGGATCAGAGTCAGCAGGGGAAAGTAACAAAAATTCCGATGAGGTAGGTGACTTACATGGTGACAGTGACTGCTATCGAGGAGCGATTCGAGGTGCCTACAGAGCCTTCCTTTTGCACACCTGTAGAAGAGAAGGTCCTTGTTGCTGCTGTTACTGTCGCCGTCCCTATTGTTTTATGGACGCTTTTGGTGTATGCGAAGCATGATGAGTAGGCAAGATAATATCATTTGCAGTATCGATCCATCCCTTCTTCCGCATCCCTCTTCTGCATCCTCCCGAAGTTGCCTTTCCTGCACCAGACCACTCGTCTCACATCCATTCATGACTACCAACACGTGCACAAGCCTCTAAGCCAGAGCCACTCCAGTAGTGCTGCAACTGAAGGCTGTGACGTACTTGTATGGTTGGTCCAACTGTTGCCTGGGGCTGATAGTTCACTGGCCAGAATCGCCGCCCAACTTGATTGAGTCTAGGCAGATCAATTCAAATTCATTTTTACGGAAACCGCTAAACAATCTGTATCGTCTCGAACTTCAAGTCTTTTCCCCTCAACGAACGAGTTGCGCTTTGTTTAGTCTCGTCCTCCCACAGTTCTCCACTCATGATTCCATGCACGTAGCACTCCCCAACTAGTCTGTATCGGCGCCTATCTCCATGATCGGAATCGGAAGTTTCTGGGCTCAACAAAAACGGCACTTCGCCACCAACCAAGTCCCACACCTCATCCCCTTCAGACATGTAGTCAGGTCCTAGGCCGATGAGCCCGTTGTCGGTCTTAAAAACGACACGGGCGGAAGAGAATGTCAGCATGTTTGAGCCCATCTTGTCAACGACGCGGGCTGCTACGGAAATTCCCCCATGTTTGTCTTGAAACAACTCCTGTCGCGCAGGCACCCATGCCTGGGCCGAACCACCTCCGAACGAATAGAGTGGGTAATCGAGGATGGACCAGGCGAGGTCGCAAACAGTAAGAAAGTCTTTGACATCTTGCAGACTCGCCTCTTTGACGCTGCTAGTCGCAGCTTCGTCATCCAGAGATTCTTTCTGCCGAGTGTAGATGGCCAGCAGCGTCGCCACCCATTCAGGTGGTATGTGCTCGTCTTTTCTGTTCTTAGGCTGTCTAAATCCAACCCTCCCCGGGCCAAAGCCGGGCGTCTGCTCTGCGTACTCGTAGCTGAAAGCCAGTATTGAACTGTAATCGACAGACGGATCATCGTTTTTCATCTGCTTTATAAGATCTTTGACGAATGATGACTGCGCTGGGTCCTTTTTCTGTTCGATCATATGGTGGCGGATACTACGAAGGAGGGATAGAAGCTGAGTGCGAGCATTTGTGGCAGCTCCCAGCACGAACTTTCGCATATATTCGGCGCTCGGTAGCCTGTTTGCAGCTAGGGTCCGCAGTAGCGCCGTCTGTGAGCTCTCTCCAGTCTGCTTGTATAGCTCAGGCAGAGTGCACGAGCGCAGCAGCTTGCGAAACTCGGGCGCAAACGTGTTCCAGCGTTGGTCGACTCTGCGATAGTAAAACTTTGAGCTTCCCACAGAAAGAGCTTGCAAAAAGGCCGCAGGCGAATGAGTGGATACTACATTGCCTAAATACGCTCCTCTTTGGTGGAGGGTCTTTCCGGACAGGACTGACGCGGGGCTGGAGTCAAAGACTTGAATTCCATTGAGTCGGTATGTCGTAGTTTCTTCAATTCCCCAGTCGAAACCCTGTAGCACTGCTGTGCGGCGCTGAACACGCCAGTCTGGCACCCATGAAGGCAGGCTTGGCTTTTGGAGTGGACCAAGACAATTCGAGAGGAGACGGAGATCGCCACTGCGCGCTAAGATGTCTCGGGCACAGTGGATGTACAGTTCCATCACATCCATGGAATAGTCTGGGACGACTACGGCTCTCTCATCCGCAGGGAGTAGCCCAAGCATACCGAATACCTTGTCCCGGTCATCGGTCGCTTCGCGGTTTCTTCCAAGTCGTAGAAGGTCCAGTAGGTCTGGTTTCCGCCGAGTATATCCCTCGCTCATAGGAGAAAACATTGTCAGGGCGAACATGCTGTCTGCGGCTTGGCCAAAAGCTATTTGCAGCATCGACATGGGAATTAGCTTCCACGCTGCTTCAAGCACCCACATCCAGGGTAGGTGCTGGCTTCCGCAAATGATAACGGCATCGTGTGGGAGGCATGCTTCCTGAAACGTCCATACTCGACGAAACCACGGGCGGCTGGTGAAGCGTTGAACTGACTTGATGCCTTTATATTTATTGAAATCCTTGGTGTAAATTCGCCACACTGAGAACTGCTCGATGGCTAGAACCGTGTCATCGTCTTCCGGGCCCACCCAAATCAAGACACGTGATGGAGCCGAAAAGATCTCCTTCATCATTAGGACCTGGTTGCTCCGCTCTGATAGATCCATTTGGTTGATGCAAATTCCGTCGATCCAAAGGCGGCGCGATACGTCTGATAAACGTAGGTGGCGCAATAGTGTCTCTACGCTCTCTGTGATGAGCAGCTCGTGCCCGTCGCATTCAATCGACTTTGAGAATTCAGTCGAGCCCCAAACGTAGGAGACAGCTTCGTATGGTTCCTTGCTTCCGTTGCCGTCCAAAATGTAGGTGCATAAAGAGATACGGATGTCGTCATTGAACGCTCCCGGGTGTAGTATCAGCACCCGTATTTGACCAGTTTCCAACTGACTGTAGACGTAAGACATGCTATAGATGAAAGTATAGTCAGCGTAGATACTTTTAGAGATGAAGGGCGCACATTACACGTTGTAGAATAGTGAGTTGTGACGAAGCTGGAAGATAACGAAGTCGAAAGCCACGGGGAAAAAAGCAATTATTAAACCAATTTGACATACTAGAATAAGCGCGCGCTGAACGTTAACACGTATGATACCTATTTTAGATAACGAATTGAATTTTCCCGATGGACCCGCAGTTTCCACCGTGATAACCATTAACGGTAAGGGTGATACAGAACCAAGGGAGACGGCGCTAAATAAATTTACATGGGGAGGAAACAAACCAATGAAAAGGCCCAATCCATTTTATTGGCCTTTGGATGTTCTGGATTGCACTCCAACTCCACTCTTCGACAGCAAGAATACAATAGTCGGCCATTTCGTCATGTGTGAAGATGATAAATTCAAAAGCATGCATTGGCGTTTGAGAACTTTTTTAATTGTCAAATTACATCTTAAGAGGGTGTAGGATATCCCGTGGATCGGCATTGACATTTCCTAGCACTGTCATAGCCTTGCGTGGGGGCCGGCGCCAACCACACACCCTGTTTCAGCACCCGGTCGTCAGAGATTGCCGCCAGTCATTCTATACCAATACTTGATTTGTTTGTCTCATCATCTAAAATCGAAAGGTCCACTGCTCGGCTCTTACAATAGCTGTGAAATGTCTCTACTGCCCGGGGTGTTGACTCAAGTATTGAAGGTACATGTGGCACAGAGCAGGGCTAAGCGATTCAGCTGCGGCACAGCAAAAGGGGTCTCGAAACACAAAGACGTCCTGCACCCGCACGATTCCCGTCATTCGAAACAATATCAAAGAAGCCCTCATGACCGAAGAAAAGCCAAAACTTAGCAGGGACATCCTGGAGTCTCACAGCATCTTCTACGAGGACGACCCGTGGAGCGCAGGAGATGATGGTACTCCAGCCGGAAGGCTCCCAGACTATGTTGAGGTATTCAGACAAGCTCTCCTGAATTTTGACAAGAAGATACCAGAGGAGTGGAGAATGGACTTGGAAAAAGACGGTGAGAGATTGCGCACAGAGGAATACAACGCTCTACCAGAATCCGCCTACTTCCAACCCCTGCGATACAGACCTCAGAAATCTACTGTTGAAGGCATTGAGATCGATGAATGCATGCGAATTCTAGATGAGTTTAGGGAAGGGATCAGGAACTGGACGGAGGATGACGTAACACATTTTCTCCGCGTCAACATCTTCAAGCGATATGAGGACGCCCATCCAGACCGGACAAGTTACAAGTAAGCCGGACGCTATTTTCATTTGACCCTTTTTAACAAATTATCTCAGCAACCTGTTCGACCGTTGGTCTATGTAAGTTACTCAGCAAAGTCTATGCACGAGATGAACTTTCCTAACCGGAATGGCCAGTGGTGCCAACATTTATTGGGGGGCAATGAAGATGAGGCCAAATATCGATCCATCCTCGCGAATTCCAACTGGCCCGAAGCCTGACTTGACATATGGGTTCCCTATTATTGCGTCGGAAAGCAATATTCCGAGAGGTTTTCACCAGGAGGCATCGGCAAAAAACTTCTCTCTTGAGGTGCACGAGCACCTATGCACAAACAATTTGATCACTACAACGGTCACCACTGGACTTCGAAAGAAGAACAGAAAGAAATTGTCGGCAGCCGATCTACTATGCTTTCCTTGGGCAATTGTAGAGGTCAAACGTTTCCACGCACGACAGGATGCCAAGGAGTTTTGCTATTGTCAAGCAGCAAATTGTAGTTCTGCAGCCCTCTCACTTCAGCACCGTCTTGGAGAAGAATCGGAAATGGCTGTAGAGACCAACCCAATTGTTGCATTTACTAGTGTTGGCACCGACTTGAGAGTGTGGTTGACCTTTCTCGCCCGCGAAGGAGATGATTTGCTTGGTCATGTCCGTATCCCCCTCGCAATAATAGTGTACAAACGTTGCTGACGCTGTTTAGAAAATGGTTTGCATATGGGAAGCTAAGCTTGATACGATGTGGGGCTTTTTATCTACTCTCATCATCGTTGGAAATATGCACGTCTGGGCATCCCGAATCCTGAGGGCAAGGATTTCCGCTTGCATCAGCCAGGTCCGACACCGAACGAACTCTGAACGACCTCAAACACCGACACTCTCACCTAATCCGGATTTCTACTCTTCTCCATTAGACTATTCGACAGCCGCGTCTAGACGAACTCTGTATTTTTCACCGCGGACCCCTCCTTCAAATCAGACCGAAAGGAACGCCTCACCTCCATCAGGAAACGATGATCAGGAATCCCCAAGCCTAAGCCGTATCGGCGCATCGGAGAATACTCAGAAAAGCAAACTGCTGCCCTGGCAATCACGTTTGGCTCATCGCGACTTGGACTGTGATCATTCTCAATGCGGCTATGATAGAACATCAAACAAATGGCGCCGCTATCACGTCTACATGCTCTCTGAACGGCGGACCAGGCTCTGTGACCCCGAAGACTCGGAAACTGATTCTTCTGATGAAGATTATGAGTCGTCGGACTACAGCGATAGTCAAGGCAGCTCAGAGTGGACTTCAAATTTCGGAAGCGAGTACCACGACTGTCTCGAATACATTGACGAGATAGGCTCCGAAAGAAGCTTAGATGACAGTGACGATTCAGATTCATTTTCGCTCGGCTCAGAGAACGAAAAGACTTCCTACACAAACGATGATGATGATGGATCCAGCGTTCGCAGTTTTTCGAGAATGGAGAATACAGATTCTGACACTGATTCCCTCAATTCAACGGAGTGCTATTCTGGAGAGCTGCTTAAACAGGAAGACATCGACTTCTGGACAACATGGGCCATCGAAGACACGAGTGGGCATGACATTTCAGAGCTGGGAAGTGTATCATCAGCGATAAAACAGGCCACTGTTGAGCAGCTTTTTGAGGCTTTTCGGCAATCTCCAATCCATTGGTGTAACAGTTGCTCGCGTCTGCATGCCAAAATCAGTAGTTCGACTCCCGATGTGCCTCCTGGGACACGTTCTGGCGCATCTCCTGGCGCATGTCGTTGGATGGGATGGGACCAATATAAGAGAAAGAAAGATATAGCATGGCGAATACTCGAGGATCGACAGTGGGCCAACAACTTTCTTATAGGGATACTACGAAGCACATGCGCAGCAGAGGACGCAATGAAGGTCCTAAACCCTATTCTCAATGATGAGACGCGGAATATTGTAAAGGAGGAAGCATTCCAAAAGCTCACAGGCCCTGTTTCTCTATAGCTTTCCCATCTGTATATTTTAGGACTCTACTACATTCTTAGAGCGCATCAACTGCTACAAGATCGGTAAATCCTGTTAAAACCTAAATATTTCGACTGTTATCATTTAAAGCTCAACAGTTCTACCTTTTTAACTTGTTGCCCTCGGTAACATAAGGCATACTGACATCGCTGAATAAAATGTAGCGCTTTCTCTATTTATTTTTTCGCTCTTCTTTATTCTTATTCTTACTGTTCTAATTCTCCCTTAACCTAAAGCTTCGTTAAATTAACCTACTTTTATTTTATTTAGTGCTGACTATGACACAAACCAATTCGGACCTCCTTAGCGGTCGCCGGGGATAAAACTGGCAGCAAGGCATCACAGAGACAGCCCTGCAAGTACTAGACGGAGTTGGGCTGAGAATGGAGGTAGAGGAATCAAATTACAAACAGGTGAAAGGCACGGCAGAACATCGTAGCCTGCGGCGCATATGCTAAGAAGACTGCAGCGCGTGCATGCCACTAACTTAGCAGTGTAAGCTCGCGAGCCTTTGGTTCACCTCGAAGATATCCCACTTCCACGGATTAAGGCCCTCGCGCTCGCCGTTGAGACAATGAGTCCTATACCACGTCCGCAGCTCATCAACGCGCTCACCACCATGCGCACCGTCGGCGAAAGCCTGCTTAAGTTCCTTCCATCCGCCCGACCCACCGCAATCCTCGGCGCACGGATGGCCCTGTAGCATCGGTGCGGTTGATTAGCACTCAAAGCTGTCCCACCGCAGAAAGAAACTCATAGGAGAATGGGATAAGGGGTCGCGTACCTCTCCGCCGATGCACCAAGTCCACTGGCCATCTACAACGCCCTTGCCGATCTGCCTTCTGGCGAATTCTCCATCTGCATCTGCCTTCCCAAGGCAAACGATCTCGTGGATCCAGCCATCGCCAAAGTCATACTCGTACGTGACCTCTGCTTTGCTATCCGCGAATTGCGGGTTTGCGAACACGCTGGCGAGCGTACATTCCGAAGCCAGTGCTTTTGGAACAACACGCGGTGCTGGGCGGCCGGTAACAAGAGCCATTTGGACTATCATGTCATCTTGCTCATCCCAGTCATCATCAGAGTCTTGGATCGAGAGGAGCTCTTTGTTTGGGCGAAAGAATTGGTATGGCTAACGTGAATATTAGCTCAAGACAAGCAAAAGCAATTTTCAGGGTATCATAAGTACCAACTTACCTCACCGGCAGCTCGCGACTCAGAAACAATAAAGTGGTAGAGGTGCACCTCGGCCCAGCCAAATGCCACCTATAGAACGAGATAGAAGGAGCGGAAGTCGAGGTCCACCGGCACACAGAGAATACACGAGATGATTAAGTCCACACTTTTCATCATACATACATGGAGAATATATATATCATTCTCATCTAGAGTAGCCGCCATTATTCTTGATTACGAGTCTAGCGGTATACAAGGAGTAGTCAATAATCAGAAGCCATGGAAAGTTAGGCAGTGTGGTACGGACCCTGCAGGTCCGGAGTATTCCTCGCCCGTAAGTATCACGTGCTCGTTATTGCAAATACACGGGCAGACTCCCCCACCCTAAGACGCTTTCACTCTGCGGCCGTCTGCTCCCAGACGGCAACAGCTTCGTTGAGCTCAACTTTAAAGATGAAGAAGTTGCTGGGGATGTCAACCAGGCCAAGTTGCGTTGCGAGGGATTTTTTCTATGTGCGGAGGAATTCCTGTGTTGGATAGATGAAAAAATCGAGGGACGTTTGTAACGAAGAGGAAAAAGCAAACATCTCCGCAGATAAGTACGGCTTTGGCCGGCTATGATGTAAGAGGAAACCAGCATGGTCCGTGCTGAGAGTTTGCTCGCTTTCCGATCGGGCTTAGCTTAGCTTTAATTGAGGACAGCTTGACTCATTATTACAACTCGCATCCGCCGACTCTGTACTCATCTACCTTCCACCACCACAAAGTTTGACAACATTGTACTTGCGTCTGGCTCAAGCTCCACCGGCCATGCTTTCTGGCTTCGTTATCAGTAGCTATGAACAATACAAAGAAGACACCAATGTCATTGCCGCGTAGCTGGCATCCACTGCAAGCCGCTGCGGCTACTCAGTTGACCTCCTTCGACCTTCACCTACAACATCTCAATCCGCTCCACGCTCTCGGAGACTGAAGGGAAAGGCACGCAAGCAAGCGAAGGAGGCGGAAGAACAGCCGACCGAAAATACTGCCTCGCCAATCAAGCCTTCGTACACTATCGCCACCAAGGATTTTGTGGCATTGGCTGAATTCATTGCTGGCTCTACAAAGCCACCGGTGAAGGTACCCCAATCCATTGCCACTGTGCTGAATCGCGCCATCAAGGTCCGGAAGAAGCATGCACAGACTCTGGTTTCCCAACAGGACCGTACCAAAGACGACGAGGACTCGGATAAGCGCCATTCGTATTTTGTCGGTATTCTAGAGCACGTGAAAACCATCTTACAGCCATACTTTTCCCAGGCCGATCCCGAGCAAATCAAGGCAGCCGAAGGAACCGACTCTGTGACGAATCCTTTCACCCATCTTACCGTTTCAGAGCCTTCCGAGGCATTCATCAACGCACCTGATATTGCCCAGCCAAGCCAAACCCGCCCAGACTACCAATCGGAGCAGCCGCAGGATCTCGATGAAGCCTGCACCGTATTCGCCCTGGTTCTTGAAGACTTCAACCGTCTCCGGACCGCCATTGCAAAGACATGGGTTGCCTATAAGGTAGGCATGTGCGACATCGTGGCAGCTTCTATCACCACCAACACTGCCCTTGAGTTTGCTCGCCGCCTCGAAGAAGACGTTGCAGGCTTGTTTGAAAGGCATGGTGGCGTTGAGCGCATGTTGATGTGCTGGTACATGGCCACCTGCCAGACCCAGGGCCAAGACCCGGATTACCGCTCTTAGCCTGACGATGCTCTAAACTTTGAAGTCTACGACTCTGTCACTCCCTTCATGTGGCCTACTTATCGGCTGCTTGGGGCTTTTGTCAAGCTTGTCGGCCCCACCAACATCCTCATCTACAAGGAGGGTTTCTACGGCACTTACGACCCATCGAGTGACCGGCGTCAGAAGAGTGCCAGGGAAAAGCACCAGGAAGACACCGTAGTGCTAATGGAAATCCTGCCAGAGTTTGCGTTGCTCTGCCGGATGCGGGGCAATATGCCAGTCGAGGACGAGCTGGTCCGCGGGCTCCGCACCGCCTTCGACACCAAACAAATCAGCCTCTCCACCGTCCTGGCCGTGCAAGTGTTCCTCGACATACACCACCGTATGCGCGACCAAGTCTATCGAGGCTTGATAGACATGGAAAAGGCCGCAAACCAGATTTTGTCATCCATCGACCAGCACCAGGAGTTCCACGCCTCTCTTACGATCGACACCTGGCCGCGCTCCAACGACGCCGTTTTCCGCCTCATCAAGCACCGCATCGACACCTGGGCCAAGGGCGACCCTATCCTGCAAGCATCGATACGGCACAACCGCCCGCCTCCCTCCGACCGCCATCTTCTTTCCAAGCACCCATTACTCTGCGGCCTCATTGCATACGGTCTCAAGATGGACTTCAACGAAGCTGGCATCGCCCTGGCTAATGCGTGGGGTGCGACAGTCTGCTGCACGCACCTCTACAACGCCGTACGGCAGACGGGCCTTCTGCAGAGCTCGTGGAAAGACATGGAAATCATGCGTGGGGTGGTCTAGATGGACGTTATGCTCGGCCCTGCGCCACTAGGAGCCACGCATGAGGTCTTTCTACAGCGGTTCATGCTCAGCATGGGCTACTCGGCGGCGAACTTTGCGCCTCAAGGGGGCCGCAAGCATAAGCGGCCACAGGTCTCTCGGAGCGGGCCGAGGGGACTCAAGGCGAAAGCTGGGGTCGTGGAGGCGTTCCGGGCCAGGTACTCGGGTGGTGGTGGTACGGCTGGCAATTTTACGCACGAGGAGGTGCGGGCGCTGCTCGGCAAGCTGAATGCGTGGGAAGAAGATGCAGACATGTCAGACGAGGAGACGTTCGAGACGGAGGAAGGTGAGACGCAGCAGTTTGGGCTTGTGAAAAGTGCGAAGGCGCGAGATAAGAATGCGGCACGGAAGCATCAGCAGGCCATTGGCAAACTGACTGTCGAAGAGTTACTTGAGAAGCTGAGGAATGCGCTGCAGGGCGAGGTGCTTGAGCTGTCCTTTGACTATGCGCTGATGCACCGGTTCTGCTGGAGGCTTTTGAGGGCGGTGAAGGACAAGTGCGCCGAAGAGCTACGGCAGATGTACGGGCCTTCGTACATTGAGAACGAAAGCGAGCTGCCCTTTATCGTGGGATACATCCTCCATGCTTCGGTGGCTCGGGAACAGGCCGCGAACTATCCGGTATTTGAGTCAAGGCGGACCAAAAGCACAAATTCGCAGCTGCTGGACAAAGTAGCGTATGTTATCGAGGAAATGATTGCTTCTGGCGCTGGGTCTATTGTTGCAATGGTCTTGGAGAGGCAGTACAACATCTTTTTTGAGGAGTAGCAAGCTTAAATCCAACGCGACCTTTCAAGTACACCACGTAGGTGTCCTGTTTTCGGTCAAGCCCTCCACATAGAATGTAAGTTACAATAGTTGTTCAGCGGGGTTCAAGTATAAACATTTACCCCCGCAGATTGAAAAGGTCGACTTTAGACCCATCTATCTGAACTGTTATCGTTCGAAATTAAGCTAATGGCCAGATGATCCCCCCGTTCACATAGGCCTTCCACGTCCACACCACCGCCGCCGTGACCACGATGCCTTTCCCCAAATTCAACATGGCCCCCACTACCGAGCCTCTGCACCACTGTTTCCACATCTCCCCAAACTCCTGGCCATCAAACATCCGTGGGAACGGCACGGTCTTCGGCGGGACATCCAGCCCCAAATGCTTACACAGCGGCTCCCAGCCTTCTTTGACATTGAACACCAAAAGCCTGTCCCCAGCCAGCTCCTTCACAACCGCATTCCGCTCCTCGTAGTACTGCCGTCCCCGCTCCGGTATGGCGCCCAGATCCGTGAACCGCGCCATGCACGAATGCATCACATCAAGGTACCCAAACGGCATCCGCGGCCGCAACGCCTGCACCACGCGCCACCACAGCGTCGGCGCCACCGCCTCGGCCTCCAGAAACGGCCAAATGGTCGTGCTGTACGAGTCGTACCACGCCTCCGTGCTGTCGCGGACCGTAAGCACGACTTTGGCCTCGGGATAGGCGGCCATGAGCTCTTCGGCGAAGATGTGGCAGGGCGTGTCGGTGAGAGCGGTGCAGTCGGGGCCCAGCAGGGCATCCCAGTCGTCGCGGGTGAAAGGCGGAGGGCGAGACGGGTCGTCGGGCGGCAGGAATTTGGCCTGGAAGGCGCGTTGCCACGTTGGTGTTTGGAGGGGATTTTCGAAGAGGGAGAAGAAGTGGAAGACGCGCGTGTAGCCGAGATGCTGCAGCGCTGCGCGCATGGACGAGGTGCCGGTGCGAGATTGGCCCAGGACAAGGACACCCATGGGGCGCGTTCGCGTTTCTGAGGTCTTCGTGGTGGACATTCTGAAGGCGAGTTGAGTGGTTGTTTTCTGGTGGAGGTGGCTGGGGATGGAGGAGAAAACTGCCTCCGAGTCTCACAGCTGAACCAGGATTGATTCAAAGAAATCAATTCGCATAATGTAGACATTCAATCTTCACGTTTTAAATGTTCCTGCGGCGGATTTTAGCTTCGGTTCAAGGCCAGTGCTAGTGCTTACGACATTTTCCGCGGATGACCCAGGCAATGCGGGGACATTATTGGGTACAGGAAAATTAACCGTAACCATTTTTGGAATCCACGTCAGCTTCTGACAGCCCACAGTATATCATACGGGGAGAAATTTACTCCGAGTAGGAAGCTCTACGAAATCAACGGGATCAAGCGTGCATGTATCACTTTTTGTAAGCTCTAGTTGCTATCTATCCTGCCTCAAGTACCACGTACCTTGAGTGTAGTACAGCGACAGTAGATCTCTTCTCTGGTTGGGTGCTTACTCTCTCTTTGCAGAAACCACCCCATTCTCTGCGGTGATTGACCGCCCCGAGACATCGTGATTCGCATCCCATTCGGCCAGCTGATCCTTTGGCACCTTTACTATCTTGTGCATCACCGCTCCATCCTCCAAGACAACAAGCTTCTGCCGCATTGCATATCCGCCGAAACGCGGAAGCACGTAGATCCAGATCCAATAGTACACGACGCACATGAGGATGCTGTTGTTACACTTAGCTGACTGCCGGCCATCCAGAAGAAAGAAGAAACTCACATGCCGATTCCCACGACACAATACGTTGCGTACCAGAAGCTGACATCACCACCGGTCGCGCCACCTTCGGGAGGGTACCAGGGCATGACAAGAAGAAAGAGGTTGACGAGCAGGTATATTATGACCGCGGCATCCCAAGCGCGGAATTCGGATCGTCCGACCCCAATGCGAGAGCGGTGGCGCCGGATAATATACACACCCGCCGCCATGAGGAAAAAGAAGACAGCATCGGGATAGGTTTTGAGGTCCACGACTACATATTCCACATGTCAGTCCTTGCGCTGAATCACCAAATTAGTGCTTGATCTGCGTACCAAAGTTGAAGGCATCACCAGCCGGTGGCGCCACGATCATGAGGACCGTCATTCCCCACTTCAGCAGGTAGGGGCCGATTGGTGTGCCGAAGGGGCGTGTCGTGGTCCAGAATTTAGGCCATGGCAGGACGCCTTGCCTGTGTAAAGTTAGCGCCAACTCTGTGACAGGTTCCTGATCGAAAATGCTTGCCTTCCGATTTCACGGATCATTCGAGACTGCCCGATCAAGTTCGATATCAAGTTGCCAAATGCGCTAATGATGACGAGAATATTGAGGCCTTTAGCAGCATTCTCACCGAAAACTTTTGTGAAGAAGAGGGTTGCTGCAGTTTGCTCTGCGGCTTTCATTTCCTCGCTGGGTACTGCGGTAGGATTAGTCATAAATACTATGCTGGAGGAACAATATCCATACTCACCAGCAGCGAAGTAAGCAACGTTGCAGAGAGTATACATGACTGCAACAATCAGCAGCGCCACTGGCGCGCTTTTCTTAATCGTGCGGACGGGGTCCTAAACGCGATCAGTACAACGGCCTTTTCCTTTTCTTTAAAATTTACCTTGACTTCGTTCATCATGTTGAACGCATTTGCGTATCCCTCATAAGCGAATGTTACCTTCACCAATGCGTTTGCCATGGCATTCCCATTGCTTGAGGTTCCGGCGAAAGCATCCCGGAAGTTGGCATTCGGATCAGCCACAGATGTATTACCTCCAAGAACAACGAGACCGGTGATACTTATGCTGTATTCTGTTAGTTGTTAATCCATTACAGAACCAAAATACTTACAAAATAAGTGTCGAGACCTTGATGAACCCGAAGATGTCCGAGAGCCAGAGGGAAAGCCGATTGCTAACAATGAGCACTATGAAGGTTGGTACCTTTCCGTGGCAATGGATGGGGGGGATACTCACGAACTATAGCGAGAGTGTAGCTTGCAATAGCAACTCCCTTCTGTTCCCAGTCGGAGGGGCTGTAGTCTGGTGACATCTTGAATGCATACTGGGCCAACACTAAAATCTGTTAGCTTCCTTCCGCGCCTGACATAACCAACTTACCAATTGCGTTACTACTGCTGAATGATAGCAACACGGACTGAACCGCGAATGCCGTTGGGAAGAAATATCGTGGCCGCGGATATGCCTGTTCGAGGTAGACGACTTCGGCTCCAGAACGGGAAGGAAAGTAGGATGCCAATTCCAGGTATACACAGAGCGCGCAACACGAGATGACAAAGCCGATGAACCAAAACATCAGGGCCATCCCCACAGATCCAGCGTTTGTCAGAATAGAAGCGGCTACCAAAAAGCGTTAGATCTTATCTTTGAGCCGCACCTACTTGCTTGGAAGAAAGAAAAGAATTGCGGTGCGCTTACGTGTTGAGAAAACACCAGTACCAATCATTTGGCCGATGTTCAGAAAGATGATGGTGAACCACTTAACCTTGTAGCCAAGCGGAGACTCTTGCTCGACGGGAGCACCCGTCGCTTCTTGGAAGGTTGGCGCCGACCCATTGCCACCTTGTTCCCCAACGAATGCGAGACTACCAACTTTGAGGACGTTGGAGTCACTAGCTGGCGACGCGACACGGACTGGGTCGAGTTTTTCGGAATCGTGAGCGGTGGCCATCTTGATCGATGGTGCACGAACACCTGGCCTCTGGAAACAACTCCGACCTTAGGGCGGTGCCACATGTTAAAGTGTTCTTGACGCAAAGTTTTATTCCACGCCCAAGACTTTCAGGCGGCTAAACACAATCGTGCAATCTTGGTTTCAGATGACGCAATTACCCCATGCGGGGGCGGTCTGTACTACATACAACGTAAGAAACGCCCTGTTCGCTTACATTTGTAAGTGATTTGGCGGCGACTCACAGCACGACATTGTATCCTTGATAGTAGCAACAGTCAGCGTAGCTCAGTTGCTGCATTTTTGAAGGCTTGTTGGTTGGAAACGAGGAAGACTCTCGCTAATGCACTTGGGTGACATCGGATGACCTTGGCGAACTCAACTTATCCGAGGTGACATTCCACTGCTCGAGCTGGTTTACAACGTGATCGAGGCAAATAGCGGTTACATTCGGCTGATGCTACGAACGAAAATTATCCCTGTAACGACTGCCAACTTCGGAAACACACTCGGATACGCCATTCTCAGGCAAAGAATTCCGGTTTTATCATCGACGGCATGGGTTGAAATAAGCATAAAATTAAGATTTTCCAACTACAGGCGAAAATTTAGCGTAGATATTTCAACATAGCCAGTCCACCATCGGCCGTCTTTTCCCTCGAAACAGACTTTGCAATTCTTCCTCGCTACTTCATCTAGTTCTCCAGATGTAGCCTCTTCGGCGCAAGTTCACCTTTTGCAGTATCGGCCCTGCACAACCGTATTCTCAGCGTAACATTTGATATACTCCCGCGCCCATGAAACTCCTCTTCGTTGCTTGGCAGAGCTCAATTACCGCTAGCTTCTTCAGTTTCTCAGCCTCAGCCGTATCCCTCTTTCGTCTTGTCTTGTCTTGCCAATCGGGAGCCTTGAATTGGGAAGATCCCTATTACATCTGCAATCGTGCTGGCTCTTCTTTATTGTTCCGCCTTCTTCCTATTCTGCGTCATTATTCTACTTTACTACTTCTCGTCTGTCTGTTTACTACCTTGAAAACTATATTCGTCTAATGAATTCATCTTCAGTGCCTTTCGAAATTGCCTTTATCTCCACCCAACATAAACGAGGCGATAAATATGAATGCAAGAGGAGGGCCAAATCATCAGCAGGGGACTATAGAATTAGCATATTAATATAAAATCAAATTTGTAAAAAAGACGAACCCCTCTCCGTTAGGTACAGATAGAAGCTGAATGCAGAGCAAAATCGCCAACACAATCCCAACGATGAATACCTCCAATGTGAAAAACAGCTTACAATTCAAAAGCATTTTTGGCATTCCCAAGATCTGAGCCATTAGTTCTTTCAGATCAATTCTGAGGCGTTGCGTCTCTCGGGGTGATTGTACAGTATCATCCTGAAGTAAGTCCTCAGGCTCATCATTGTCGGTATAGTCTACCGGGCTCTCGACTAAGAGTGGGCCGTCTATATAGATTCTAGGATCCTCATAGAGTTGTAGTCGAGATTCGCCTCGAGTGTCTTTGTGCTTGCTGATGCGCTTGCACCGGTGCGTCGCGACTTTCTTAACCAGATACAGATGCGGAATCAGTCTGATGTTCTCGATAGCCAGTGGCTCGTTTTCCTCTCGAGAAAATCTGTTCAGTGCCTGGGCAGGCTTTTTAATTGGATTCTCATCGAGATGCTTCCCTAAACACAGGCGTAGGTCCACGAAGTTCTTGGGTTGTTTAATAGCGGCGTGTCGAGCTCCTCGTACTTGTCGCTCAGCTCCCGTACGAGAATTACCAACCGAGAGCGGAGATACCAGTCCTCCTCCTGTCGTTCATGGATTGCATCTCTAGAGCCTTGGCATTGCCCTATTCTCTTGTAGCAGTCGAACGAGAGAGTCAGCTCCAAAAAGTCGGAAAGATAGCCGCGGATGATCTTTGGGGCTGGTAGACAAATGCTTCAAACCTCATGATTTATGACTCCAGTCTGTTACCACTTTAATTCCCTCAAACCACAGTACAAAACAATCATCCCGGGCGGAGACGGAACTTGGCAGCAACTGGCAGACTGAACCCTTTCGTGATTGGCGAGTTTCCGCCCCCACATAGATTTTCTTCGGCTTCCCCTCTTATTTTCACGTTATCCTTCCATATTTGGGTCCCACAGTGGAGACTCGAGATACAACCCCTCCAATCGCCGTGTAAGCCGTGGTCCTCCACCCTCGCACAGTTGCAGGCAATATTGGTGAGGGACTTGCGCTAGCAAATGACATGTGCTGTCTTCTCCACATTATCGGAACGGTCCACTTTCATCTTGCAGTGGGTGTCAGGAGGATCATACCTGTTAGATTATAAGAATTAGTGTCTAGGCTCCAGCATTTTGTGTAAGCAAGGTTGCCTAAATCGCATTTCAGGCATCCTCGCCGGTTCTCCGAAGTACTCCGTTCCGCATCTCAACTTATTCTACGTCTCCCCAAGGCCCACCAGAGCATAGGTCTACTTAAGCTCCAGCTCTTCACAGCAGGAAATTTCTCACGCCTTGCGCAACTCGTCACTTTCTTCCCCCGGGTCGTCCTGGTGCTCGCAATCCAACACTAGTGGCCAGCCCAAAACTCGCGGCAGCTCCAGTTGCGCCACTCACCCTCCCCCGAGGACAATCTTCGAGAACATCGCCCGAGTTCCTACTTGGCTACTTCTACGCCTCTTGCCGTCATTCGTTCTTCTCCTAGCCATCTCAGCGGGGATCCTCAATCGTTATCCGCTCACCTGGCCCTATCACCGGACATTTGGAGTCGGAATTTACCATTGTCTCAGAATCGCTCCATATCTACTATAGATCCGTCTTCAACCACTACCAACAATGGCCCAGTATCTATTGAGCGACGGAGAAGATCTCTACAACAGCACCGAAAGCGTTTCAGAATGTACCGGGCTTGAGTTGGTGCCCGCCGAAGCATTGACGGGCGGCCGACGGCGCGACCACGATGGATCCATAACGGCTATTCCTCAGATCAGCATTCCGGAATGGCTTCCTCGTATAATTCCCACTATAAACCTCTTTGACGACATGGAAATTGTTTGTACCGAATGCCATGAACAGATGATGTACTTCATTTCTGAATGTCCCTACCCCAATTACGAAGAATACGAATTCGACATCCACCCGGAATCCAACTGTCCACTCTGTTTGATGGTGCAAGACGCTCCCAATGATCAAGAGGGTGACCTCTGGTCGATCATTGATTTGCGTCATCCTACTACCAATGATTTATTGGAAGTGACAGAGGTTCATATCTTTTCTACTTGGCCAGCAGAAATACACGCGTTATTACGCAAAAAAACTCACATATCTATCAGTATAAATTCTCTATACACTGATACAGTCCGTCCGTTGTCAATTGACTACGACAACCTAAAGACAAAGCTCGACCAATGCCGTATCAAACATGAAGAGTGTCGCAGTGGCATCGCAAAGCACAAGATCGAGGGAGTGCAGGTTATAAACTGCAAAACACGGACGATAGACTTTCTAAAGACCGGGGAAGAATACGTCGCCCTTAGCTACGTTTGGGGGCAGGTCAAGACTCCTGAATTCAAGCCACAAGCCAGCAGGCTACCGCAAAAGGCGGAAAGAACCATCGAAGATGCACTGGTAGTCACCTTAGCACTTGGATACTCCTTTCTCTGGGTTGATAAATATTGCATCGACCAACTCGACGAAGAAAAGATGATACACCAGATTCGAAACATGGATACTATCTATCAGCAGTCTACAATCACGATCGTTGCTGCTGCAGGCGAAGATGCGGAATACGGGCTTCCGGGAGTTAGTGAGCGTCCTCGAGTTTTGAAAACGCACTGCAGGATCGAGAATTATCTTTTCTGCCGCCATGGATTTGTAGGTATGCGCAATAACACATATCACTCTCCTCAACGCAGGTTACTCGAAAGGTCGAAATGGAACACAAGGGCTTGGACATATCAGGAAGGCGTGTTTTCCAGGAGATGCCTTGTGTTCACCGACGAACAAGTATCGTTTGCCTGTCGGGTCGTCTCTGTGGATCAAGGAGCTGAAACTCGCTCGACACCAGAATCCCCCCAGGAGAATATGGAAAAGGGCCGGCTAAAGCTCTTGTCTACCGGTCTGGGAGAGTTAGAAGATCGGGTATGCCAGTATACTCAAAGGGATATCACCCATTACGATGATCGTTTGAGGGCCTTCTCGGGGATACTACGGGCCTTCGAAAACGCGGAACCACCTACCTACAACGTCTGGGGCCTGCCGGTATTTCCGATGGAGAGAGGCGCCTCTCTGAAGCACTCTTCGGCTGCTAGATTTCTGCAATGGCTGTGCTGGCGCGATATGGATGATCTCCCCGTCGATCGACTTTCGCAGTTTCCAAGTTGGTCCTGGGTTGCTTGGCCTGGGGAAGGCATCGATGTGGGGGCATTACAAAAAGACAAGGTTGTTTGGGAGGATGACGAGCCGGAACAAGTCTTTGTGGAATTGATAAATGGAACACTACTTCCTTGGGACAAACTGGAGGAGTTAAATTACCTAAGTGAAGACCCAGATCAGCTTTCCCGATTTCTTTGGTTGGATGCCTGGATCCTGCGTGTTAGAATCAGGTATGATCAGGAGAGGGCCTCAAACGGGTATCTGCCATTTCAAGCTACTCTTGTACTCGAAAATAACCAATTTCCGGCTGGTATCTCCCTCACCACACCCACAATTTTCACAAGCTATTCTTGCTCGTTTGGAGAGCGCGTCAAAACCGCGGGTTCTGAAGGTATAATTCTACCGAGCATTATCGGTGGCCCTCTGTCTAATTCTGCTGTTGTAGTAGAGATGATTGATGGGACTGCCTTCCGTGTTGGTGTAATTTGGGTTGATGATTTTTTTACATCAGATGGACGCCCTATATCTAGCGAACACCTTAGAGCAGGAGCTTCTCGACGCCTGATTAGACTCGGTTAGCTACTTATCTAGCGTTTTCATAAATCGAATGTGTTGTCAATCCGAATAGTTATACGTAAAGGTAAAGGACAACCCTCGAATTTGCGTCAGAGATGCGAAACAAAAGCTCTGGGCATCGGGGCTGCGGCCACGGCAGCATGTACAATGCTGTCTAGTACCCATCCGGCCACACGGACAATGGTTACCAGTCTACGCTCGCTAAAATTGGAACATATGTTTGATTGCCTCACAATGGGGCAGCCAAAACGGTTGGACCGGGGGCGGTGTTTCTCGCCAGTGCGCCATCAGCCCTAGGCAACAGTTGGACCAACACAATACAACTACGTAACAGCCTCCAACTGCACAATTCTTGCCAAGACACCTCGAAATAAGTGCATGTTCTCATCTCCGGAGCGCAAAAAGCCTTCAATCCCCTACTCTACTCTCACCTAACGCCCATTACCCACCATCAACCACGCCACCACTATGTCCCTTGACCTATCCATCACCTTCCCCAAGGACGAGGGCGAGGACTGGTCGCTTGAGCATAAGACCCGAGACATCCTCATCCCATACCTGCAACCGACGTCCCAGACCTCACCCGCCGCCGCCGCCGCCATCGACCTCATCGCGCTGTGCCAGTCCGAGGCGGAGAAGCAAAACCTCGCGCAGCGCGCCCTCGGCGAGGGCTTCTGGTACATGACATGGGAAGCTCGCCGAACAGATCCCGGCCGCGCACGGGTCGCAGGACCGCCTAGTCGCACTCATCCGCGCCCTCCGCGACGCCGACATCCAGCCATCCAACCCCTACGCCGAGCTCCCACACATGGGCATCGTGCTGAGCGAGCGGTTCCACCGTAAGGAACTTACCTATTCCTTGTTTCCTTTTTTTGCTCTCCCTCATTCACCCATCGCCCTGATCTTTTCGCTGATACCGCACGCCCAGAGATCTCTGCCGCCCCGCCAGCGCCCGGAACCGACCTTGACCAGAGCCAGTGGAAAAACCTAAACGCCCTCTCCGCGCGCCTGTGCCAGGCCGGCATCGTCGTCCGGTCCAGCGACACCATCATCGTCATTGCCGAAGCCCTCGAGAAGCGCCCCGATCCCCGGTCCCGCGCGTACCAGGCGCGCGGCCCGCTGCTAAACTTCCACGTCCCCATCGCGGCGGATTGGATCATCAGGTGCGCGGAGCAGCTGTACGCCGTCATGAGGTCGGGTGAGGCGGAAGGCGCGGGGTGTCCGTGGAAGAAGAGGAGGGGGATCTTTGAGGAGCGGTGGAGCTTCTGGAAGGAGCAGTTAGTTGATGTCGCGGAGCGGGAGGAGGCGTGTGAGGAGGGGGTAAAGGAGGTGGCAAGGAAAGCGGCGGAGAGGATGGATGAGGTTGAGAGGGATGGGTGGGGGCATTCGGAGATTCGGAGTCAGTAGGCTATGGCTGGATGGGATGCCTCTGAGATTGAGGATGTTCGAAACCAGTATATTTCCTGGAATAAATGCACTCGGCTTTTATAGCCTTTAGATAAAGATTTCTGCTCGGATACGCACAGCGCTACACAACAGAATCTTTCTATTGCTCGAGCACAAGCCTACACGTCGCTATGGACACCTCGGAGACCCAATTCAAGCAGCTACCTTCGTTGGCAATAAAGAATGCGCGAAGGTGCTTCTCCCAACACCCTAAAGCGAATGTTGATACGGATAGCGGCATCGTCGGCACCTCATTACAGGCAGCGGCTTGCCACGGACTTTCTAGAATTGTGAAACTTTTGCTATCGAACGAAGAGGATACCAAGCCCGTGAACGTCAACAATGCAGATGACGTCTTTGGACTTCTGATGGTATTGCGCAGAATGATCCATAAGTTATCTGCTGGCAGCGTAGAATATATACGTGCCAGATGACTAAGCAATAGCAAACAAGGTAGCAAACAACGAAGGGAGTCGAGTAGCATGGAATCCACTAACTCCGTCAACTTCGTTTACTCGCAGCTGCTGCAACGCTTGATAAATAGGCTGCGGATCTGACTGGCAGAGCAGCGTTCTCTACTTTACTCTTGGAGGCAGAGTGAAACTGTTTATGGTTCTATTAGTTATTGTCCGGCCCGGTGTCCTTTATTAAGTTCCAAGTTCGGCCGAATAATAACTCAGTGGGTCCATGCGCTTCGGTAACCACATTGGGCGACCGAGACTCTCTTACTTAAGAAAGCCTTGACTACCTCTTTCATCCACGGCATTCCCACCATGGCACGCTTCACTGACCTAAACGAAGATGTTCTTCGGCTGATTCTTGAGCACATCTACTTCTGCCAAGGAACGTTTCACGCCCTAACGCTGACTTGCAAGTCCATTTCAGAGCTAGCGACGGAGTTCTTATACTACAAAATCGACGTATCGTGTCGCCATCCTGGGTTCACAAACCGGTTTGAAATCTTACTCCGAACCCTCACACAGCCCGACCAAAGACGACGTTGCCAGCTGCTCTCCTACATCCGTGAGCTCAGCATACCGCATTGCGTTGACCATGACGGGAGGCGTGAACCGGCAACCACTCGACTCCTCAACTCCATCGAGCAGACACACGCACCCGGTCTGTCTACATCAAATTTTCCGCGTCTCCGCTCCGCCCACGTGATCGACGACGTCGCCATCCAAGACGTGGCCCGCCTCCTCTACTCAACCCCCATCGAAACCGTCCGCATCGGCAACAGCTACGACCGCAATCTCCGCACCCTCCGCACCCTCCGAAACCGCCGTCACCTCCGCAACGCCTCTCCGCCGACCGTCTCCCTGAGCAACCTCCCCCGCCGGCAGGACCCTCTCGCGTCCCTCTCCATCCACACGCACTACCCGCCCGCCACCCTGCGCGACCTCCTCCTCATCTCCGGGGGCGTCAAGCAGCTCGTCCTGCGCGAGCCCGGCACCATGACGGCCAGTCCCTTCGATCCGCGCGTAGGGGCGCACCTAGGCATCATGAGCGGCAGATACTCGCCCGCGCAATTCGGCGACGCGCTGGCGCCGCTGCGCGCGACGCTGCAGTCGCTGGACCTCACGACATCGGAGACGCTCAAGTGGCCCGGCGGCCACGACGGCAGCCGCCTCGACCTGCGCGCGTTCGGCCGCCTGAGGCGCGTGAGGGCGGACAGCAAGTGCTTCTTCCCGCATCCCAGCAGGAACAACAAGGAGGATATCTGCCCGCTGCTGCCCGCCAGCATCGAGGCGCTGGAGCTGTGCTTCGACTTCATGGACAGTGCTGTCACGCGCGTTGTTCTCGGCATCGGGGAGGCCGATGATTACCAGTGGATCGTCAACCTGGTTCAGGGCGCGCCAGCGTGGGTGCCGCGGCTGCAGAGTCTGAAGGTGAAGGAGGAGGGCGTTTTGAGTCGCGTTGTCTGCGGCGTTTATGTCGACGCCTTTCGCGAATGGGACCCCCCGCCGCATGTGAAGGCCATTTTGGCGGCGGGACTTGTCGCGGTTGAGGTGACGGTGAAGGTTCTGAATAAGGATGGGGTTGAAGCTCGAGGCCGGATTCTAGAGCTGTAATGTACGTTTCATAGCTCCGTGGAGGCTGTGCTGTAACAGTCGCAGGTTGAGTTGCCAGATTTGCCAGATTCCTGGGCGGAGGTGGAGCTGGCAAAGTTGCTTGAAGATGCTTATTGAGGGTGGAAGGTATGAATAGCGGACAAGGCAGCGAGAGACTGTTGGGAACGGCGAGGAAGCGGGCAAGTGACAGCCGGCCAAGGCGATGCTGGGCTACGCGTTGTTTTTGCAGAGTAAGCACAGCGTGAGTTCCATGCTTAATAGCATGTTAAACTGAATGAATATCATATCTACCACGCCAGCTCACCCTGAGCTTCCCATAGTAGATTCAGATGACGTATATGTTGGAACAATCGACGGAAGTCATGTCTCCAAGCTCCATATCCAAAGTTTTGCCGTGGCCGAGCAGGAGTCTTCTGTCCCCAATCATCATCATCTCTGGAGTACCTGTGCAGCCGTAAGTGAAAGAAAGCCGGCGACCTCGTTCGAGTCCGTCCTAAACATGACAAGCATCAACACCTCCAAATTTTAAATGTCGCGTTAGAGTGTTTCTATTCAAAAGAATAACTGAGATTTAGAGGTAACTGTGGCACCGAAATCAAAAACTAAACAAGAAAACTACACGAGAAACTATGTACCGCTCAACCGCTGAGCATGAACGCCTGCAACCTCCTCGTCGGCCTGTCTAACAACTCTTCGACCAAAAACTTGACGTCTCGCCTGCCGTAAGCCTCGCTCAAGGCGGCGGCGGCAAGTAGACTCTCACCCCAGAGATCCCAGAACGACACGTCATCAGAATCATCCTCTCCACAGCCCAACACCTCCTGCCATACATCCTTGACAATCTGCTCGGCAGGGGCCTCCAGATACTCCTTCAGCGGCGGGGAATCCGGCGGCGTCGTCTGGGCCGGGAGCTGAAGCGGAAGACGTGGATGCTTCACCTCCTTCTCCTTCTCATCAACCACCACCGACTCGCTCTTAGCCAGCATCCCCTCCACCACACTCCGCAGCATCTCCACCATCGTCTCCGCCACCTCATCCCCCACCGCATCAGCCGAATACGCCAAATCGACGACAAACTCCTCCAGCCCACCATCAGCACCACCACTCCGCCCTCGCGGCCTGCCCGCCACCCACACATCCGTCACATCACCAGGCGGCGCAAAGCTCTCCAACCGCCACTCGGAATCCCCACCACTCCGCACCTCCCCCTCCCCAAACCCCTCAAAGCTCGTAAACTGCACAATCGACGAAAACCGCGTCCACGCCGGCCACCCCGCACACCTCTCAAACACCCGCCTGAACCCGAGCGTCTCAAACGGCAACCCCTCGACCTGCTGCTCCCGCACCTGCTCCGCGGCCTCCTTCCCACCACCGCCGGCACCGACGCGCACCCGCACCGGCACGACGTTCATACACGGTCCCACCACCTTATCCCCACCAGCCACGCTACTCCGCCCCGCCACGATGCTCCCAAACACGACGTCGGCCTGGCCAGACATCCGCGCCAACACAACCGCCCACCCCGCCTGCAGCACCGCCGCGAACGTCAGGCCCGAAGCTTGCAGCGCCGCGCTATCGACGCGCAGCACGCGCGTCTGCGTCGCGGAGAGCGGGAAGCGGTGCTGGTGCGCCGCCGGGTTGTTACTTCCGACGATGGGCGTCATGCGCGCGCCGTGGAGGAGGGTGCGGTAGTGCTGTTCTGCTGCCGCCTCGTCGTTCTGCATGGAGGCGTGGATGAAGGCGGCGAAGGGGGAAGCGGGGGACAAAGCGGTGCCGGCGTACGCGGCGCGCAGGTCGGCGAGGAGGATGGGCAGGGAGAGCCCGTCGTACTGGGCGTGGGAGAGGCGGATGGTCAGCGAGTGTGTGGTTGTCGGGCTGCTGCTCTGCTGCGTGCAGAGGAGGAAGGCGGTGCGCGGCGTGCTGAGGGTCAGCGGGGCGCGCATGTCGGCGGCGATGGCGGAGGCGGGGGAGGTGTTGTGGGGGTGGTGGGAGAGGAGGGGCGTGGGAAGGCGCTTCAGGACGACCTGGTAGAGTTGGCGGCCTTGCACGGCGAAGACGGTGCGGAGGATGGCGTGGTGCGCGACGAGGGTTTGGCATGCGGCGGCGAGGCGCTGCTCGTCGATGACGCCGGTGATGTGGTAGGTTAGGTAGTTGTTGTAGCCGCGCGAGCGCAGGTGGTTGTGAGAGAGGGTCCAGGCTTGGTAGTCGGTGGCGGGCAGGACGTCTTCGATGTTGTCTTTGGTGGAGCCCACGGCGGGGCAGACGACGTCCTGCAGGAAGGTGTCGATGTGGATGTCGCCGAGTGTGGAGAAGGGTTTGTGTGATGGCTCCTTTTCCGAACTCTCTTCAACCGTGATGACGGCGGCCATGTCTGCCAGCACTGGTGCCGTGAAGATTTGCCGCACGCTGAGAGATAGGCCGAGAGCACGGCTGGCGTGGGCAAGGCGCATGGCTGAGATGGAGTCTCCTCCCAGCTGGATGAAGTTGGACTCGGCACCCAGTCTTTCCTTGTCGAGCTTGAGCACCTTCGCCCAGAGACCGCGCAGCCGTTCTTCCATGTCCGACAGCGGCCCAACATCCTCCTTGACTTCCTCAGGCAACACGCACTGCTCCAGCGAAAGCTGTTGGCCAAGTGCATACAGCTTCTGGCGGTCGACTTTTCCTCCAGGCGTCAGAGCCACATTCCGTACAACAACGTACGCCGTCGGCACCATGAAAGGTGGTAATACCGTCTCCAGCTTCTTCCGCAGCTCTTGTACCGTACTCCTTGCCCCCTCATTCTCCTCCAAAGAGATCCACTCCATGACTCCACTGCCACCAGCATTCCTCTTACCAACAAAGGCCGTGAGCCGCAGCTCACCACCCAGCTTCGACATAGCCGCCACAGCAACCCAACCCTCGGGCAACGCAGCAGCCACATGCGTCTCGATCTCGCCCAGCTCAGCGCGCTGGCCATGGATCTTAACCTGACTGTCCTTCCGGCCAATGATGTGCACACTGCCGTCAACCGGATCAAACCTCGCCAGATCTCCCGACCTGTACATCCTCGCCGGCATCAAACCCGGCACATCCACCATCTCCTCCCTCCTCCACCTCGGCGGCTCGATGAACGCCGCCTTCGTCCTCACCTCATCATTCAAATACCCATCCGCCAACGTCGCGCCCTCAACCACCAACTCGCCCACCGCCCCGACCGGCACCAACCTTCCCACATCCGCCGGATCAACAATCCAAAACCGATTCCCGCCGAGCCTTCCACCCAACCACCCGGGGTCCGCGTCAGCGCTCAACGCACCCGACTCACACACATACACCGCGCACTCAGCCGGCCCGTACCCATTCATCAGCGCCACCCTCGGCGCCCAGGCCCTAATCGCATCCCTCGTCAACCTCTCCCCACCCATCACCAGCGTCTTCAGCCCCGCCACTTTCTCCGGCGAGAGCAAGCCAGCCACCGTCGGCGTCAAAAACGCCCACGATATCCTCCGCTCCCTCAGCACGCCATCCAGCGCGCTCAGCCGCGCGTCAGCGGCCGGCACGCACAGCGTCGCGCCGACGCTCAGCGCGCCCCATATCTCGGAGAGGCTGACGTCGAAGACGAAGCCGGCGAACTGGAGGACGCGGGAGTGGCGGGTGAGGCGGAGCGAGCGCGTGAAGCCGTGCGCGGAGCTGCAGAAGGCGCGGTGGGAGAGGACGATGCCCTTGGGGCGGCCGGTCGTGCCGGATGTGAAGATTATGAAGGCCGGGTCGTCCGGAGTAGCACCGTCTGCGTCGGCGTCGGCGGCGGCGGTGGAGGGGGTGGTGGTAGTGGTGTTGTTGTCGCTGACTGGCGGCAGCGCCCGCACCACCGCCTCGTCGACGACGTACTCCCTTACCCCGGTCTCGTGGACGCGCCCGCGCTGCTGCGGGCCGACTAGTATGAGCGATGCACCGCTCTCCCGCACGATCAGCCCGTTGCGCTCGTCCGGGAAGCCGACGTCGAGCGGCACGTACGCGCCGCCGGCCCGCAGGACAGCCAGCATGGCGACGACGACCCAGGCGCTCTTCTCGAACAGCACGGCCACTGGCGCGCCGCCGCGGCGGACGCCGAGGGAACGCAGCTGCTGTGCCAGGCGGGCGGACGCGTCGTCCAGCTCGGCGTACGTGAGCGTCGCGTCCCAGGACTCGATGGCGGTGGCGTGCGGGTGCAGGGCGGTCTGCTGGGCGATGAGGTCGTGGACGGTGGTGTGCAGCGTCTCCGGGACGCGCGAGTTCCACGTCGCGAGGGAGCGCTTGTCGTGCGAGCTGAGGGGGTCGATGTCGTTCAGCGTGGTGGTGGTCGCGGGCCCGGAGCTGCAGAGCTGCTGCAGGACGTGCGAGAATTGGTGCAGCAGGCGCTCGACGTGGGCGGCGGTGAAGACGGCGGACGCGTACCGCGCTGCGATGCTCGCGCCCGTCGACGTGACGGTGCATTCGACTACCAGCGGGTAGTCGAGGAAGCCGCCGGCCGACACGGCGTCGTCGTCGTCGACGGCGCTCCAGAGCTTGGTGGTTGGCGCCTGCTCGTCGGCTCCGTCCTTGTCGGCTGGCTGGATGACAAGCAGGTTCTGGAAGTTGCAGGCCGCTTTGGCTGTCGGACCGAGCTCTTTGATGCGCTGTAGTCCCACGTGTTGGAACGGCGCCATGTCGATTGTTTGCGTCTGCACGGCGGCGAGGTAGGCGTCCAGCGTTTGCTTGGGATCCAGGTGCACGACCGTCGGAACGGTCGCGATGGTCGGGCCCGTCGTGGTGGTGATGCCGGGCACTGGGATGTCTCTTCCGCTGAAGGTTTCTCCGAAGAGTACCGAGTCGGAGCCTGTGTAGCTCCTGAGGATCAATGCCCAGGCGGACCTGAGGAGGGTTGGGGTGGTAATCGAGGATCCGGAAGAGCGGGAGAATGTGACTGGGTGTGTCATCGCTGCGTCGGCCACCACCTGCGTATCTGTGGACTTGACCTCTGGGAAAGTGGCCGCGCTGCTGTCTGCCAACCGGCTCTTCCAGTAGTTGTCCGCTGCAGCCGTGTCCTGCTGAGAAAAGTAGGCTTGAACTTGCGAGAATGGCGCGACAACCGGTGACAGAGGCTTGTTGTGGTACAGCTGCTCGAGCTCCTCAAGCAGCAGCTTCGTGGACCAGCCGTCGTAAATGGCGTGGTGAACCGTCCACACAAAGTAATCGTCGTCTTCAGCCTCCACAATGCAGTACCTGGCCAAGGGGGTCCCGGGTTCCATAGGATTCTGCTTGTCCTCTGCAAGATACCCCTCGAGACTAGTAGTAGTTGTCCACTCGACGCCACGGTCCTTTAGAACCACTTGAATGTACACCCCATCGACATCGACAATCACAGTGCGCAGGATAGAATGCCTCTGCACCACCGCCTCCCACGCCTTCTTGAACCGCGGCACGTCCAGGAACGGATGCAGACTGAACACGCTCTGCGCCGTATACGTGCCGCCATTCTTCGCCGACAGCGCCAGCAGCCCCTCCTGCAGCGGCGAACAAGCGTACGCATCCTCGACCTCCCTGCGCGGGATCCCGTGCTGCTGCTCGAGCCGCGCGAAGACGCGCTCCGGGGCATCCACCAGCGCGAACGGCGCCGGCGGCTTCTTCCACGCTTCTTCTTCATCTTCTTCCTCATTCTCCGCGCCCCCGAGCAGCTTGGCTGTCCGGGCCATTTCGCACAGCTTGTTGTTGCGGAGAATATTCTGCACCGTGATGTCGATGCCGTGCTCGCGCGCCAGCGTGGCCAGCCGCATGGCGCCGATCGAGTCGCCGCCCAGCTGGAAGAAGCCGTCGTCGACGCCGATGGTGTCGACGGGCAGCCGAAGCACTTCGGCCCACAGGCGGCGCAGGTCCGTCTCGCTCTGCGTGCTCGGTGCCCGCTTCTCGGCGTCCGTCAGCGAAAGGCGCGACAACTGTTCCTGGGAGAGGCTGGCGGCCAGATCGCGCAGCGCGCGGCGGTCGATCTTGCCCGGGATGGAGAGCGGCATGGCGGCGAGCGGGACGTACATGGAGGGCACCATGTGAGGGGGGATGTGGGTCTGCAGGTGCTGTTGGAGGGAGACGAATTGTGCTTTGAGCTCCTCGGATAGATCGAGGTGTTGCTTCCCATCTTCGAAGTCCAGGAAGGCGGCCAGCAGCTGCACGCCGCCGCTGAGTTTGATCTTCTCGACGGCGACGTGGAGGAGGCGGCTCGTCGCCTGCCTGATGTGGTGCTCGATCAACGTCAGCTCGATGCGTTGGCCGCGCAGCTTGACCTGCGTGTCCTTCCGCCCCACGAAGTTCATGGAGCCGTCGGCGTTGAACTTGACCAGATCACCCGTCTTGTACATGCGGCGAGTCTGTCCGTTTTCAGTCATTGCCCACTTTGGATTGACGACAAACGCTGCGTCCGTCTTAGCCGCATCGTTGAGGTAGCCGCGGGCCAGCGTGGGCGCCTCGACGAGTAGCTCTCCCGTGCTCCCCACCGCAGCCAGGCGGTTGCAGTCATTGGGATCAACGATCCAACAGCTGCCCGTGATAGACTTCCCGATGAGGGCCGGATCATCTGTTCTGCTGACGCCCACGGCGCTCGTGCTGAAGATGCAGCACTCGGCCGGCCCGTACGCTTCAATCAAGCAAACCTCGCTGGCCCACGTCTGGAAGATGTCAGCATCCAGCGGCTCCCCTCCAACAACGACCGTCTCGAGCATAGGTAGTTTCTGCGGCGACAGGGTGCGCACGAACGACGCCGTGAACAAGGCCCAGTTCACGCGCATGCGGTTCATGGCGGCCATGATGTTGCCCGTGCGTTCGGCAGCCGACGGCACGCACACGCAGCCGCCGTGCGCCAGCGTCGTCAGCATCTCGGCGATGCAGACGTCGAAGACGTACGACGCGAAGTTGAGCACGCGCGAGTCGGCCCTGAAGCGTAACGTGTGGCCGTGGTCGGTGACGCTGCGGCTCAGGGCGCCGTGCTCCATGACGACGCCTTTCGGCGTGCCCGTGCTGCCTGAGGTGAAGATCACGTACGCGGCGTCGGAGAGTGCCGATCGGGGAGACGTGGCGTTGGAGAACGGGAGTGATTCGAGCAGCTTCGGGGACACCTCGATCACCTGCTCGGCGAACTGCGCGCAGGACTCGGTGGTCTGGGGACATGTGAGGACGAGCTTGGCTTGCGTCTGTTCGACAACTCCCTGCTGCCACTCGCGGGGGTACGATGGGTCCATGGGGACGAAGGCACCGCCGGCTCGGAGGATGGCGAGTTTTGCGACAACGACCCAGGCTGATTTCTCCATGCAGAAAGGGACGAGGGTTTCCGGCCGGACGCCCAAGGAAACGAGATGGTCTGCCAATGCGCTGGTGTAAGATTCTAGTTGGGCGTAAGTAAATTCGCCGTCCCATGCACAGACGGCCGGTCGTTCCGGCTGTGAAGCTGCCAGCTGAGATATACGGTCGTGGATGCAGACATCATTGTCCGGAGTAGGAGGAGTCTGCTGCTGACGGATTTCCTCATCCCAGTGGAGGATCTGTTGGAGACCCTGTGGACCAAGAACGTCGAGTTCTGACACTTTCAGGAGTTGGTCTTCCAAGCAAAGTTGTTGAAGGATGCTGTCAAACTGCTGCAGCATGTGCACGACGTGCTCCTCGTTGAGCAGACGGCTGTCGTAACCAGCAAGGACCTCGCAATGTGCATCGTCAAGGCTGCACTGTACGGTAAGGGGGTAGGAAAAGAAGTCGGAATGCTGGTCCGACTCGAGCCACCTGCCCATTACTGCGCTCTCGTCTGACTCGCGCATTTGCCTGGGCTGGATGACCAGCAGGTTCTGGAAATTGCAGGCGGCCTTGCTCGCTGAGCTGAGATGGGCAATGTTTTGCAGGCCAAAATGCTCGTGGGGGAGCGAGCCTAGCCAATCGCGCTGCACAGTTTCCAGGTACTGGCTCACCGTCGACGCACCGTTCACCTTGACAACAACGGGGAGGGTGCACAGTGTGGGACCTACGACGCCCTCGATGCCCAGGAGAGAACCCGAACGTCCAGAGGACACAGTCCCGAACAGGACTTCGTCCCCTTCGCAGTATTGCCGGAGCAACACTGCCCACGCTGCTCGGACGAGGGTCGAAGTGGTGATGCGCGACCCCGTCTTCCGGCTGAACTGGATCTGAGACGTTTTGAAAGAAGCCACTTCAGGGGCTTGTCCTGATGAAGAAGGTTCGGGGAAAGTCTGGGCCGAGAAGTGCTCAAAGGTGTTGGTCCAGTAGGCAGACGACTCGGCATGTCCATTAGAGAGATCCGTCACAAAGCGCTTGAAGCTGGGGCCGGTGGGAGCGGAGCTGCCCTGGTACAATACCTCGACCTGGTCCAAAAGCAACTTCATGGACCAGCCGTCGTAGGTGCTGTGGTGGGCCGTCCAGATGAAGTAGTTGGTAGTGTCTGAAGTGACGATACTGAACCTGTTCAACGGAGTGCCCAGACCCATCGGCGTTGCCTTCTCCTTCTCCAATGCCTCGGACAGATTGCGGCTTGAGGACCACCAGATACTGTCCTGCAAGACCACCTGCACCGTCTCGCCGTCGACCTGTACAATACGCGTGCGGAGAATGTCGTTGCGCGAGAAGACAACACCCCACACGTTCTTGAACTTGTCAATGTCGGTCTCAGGCGGCAGGGCGAAGGTGTTGAAGGCCACATAAGCGCCAGGCTTGCTGAGGGTCAGCGACATGAGGCCTTCCTGCATGGGAGTGCACGGCATGACGTCCTGCACCATGCCGACATCAACCCCACACTTCTGCGCCACCACCTCAAACAACGCCGCGCCAACATCGCGAGCCTGAACGGGCCCCTGCACCTTCGCAGGCACGACCAGCCTCTCATCCGCCGGCGCCGTCTGCTCCGCCGCCAGCTCAGCGATGCTCTCGGCGGCGAACAGCCGTGCCACGCTGAGCACCAAACCCTCCTCTCTCGCCAGCGCCACGAGGCGCATAGCCTGAATCGAGTCGCCGCCCAGCCGAGCAAAAGCATCGTCGGCAAACACTTGGTCTTCCGGCAACCCGAGGATACGGGCAACCAACGCACACAGCTTCTCCTCCGCTTCGCTTTCTGGCTTGCGGCCGGCACGACTCTGCTCGCGCGTGAACGCCGCAACGTCGGCCGCCGTCAGCCCCGCGGCCAGCTTGCCCAGCTCCTTGCGGTCGACCTTGCGCGACGGCGTGCGCGGCATCTGCGCCACGGGAACGATAACGGTCGGTATCTTGTAGGCCAGCAGGCGCGGCGCCATGTACGCCGCGATGGCCGCCAGCAGCGCGTGCAGGAGCCTGCTCTGCTCCGCCGGCGCGGCGGCAGCTAGCGTCGGGCTGGCGATGAAGGCGGCGAGGTGCAACGACGAGGATTCCGCGGGCGTGATCTTCGCCACGACGCTCTCGTCGATGTCCGGCAGGAGATGCGTAACGCCGGCCAGGGCTTCCTTGAGGCAGAACTCGACCTCGGCCAACTCGATGCGCTGGCCCCGCAGCTTAATCTGCGTATCGCGGCGCTCGACGAACTCGACGCTCCCATCGCCGGCCGTCGCGCTATACCTTGCCAGATCGCCCGTGCGGTACATGCGCTGGTTGACCTCCGACGCAACCTCCGGAATCCACACGCACTGCGGCGCGATAAACCCGGCCTTCGTGCGCTCCTCATCGCCCAGATACCCGCCGGCGGCGTTGACCGGGCCCTCGATGACCAGCTGCCCCGTCACCCCCACCGGCGCGAGCTTCGTGTAGTCGTGCGCCTCGACGACCCACGTCCTGCACCCGACCGGCAATCCCAGGTTCGGCGGCAGCCGCACGCCAGCGCGCAGCGTGCCGGCGACGCACAGCGACGACTCTGCGGGCCCGTACGCCGACAACAAATGCGCGCGCTCGCTCCACTTGGCGACTTCAGTCCGCATCAGCGGCTCGCCGCCCATGATGACGGTGCGCATGCCGGGCAGTTTCTCCGGATCGAGGCTGCGGCCGAGGGACGGCGTCAGGTGCGCGTAGTTGGCGCGGAGGCGGGCGAAGGCGCCGGCGAAGTCGTTGATGCGGTCGGCCTCGGACGGGATGCAGATGCAGCCGCCGTGCATGAGCGTCGCGAGGTGGTCGCCGACGGACGCGTCGAAGGCGTAGGCGGCGAATTGGAAGACGCGCGAGTTGGACGTCACGGCGCAGCAGGGGCCGAAGGCTTCGAAGGAGGAGTACATGCCCGAGTGGCTGTGGACGATGGCTTTGGGTTTGCCGGTGCTGCCGGAGGTGAACATGACGCAGAGGGTGTTGTCATGGTGGTAGGTGTGCGTTGGCAACTTGGTTTCTGTGGGAAGACCAGGTAAATGGTTTTCGGAGAGGGTGATGACGGCATTGATGTGGTCGGTCAGGGAAGAGCTGAAGGCTGGGCTGGCGATGGCTATCTTTGCGTCCACGGCCTGGGCGAGCTCGATTCGTTTTTCTGCCGAGTGGTGCGCCGGATCCAGGAGCAGAAAGGCAGCGCCGCTCTTCATGACGGCCATCATGGCGATGAGCGTCCACTTGGACTTTTCAAAGCACAGCGGGATGATCGTGTTGGGCCTGGCGCCCATGGCGTAGAGGCGCGCTGCCAGGGGTGACGACAGCTTGCTGACTTCCTCGTATGTGAAGCTGCCGTCCCACGCACACACTGCCTCCACGTGCGGGTGTTGAGCTACGCGCTCCTCAATCCGGTCGTGGATGCAGCGCTCGATGATTTCTGGTACGTGGCTGTTCCACTTGGCAATTTCACGGTAGTCCTCGGGACTGACCATGTCGACATCTCTCAGCCTCTGTTTGCCGCCTGTGAGCAACTGACCGAGTACGTGCGCAAACTGGTGCATGATACGGCCCATCTGCGTACTGTTGATAAGGTCCGAGTCGAAACTGCACTTGAGTTCCATGTTAGTACGTGAGGGAGTACATTCGAGCATGATGCCGTAGTTATTGAACGTCGCCATCTCATCCCAGTCATGACGGTGTCTGAGAACACTATCGGGGCGCTCATCTCTGGCCTCGGGCTGCACCACCAGCACGTTCTGGAAGCTGCACGCCGTTTCCGTGTCGGCGTTGATGCTGCGGATGCCTTGAAGGCCGAGGTACTCGAAACCGTCCATGGAGCCTACGCAATTTTGGACCAGCTGAAGGAAATCGTCAACGCTCTGTTCCATGTCGACATTGACCCGCAGTGGCACCGTTGCAAAGGCCGGGCCAATCATCTCCTGGATCCCTTCGATGGGCGCATTGCGGCCTGTCACCGTAGAGCCGATGACCACGTCGCTGTTCTCGGTATATCTCGAAATGACAAAAGCCCATGCTGCTCGTACGACATTTGCTGCCGTGACATTTGAGGCATTAGTTCCCTCGACCGTGTGATGCAAAAGACCATCAGCCTTGGGCGTGTAGAAGGCGGTGGGCAGCTTGGGAAATATGTCGGCCGAGACGCCAGCCAGTGTAGACTTCCAGAAATCCTGAAGCGTGTCTGGATCCTGCGCTTGGAGCAACCGGACGAATTTGTTGAATGGGGGCGAGATGGCGACGGCTTCGCCAGCATAGACTTGCTCGACCTGCTCCAACAGCTTACCCCATGCCCAGCCATCGTACAAGGCGTGGTGGATGGTAATGCACAAGTGCGCTTGGCCGCTCGCCTCGTCCTCGATGACGGCAAAGCGGCAAAGCTTGTCGCCGTGCAGCATGGGCACCTCGCGGTCTTTCTGAGCGTACGCCGCCATGTCCTTGGCCTCGACCCAGTCGATCATCTCGTCAACCACGACCTGATAGACGCCCGACTTGGTAGTGATCATTCTGGTTCGGAGAATGGCGTTGCGGCGCGCGATGGCCTCCCACGCGCCCTTCAGGCGGTCCACGCTCACACCTTCATCGAGCAGAAAGCTCATCTGCGCCATCTCCATGCCAGGATGCTTCGCCGAGACGGCAATCAAGCCCTCCTGAAGCGGCGTCGCCGGATAGATATCCTGGACAGCGTCATCGCCGACGCGGCACTGCTCGGTAGCTTCCTGCCGCAGCGCGACGACCGCGTCTTCCGGCACCAGCGAGAAGGGGGCCGGGCTGTCGTCCTCCTCCCGCTTCGTAGCCGCGATCTCAGTGAGCGTGAGGCACATATCCGACAGCCTTGGATACTGAAACACAGTCCGCATCGTCAGCCCGAAGCCCCTCGCCCTGACGGCCGCGACCAGCTTCATCGCATCGATGGAATCTCCCCCGAGCCTGAAGAAGTTGTCCTCGGCGCTGATGACCTTCTCGTCGATGCCCAGCACCGCCGCCCACTGCTGACACATCTCCTTCTCCGCTGCCGTCTCCGGCGCCCGGCCGTTCTGGGCGAGAGAGAAGGCCGCCAGCCGCTCGGCCGTGAAGCCGGCGGCCAGCGCGTGCAGGCGCTTGCGGTCGACCTTGTGCGAGTTGGTCAGCGGCACGCGGCGCAGGGGCACGAACGCCGTCGGAATCATGTACGCCGGCACCGTCTTGCCCAGGTGCGCGACGATGCGGTTCTGCAGCGCCGTCCACTCGGCCTTCTCCCCCGCCTCCTCGTCCAGGAGGTCTCCGTTGGGGTATCCGCGGCCGACGCGGATGAAGGCGGCGAGGATGAGGTTCGCGGACGACGCGATGGTGATCATCTCGGCGACGACCTCGTCGATGGGAGACAGTTGGGACGAGACGTGGTGCTCGACCTCGGCCAGCTCGAGCCGCTGGCTGCGGAGTTTCACCTGCGTGTCGCGCCTGCCCAGGAACACGAACTCGCCGTCCGGCGTGTACCGCGCCATGTCGCCCGTCTTGTACAGCTTCCTCCCTGGCGGCAATCCCTCACCAACTAACCAAGCCGGACGGTCGACGAACGCAGCCTTGGACTTCTCCGGCTCCTTCAGGTAGCCCCGCGCCACGGTCGGGCTGTCGATGACGATCTCGCCCAGGCCGCCGAGAGGGGTGAGCTGGTGGTGGTTGCCCGGCTCGACGATGTAGTAGTGCGCCGAGTCGATCGGGTGCCCGATGCTGCGGAAGTCGGTGCTGCTGTTGACCGTCGGCCACGCCTTGACGCAGCTCGACACGGTCGTCTCGCTGGGCCCGTACGCGTTGAACAGCTGCACGCCGCCGTCGCTCCAGTGCCCGATGTCCTGCTCCGCGATGGCCTCGCCGCCCACGACCACGACCCGCAGCGTCGGGACGTCCGCGGGCGAGACGAGCCGGCCGAACGACGGCGTGAAGGTCGCGCGCGAGCACGCGTACTTGTTGATGGAGCCGATGACGTCGTTGTTGCGCTCGAAGTCGGACGGGATGCAGAGCGTGCCGCCGTGCATGATGGTGCCCAGCATCTCGCCGATGCACTGGTCGTAGCTGTGCGCTGCGAAGTGGAGGACGCGGTTGGCTGACTCCGGCCCGGGGTAGAGCTGCATGGCGCGGCAGGTCGCGCTGGCCGAGGACGCGTAGGAGCAGTGGTCGATGATGGAGCCCTTGGGTTTGCCCGTCGTGCCCGAGGAGAAGTGGATGTAGAGGGCTTGGCGGGGGGAGATTGAGACTGCGGGCTGCCCTTCGTTGTGCGGGATTTCTTCGATCATGTGCTTGCTGATGGTCAGCACGGGGATGCCGAGTGACTGCGCCGTTTGGGTGTGTTGGATGGAGCTGAGGATCAGCTTTGCTTCCACGTCGTCGACGATGACTTGGAGGCGTGCAACTGGATGGTCGGGATCCAGCAGAACGAAGGTGGCGCCGGCCTTGATCGCACCGAGCAAGGCCACCTGCGTCCACATCGACTTCTCGAAGAGGATGGGTACCGCATGTTCAGGCTTGATGCCCTGCCCGGAAAGATATTGCGCGAGTCGAGAGGAGAGTTGGTCCAGTTCCGAGTAGGTCATCTTCCCATCCCATGCCTCGGTGGCATATTCGTTGGGCATCTCTTTGACACGGTCCATGAATATCTCATGCACGCAGCGGTCGATGAACTCAGGTGGACCGGGGAGCCACTTTCCGATCTGCTCGCTGTCATGCTGCCCAAAGGCCTTGATATCCTGAAGCAGCGCAAATGGATTGCTGTGAAGCTGCTTGAGAATGTTCTCCATCTGGAAAAGCATCCAGGTGACGTAACGCCCGTCAATCAAGTCCTCATCAAAGTTGGCAGTCAGACGTGTCTCGGAACCGTCGACTCTGACCTGCAGGGCAAGAGCGAACGTCCGAATATTCTCGACGATCTCGAGCCCTGATTTCTCGAACAGATTCTCAGGTGCTGGGTCCGTCGGCGGTTGCAGGATGAGCAGACTCTGGAATCCACAGGCGGCTTCGGCCTCGGGAGAAAGACGGCGGATGCGGCGTAGTCCAAAGTGCTCGTGCGGTATCATCTCCGTGGCTTGATCCTGCAGCTGCTTGAGAAAGCTTTCCACCATTTGGGATTGGAGTAGCTGCACTCTGACTGGTACTGTTGTGATGGTAGGTCCAACGAGTCCGTCTATTCCCGGCATTGAAAGCGACCGGCCGGAGAGCGTCGTACCCATGATCACGTCATCTGTCAAAGAGTGCTGTGAGATGAGGATTGCCCATGCTGCGCGTATGAACGTTGCTGTTGTTATTTCGGATTTACGTGTCTCGGGCAGGGAAAAGGTATGTTCCCTAACGCTGTCGGCGTGGGGTTGGCGATTCGCAGGTGTCAGTGGAGGAAATGTCACTGGCTGTGCGTCCTGGAGCTGTCCTCGCCAGTACGTCGCCGATGCGGCTTCATCAGCCTCCATCAGCTTGCCGATGAAAGATCTGAATTCTAGTACCGGTGGTTCCAGTTGGCCCTGATATGCCTGACCGATCTGATCAAGGATAAGCGGGATGGACCAGCCATCATAGATTGAGTGGTGTGCGGTAAACACGAAGAAGCGGGAGCTTCCCTCAGATACGAGTCCAAGTCGGATCAAACGGTCACCGCATCCCACGTGTTTCTCCGAATCGGCGAGAAGGTAGGTTTCAAGGGCCTCGGAGACGTTCCATTCGGGCTCTTCCTTGAGAACGGCCTGGAAGATCTGGTTGCTGAATTGCACGAATCTGGTTCTCAGGATACTGTTGGCCTGAACGACTTGTGCACAGGCCGCTCTGAATCTGTCCAGATCGGTTGATGCCGTGAGTCGTAGAACGTGGCGGGCAATGTAGGCACCCTGCTCCTTTATTGATAAAGCCATGAGGCCCTCCTGCAAAGGTGTGCAGGGATAGATGTCTTCGATGTCCTCAGGACGAATTCCACATTGCGACCCTGCCGATGAAATTGCATCAGGAAGAGTCTCTCCCTTCATGAGGCCAAACTTGGCAACCGTCTCTTCAGCTGCAAGCTCTACGGCGGAATTTGCGGCCATGTCTGAGAGGATGGGATGGGTGAAGATTGCTGACACGCTGAGAACCATGCCAGCCTTCCTCGAAATGTTGGCTAATTTCATTGCCGAGACAGAGTCTCCAAATTGCAAGAAATTTGAGTTCGGGTGAATTACTTCAGGGTTGACGCCTAGAGCAGTGGCCCATAGTCCTTGGAGGAGCGTTTCAGCATCAGTCAAAGGACGGCTTGGGCGTTCCGCAGCAGAGTCCGTGATGAGCTCAGATGCCATCTTGCTGAGACGTACGCGGTCGATTTTGCCCGATGGCGTAGATGGCAGTCTTGATACAGAAAAGATGGCGCCAGGAACCATATAGGCAGGAAGGATATTTGCGAGCTGCGCCTTCAGCTCGGGGATGACCAAAGGCTGCTTCAGACTCCTATCGGTAACAAACCCAGAAAGTACTCTCTGCTGAGCAGCAAGCACGACACAGACCTCAACGGTCCCCGGCACACATTTCTGCATGCAATGTTCGATGTGGGCCAAGTCCACTCTTTGGCCCGCAAGTTTGACCTGAGTGTCTCGACGTCCGATGTAATCGATAGTACCGTCGGCTGCGTACTTGACGAGGTCTCCAGTGCGGTAGAAACGCCTCGATCCCTGGCCGAAATAGTCTGGCAGATTCACAAAGGCTTTCGCTGTAGCCTCGGGGTTCTGAACGTAGTGCCGAGCCATGTTCGGACCTTCGACGAGCAACTCTCCTACAGCACCGACAGGGGCCAGTTTCGTGTGGTCGGAAGAGTCCACAATCCAGGTTCGCCCGCACACGGCACGGCCAATATTGCTGGGATTGGCTCCTACGATGATAGGATCCGTGGATGTGCACCACACAATCTGGTCCATGGTTAGTATCTGGGCTGAGGGAAGACGATCATTACTTACACATTCAGTGATACCGTAAATGTTCAACAGCTTCACGGCGGGAGCCCATCTCTCGACCAATCTCTCGTTGAGGGCCTCGCCTCCTAACGAGAGGACTTTGAGAGTTGGGACATCTTCAGGAAACAACGAGTCTGCAGCGCTCGGTGTCAGACAGGCCACGTTGGCCTTGAGTGCGGTAATGGATCCGGCCAGGTTGTTGAGTCGGTCATTATCGGAGGGCAGGCATACACATCCGCCAACCAAAAAGGTGCAGAAGGTATCGCTGAGGCTGGTATCAAAGCTGTAGCCGGAGAATTGGTAGGTGCGTGATTCCGAGGTGATCAGCATTGCAGCTCCGTGATCGCGGCAACTTGTGCCAAAGGCATTGTGCTCCTGGAGGATTCCCTTGGGCTTTCCAGTGCTGCCAGAGGTAAAGGTCAATAGCAGGCCGTTTTCTGGCCGCACGTCGGAGCAAGCCTCGTCCAGCGAGTACTCCGGAATGCTTTCCAAGAGTGAATGGTCAACGACCAGCAGTCGATTGGAGTACTCGGCATGAATGCGGCTCGCTAACCCCGCAGAGCTCACTGCCAGTTTTGCACCAAAATCGCGCATCCTATCATGCCAGGTGCGCTGGGGCATGCGAGGGTCGAGCGGCATGAGAATTCCACCGGCCTTCATGACCGCGATCATGGTCACGACGGCACAGATGGACTTCTCGAATGTGAAAGAGACGACATCCTCCACCTGGATGCCATACTTGTGGACTAGGTAATGGCCCAGTTGCGTGGTGGTGCGGTCAAGCTCGCCGTAACTCATTTCACCGTCCCACGAGCAGAGAGCCACGCGGTCCGGCGTGAGAAGAGCTTGGCCATGGAGGATGTCGTGCACGCATTTGTTGATAGGCTTCGTCTCTCGCGAATTCCATTCTTGGATCTGCTCAAAATCAGAACGGCTCAACAACTCAAGGGCAGGGGATCTGGGAAGCGCTTCAAAATCCATGTTTGGAGAATCGGTGTCGTGACGATCAGGGCCAGGTGCAATACTAGCAGGGACAGACCTCTGAACTACGGTTTTACAGGTAGTTCAAATGATAATGTTGCCGAAATAGGCATGGTGGTATAGTGACAGGCCCCCTTAGGCTGCTGACAGGGCCTGTCAGCGGCTGACCAGGCTCGCTGCATAGTGATGACACGGACGCACCACTCAACTCCGGAAAAGCCAGAGCCCCGCGCTCGAATGCAAAGAACAACAGCCCAGGGTGGCTGAATTGCCGAAGACGATTTCGATATTTTGTTTCAGCCTTACCTTTCCTAGTACGCCGCGGAGATGGCGTCTGTAACCATCACAGCAGCATGTTTTGCCGTGCCAGTGGCATGCACGTTTTTCAGCGTGCGGCAAAAGCGGCAATCTCTCCAGGCATACACCAGTCTGGCAGCGGATGAAGATGTTGATGGGGTGGAGGATGGTGTTGATGACACCCCACTGCCGGCGCGCACGGCCAGATTGTTTGCTGCGGTCGGCACCATCTGCGCGCTGGTTGCATCTGCGTTTGCATGTCTGGATGTACGCTCGCTCGATGGCATTCTACTTCTTGCTGGATGGGTGAGATAGGTCGCTCAGGTGTTTCTGGGCCCATGCGCTGATGCAGTTTTCGCAGGCATTGGTCGCTTTCCAGGCGCTGAGATTCGTGCGCGAAAATTCTTCGTCGCGGCGACGTTATCGGCTAGGACTCCTACTGGCCGGGTCTTGCATCGCGCTGCTTATCGGAGTCGCTTTCACCAACTACTTCTCTGTAGAAGCCTCGACGGTATTCCGCGTGGTGAGCGGAGCTGAGCTGGTTGCGGGCGCTGTTGTAGCGGTGGGTGGCGTTTCAGTGCCGCGGCAACAGGCCTCAACCGAGTCAATCGACGCCCAAAACTCCGTCTCCGCACTCTCCAAGTGAGCATTGCCACACCAACCCTTTCAATCGTCACTCGCTCACTCCTCTCTATAGGCACACATTCTCCTGGGTCCGTCCTCTTCTGGACCATGCCAGAGCCCAGGGAACTCTCGAATATGCAGACCTGCCGTCCTTGGCCAGCGACGTGCGCACCGGCCATTTGCACGCCCGCTTTCATCGCAGTTCATCAACTCCGCTATGGCGTCTCGTCATCGCCGACCATCGCGCCAGCTTTATCGTGCAGTGGGCATTGACCGGTGTTGAGAGCTTCCTTCTTGTTGGCCCTCAGTTCTGTTTGTTCCAACTGCTCAAGCTGCTCGAACGCAAGGGCACCGAATCCGTCGACCAGCGCCACCTTTGGCTCTGGGCAGCTGCTTTGATAGTCTTGAAAATCACTCACCTCTTCTGCGAGTCATGGTACGTACCTGTCTTAATGGTCCACTTGCAGCCTTGCTGACTCTGCGTAGGATCGAGTGGGTCAATTTTGCCATGTTGGCTACCCCAATTCGGTCTCAGCTGTCTGCCCTGATCTTCACGAAGTCCATGCGCCTCAAGGACATCAGGACGGTGAAGCATGCCAGCGTTACCGCCAAGAAGCGGAGCAGTGAGGATGGAGACTCGGGCATTGGCGATGTCGAGGAAGAGGCTCTCGAGATGGAGACGTTGATGACTAAAGAAGAGCGTGACGCTGCTCAGAGTGACGACAAAGACGAGGAGGAGGTTGAAGAGGAATCCAGCCAAGCAGCTCAAGGCGCCATCAACCTTTTGGGTGTCGATGTGCAGCGCGTTTCTGATTTTGCCGGCTACAACGTCCTCATTCCCGGAAGCCTGCTGAAAATCATCATCGCCGCGTGCTTCCTCGTCAATCTCATCGGCTGGATCAGCACCATTGTCGGCCTGTCTGTCCCCATCATATTTCAGCCCCTCAACCAAGTGGCCACCCGTGGATACTCCAATGCAGCCGAAGCCGTCATGATGATTCGCGACGAGAAGACGCATGTTGTAACCGAAGCCCTGCACGGTATCCGCCAGATCAAGTTCTCAGCCATTGAAGGTCAGTGGCAAAAGGTCATCATGGATACCCGCAAGCGTGAGCTGGGTGCCCAGTGGCGCTTGTTCAAATGGGGTACCTTCATGACATTCACTTGGCTTTCCATGCCCATTCTCCTCGGTGCCGCTGCTCTAGGAACCTATGCCTGGCTCAACGGCTCCGTTACTGCTTCAGTCGCCTTCACCGCCCTCTCTGTATTCACCAGTCTCGAGTGGACGCTCAGCGTGGTCCCCACCACCATCACCGAGCTGATCGATGCCAAGGTCAGCATCACCAGGATTCAGCAACATCTAGACCAGCCAAACGAACGTGGGGACGCCAAGTCTGGCGACGAAGTCATCTTCAAGAACGCCTCTGTGAGATGGCCTTCTGAATCCATTGATTCCGCTGCCTTCACGCTGCGCGATCTGAACCTCCACTTTCCCAGCAATCAGCTCAGCGTTATTCATGGCAAAACGGGCTCCGGTAAAAGTCTCTTGCTGGCTGCGATACTTGGAGAAGCAGACGTAGTGAAGGGCACTGTGACAGCCCCCCGGTCTGAATCATCTCTCGGCCGTCGCGATGATCTCGCCACACTCAGCAACTGGACCATCCCGTCTTCGGTCGCATTTGTTTCGCAAATCCCATGGATCGAGAATGCGTCATTGAAGAACAACATTTTGTTCGGACTGCCGTTCGTATCCACCAGGTACTGGAAGGTGCTTGATGCTTGCGCATTGACAAAAGACCTCGAGGTCCTCCCTGACGGAGAAGAGACCGAGATCGGTGCCAGCGGAATCAACCTCAGCGGCGGCCAAAGATGGCGCGTTACTTTGGCTCGAGCTCTGTACTCGAGAGCCGGTGTTCTGGTGCTTGATGACATCTTCAGCGCGGTCGATACCCATGTTGGCCAGCATATTCTTGTCAATGCCTTGCACGGAGATCTGGTCGAGGGACGGACAAGGATACTCGTCACTCACCACATCGGACTTGTCTCATCCCTTGCAAGCTATATCGTTGAGCTTGACGGTGACGGCTTTGTGAGGAGTGCCTCACATCATCGGCCAGCGATTCAACACTTCAACAACATCTCAAACAACATTTCTGAAGGCTCGGATGAACTGCAAGTCGTCGAGCTTGAGGGAACGAAGCCTCCACCGAAGAAATTCGTGGAGGAGGAAGTTCGTGAGAAAGGAAGGGTCAAGCTTGACGTCTACAAAGGCTACATGGGGGCCTCTGGTGGAGTGTCGTATTGGACACTCACCATTGGGCTTTATGTACTTTCGGCGCTCAGTATCCTCGGTCGTTCCTACTGGATCAAGCACTGGACCCAGCAAACAAGCTCGAGGCCCCCCGACGAAGACCCCGGCAGCGATCTCAAGTTCTATCTTGGTGTGTACCTCGGCATCTCGACATTTGCCGCATGCACAATCGCAATCAAAACATTGACAGTCATGCGCGCTGCAATTCGCGCTTCGCATGCCCTCTTTGAGAAAATCACATACACTGTTCTCCATGCACCTCCACGGTGGCTGGATACGGTTCCTGTTGGTCGTATCATGAACCGCTTCGTCGGCGATTTCGCCCTGGTGGACTCCCGTCTTGGCGGTGACTTCAATTGGTCCTTCCATGGCATCCTGACCATCATGACCATCATTGGCGCTGCTCTGTTCGTGTCTGGGTACATGATCCTACCAATCGTGCTCTTCGCCATAGTGAGCTTGTACTACACCAACGTCTACCTGGAAGGCGCCAGGGACATCAAGCGACTCGAGAGCAACGCCAAGTCGCCAATTTTCGAGCTGCTCGGCTCGGCCCTGGCCGGCCTGGCAACGATCCGTAGCTTCGGGAAGGCGGATGAGTATGCCGAACGCATGTTTGCTCGTATCGATGACTACGGCAAGAGTACCTGGAACCTGCTCTTGGCCACGCGCTGGATGGCTTTCCGACACGGCCTGTTCGGTAGCGTTTTCACGTTTCTCGTAGCTGTGACCGTCATCCTCCTCGACGGCATAAGTGCCTCGCTTGCTGGATTCACCCTCGGCTTTGCTTTGGAGTATTCCAACATCGCCATCCAGACAATTGGGCGGTACACTGGCTTTGAGCTCGACATGAACTCGGCCGAGCGCGTGATTGAGTACACCAAACTCAAGACGGAGGATTTATCAGGGGAAAGCGCCCCACAAGACTGGCCCACTGAGGGCCGACTCGAGGTCAAGAACCTGGCCGTCAGCTACGCACCCGACCTACCCCTTGTGCTGAAAGGATTATCCTTCACAGCCGAGGCCCGCCAGCGTATTGGCGTGGTTGGAAGGACAGGCAGCGGCAAATCATCCCTGACGCTCGCTCTTTTCCGCTTTCTCCAAGCACGCGAAGGCCGCATCCTCATCGACGGTACGGACATCTCGCGGATCCGGCTCCAGGATCTCCGGAGCAGGCTCGCCATCATCCCGCAAGACCCTGTCCTGTTCTCTGGCACGCTGCGGTCCAACCTCGACCCCTTTGACGACCACAGCGACGCCGAGCTGCTGGACGCGCTGCGGCGAGTACACCTTCTGGGCGACTATGACGACGGCGCGGGCGCCACTGCCAACATTAACGTCTTCCGGGATCTGCAGTCCCCTGTGGCGCGCGGCGGGCTGAACCTGTCGCAGGGGCAGCGGCAGCTGCTCTGCCTGGCGCGGGCGGTTGTGCGCCGGCCTCGGCTCATGGTGCTCGATGAGGCAACCAGCGCGGTCGACATGCAAACCGACGCCCTCATCCAGCGCAGCATCCGCGAGGACTTTGCCGACTGCACCCTCCTCGTCATCGCCCACCGCCTCAGCACCGTCGCCGACTTCGACAAGGTGCTCGTCATGGACCAAGGGCACGCCGTCGAGTTCGACGCGCCCGCCACGCTCCTTCGCAGTGGTCGCGGCGCCTTCTCCGATATGGTCGCGAAGAGCGGTGAGAAGGATGCCATCGAGAAACTTCTGCTGGGTTGATGAGTTGCGTCTTCTAGCGCGCAGCCCGAAGGCGTGCTGCGTCTCGGAAACAGGGAATCGGGTATAACACGACATCTGCTGTTTGAGCCTGGCTACATGCGTCTGATGTGCATACGCTAAGCTTTGGCCGAGGAAGGACTGGTTAGGCGCTGCTGAAGTATTGGCCCCCTACCCAATGTGCACTACATCCAACTACATAGATATAAGGATCTGCTCAAAAGAGAAAATTAGGTTTGATAGTCGAGATCCTTGAGAAAGTGAAAATGAAGCCGGTCTTGGAGGTGTGACGAGACATCAGCGCATCCTTTTGAGCGATTATTAGGGCGCGGCTCGCGTGGCGGTGGCGTACCAGCAAGCTAATAAGCGATGCTTGGATGGCTAGCAGCTGGTGCCGGGGAAGTGCTTACTCAGATGGGATGCCTGGCAGATCCAAATCGTCCGGCTACAATCTCCATTCGCCCGCTTTACCGTGACATGCTGTGTTGTTGCTTTTCGGTCTGGCCGCTGTGCGACCCAGGTCAGCATCCGTGTGGAGCGGAGGGTGTTGTGTGACAGGCTAGTCCGCAATTGGCAGCTGCGATAACCCAACCAAGGCGACACATCACGGCGGAAGGGGCGTGCGATGTGCGTTCCTATCTCCGTCCTGGCGAATGGGAATAAATTAGCCTATCACACCGGTGCTTCGGATCTCAATGGCTGCATCCCCGCTGGGGCGTGCTCCAAGACGGAGGGATCGCCCCGTTCACAGCTATCAGCGGCGGCTCGGTTCTGGCCGTGGCGTGGTGGGGGCCGCGAGCATGGGCCAGGATCCCCCGCACCCTGCTTGTGTCTCGACAGTCCTCAAGTTGATGATGACACCCAGCTGCAACATAATATCGCTGTCGCTACTTTTCTGAACCCCTGGCGTAAGCCTTCCACTTCGGGTCATCATGCTCCCACACCGGCGACTCAGGCATGAGACATTACCGAGCATGTGGGCGAACAGCCCATCCACCTCGCTATGCACGCTCGCCTGGATACGATGTGGGCTCGTGGGCGCTAGACCCGGAGGGCGCTAATATCCGCATGACCTCCCGTTCGTCGCCGACCTTTTCCTTCCACCGCTTCTAGACCATTGCGCTGAATTCACGTGGAAATAGGCAAACGCGTAGTTCGCATAAGGCTACGCCCCCTAACGTCTACCAGGCACGCGCGATGGAGTTGAACGGAGGATTCTCCCGCCCAATGGCCCCACCGGGGCAAATTAGCGTAGCAATGGTGTACGCGTTTTGCTCCCGCCATCCGCCAAAGGATTCGTATCCCATCCGCCATAACGCAGGTTCCCACCCATAGCACCATCATGCATTACCCCAAACAAGAAGTCGACGACTGGCCTTGACTAGCAACACCAACACGTTGACGAGAATTTCCATTGGCCCACATTACAAGCCCTGATGTCATTCAGTCTCGGAGGACGTGCTGACGGCCTGGCCAAAAAAACGGTGCAATGCTAATCCCCGCCCCTTGCCCCTCCCCCACTGGACCCTGATTCTGCTTATAGTCTGACCGAGGGCTTTGCTCCCTCATCAACCATGACCGTTGGCATTGAACAACCCAAGCCTCGTTATACCACTCGTGCCGTTGGCGACGACACGGCTGAACTGGAAGAGGAATTGGCGAGAGCTACTACGCCCATCCATCGACGCCGTCTACAGAACCGCATTGCCCAGAGGAATCACAGTAAGCTTTTGCCACTGCTATATAGTCCGGACCTGAAGTAACCTTGGTACAGGAAAAAGAGTCCGTCTGGCCCAACAGCAACAGCGCGAACAGGAAGAAGAGGAACAGAGACAGCAGCAAGAGCAGCAAGAACCCAAGTCTCCAGAACGTCCAATTTCCGACGTGGAAGGAGAGGGCCAGATCAACGGCGCTAGTGAAATACTTGACCCGATGCCCTCCACCCCAATGCGCCATCCCGACGCGCACACCACTTCAACACGAGTCCATCCAGGAAGCCCTGCCGGCTCCCGTATGAGCATCGACAATAGCTTCGCACCTTCTCGAACCGATTTCGACTTCAGCATGCCCGTTGCGTCCGCCAAACCACCCACACCGATATCGTTAGACAGCGGAAGCAACAAGAGTTACAGGAACAGTGTGTCGGGCTCCTCGTTCTGCATGTCCTGCGGCGCCGTAAACGATGTGGTCGACACCAATTCATTCCTAGACACGAGCCGCCGCATCCAGGACTGGCGGCCGGTATCACCCATCGACTTTGACGATCACGTCGTCGACGCTCCCAGCTTCATATCGCTATCCCAAACACAGATGAACCCAGACCAACACCAGCCACCACCACAACAACATCAACAACGACAACAAAACCACCAACATCAAACCTGCCACCAGCACCAACACCACCACAACCACAACAACAACCACACCCACCAATCCATCTCCGCCCACGCATCCCCCAAAACCACCACCATCACCACCGCACACATACCTTCCACCCGGCCCACCACCGCCGCCCCAGCACCGCCACCACCCGCACCCCAGCGCAACAACAACAACACCCACATCGTGCAGTCCAAAGCCGGCACAGCGCACAAGTGGACGACGGCGCTGCACATCGCGGCCGAGCGGGGCCACGAGAAGACGGTGCGCCTCCTCCTCGGCCCGCAGGGCGGCGCCAACGTCAACGAGAAGGACAGCCGCGGGTCGACGGCTCTGCACGTCGCGGCCGCCAACGGCGACGAGGCCATGGTGCGGCTGCTGCTCGACTGTAACGCCGACGTGCACGCGGCCGACGAGCAGGGGTGGTCGGCGCTGCATCGGGCGGCGGAGCGCGGGGATGAGGGGGTGTTGTTGTTGCTGTTGGGGGCGAGGGGGGGTGGTGGTGGTGGTGGTGAGGGTGGGTATTAGGGTTGATGGATGTCAATTCGTGCGATGGTGCTTTGGGCGTTTGTCGTGTGGGTTTACGTTCGCTTTTTGGAATTGGGAGCTGTGTGCTGGCATGGCTTGCGGGTGTGTGAAGGGGGGGAATATTTTTCATTCTCTTTCTTTGTTTGATTCTATGGCGCTGGCCTGTATGCATAGCCATCTGGACATTCTTCTTCAAAAAGAAAGCCGACAAAAGGCTTCAGGACATAGGATCTTTTTTTTTTAAACGCAGACAAGACCAGACAGAAAAATGAAAGACTGAGTAGAATGAGAGTACAGACAATATTTTTGCCGTATGTGATGCAATCCACTTCTCTCCTCAACCGTAAATCTTCTGCAGCTTGATCTGGTTCCACTCAAATGCCGTCATGTCGGGATACTTGGCAGGCCTGCCCGCCAACTCGTCAACAAACTCGGCCATCGGCTTCAGACTGACGTGCCTCGCCACCTTGGCGAAATACGCCACGCTGTACCTCGGCGCAAGAACCCCGTTTTCGCGATCTTGCTCGCTGACAGGGACCGTGACCCGATGGCTGACAGACGTCAGCACGTCGTTGGTCAGCCGCTGCAGCGAGTCGCCGATGTTGACCAGGATCTCCGAAGCCGAGCTCGCTTCGACCGGAATGTAGTGGCCCGGCTGCGTCTGCGACTCCACTTCGAGCCCGCCGACGCTGTCCTGGAAGAGGAGCGTTACGGTGCCGAAGTCGGTGTGTTCGGAGATGCGGGACATGCGGCCGGTGCGCAGGGAAGGAATATCCTGCAAGGGGGGAATTAGCCGCTGTGATTCTTCTGCTGACACTTGGATGGGAGGTGTAGAATCAGGGGGTGTGTATGTGATGGTGGCTTGAGCGAAAGTGTCGATGTCAGATTAAAGTGTTGCAGGGGTCGAGGAGGGGCACTGCGGCACAGCGCCGTACCCGCTGTGTGCGATCGTGGCGTCGGCAGCAAGGCTGTTTTGCGGGGTTGATGCAGGGTATCTCTCCTCCACGTTTGTTCGTCTCTGCTTACGATTTCAGGATAGTAGTTGAGCCGCATCTCGCTCACGTTCTCGCGGCACCGTTCTACCAGATCAACCTTGACGCCGCGCGCCCGGAACCCTTGCTCTAATGCCTTCAGGATGCCCATGTGCACCGCTTGACACATGTCGTAGAACCCTTCCATGGCATGGCGGAAGCCGGGGAATTCCGACTCTGTGGGCCATTTGTTTTCGTAGAGAGGATCGTCGACGGCACCTGTGTCAAAGGATTCCTGTTTCGAGGCAGAGTTTATGGTTAGCAAAGATGAGTCAGAAGGACGGCAACAAAAGCGGAAGGCTCGGATGGTGCCTCCGAGGTGTGCAGGGATAGAGATAGTGAAGTGAGAAAAGGGGTAAGCCGACCGAGCCGTGGATCTTCACACCACCATGCGATAGAAGACTTACCTTGAGGTCAAAGATTCCATCTTTGTTGACCCTTTCCTTGACACCCTTCTCAAAATCTGTGATGTTGTCTGATCGCTCTTGGCCGGCACAGACCCAGCCGCGGTTCGGGTTGGCGCGGGGAGGATGCGCCACGCTGCGCTTGACGTGGTCAGGTAGTTGGAAGAACTCCCGGTTCTGTTTGCACACACGATGTCAGGTCATCTAATAAAATAATGGTGACTGTTTGATGATGTTAATCGGACTTACCCATCGGAAGATGCCATCGATATCTTCGTCCGGGATGCCATGGTTAATCAACTTCACCATTCCCTGATTACTGAAACCCTCGATCAGGGCGTCACAGAAGGCAGCTTGCTCCGCAGCCGAGGCATCGGGGCCTAACGCCTTTCCATCAAGCAATCTGATTGGGGATGACATTTTCGTGGTTGGTTTTCGTGTCGGCGATGTCGGCCGTACTCTCTCGAAAGGGAACACTCAAGTGGGTGGTGGATTCTTGGTTCGACTTCGGTGCTCTTCAAGTTCGAGCTAATATGTTCTGGTCTGGTGCTGGCTTTAGAATCGACTCGTGCAATGACAGTGGGTGGGAACGGCGTGTATGAGGTACCTGATATGGGAACAGTAGCCTGTGTGGATAGCTTCCCGCACTTTGCTCCTCGTCAGCACCCATTGAGCTGACACGCACTCCATCGGGTCAAGGCATATCGCACTAGCTGCATCTCTTGCTGACGGGAATGCCTGATGTGTGCTGGTCTCGTCCAGGCTTTGCGGCAAGGACCACCATCGACTGTGCAGAGCAACGTCAGCATCCTTGGCATTTCTGGAGAGCTCTATGGACCTGGGGAATTGTTGCCTGGCGTCGACTCGCGCGGTATGCGACGCTAGCTATCATGGACGCTACTGCATCAATGTCTGTGTCTGTGTCAGGGGTATCTCATGGGTCAATGTTCACTATAAATTGCCGTTTCAATTTTACAGATCGGTAGTTCAACGAATGTATTTATGGTTTGAGTAGCAGTATAAGACTATAAAAATAGTTCGTTCATCTACCGGTCAAGCGCAGCAAGTATATAGCCATCAAGTGCAAAATTCCCCACCACTAAGGTGCAATTCAAGCTCATAGTCCGGCTGGAACTCACGGTACAGATTATTCTGGCTTCAATGTTAGCTCAGTTCAAAAATAGATTGATTGGATAACATTACCGCTTCGCTTGTCATCTTGAAGTTGTAGGCAGCCTCCTCGTCGGAGATGATTCTTTTGCAAAGGCCATTGGCGGCCGCGGCTTCAGCAAGAAGCTGAACTTGACAGCTGGTCTCCATCAGGCGGAAGAGATAGGCAGCCTCGTCAACTGTCGCACCCACAGTCAGCATGCCATGGTTCATGAGCATGCATGCCTTAGCTGGACCGAGTGCTTGAGCAATGCGCTCGCCTTCGCTGCCATCAAGTGCCAAGCCGCCATACTCGGCATAGACTGCTTGAGCGCCGAAAATATTGCAAATATCCTGATTGAGCATCTCCAGCGGACGAGCGAATGCCGACCACGCACGGCCGTGTGGTGAGTGGGTGTGGCATACGGCGTGGACATCCGGGCGGGCTTCATGAACGGCGCGGTGGATGAGGAAGCCTGTTGCATTGGCAGGCCGGCCGCTGCTGCCCTCAACCAAGACCTTCCCCGTCTTCATATCCAGGAGAATCATATCTGATGCGCGGAGCAGGGCGTAGTGCACGCCCAGCGGGTTGATCCAGAAGGCGTTGGTGACAATGGGGTCGCGCACGCTGATGTGGCCCGACATTCCCTCGGTGAAGCCGTGCCGGGCAAAGACTCGGAAAGCCCCAGCCATGTGCTCAAGTTGCCATCGGCGTTTCTTCTCCAGGCTGCTGAAAGTCGGGATACCTGCGAGAGCGAGCGGGCCGTGCGACATGGCTTCGAGTGGGGTTGGCTCCATCCCCTCGGTATGTTGTTTGGCTACCACTGATGCAGCCTCGTTGCCGTTTGTGATGGATCCCATAGCTTGGTAAGGTCGCGAAAGACGCAAATTGGTGGGTATGGTGCAATGCTGTGCGATGCTGCTGTGATGGTGTTGTTGTTGCTGCAATGGGTAGCTCGATGTGGGGACCAATCAGAATGCTCATCTTCCTTGGAGCATCCCGGCAGTCAGCAAAACATGCTGACAGCCTACCCCTCATACACTTGTGTAACTGCTCATGTCAGAAATACATAGATTTAAGTTCAGAGCTACTGATCCAAGGCTCCAAGCGGCAGCAAGACGAACACACACACACACAAGCCAATCATGGACTTCCCTCAACTCGACTACGCCGATGTCACCAGCGGCGACCCAGTTCGCCAGAGCAAGTTTGCCACAGAATTGGTGAAAAGCTTCGAGACCTTCGGGTTTGCCTCTATCATCAACCATGACGTGCCTGAAGAGACAATCAAGGAGTGCTTTCAATACGTCAGTGGCTTTATTCCGTTCGGAAATCAGACATACTGACAAAATTTTGTAGAGCCGCAAATTTTTCGCACTGCCCCATGAGACTAAGATGTTGTCAAAGCATCCTCAAGGCATAGCACCGCGTGGCTACAGCTTCGTGGGCCAAGAGAATCTTTCCAGTCTGACCCGAGCGGACAGAAACATGGATAAGTATGTGGAAACAAAGGTAAGCTATGCACCCCATCATAGCTAGACATTAAACTAATACATCAACAGGAGTCATGGGATCAGGGAGCACCAAATGATATCCCCAACCCTACCAACTGGGCCGCCACCGAGGCGATTCCGGGATTCCGGGACTTTATGGAGAAGATGTTCAACACGATGCACGACTTCGAGGAGCGGCTGCTCGTCTCGTTGGCTGTAGGCTTGGGGCTACCAGCAACGCACTTTGATCTGATGCACACGGACCGTGTCAATGAGTTCCGCCTGCTGCACTACCCGGAGGTCAAGGTCAAGGACATCCTGGCGCCCGACACAACCCAGCGCACTAGGGCATCCGAGCACACTGATTTCGGAAGCTTGACCCTGCTTTTCCAGGACTCTGTCGGCGGCCTGGAGGTCGAGGCGCACAACCAGCCTGGTACATTTTACCCCATCAAGGCTGCCAGCCCGGCCATGATCATCAACATCGGAGACTCGATGCAGCGCTGGACCAACGACCGCTTGCGCTCCACCTGCCACCGCGTCACTGTGCCTCCGGCCATGCGCAAGGCCAGTGAAGATGGGACTGACGATGCAGTCATCCCGTCGAGGTATTCCATTGTCTTCTTCGGGAAGCCGAACAGGGATGTCTCCCTGTATCCTTTCCCTCAATTCATGAAGAGTGGAACGAAGTACCCGGACATCACTGCTGGGGAATACAACCACTTGAGGGTTATTACTACGCAACCATATGTTTAGACTGCTTGCACTTGCACGTGCTGGATGGGAAAATACAATTAGCGAATGCAGATTTTTTGGTGTCAGACTTTCATACATCATACATTACCTCGCCGTGTGCGCAATATTGTGAAAGTTTCTGTGTTGAATCATTTGAAAATCTCCGTGCTACTCTCCGCTTTCCACAGATTTCGCATTGCAGGATTAAAAATCGCCCAACTCTTTCGGTGCGCATGACAGGTTTTTGACGGAAGATTATCTACTGAGTAGCATTCCATGTGCTCTCGGTGCATTGCTGTATTAACCTGTTGAGATTCTATGTGCCTATTTGTTTAATTCAAGATTGGTTATCAGGTTTTATCATTCAATGCTATTAAATTAATCTTCGAAGATTAAAGACATTATAAGCATGTCACAACGATTTAAAAAAAAATAAACTCTTGCAAAGACGGATTCGGGAATTCTATTGATGAGTCTGTGTAATAATCAAAGCTCCTCTTCACCCACACCTGCCCACGCATTCAGGTTGTCGGCCCAGATTTCCAGCTGGCCAATTTTTCCATCGGCATCAAACCCGCTCAAAACAAATACAAAATGCTCCTCCCAAGTGCGCTTGGTTTGCACGCCAGACAAAGAAGCGTGGCATTTCACCAACACAGCACCAGGCCCTTGGTCTGGAGAGTGAAGGGCATTTGGATCGACGACGTACGCATTCTCTTTCGGCAAGGTGTTTGCGTGTGCATGAAGGGCCAAGGTAGCCCCCAAAAGGTCGAAATAGTCGTCGCAAGTGATGCTGTCGGCGGTGGTGTTTGCTCCGTTTGTCGTCAAGGTGCTGCTGCGACGGCCGCGAAAGAGCTTCCCGACAAAGGGGAGACGCTTCTGGGCCCATTCTGGACCATGCTCAATGATTCGTGGATCATTGGCGACAAAGTATTTTTCCAGAAGCTCCGGAGGCGGTAGAGAGCCTGAGACAAAGGCGTTGGAAAATTCCTGTGCAACGGAGCGGAGAGTGGCGGAGCGGGAAGTAGTGTCAGCCATGGTGTTTGAATGAGTCCTGAGAAGATGCTGTAGAGACTATGGACAGTTTGTGCGAGAGTAGCAATTGAGCTTCATACTCCATCACGTGCTACTGTTTTCTGTTGGAGTAATGACTGGTGTAGGACGTTGACACTGACTGTGACTGCTGACTGGGCATTTTGTGTGCTGACAGGTCCACGATACTGACGTGCATACCACCCCTGTAACACGCTGACACTGTGACGTACATGCTGACAGGGTGCTGACAGGGTGCTGACAGGCGAGCGTTGTGTGGCTGCTCCAATCAATCAGTTCGGCCCGTGCCGCTCCCCGCGCCACCCCACCACCTGTCTTTGGTGCTTCGAAGCCTCGCCGCCAGTGCTGCCCAATCCGCAACTCACCATGGCTTCCGCCTTCACCTGCAGTACCTGTGCTTCCGCCTTTGACGGTGCTCACAATGAGCAGCGCGTTCACGTGCGAGACCCATGGCAGTGAGTTGAAGCTGGAGAAAGTGGTTGCCAGATGATTACTAAGCATGGTACCCAGCCAATACAACCTCCAACGTCGGATGGCCTCACTGCCGCCAATAACGCTGCAGCAATATGAAGTGATAGTCCAGCCTGCGCAAGCGTCATCTGCACACAAAAAGAAGAGCACCAACAGGAAATCCCCCAAGGATCACGGCAAACAGAAGCAAGCTGCGAGAGATGAGCAATCTCCATCTCCATCTCCATCCGTGTCCGACGACTCAGGCACAAAAGTCGAGGACCATGATGCCTACAACCTCTCTCCCCCCTCTTCCGACCTCGACGAAGAGTCCGACGAAGAAGACGAAGAAGAAGAAGAACCCGTAGCCCTCACCCCAACAACCTGCCTCTTCTGCAACGCCACCTCCCCCACCCTCGACGCCAACCTCTCCCACATGTCCACCACGCACAGCCTCTTCATCCCCGAGCCCGACTCCCTCATCGACCTCGAAACCTTCCTCCTCTACCTCGCCGCCATCGTCTTCCGCTACCACGAGTGCCTCTACTGCGGCGCCGCCAAGTCCTCCGCCGCCGCCGCCCAGACGCACATGCGCGACAAGGGCCACTGCATGATCAACCTCGCCTCAGCCGATTCCGAACTGCTCGATTTCTGGGAGTTCGACGAGGACGAGGAAGGCGAGGGAGCGGGCGGTGGTGGTGCGGCGGCCGCCGCCTCCGTTCTCAGCAGCGTGAATGTCTCCGACACTGAGATGCGTCTGCCGTCCGGCGCTATCGTCGGCTCGCGCCACCACGCTGAGAGTGTGCACAACAGGCACGGCCTCGTGGGCGCGCGCGTGCAGGCGGCCAAGCGCCGCAAGGCCATCGCCGACAGTGAGCACGACGCGGCGGCGGATGCGGACGGAGGGGAGGCGGATGCCCGGCCGCAACCGCCGAGCATGGATCGCCGTGTTGCGGTGCGGGGGGAGATGGGCTTGGTGGGCGTGCCGGAGCAGCAGAGGAGGGCGCTGATGGCCGTCGAGAAGAAGATGATGAAGCGCGAGGCCGTGGCGCGGGCGGCGCAGCGGTGGGCGACGGAGAAGGTGGCGAATCGGCAGAAGTTCTTCAAGGTGAGTCTTTGCTCCTTCCGCTGAGGGTGATGAATGGTTGCTAACATTATGATTCTTGGTAGCCTGATGTTCCGGGAAGGAAGAATGGATGATGCAGTGATGGTTTGCTTGGAAAGATTGGCTCTATTTTTTATGGTAGACATAGCCAGCATTTCTATGAAACGTTTTGTAGTGCTAGCCGAAATTTATTTGTCAAACCTTATCAGTTGTTGTTCTTGTCGAATGCATTTGCCGTGTTTTGTCGATTTTTCCTCAACACCAAGGCAAATCCTTTGTTTATCTCACCACTATAATGACATCTATTCATCAACCTTCGGTAAATAATTACAGTTATTTGTGTATTTAAGTAAATCGTCTCTTTATTATATTATACGAAGTAGTGGTGTTTAATGCATGTATTTTCACTGTTCAATATAATTTTATAGTTTTTCAACCAATTATCATGATCGTGTATAAGGTGCCGAATCTAAGCTGTCCCAAAACCAACACAAAATACAGAGCGAAGATAATATAGAGAAGTTGAGAGTGTTACACGTTAATTCTTTGGAATACATTCCAGCTTACTACTATTACTAGAGTTTGATAAATAAATGTCCAATCCTCTGTTCGGCCTTCAAATCAAATTGCACATACCGTTCTCTTGCAGTTTAAATAACCAGCTTTTATTAATCCATACGAAAACCAATTCGCCAGCACATGGGCGGTGCCCACACCGAGGGCCTATCTACAAACACCTACTTTTCCGCATCAAAGATGACCTTCTGTACCTCCATCCTATTGAAAACGTCATAGTATGCGACTGCCTCAGACAGCGGCACAACCGTCTCCGTCAAGCAGCCCAGCTTTTCCTGCACCTTCTCGAGACACTCCAGCGCCTCTGGGAAAACGCTTGCAACAGGACACCTCCCCATATGAAGTGTCACATTCTTGTCGTATGCTTCACTTTATGTTAGCTCATCATTGTCCTCTATCGACGATGGGAATACCAAATGCTTACCCTGCGTGGCCGTGAAAGGGAACTCGCTACTGTGTACCCCAACAGAGCTGATGGTTCCACCAGGCCTGACAAGATCAAATGCCATTCCTAAAGCCGCCTTGGCGCCCACAAGCTCGAGTACGACGTCGACACCGCGGCCTTGGGTCAGCTCCCGGATGCGAGAGTCGAGCTCTTGACGCTGTATCTGGTAGTTAAAAGGCTCAGCGCCAAGGGAGGCGGCATTCTGGAGGCGAGAGGGGACGGCATCGATGGCGAGGAGATGCGCGGGCTGGTGCGTTGAGGTCGTTGCCGCAAGGGCACACAGGCCGACAGGGCCACAGCCTATGACGGCGACGGTGGCAGTGCGAGCTTGCTGGCGAGTGAGGCGGGAGAAGGCGTTGCGGGCGGCGAAGAACTATTAATTTCAGCATCAGCATCGTTAAAGTGCAGTTAGGAATGTGGGGAATGTTGCTTTACTCACTCCGGTCTATGAATTGGTTAGCTTTTGTATGTTTGTTGCTGAGACAGGATAACTTACTGGAAAAATATCTGCCATCAAAATGAGATTTCGTGGATGGACATTTACAGGTGCCTTGGTCAAAGTTGTATCCGCAAGAGGAACCCGAACTAATTGTATTTGTTAGTGATGATGTCTTTAAGTTCTCGTCGTCTTTTGTTTAATACCATATTGAGATTGGGCTCCTCCGAGCTTGGGAGTTCCGAAGACCATGCAAGAAGTGCACCTGGCTGACAGACCTGCTTTGCAGTAGAAGCATTGCGCACTGCGAGAATCGAAAATCTGTGAGACTCTATTACAACAGTCAAAGGTAGGAGATGTCACTTACCAGCTCGTTGTAAACGCAGCCACGACGCGATCGCCCATAGCAACCTTTTTCACATCCTTCCCCGCCTGCACAACGCGGCCGGTGAACTCGTGTCCCAAAATGAAATCCGAACCGCAATCCTCAGTCCCCCGATACAGATGAAGATCGCTGCAATCCAAAGGATGTAGTCAGTAAATGTGAGGCAATATGTGTCGCCGTCCACGTACCTGCCACACAGCCCACTGTACTCGACTTTAACCAGCACCTCCCCCGGGCCCTCAATAACCGGAATCGGCCTGCGCTCCAACACCACCTGCCTCTCCTTCTTCAGCACAACCGCCTTCATCATCCCATCCGCCGGCATCTCCATCACCTCATCCACCACCACCTCACTCCTCCCCTCCACACCCCCACCACTACCCCCCAACCCCCTCGCCGCCTCAAACGTAACCCTCACCGCCTCCCCCATCGCCTCGCCCACCCCCCTCTCGCCCAACACCCCCAGCCCCTTCTCCGTCGACCCCCCAACCGACGCCACCCGCCGCTCCACCTCCTCGGCGCTCCACCCGCCGCGCTCCACCAGCGCCGCCGCCCCGCCCATCGCGCCCGCCGCCAGCTGCAGCGCGAGCTCCGCTTCGTTCGCGTCCTCGGCGCCGCCCGTCTGCTCCGCCAACAGAAGGCCGTGAAGTTCGTCGGCCACGGCGCCGACCACGCGCGCGAAGAACGCGGGGCCAGACGCAGCGACGACGGCGGCGGCTTCGAGCGTCGAGGGCGAGACGACGCGCGGCGCGGTGCTGCTGCCGAGGGTGGCGAAGAGGCGGACGATGGCGTCTTTCATCATGGCGGTGCCGCCGTTCCCACTGGCTGCGGGCGCGGGCGCGAAGGCGGACGAGGCGAGTAGCGTGGTGCTGCGGCGCACGGCGGCGGCGGCGTTGGGCATGGCGCGGACGATGATGGCTGCAGCGCTGGGCGGGGAAGAAGCAGAAGAAGAAGAAGACGGAGAAGAAAGAGGAGGAGAAAGCGCAAGACTCGCCGCCAACTGCTCCTCCGTCACGCCGCCGAGCAGCGAGATCAGCGGCTTGCCGGCCAGCGCGGCGGCGATGCCCGGGGTGCCGAGGATGGCGGCGTGCTGGGTGGGTTTGCAGGCGAGGATGACGGCGTCGGCGGCGAGGCAGGTGGTGAGGGGGTCGGCGGTGTTGAGGGTGACGGGGATGGGCGTGGTGGTGGAAGGAGAAGAGAGGAATGTGGAGTGGATGTGCGCGGCGCTGGAGGGGGTGCGGACGGTGATGTGGATGTGCTGGAGGGTCGGGGGTGGTGGCGCCAGGAGGAGGCCTTGGAGGAGGGCGCTGCCGAGTTTGCCTGGTGTTTGGTGTTAGTTTTTGTTGTGTGGTGAAAACGGGTAGGATGTAGGCGAGGGAGAGATTGTTTACCGCAGCCGATTAAGCCGAGCGTGTGGATGGGGTATTCGTCTCGCATCGTCATAATGGGCTATTTGGAACTCAATTGAAGGATGAGGGAATTGAAGTTGGCTGGGACCCCAGAGTTGATATACGAGTTGATTGTCGTTGATGACATGCAGCTTGGGAGATCGCTGTTGCAGGGGTCTTCGGTAAGCCTGTTTTCGGGCGCTAAATCGTCCATGTGCTTACACGAAAACCACGCCCAAAGAACGTTTCCGGAATTCGCCCGGTTCGCCCTCATTTTTGGTGAAACAATTTCTGACCAATTACCGAAGCATGTGACGAACAATAGGATTTTTCTTTGGTTGAGTCTCTCTCTGAGTTTTCATTTTCTGTATGCAAAGCTCATGAAAATGACCTCCCTCCCTCCTTCACGAAAAACAAAAAACCAGCCTTTCTTTTGTCTTGAGCGAGATATGATGGGCTCGAAGTAGTGTAACTAGTGTGCGAATATCAAGGAAATCTCCAAGGAAAATTGGTCTAGTATGCAGTCAGGAGGCGCTTCTGCTGATACTCCAATGCCGTCATCCCATCAGCTTCCTCAGCCGCAGCATCGGCAGCGCGGAATGGTTCCAATGGGGAAACACGTGCTTCTCTCGCCGCCTTGCAAAAGTACGCTATCGAATACCTCTCAGGTACAACAGCATCCTCGTCATCCTCGCCGCCCACAGCCTTGGGAGCAGTGACGCGGTGCAAGCCTGCAGGCAGTGCGCCAGCGGTCCAGCGCTGCAGGGTCTCGGAGATGTTGACGACCATCTCGGTCTTGTTTGCAGGATCAACGAGCACGAACTTGTCCGGGTTGGCGCGGTCCTGGAATTCGAGGCCGCCGACGGTGTCGGTGAAGAGGAGGGTGATGACGCCGAGGTCGAAGTGCGGCCAGATGCGCTCGACCTTGTCGCTGTTGAGATCTTTCGCCGAGATGGCCGGGTAGTGGTTCAGGCGGAACTCGCTGGCGTTGGGCATGCACTGCTGGCGGAATGTGGCAGGAGGCAGGTCCAGGGCCAGCTCGAGCGCGTGTAGGATGTCGAGGCTGACCTGCTCGCACTGGTGGAAGAAGTCTTCCAGGAAGGGCTGGAAGCCGGGTAGTGTGGAGGAGGTGGGCCAACGGCTGGGGAACAGGTCGTCACCAGGGGTACCGAAGTCAAAATGCTCCTGCGGGGGAACACAAGTCAGATTGAGTAATACTGTGGTCGTGTACATGTAGTGGCTTACTCTTGCGTCCTTCAGATCATCGGGTACATCGTGTCCCATCAACTTTCCGTAGAGGGTTGATGTTTTCTCTGCTCCAAGAGTACTCCACCCCCGCTGGGGATTCGGGCCGGGAGGGTTTAAAGTTTTGACCTTTTCCTCGAGAGGTAGGTCGAAGAAGCGTTTACTCTATTCAAAGACGGGAGATCAGCATTGCAATAGAAAGACCTGTGGCTGGCTCGCAGACGCACCCAACCAAAACAGCTGTCAACCAGCTCTGATGAGATGCCATGATTCTTCAAGCGCACGTATCCATTGCTGCCCAGTTGGACGAGCAAATCCCGTGCGTAGGCTGCCCGCTCTTCGGACGAGCCGGAGGTGAACTTGGAAGCGTCGAGGGCTACTGAGGCTGGCATATTGTTTTCTGCTTTTCCTTTTCTCTGTTGATTCGATCTAAGTGGTGTCGATAAGATATCAAATATGTATCTTCTGCCAATTCGTGATCCTTAGGCCCTGCAATGGTTGCTGGGAGGTAGTGTCAGACGCTTATGCTGACAGCCACACCAGTAGTCATCATCCGGAAAGAGGCTACACACAAGAAAGTTTGCTATCATTCTTATCGAGCGGCATTGCAAAAGATTCATTGCGAAAGAAATAATGGCGAAAACGCTTTACGAAAAGCTGTTCGAGCAGCATGTGGTTTGTCAGCAGGAGGACGGGCAGTATCTGCTGTACATCGGTGGGTAGGAACAAAGCGAGAGATGGTGCGGCGTTGCTGACCAGCACTCCAGACAGGCATCTCATCTACGAATGCACTTCGCCGGTACTCGTCGAAAGCTCCAAATTACGTGTGGAAAAAGTGACTGAGAGACATTAGCAAGCATTTGATGGTCTCCGAGCGAAGAATCGCGCCGTGCGCCGACCAGACCTCAGCCTGGCCACAACCGATCACGTATGTAAATTGCCAAAAAAAGAAACTCCACCAACACTTCCAGCCAACTAACATGCGCACCAGACGGTCCCCACATCGCCCCGAAGCGGCTGCACCAGCACGGCATCCTACATCCAAGACGCCGACTCGCTGACGCAATGCCTGACGCTCTCCCGCAACGCGCGGCACTACCGCATCGCGCACCTCCCGCTCTCCTCCGCCCGTCAAGGCATCGTGCACGTCATCGGGCCCGAACTCGGCTTCACGCAGCCGGGGCTCACGCTCGTCTGCGGCGACAGCCACACCAGCACGCACGGCGCCTTCGGCGCGCTGGCCTTCGGCATCGGCACGTCCGAAGTCCAGCACGTCCTCGCGACGCAGACGCTTTTGGCCACCAAATCCCGCACCATCCGCATCAACGTCGCGAACAGGCTCCGCCCGCACGTCGCGGCCAAGGACCTCGCCCTCGCCGCCATCCGCGCCCTCGGCGGCACGGCGGGCGGGACGGGCGCCGCGCTCGAGTTCGCGGGTGAGGGTGTGGCGGCGCTGGATATGGAGCAGCGCATGGCGCTGTGCAACATGGCCATCGAGGCCGGCGCGCGGACCGGGCTCGTCGCGCCGGATGCCACCACGATTGCCTATCTGCGGTGGCGCCCGGGGTGTCCGGCGCCCGGCACGGCGGCGTGGCGGGATGCGTGTCGGTACTGGCGGACGCTGCGGAGCGACGACGATGCGGTGTTCGACCGCGAGGTGCACGTTGATGCGGCGGCTGTCGAGCCCATGGTGACGTGGGGCACGTCGCCCGAGCACGCGGTGCCCGTGAGCGCGGGCGTCGTGCCCAAAGAAGCCGTTGATGACGGCAGTTCGGCGCGCGCGCTGGAGTACATGGGACTCGAGCCTGGGAAGCGCCTGACGGACCTTGCTGTTGATGTTGTGTTCATCGGGTCCTGCACGAATTCGCGGCTGTCGGACCTGCGTGCTGCTGCTGGCGTGCTGCGGCGCGCCCGGAGTCAGCCTGCTGTCGTTGCGCCCAATGTGCGGCGTGCCCTCGTCGTGCCTGGGTCGGGTGCCGTCAAGCGCGCTGCGGAAGCGGAAGGCTTGGATCAGGTCTTCTTGCGGGCCGGGTTTGAGTGGCGCGAGCCGGGCTGCAGTATGTGCTGCGGGCTGAATGGCGACGCGCTGAGGCCTGGCGAGCGCTGTGCCAGCACCAGCAATCGCAATTTCGAGAACAGGCAGGGCGCCGGTGGCCGCACGCATTTGGTCAGTCCGGCCTCGGCGGCGGCGGCTGCGCTTATGGGCCGGCTGTGTGATGTGCGCGAGGTTGTTGCTGCCAGTGCTGGAGAGGAGGAGGAAACAGCAAAGCCAGTGAGGGACATTGCCTTCCAACTTGACTGGGAGTCTCCATCCAGGTGGGAGGAGCAGGTGGATGAACCACAGCCTCAAGGGCTGCCCTCGCCACCGAGTAGCGATGCTGGAGGAGTAAATACATTCACCAGCATCACTGGCACCCCTGCTCCCCTCGATCGCGCTAATATCGACACCGACACCATCCTCCCCGTCAACTTCTGCAAGACCATTCAGCGTAGCGGCGCCGGCCTGTTCCACCAGCTCCGCCACCTTCCCGGCACTACCGACGAGGATCCGGCCTTTGTCCTCAACCAACACCAGTATCGGTCAGCCACTGTTCTTGTGGCTGGTCCCAACTTTGGCTGCGGCAGCTCTCGTGAGCACGCTGTTTGGGCCCTTCAGGGTTTCGGTTTTCAATGCATCGTTGCCCCCAGTTTCGCTGACATTTTCTACAACAATGCCTTCAAGAACGGTCTGCTTCCTGTCAAGCTGCCTGACAAGCATGCTATGGCACTTGTGTTGGCTGAGGCTAAGCGAGCCAGGCCAATCACCGTTGATCTCGTGAGGCAAGAGATCCGCAATGAGGGATGCAATGTTATTGCTACATTCGACGTCGAGAAGCATAGAAAGCGGAGACTGATTGAAGGTACGGATGATATTTCAGCTACACTGGAAATGGAAAAGGACATTTCCAACTTCGAGAGACAGCGGGCAGAGAAGCTTCCTTGGATTGACGAAAGTGTGAAGTTTCTACATGACATTGAAGGCCGAGCTAAGGAGCTTTGGGCATTACACGACAAAAGTACAGACACGCTGGACTGGTAAATGATAGTAGCCTATGCTGAATTCTATTTTTCATTTTGGTAGCCTTGTTACATGACTGTTTCTCAAGTTCCCTACTGTCTCTTCTCAACATTACTGTGGCGGGTGCGGAAACCACGATTCCGGCTCCGGATAGTCCCAGTCCGCAGGAAACTCATACGTCTCGAAACACGTCCCAGTCTTCTCCTCCGTCTCAAAGAATGCGAAATGGTTCCTCCCCATCCAGCTGCCTCCCTGTGACATGACAAATCCCCTCTTCTCAAACTCCTTGACTCTCTCCTCGAACGGGATCCCATTCATATCATACGCGATATGATGAACGCCCTCGCCATGCTGGTCGAGGAACTCTTGGAAGATGTTGGGGCCGCTGACCGGCTGGATGACCTCGTACACCATCGTTGGTGACAGCTCAGCGAAGCAGACCCGCAGCGTGAAGTCTGAAGCTTGCCCACGGTACGTCTGGTTGGTTGTGTTGGATGGAGTAAAAGAGTAGCAGCGCCAGGGGCCAATGCCCAGCGCGTGCAGGCCGCTGATGGTTCGTTTGTAGTCGCGCGTGACGAGGCAGATTTCCATCGGATTGCCGAGGAAGGAAGGAGTGGTGGTGGCGGTCGTTGCCATTGTGATGAATACGGTTGTTTTCCCGTTTGAGAAAGTGTTTCTTTGAGAGAGATGTGTTGTTCAGGATCTTTGCAGTTGGGAATGTTTAAATGTTGAATGCATGTCTTAGGGCGGGGCAGGCGGGGTAGACGTCAGCGAGCCAAGGTGTCATCCTGGCCCACAATTCGGCCGGAATCGTGTTTGCCACGCCAATTTGAATGCACATGGCCAATATGCAAACCATTTCGCGACACCGATACTCAGTCTGGAAATTATATTCTCGTCTTCACGAATAAGCACGTCTGTTCGAAGATCAAGGCTCGCCACGACCACTCAGAGGCTACAATCACATTTGCAAGCATTGATACTGCGAAAATTCACATGCCCTTTCATTGACGAGGGTAGTCTACTTGGTGGTCATTGCGCTATCATTTTCTTATAGGGAAGATGCTCTAGTCTCTATAAAACCCGACAAGCGGCTTCACGCTCTTAATAACAATCGGACGTTCCATCAATTCTTCCTCCCTGAACTTCTTGTGCATTGCCTGAAACTCGGGCAACTCTGCGTGCAGATCATAAGCCGCCTTGTCGGCATACCTGATGCAAATGAGTTAGCAATCCTCGGATAAAAGATATTTAATTGGCTTTCACATACTTTTCAACAAGGACAAGCTGCTCCTTTCCAGTCTCGGCGTCGAAATCCTTGTAGAGGTGGAAGCTGAAGACACCGGGCTCATTCTTCTGAACGGACGAGGTCAACTCGGTGAGAAGTTCGACGACCTGCGCAAAATGAAAATTAGCAACTTTGTGTATTTTGACTGCTCAAAACTCAGAAAGTATTACCCTGTCGAGCTTGCCGTCCTTGGGAGAGAGCGTGGCGACAATGTCGCACTCTTGAGGGAACGCAGTGGTGGCCATTGTGGTGGTGGTGTTGCAAAATTACTGAAGTTGGAAATAGATGATTCGGCGTGATACGATGCCGGGGGCTTGCGGCAAGCGAAAGCTCTTTTTCATGTGCTAAGCCCGTTGTGACAATCGTAAAGCAGAAGCACGCAACATGAGCTGTCAGAGCCAACAGGCTGCCAGAGCGTCAGTGCAAGTCAGCAGCGTGACAGGTGGCAAATATGCAAATACCTTGACGGCTCGCATGGATTTGGTCGTTCTGCAGTAAGGCAGTATTGTCACGCGAGTCAGGCAGTCATCAGATTAGAGTGTCAGCTGGTCAGCAAGTCAGCGCATCATCGATGCTCCTGTCAGCTGTCTCCAGGTAGGCCACCAGCGGCCGAACCAGATCACCAGAACCGGATTGCGTGCGATGAGCCACCAATTCGGAGCGAAACCAACCCAATTCAGTATACTGCTGTAGTGAAGCTCTTCCAGTGCAGGATTGCATTCTCCTCCACGGGGAATTGGAATATTCGAGAGGACAACGAGGAACAAGCTCCTCTCTGTAACGCATCCCGAGGTGCGCATACAATTTATTGTCAGCACTGTGGTGCCTCCTTATCGTCTGCTTGCAAAAGTGGAAAGATAACAGAACTTTGTAACTATTTGGGCGGCACATGCTCGAGGTGATTTGGATCCGCCAATCTCAAGAAATCCACAACAGAGACCCTTCCAATCACCAGCGCCATGCGAACTGACGTTCTCTTTGCCCTGCTCTCGCCAGCATTGGCTTTCCAATCAACACAACAAAGGCCACTGCACGAAGACCCAGAGCACCTTGCCGAACTGGAGAGAAAATGGGGCGACAACGTGAGCATCCTTTCCCCTTCCGCAATGCATCCACTAACATCCTCGGCAGTGGGCCTTCTCGGGCATCTCGACCTTCGGCCACGTCCCGCATGTCAAGTGCCTCACGCACCCAGAAGAAAGTTTCGACATCGGCATCATCGGCGTCCCCTTTGACACGGCCGTCAGCTACCGGCCCGGCGCCCGCATGGGTCCGCGCGCCATCCGCGCCGCCTCGGGCCGACACATCATCAGCCGGGGCTTCCACGCGCAGGCCGCCGTCAACCCGTACACGTCGTGGGCCAAGATCATCGACTGCGGCGACGTGCCCGTGACGCCGTTCGACAACGCCGTGGCGATGGAGCAGATGACGCAGGCGCTGACGGAGCTGGGCACGCGCCGCGCGGCGTACCCGGGCGACCCGGTGTCGGGCGCGCCGCCGATGATGAAGCCGAAGCTGCTGGTGCTGGGCGGCGATCATCTCGTCGCGCTGCCGGCGCTGCGCGCGCTCAAGGCCGTGTATAACGAGCCGATGGTGCTGCTGCACTTCGACAGCCACCTCGACACGCTGCATCCGAACAGCTATCCCAGCGCGTGGCCGAGCGAGCAGGCCACGTTCAATCACGGCTCCGTCTTCTGGCAGGCCAGTAATGAGGGGCTGCTGCACAACTCGTCGTGCGTGCATGCTGGCATCAACACGCGTCTCACTGGTGGCTCTGACATCGACTACGAGTCCGACGACGCCATGGGCTTCCTGCGGATTCCTGCCGATGCGGTGGATGATGTGGGCGTGGCGGGCATCGTTGATGCCATCACTTCGAAGATTCCGAAGAACGCCAAGGTCTACTTGAGCATTGATATCGATGTTCTCGACCCGGCTTTTGCCCCTGGCACTGGCGCTCCGGAGCCTGGTGGATGGTCGACTCGCGAGATGATCAGGATTCTGAGGGGTCTTCGCGATCTGGACATCGTGGGTGCCGACATCGTCGAAGTTGCTCCTGCATACGACACCCCTGGTGCCGACACAGCCTTCGTGGCTGCGGCGCTTGGCTATGAGATTATAACTCATATGGTCAAGCAGGGGCTGAACTCTGTTCCTGCAAACAAAGATCCCCTCACGAAGACTGAGCTTTGAATTGGTGGAGATTTCTGAGAAGGGGAGGTGCATGAGAGATAGAATTTGGCAGAAGTCCGAGTGCGCAGTGGAAGGTATCCCGGTTGTGCAAATAGAAGGCGTGTTATAGACTTCGGTTGCATTTCCAATGAATTTATCTATGACAGAGTGTCTGGTTGATTTCATGCTGTTCGCCTCTCTTAGTTCGTTGTTGTTCTCTGTTTGCTGTAGCAGCGCATATATTCTACGTTGTACCGTAGATACCTTACGGACCATCTTACGCACCTTCTTCAATTTATTTTCGTGTGGACTTGTTAAATAAATTGTAACCTCCGGTGGATAGTAGAATATTTCTCTATAAATTGAACTCTTTCGCTGAATTATTTTTTCAATCGCACAACCCGGCAAACATTTTCAATAAAGAAGTTTGTGGCTGATTATTTCGGTAATTCATCTCAAGACATTGCAAGTATGCAAATCAGAACGCTTACAGCCATTACTGAGGCCACGCCTTCTTTAGCGACATCTGAAAGTAATGACAGTCTGTTACAAGATGAGAACTAATCAAATTGATTCAACATGACTCCTTAGTCGTAGTATATCTGAAAGTGTGAAGACACAAGGAAATAAAAGAAACCGCGAGCAATTTTCGGCGCACTGCACTGTAGGTATTAAACGAAATTATCCATCATGTCCGTCAAGCCTCGCTTGAGGCCAAAAGCTGCATCTTTTTCGCGCGACGTAGACCATTCAACAAACCTAAATCTCGCCCGATTGCATCTGACACCTTCTCGTTCACGAGAGGCTTGCTCACCAGTCCCTGTTATTTCAAAGAAAGCAATTAGCACAAAGTACTCATGAGGGGTCTGACACAACCACAATCATCTCAGGTCACTTACCAAGGCTGCCCCCAAACATGCCAACAAGTACCTCTCATCAAGATTGTCCGACATGTTGGCACCCCACGAGCTCTTTCCAGTTGCATCAACAGCCTCAACAATCGCAACACCACGAATAGCGCCATTGCCGGCGACAAGAGTGCGATGGTGCAATTCGAAACGCATACCACCACCCTCAATGCCATTGGCAATTGCGTTTTCAGCGGCTTCAAGCACGTCTCTCCCACTGCCCGAAAGTCGATGTATCTCGCCGCTAATAAAAACCGTCGCATCCACCTTCTTCCCAGCTGCTGACGTACTCAAAGCACCAGCACTACAGATCCTCGGATCCTTGGAGAGCACATGATACGTCTGCAGAAAAAGGTCTGAGATCTCCGACGGGCTGAGCGTGCGCGCTAGACTCTCCGATAGCGACTTGACCGTCTTCGAGAAAGCCAGCTGCAAGCCCTTGGGGAGGTCGATGTCGATCTGGAGGTGCCGGCTCAACGTCCACGCCACGCCGCCCTTGCCGCTCTGCGAGTTGACGCGGATGACGGATTCGTAGGTGGCGCCGATGTCCTTCGGGTCGATGGCCAGGTACGGCACCTTCCAGCGCGGCTGCTGGCTCTTCTTCATCCTGTTGAAGGCTTTGTTGATGGCGTCCTGGTGTGAGCCGCTGTACGCGATGAAGACGGCGTCACCGCTGTAGGGCATGCGCGCGGGAATCTTCATCTGCGTGCACTCCTCGAAGACTGCCTTGATCGATTTCAAGTTGGAGAGGTCGATTCCAGGATCGATGCCCTGTGTGTATAGGTTGAGCGCTAGTGTCACGAGGTCGACGTTTCCTGTCCGCTCGCCGTTGCCGAAGAGGCAGCCTTCGACTCGGCGGGCGCCGGCCATGATGCCGAGCTCTGAAGCTGCTACCGCACAGCCGCGGTCGTTGTGGGGGTGTAAAGAGACAATAACTTTGTCCTTATCGGTAATCGACCTGCAGAAGATCTCTACCTGGTCTGCGAAGACGTTGGGGCTGGCCATCTCGACAGTTGCTGGAAGGTTCAGAATCATAGGGTCCTCTACTGTCGGGCCCCAGGCCTCTTTCACGGCTTCGCATAGCCGCACGCTATACTCTGGATCTGTGTCTGAAAAGGCTTCGGGGCTGAACATGAGGTTCCACCTGGTGTTCTTCTGCCGCGGGTCGTCCTTGGTGATGGAGCGGGCGTAGGCAACGCTTTCAACAGCCTGTTCCAGCACTTGTTGCTGTGAAAGCCCGAAGATGGTCTCGAGAAAGTTGTCACTGGCAGCGATGTATAGGCTGAGGATAGCGTTCTTGGCCCCACTTACGCTATCAACCGTCCGGCGGATGTGCTCCTTCCTGCAGGGGGAGAGTACTTGAAGCCACACGTCGTCCGGTACCATTTCTGGTGTCTCGACGATTTTCCGCGTGAAGTCAAACTCTGTGTCTGAGGCGCTGGGGAAGGAAATGTCAATTTCCTTGAAGCCCATACGAACGAGCATCTCGAAGTATTTCCACTTTTGGCTGATTGTCTGTGGGCCATGTGAGCACTCCTCAACATTATGGTGTGAAGTCAATCTCACCATGGGGTGTTCAAGGCTTTGGTTTCCATCTCTCAAGTCTGTTGCAAGCCATCTTGGCGCCTTGGTGATGCTTTGCGATGGCCACTGACGATCCGAAAGCTTGATGGGCCGGAACGCATCATACTTTTCTGAGGGTTGCTTGAGCCTACAATTACATTTAGCCATTGACGATGCTTAAAGGCTAAGGATGCAAGCTTTTACATAGGCATTGTGGACAAGTGTACCCTCGATAGTCTCACAACCTGTTTCGTGCTGCTAAGCGAGAACGGAAGGCGCATAAAGGTAAGGGGCCTGGAAAAGACGGAATCGGATTACCAAAAGAAAACACCAAAAAGGCCTATACTCGGCATGGTTTTCCGTTCTCCTAAATCATCTCACACTCGCGGCAGTGCGGGTTGGGGCTGACTTTGGGAAGGGTTTGTGTGGTGTCAGCGGCAGTCATGGCTGAGCGGTCATCAGGTCAGCACCCGCCGACAGGGCACCCGGCGAGCTGCAGCATGAACAGATATCTTGCCAGTAAGCCGTGCGCTCATTGATGGTTGGCTGAACTAGTCGGAAGATTTCTCCTGAATTATTCCAAGTTGTTTGTCTACAATGCCGCTTCCTATTCTTGACGCAAGAGTGCTTGAGGGGGGCACTGAGAAGGAGCGCAAAGCGTTCGGCGAAACGCTGCTGGCCAATCTCGCAGAAAACGGAGCGGTGAAGCTCGTCAACACACCAATTCCGGATGGTGAAATCAGCAGCGCCTTCAAATCGGTACGCGGCATGCAATCTTACAACCTTCACCAGCTGACAGAAGCTGCAGTGCAAAGAGTTCTTTCATTTGCCGCCAGAGCTCAAAGCGCAAATAGCCAACGATCCGGCGCAGGCGCAACAACGTGGCTGGAGTGTAGCTGGTGAAGAGAAGACTTGGTTTCTGGAGAGCATCAAGAACGGCGGGCCAGCGCCCAAGTTCGGCGACTCGCGAGAGAGCATCGACATCGGCTCAATTCGGGACAAGCAATTCCCGAACAAATGGCTGCCTCAGACCGTGCTACCTGAGCACCAAAGCATCATGGAGTCTCTGTTCGAGAAGTGCTCCAGTCTGAGCGACCGCCTGCTTGAGATGCTGGCCGTGACGGCGGGCCTTCCGGCCAACGCATTCACTGAGCGTTGCACGCACGAGGCCAGCACGCTGCGCAGCAACAACTATGCCGCGCTGGATGTGCGTCTCCTGGACGCTGGAGAAATTGGGCGAGCATGGCCGCACAAGGACTTTGGTATCATCAGCTTGGTATTTCCTGGTGTTGTTGGTGGCCTCGAGTACGAAGTGCGCGAGGCCGAAGCCGGCATTTTCGAGCCCGTCGGATTTACCTCTGAGAGTGATATCGTCTTGCTGGTGTCAGAGACGATGCAGCGCTGGACGAACGACCATCTGCGCGCCTGCTTGCATCGTGTCCAAAAGCCGAGCCCTCGAGAGGTTGAAGGAGACATTGCTCCTGAGCGAACATCGATGGTCTTCTTTTGCAAGGCAGACCGATCCGCCCAAGTGGGGCCCATGCAGCATTTCGTTGCTGACAAGGAACCCCTGTACGAGAACATGACGGCGTTGGAATACCAAGATCGACGGAACAAGGCGCACTATCCGGGTTAGATAGAAAGAACACACTAGTCATGCTGACCGCGGCTGCATGTCAGCAACACCTCCTACGAGAATCAAGATGATTTAAGCTCGGCAACACTTTCAGCTTGCAATGCAGTAGCGAACCGTGAATAGCTGAAACAATGGGTTACATTGACAGTCTCGCGATTACGTACGGAAATGCCCCGTCTCTACTGGTGGGCTCTCTGCTTCTCTTCGTCTTTATCACCCGCATTGTTCGCGACCCGCTTCGGCACGTCCCGGGTCCGTTGATCTGCCGCTTCACGTCTTTGTGGCTGCACTACCATGCCTGGGCCGGCACCCAGTGCTCGGCAATTCAAAAGCTCCATGAGGAGCTCGGCCCCATCGTGCGCATTGGTCCCAATGATGTTCACATATCAGACGGCGAGGCCCTTTGGCCCATTTATATGGAGAAAGGCGGCTTCATTAAGAGCGACTATTACAGCACCTTCGACATAGATGGACATGCCACCATCTTCACCACCCTGTCGTTGGAGAAGCGCTCCAGCAGACTCAAGTCTATTCAACCCATGTTTTCCGCCACATCCTGCATGGCCGCCAAGGGTATTATCGAGAGATGTGCCACCAGAATGGTCGAACGCATGGCTGAGGGAATGCAAACCCACAAGCCGGTCGATATTCTGAACCTCGCACGATCTTACGGTATGTAGTTATATCCTCACCTCCCCTGCCCCCTCCTCTTCTTTGTATTCCCTCCCAGCTGGAATATTCTCTTGAAAACTTCTAACAAGCCTTCTAGCCATCGACGCCGTGTCCAGCTACATTCTTCGCGCCCCTTACAACGGCCTGGAGGAGCAAGGGGAAATGTCAGCCTCGCCATTCGTGGATTACTTTGTCAGCATGAGCCGCTTCTTTCATCTGTCCCAATCGAAAATGCATCTCATTGAGCGGGTTATGGATGTCATCGCACCAGACGCCAAAACAACCAAGTCAACAGAAATCGTTGACAGCTACCTCAAGCGGACCATTGAGGAGAAAGTCACCCTACTTGAAGACAACAAGGGCGACGACAGCTACCCATCGAGGCTCCTCGCTCTCGGAGTCCCCAAGGAGAAAGTCATCGCTGAGTGTAAAGACGCTGTGTTCGCAGGCACCGATTCGACTGGCAACAACCTGGCGACTATCATCTGGTACCTGGTCGCACAACCAGACAAGTAAGCCATGCATCTCTCCATCCTCCTCTCATGTCCCATGTCGCCCCATCCCAGGCTACAGTAAACTGACACCACACCACCAGATACGCGCAACTCGCCGCCGAACTCCATGCCAACGCCATCTCACCTTCTCCAAAAGACATTCAGTCACTCCCATACCTAACCGGAGTCATCAAAGAAGCGCTCCGGCTGAGCATGGCCATCTCGACACGGCTGCCGCGCGTGGTTCCCGCCGGCGGCTTCCAGCACGGGAACACGTACCTGCCCGAAGCCACGGTCGTCGGCCTGTCCGCCTACCAGCTCCACCTCAACCCAGCCGTCTACCCCAACCCTCACGCCTTCCTGCCTGAGCGCTGGGTCAACAGCAGCGATGACCGCATGCACCGTGATTTCATGCCTTTCGGGAAAGGCGCGAGAGCCTGCATTGCCAGGAACTTGGCGATGCTGGAGTTGTACGTGGCGACGGCCGCAGTGGTGCAGTCGAAGGTCCTGGAGTGTGATGGTGGAGTGAAGACGGTGGCGGAGAGCATTGAGTCCTTGGAATGGTTTAATGCGAGGGTGAAGGGGGGTGTTATTGAGATTGTCTGGCCGGCGGCGTAAGAAGAGGTGTGTCCCAGCTCACGCGCAAATCTACTTTGCATTTACCAGCTAGACATTCAATCACCTCCTGTTGGAGCTGGGGACGTACCGGTGATGGGCTCTCATGACCTAGTTCCATTACATATCCAGCAAGAAAAATAAATAGATTGCCTATCCGAATTTAGACCTACTTAACAACATCTGTCTTTCCACTAAATTCCTGGTCGATGTACTCCACTCCCCCTACCTCTTGTGAGTCAATAACGTCCATCCGCTTCCGCTGAACCTTCGCTTTGCTCCGCATCTGCCAAAATGGGCCTTCAAACAGTGCATCCAATTGCTCCAAACTCAGACCAGCCGTCTCAGGCACCGCGAAGAAGACGTAAACGAGCGCAACGAAGCACCATCCAGCGAAGAAGAGAAAGGTACCCCAATTATGCATGCTAGACAGCATCGAAGGCGTGCCTTTGTTAACGCCGAAGTAGAAGAGCCAGTGGAAGGTCTGCGTAAGTGCGCTGCCGAAGGAGCGAATGTTGTTGGGCCACAGCTCGGCGCCAAAAATGTAGGGGAGGACGAGGAGACCTGAAATGAAGATTATCAGCGTCTGCATGGAATTTTCCTCCTGCACCGTAGCTATCCCCAGACTTACCCACTGCGTATCCGAAACCGTGGATGTAGATGGCGGCAATGGCGGCCTCGGACGCGCCTGATGCCACGGCGCCGGCTTGCTTGTACTTGAGAAACGCGCCGATGTATATGTCCGAGGTCATCTGCACAATGATGCCGATGAAGAGTGACTTGCGGCGGCCGAGCGCATCAACGAAGAAGAAGGACGCGATGAGCGTGTAGAAGAACTTCGCCATCGAATACATGCCAGTCAGGAACATGGAGCGGTCGGTGCTGCCGCCCTGCCCGATCATGGTGAGGATGGGCACGAGATAGCTCGTCACGGAGTTGGCGCCCGATAGCTGCGCGAGGATGTAGCAGAGGCAGGATTGCTGCAAGCGGCGCAGGTTCGCGCGCACAAGGAACGTTTCCCTGAGAACTGCGGTCATTCCGCCGGCGGCGGCGTCACCGTATCTGCCGTGCTCGCTTTCGATCTGAGCACGGATATCTGCTATTTCCGAGGCGACTCGAGGGTGATCCGCTGGCAGCCCACGGAGCGCGACTAAGGTCTGTAGTGCTTCTTCCTCTCTGCCCTTGATCATCAACCAGCGAGGCGACTCGTACATTACGAAGAAGCTCGCGACGATGATGACGGCGATGATGATGCAGGGCACGAACCAGACGACCTGGTACTGCAGTGTGCTGGTTGCGATATGCAAAAAGCTGGCATAAACAACGAAGCAGCTGACGGTCAAGCTGAGGAGCATGACGACGCTGAACCAGGTAGCCAGCAATCCGCGTATTTCATGTGGTGCAACTTCGACGATGGACATCGGGCCGGTCACTGTCAGGGGCCCGATGCCCAGTCCTGATACGAAACGTGCAGTATAAAGTGCGCCGAGATGACCATAGGAAAAGGTTGCGATAAGTTGGCCGACGATCCAGATGGCCATATACAAGCGAAGGGACCAGAGACGACCGATGCGATCGTTTATGAAGAATGACAGGCCGGATCCCACGCCCGCGGTCAGGTAGACAAAGGAGATGAAATTCCCGATTTCGGACGGGTTGGCTCCAGAGGAGATGCCAAATGCATGCTGAAATCCCGGAAGTGATGGGACGATCGAAGATGAGCCCTGATCCCATGCTAAAGCAGAGTCAGCTACGTGAACCATATGAACCAGATACGAGAGGAAGGCATACTGATGGGTATACCGGACATTGCGTACAGCGCCGCCGTTACCAGGAGTCGCCGGTTGCAAATGAGCTCCCGCGGAGAGCTCCTAATGACACGAACATATTTCGCTAGAGTTGAGTCAGATAGAATTTTCATGTCTGCCCCTATGCTGGTGAGGTCCGCCGCTGGAGGTGGTGTCGATGCGAAGTGGAGAAGAACGAAATCATTTCCGGGTTCTCGGAGATATAGTAGCTTTCATCATATCCCTGCGGATATGTCGTCGAGATAGTCTTCTTGCATCCTTGCAAAGATTTCCATGTGCGAGGGGCTGATAACGCGTCATGTGAACGGCCTATCGCATCCATGAACGGCCGGAGTCGGGAGAAGCCGAACCCCACCATTTGCACTACAGGGACAGCCCGAACTCCGCCATGTTGGCCTCCTTATCGGAAAGCCCGTATCCTCTCCGTATTGTGGCGTGTATATTCGGCTTCGCCTCCCATCGCTAATGCTCTACACAAACCATCTCCTTTTATAGTACTTAGGCCGAAGTCTAACTTGTTCTATTTTTTGTGCACACGGGAAAATTCATTCAGCTTCCAAAAAGCAGCGACAGCAAACTAAAGAGTTAGTGGCTGACTTGAGAAGTCCCCTCAAATCATGGCACGCATTCCCCCCAGCAAACACGCACCCATCATCATTATTGGAGCGGGAATCTTCGGTCTCAGCACAGCAATTCATCTCGCACGCCGAGGCTACAAAAGTGTCACCATCTTCGACAAGCAGCCGTACGACACCACGCTCTACTCATATCTGAACGGCTGCGATGCGGCTTCTGCCGACATCAACAAAATCATTCGCTCAGCGTACGGCAGCCAGGTAGAATACCAAGAGCTGACCTTTGAGGCCATCGAGGAGTGGAAACAGTGGAACGACGAGCTTGCCAGGGGTGTGGACCTGCCGCCAGGCCTGTCGACCGAAGACCGAGTGTTCTATAACACCGGAAACTTGAACATGGTAGACGGGAATGAGCTTCCCGAATTCGAACTGGCGACCATACGGTCAATGGAGGAGTTCGGGCACAAAGACACGCAACTCATCACCACTGACCCGCGCTGCATCGCTATCGCGCAAGCGAGGGGCCTGGCAGCCGCGATGGATCCGTTTGAGCGGGCGAGACGAGGAAAGTCCAATACCGGAGTCCTGGATTCAACCGGCGGCGTCGCCGTCGCGGACAAGGCATGCAGAGTCGCGCTGCACAAATCCCGCAGGTACGGCGCACGATCTATTTTTGGCCCGAGGAAAGGCGAATTCGCCGGCTTCGTGACGGCTGCGACTGGGGACGTGACTGGCATCGTCACGAAGGATGGGAAAGAGCACCCTGCTGCCCTCGTCATCATGGCCTGTGGCGGCTGGACGCCGGGTCTCGTCCCGGAACTGGATGGTCTCTGTGAAGCGACCGCCGGCTCAGTCGTGCTGTTCAAGATACCGCGAGAGTCGAAGCTGTGGGACCGCTTCGCGCCTGACAGGTTTCCGACGTGGTTGTACAAAATGCGCGACGGCGCCGAGGGAGGGCTGTACGGCTTCGCACGCGATGAGCGGGGTTACTTGAAGATCGGATATCGAGGCACCAAGTACACCAACCCGACTACTCAGCATGATGGGAGGGATAGGAGCACTCCAATCACGAGGTGGAGCGAGGGTGATAAGCTCACCCAGATACCCAAGCAGGCCATGAAAGTCATCCGCGACTTCGTGGACGAGTACCTGCCGGACTTGGCAGAGGAAGGTATCAAAGTGGCGACGACGCGCGTGTGCTGGTATACGGATTCGTTTGACAACCACCTTGTCATAGACTACGTTCCCGGCCAGAAGAATTTGATGGTTGCTACGGGCGGCAGTGGGCATGCGTTCAAGTATCTACCTGTCATCGGCAACTGGGTCGTTGATATCATCGAGAATACTGGGATGGAGAGACCTCAGGTAAAAGCTTGGAAATGGAGAACTCTTGGAGAACAGAAGCCAGTGAACATACTGATGGAAGGTAAGCAAGGAGCGAGAGCTCTGGGGAACGTGCCCTTGACTAGCGATGCGGATCTGAACGGAACGGCCACAGCGAGACTATGAGTTCGTATAACTTGAAAGAATTTGGATATTGAGCATTTGGTGGGAATGTGCAAGGTCCAGTGATTTTAATTGATGATGATCCCTTCTCTATACTTGTCGTTTCTCCAAGCGGTCGGCGTTCACTGGCGAATTGGCATTTCCCGTCTCGAAATACGCCCTGATATTCTCAAAACACTCCCTTTCTGCCTTTTGATACGCGATATCTGTCAAACCTCCTAGGTGAGGTTGCAGTATCACGTTTTCCTGCCCGAAGAACCACGGATCCACGTTCGGCTCGTTGCATAAAACGTCCAGCCCTGCTCGAGCAACTTTACCGTTCCCAAGAGCCACCTTCAGCGCTGCTTCGTCAATCACAGCACCGCGAGCAGTGTTGATCAAGAACGCGCCATGTTTCATTGCGTCGAACTCAGCCGTGCTAATGAGGTTCGTCGTCTTCTCATTCAGCGGGCAGTTGAGAGAAACAATGTCCGAGGATGCCAGGAGCTCGTGTAGCGAGCCGCAGTACGTGGCGTTGTACTTCTCCTCTTCAGAGGTAGGCAGTTGGCGGCGGTTGTAGTACTTGATCTTCAAATTGAACACGGCCGCCTTCCTTGCAAGATGCTGTTTCATTCCATCAGCCTCACACTCAGGAAAAGCCTCATCCCTTCAAACTCACCTTACCAATCGCACCCATGCCCACGATCCCCAGCGTCAAGCCCGCCGGATCCCTCGCCGGGATCAATCCACCATTGGGCCCACCTCTCCACTTCCCCGCTTTCGCGCTCTTCTCTGCCTTGCTAGTATTCCTCAGCGTCGCCAGCAGTAGGAAGACGGCCATATCGGCCGTCGCCTCGGCAACCGCGTTGACGGAATTGCAGAACACAATGCCCTGGCGGCTCATCCAGTCCACGTCGAACTCATTGTACCCGGCGCTCGCCGACGTGATAATCTTGCAGCTAGGCGCGAGGGCGGACAGGAGCTCTTCGTCGAATGGCTCGTAGGGTGGCGTGCCCATGCGGATGATGAACGCGTCGATAGGGCCATTCCGCGATATCAAGTCTGGGAGGCCCGCGATCGTTTCGGCGCGATTGGCAGCTGGTAAGACAGAGTATTGGAAGCTCTGAGCAAACGAGGCGAGGTAGTCTTCGCCGGCGAAAGCGGGCGTGCCGAGGCACACGACGTGCGGCTTTCGGTCTGCGATTGAGCCCATGGTGTTGACTTGGGGTTCGTTTGAGCGTAGGCAAGCAGCAGAATAGCTGAAATGTGCACCGAACTCGTTGGAAAAGGAATGAGAAGTCTTTTGGAGCTGTGCAGGCCAATCACGTGATCAACGGGGTGGCAGTGGTGTTACTGGAAACAGCCTGGTTTGCATCAACAGATTGCAGCACGGTAAGTTGCGAAGAGTGACTCGGACTCAAGACGTTATCTTTAATCTAAACAACATGCATCTCCAGTTTTCGAATTAGACTTGGAGATGCAGCGGGGTGGAGTTTATGGATTCTCCCGAGCTCCAAAGGTGGGGTTGGTACGGCTACAGGGTCCATCTTCCCGAAAGCTCGGGGGAATCCGAGCTGGCCTACGTCATACGACATCACAACATAAGCCCTCAGTGTTGGGTGATTGCGCTTTCCCAACAAGACAAGTGAGGGGATGAACGGATTTTGGGAAAGACATGTAATCCTGTTGTCCAGAAAATCATCTCTCGACCTTCGAGCCGCAGTTTGTCGGTATTTTGAATGGGGAAGTTACCAAACCTAACCTCGTTTACGAAAAACTCCATTTTGAATGTCCGTAATGTCTTCCTCAGACCTCCCGCCTCTCGGCTTCCTTGCCGTTGAAGTCAACATTCACCGCCCCCCGGGTGATCCGTACAACCCACGCACTTGGCCCTTTCCTTTGCTTCACGAACTCGTCCCAGGCTCCCAAGAAAAGCAGATAGTCTCAAAGGAGACCTACGACGCCGAATTCATCAATCGCTTCGTCGCTTCCGGGAAGAAGCTGGCTGAGAAAGGCTGTGTTGGCATCATCACGAGCTGTGGATTCCTGGCAATGGCGCAAAGGCAGCTGAGCGAGCGAATTGGCATCCCGATTGCAACAAGCGCGCTGGTGCAAATCCCAAGCATTCGAGCATTTCTGGGCCCGCAGAAGATTATCGGTGTTTTAACGTATGACGGGGAGCGACTCGGCGAGACACACCTGCGAGAAGTTGGTGTTGATCCTGCAACGATCCGGATCCACGGATTGCCAGCGACTGGCCACACACGGAAAGTTATACAGGATGGTGTGAAGTACGATAGCACGGAAATGGAGCGGGAAATGGTTGATTCGGCGGTAAGGCTTGTAGAGAGTATCAGGGAAGAAGGAAAAGAAGCTGGCGCCGTGGTATTGGAGTGCACCCAGATGCCACCATATGCGGCTGCAATTCAGAAAAGAGTGGGAGTTCCTGTGTACGACGTATACACGCTGGGTCTGTGGTTCTATTCAGGACTGGTGAGGAAGACTCCTGCATCATGGATCTCGTAGAAAAAAAGTAAAGTGCTTCATTGATTCTCTCCCACTTAAATCAAGAAATCCCCCTGCGTTTCTTTCAATATCAGCCGGTATTCCGGCTCGAATTGCATGTACATGACCTCCGGGCTGCCCGTACTCCTCTTTGTATACCCGGCCTCCTCATCACCAACAATTGTCTTCTTCAACTGGCTCCCATCCGGTGCCACAGCGGCCTCAGTCAGCATCTGGCAATGACACGCGCGCTCCAGCGCAATGAAGAACGCGGCCGCCTCCGCGACAGTGCCGCCGCACGTTAGGCTGCCATGATTCTGCAGAATGATATTCTTCATCGTCGGCCCCAGCGCGTCGGCCAGCCGCGCGCCCTCCTCCTTCGCAAACACCACGCCGCCAAAGTTCGCGTACACGGCGAGGTCGTCGTAGAACATGCAGCTGTCCTGGTTGAGCATGTCGATCGGCCGCCCGAAGTTCGACCACGCCCGCGCGAACGGGCTGTGCAGGTGGCAGGCGGCGTTGATGTCTGGGCGGCGCTCGTGGATGGCGGCGTGGATGATGAAGCCGGCTGTGTTGATCAGCTTGTCTGCGCCGCCAACCCGGACGCCCTGCGCATCGACGCGGACCATGTCCGAGACGGTTAGCAGGCCGAAGTGCACGCCGTAGGGGTTGATCCAGAACGTGTCTGGCTCGACGGGATCTACGTTTAGAAAAAGAATCAGGCGAAATGGTCGTCGGAGAGGATTGGATGGGTTGTTTTCTTCTTTTTTCTTTTTTCACGGACCTCGAAGGCTGATGTGGCCGCTTGCGCCGTCGGCAAAGCCGAGTTTTGCAAAGATGCGAAATGCGCCCGCCATTTGTTCAAGCTGCCATTTTCGTTGCGCTTCTTTCGTCGCAGGCCACGGGATGTGGTATCTACTACGAGACTCGCTACTGGATGTGCCATCAGCTCTATTCAGAATTGATGTAGCACTTTTGACCGGCGCTGCGGACGTGGTTTCAAGATACGTGGTGGTGGACGACATGATGCGTGGATTGAGGAAGCCACAATAGCTCAATGCACAGTAGAGATGATCGGTAAAGGTGAGTAGCTGGCGTGGTGCTGGTAAGAAGGTCCCCGCACTTGGCATCCAGGAGCTGTCGGGTTCTCCCGAGCCACCGGAAACAATATCCGATCGCTTTTCCGATCACCCCACCCGGGTTGCCTCAGAAGCTCAAACATCGGCGTTCCTATTGGTGTAACTTTTGGTTACCAATCGCTTGGCAAAGAAACCGTCCTATCATTCTGCTGCAGACGAACTTTATGGAACTCGAAGGTCACGTTTAGGTTCCCAGAGTGCAGCAGCGCGTTGATGGGAGAATCCCACAAAACCAGGTCTGGTGAGGTTCAAGTGAAAGGCTCGAAAGTGGCCTTCAAATGACGAGCGCTGTATGATCAATTGATGGCTGGAACCACGGAGATTCCGTACTGTACGCCTCGTGAAAGTTTGCCTTTGATGTAGCTTGAATACGTCACCTAGCCAGTGAAATCCCCCAAATCCTCGAATCCAAATTCAGGCTGTTGGAAGTCTCTCATTCCTTGCAATAGCTCGTTGAATAGCCACTCAGTCTCATGAGGTACCGAGAGATCATTCAAGCCCATATCCCAACCTTGGGATAAAGCCGCGGGATTTCCTTGCTGGTGTGTGCTCCCTGCGTCTGACCGATGTGAATTGAAATCCGAAGCCCTACTTCTTTCATTGCAGACCATGTCGATTGTCCTCTCAGACAAGGTCTCGAACGCATCCCTGTAAGGGGTCGCTTGACTCCAGCGCTCCGCAATGACGATTAGCACCGTGTTGCAAGCCATACACGTGCTAATAACATCGGACTGCCTAGAATTTAAGCGAACCTTTGCTGATTTCCACAAGCAGTAGAGATACGTCATTCCACCCACGAAAAGGATATGAAGCGAACCCCAGGTGAATTGGATGGTCGGACTTTGGTAAAGCTTCCTGTACAGCAAACACATTTCTCGAGCCCGGTGGGCGCAGACTGTGAACGCCTGTTCCACGTTCTCCTCGTGTCCTGGCATGGTTATTTGGTGCCGGTAGAGCAGAAGGATAGAATGGTCATATGCGATTTGGAACCACGACTGTGAAGCGAACACCGATAGCGAAGAGCCAGGGTCGTCAATTGGGTCGGGTATTGCAGCATACCAGTCCTCGAGCTCCTGACGTAAGCGATCAACCATTAAATTTTCCGTCATCCTGCGAGATGGCGTCTCTGTAGTGGCAGTTTGGTAGAGGTTGGATGCAATTTTAGACCACAGTCGACGGAGTCTGATTACGTGAATTGCTCCGGTCATGTAGGTTGGCGGATCATCGGGTGATAAACGAGGCTCCTTGCGAAGACCGTCTCTGGCGATATACTCATCCTCGAGGTCCAACGGCATCTCCACATCTATAGCATCATCTGGAATGCCCACAGGTCGTCCAAGGATGCAAGAAGCCACCCTGTCAATGTCGTAGGCTACCCAGAAGCATCTGCGTGACATTTCAGCAGCGACAGTATCTGTATGCTTGTGATACTTTGATATGCTTCTGTGGTAGCCGAGCTCAATGCAATGTCGGATTGCCATGCCTGAGAGCTTCCACAAACTGACACCGACTGGTGATCTTATGGAATAGACTGCACAGGAAAGAATACTCTGTACGGACTCAAGTCCATCGAGATCAAGGACTGTAGCTTGGTGGTCGAGCGCCATGACATAATAAGCCTCGGCTACATCGCGATGTGCAGGACCGAGGGCCAGAGACCCAATTGCGTATACCATCAGGACAAAGAACAAGGCAAGATCTCCAGCTTCAGAGAGAGCATTGGCCGCATTTGCTCTGAGACAAGCTTGTTCCCAGGCCAGAAAGGTAGGCTTATGGAGAAATGGGTATTGCGGATGAATGTTCTTGAAATATGCCTGGGTGAGGGTGGTAGCCAAAGCCGGAGAGGGAAATGACACCGACAGTGTCCGCTGGATGTCCTGCCCGTGGGAATCAGGAATTGGGCCACTGTGTTGAGAGCTCCCGTGACGTTTTGGAAAGCCCATAGTAGCGCTCACGATGCGCGAGAATGAGACGGCGCAGGATGAGCCGAAGTAGTGCGGCTCGCGACCCGCCGCACTGAGACACAGAACGGCAACATCGGTAGTCAGGTCGTCGAGCTCCTCACCCTCGATATCTCTCGCCGCTCCTGGAAAGGGACCTTGCAGAGCCGGCGTTTCATTCCCGGCTTGGGGTAGTAAAGAGCCATGTTGTCGCCTTGCATTTGATGCTTGACCAATATTTTGGGAAAGGCGCGGCTGATCAAATCCATTGAAATGATCCGATGCGACATCAGGCCGCGCCTCTTGCAGTAGACCCTCGAGATAAGCGACACGGGTCTCAAGCGATTGAAGGTAGTCTCTTGGCCTGTGCAATCCTGTCGCAGGGTCCTCGACCAAGCAATCTGGCATCTCTTAGTGCTGTTTCCAACGTGAAACAATTCAATAAGGATTACCTCGTCCAGTTCGAACACAAGTTTGACATTTTGGAACCTGGCCGTCACACTAACGTCGAGTCAGCCAATGTGCCGTCCCGTGCTGAAGAAGACCGATAAGACACCTTTAGCTTCTTGCTTTTACAATGGATGCAAGCGAGCATCGTCCGCTCGCTGAGGCGCACCCGCTTTGGGCCGAGGCGATCTACACTCATAGTAGTACTTTGAACAAACTGTTAGTAGTGTACGACGATGTAAAGGTGGGGTTGAAAGAACGAGTGCACATTAGCGTCGGCATCATGTACCTCGGGCCGATCTAGATAACTAAGCACAACGAACACTCTACAACGGTAGCATAAATCGATGGTACTATAAGCGTTGAGGCGAAATAAATGATTTCCCTACTTAAAGCAACATTATATTACAGATATCACGAGTACATTTTTTTAAGCCGTAACAGAGGATAAGAACAGACAATTTAATTATTATCGCTTCTTCTACAGCTACTTTTTTTTTCATCAAAACATATCTCGCTTTTGAGCGAAGTTCTACAAGATTGGACCGAGAGGTCGAGTTGAGTCCGTAGACACTTTGACTAATGATCAGCATTCCTCTTCTTCCTCAACACTCCCATCGCCCCCACCAAACCCGCAGAACCCACCACCATCGCCACGCCCGAAAACACAATCAACCCCGTCAAATCGTCGCCGCTCCCCGTGATGGCGCCCTGGATGGGCAAGCCAGTCAGACTGGCAATGGCGGCGACAGCGAAGTAGGTGCCGAGCATGGCGCCCAGGTCGGCGGTGTGGCCGCCGGCGACCTGCAGCAGGCACGGTGTGATGAGCGAGACGAAGGCGCCGCTGAAGAAGCCGAAGACGAGGGCGAAGACGATGAGGCCGCCCAGCGAGTGGTGCGTATTGATGGGCAGCCAGACGACGAGGACGGAGAGACCGGCGACGAAGGCACAGACGGTGATGACAGAGAAGTGGCCGACGCGGTCCGAGTAGAGAGGCGGCAGGATGCGGCCGAAGATGGAGGCCGCGCTGGGGGGACGAGTTAGTGAAAGCTGACTGGGAGCGGGGGCAAAAGCTGAGGCTTACTTGAGGATGGAGACGGTGTACGAGGCGACGGCGTAGGTGCTCTGGGCTTGCTCGGCGAACAGAGGCAGGTAGTTGAACGGACCGAACAGGCCCCAGAAGAAGAAGAAGGAGCCGCCGACGAAGAGGACGTAAGCAGGCTGTTTGAAGACGGCGACGCTGAGGAGCGTGCGGCGGCCGGCCCAGCCCTTTGGTTTGATCGGTGGCACGACGAGGACGTTGGCGATGGCGAGGAGCACACCGACCATGAGGGCGGTCCAGCGGATGGTGGCGCGGAAGCCGATCTGGTCGAAGAGCTGGGCGAGGAAAACTGGGAACACCACGCCACCTGCAACATGTTAGTGGACTGCCTGGGTTTGGGATTGGTGGGATCTATTCAACGTACCGACGGAGGACCCACTGGCGACTATGCCGACGGCGAAGGCTCGCTTCCGCTTGAAGTACTGGCTTGCAGTGACGAGGCCAGGCACGAAAATGCCGGCAGCGCCCAGACCGAAGCATAGACTTTGGGCTAGGAAGATCTGCCAGTACTCCTTGGCGAAGCTTAGGGCGACGAGCCCGACGACGGCGAGGATAGAGGTGGGCATGAGGATGGCACGGGGGCCGAACATGTCGACTATCATGCCGACGGGCTGTGAAAGGAAGAACATGAGGAAGAGTTGCATGGTAAGGATCCAGGAAATGGCCGATGATGAGGCCGTCTTGAGAATGTCCGTTTCGTAGACCAGTTGGAAAGTGCCGAGGCTGTGGGGACAAGATGAGTACAGATGCTCAAATCGGACTTGAAGGTTAGGACTCACGCATTGATGAAGCCGAACGAGCAGAATTGGCACAGCCAGCCGGCAGCAACAGTCTGCCAGGCGGCTCTTCCACCATCAGGCGGGTCAAAGGCTGCCGGTGGTGCGGGCTTGGCCGCTTCCTGGTCGGCATGTTGACGCTGCTGCGTGTCTTGCGGCGCTGACTTTTCGCTCGAAGCGCTCGACATGGCTGGATGGCTGCTGTGATTGCTTTGGGTTGAGTTTGGAAGAAGGCGTTAGAGAAACAACCTCTCTATAAAGTCATCTCAAAATAAGAAGAGGTGTTGGTGGTCCAAGTTTTACAGGTGCGGCTGACGATGATCGGTGGGTATAAACAGCGAGGGCGATGCACAAGAAAAGTTGTGCAAGTTGTATGAGGTGGGGAGTGCATAAAATGCGCACAACTCGCGCGCGGCGAAGCACCGAAACCCCGAGGCCGATCAAATAATGGCTCATGGTGTGAGACGTCGCCCCCAACTTCCAAGAACCCCACCAAAGCTTTTTCCCCCGCGACCGTGGCTTAGCTTGAAGAATCCATCAGCGCAAGGTACCTGACTCCATGACAAGCTTTGTTTCAAGCAACGTGGCGCGAAGGAACATGGGTGGGGCGAAGGAATGCTTCACTCGCCACTTCAACTATAGCGAAGGAATGAATAAATGCACAATTAACTTCGCACTAAGTAAAATGGTGCAACACAAGGAACAGTGCGCGCAATTCGATGGCATGATATAGACACGGCGCAGTCCTTTCGGCCCCATGTTTGGGGGCTGGGGAAAGAATTCTCCAACTGCCGCCGCCTAGCGCCACCCGATGGACCGGCCCGCAAAGCCAATGCGCCACCCCTTCTTGGCAAGGCTTCGCCCTAACCGCAACGCAAGATGAATCCATTGCACAAGATCTGCAGCGGCAGATCCACTACTGCCTGCTCCCAGGCTTGCTTACCGCTAGCCAACCATCGGATTCCTTTTTTTGCACACAATTGATCTACATTTTGCGGGAGGAGTATCCTCCCTGTTTAGCCTTTAACGATGGATGGGGTAGACACGTCATCGAGTTGGGCAGTCCTCTACGCTTCGTACTTTTGCAATTCGTGTTGTTTATTGGTCAGGGATATCCATGCATCAACGTGCATGAAGATCACATTCGGCTTCACGAAAAATGCTGTCAAACGAGCATAGCACCGGAGCTCGGTCTTCGGCAAGGTCAGGCACGCCGCGCAGCGGCACCGCAAAGGAATCCTTCTCGCACTCTACCATCGGCTAGAACAAGTCTCACACTCACGCAAAGCACCGCAACACTGACGAAGTAGCTAATAAAAGCAAAAAAATCATTCACTCTACCAATCCCCTATCTCCCATTTCCCCTCCTCCAACACACCCCACCCCACCCCACCCCAGCACCGCCATCCATCCTGCCATTCTCTCAAACAGGCACAAACCTCACCCTCCGATCAGGCGTCACAGCGAACCGATCCTGCCTCGTCTCGACCAGCCCCTTCTCCTCTTCCCTCGTCAGCCCCACACTCTCCAACCGCCACTCGCGCAGCACGGGCACCAGGAACGCCTTCATGATGACGCCGCCAAAGTTCTTCCCGATGCACTTGCGGCTGCCCAGGCCGAAGCGCAGGAAGCTCCAGCGGTACTCCTGCGGCGCGAGCGCCGCGAAGCGCTGAGGGTGGAACGCCGTGCCGTCGGGGGCGCCGTCGCCGTCGCCGGCGAAGCACGCTGGCTTCGTCCACACGGGCGACTGCGTGTTCAGGCGCCACCAGTCAATGATGCAGGGGGTGCCGGCTGGGATGGCGAAGCCGCCGACGGTGGTGTCGGCGGTGGCGTGCTCGGGGAGGGAGAACCCTGCAGGCCGATGTCAGTCTCTCGGTCAGGGGGCAAAGGAGGATTTGCAGCAGGGGAAAGGAATGTGTGTGGGGGCCAGGGCTGATGCTTACAGGCGGCGGGGCAGAGGCGGATGGATTCCATGCATGTGCGCTCGAGCAATGTGTCTGTCTTCTGCACGTAGGCGTCGGGGTCGGCGGCGTTGGCGAGGATCTCGGCGCGGAGCTGAGTCTGCGCGGTGCGGTTGCGGGCGAGGTTGATGAGGAGGAAGGCGAGGACGGACGAGGTGACGTCGATGTTGGCGAAGAGGATCTCGTCGATGGTGTGTAGAAACTGGCGTTCTGTGACGGAGCCGTCGAGGACTGATGGGTGCATCTTGGCCACAGGGCAAGAGAGCTTCTCCTGCAGAGGTGATAATCTGTAAGTGCGTGTGCCCATCAAACAACCAGAACTGCAAACTAACCTTTTCAGCCCTCTCGATAATCTCGAGATTGAAGTCCCGCCACTCCCGCTCAAATTGATCCATCAGCGCCTTCGACTCACTCGGCAACCGTGAAAACACCTCCGATCTCTCCGCCTTCCCAAAGAATGCTCTAAGCATGACTTTCTCATGAAGTGCATTCAGCTCGAGCAGCCGTTCATACGCCTTCTCTGACAGTGCGTCGCCATACAGCGCCAGCGCGACCAGCTTGAACGGCAAGAACCGGCAGGCTGTCGCCGCGTCCACGACGAACGGAGCGCCGTCGGCTCCTGCTGCCTTTGCCCACTCAGCGGGAAGCTCCGCCATCCACGCGGCCACCTCGCGTCCGAAGCGTGCGGAGAAGGCCATGGCCATCTGGTGCGACAGGTGCGGCTCGAAGACGCGGCGCATGGCCTTCCACTTGTCGCCGTTGAGCACGCCGACGCTGGAGCCGAGGACACGGTCGAAGTAGGGGCCCATGCCCATGTGTGGCGGCTTCGCGTGGCCTGTATTGAAGGAGCTGTTAGCGAGGTGGCGTGGCTGGCTTGGCGAATGGAAAAAAAGCAAAAAGCGCGCACCTTTTGACTCGCGGCCGAAGAAGTCCTTGACATGCTCGGGGCGGGTGAGGACCACTTCGGGCTTGCCGTCGTTCCAAGTCAGGTAGGGGTCGGTGCCGGCGAGGGCGACGCCTTGCTCGGACATAGCGTGGCCTTGGCTGAAGCGGACGAAGCGCGAGTTGAAGCTGAGTTCTTTCATTTTCTCGCCTTGGGCGTTTTTGAAATAGCCCATTTGCTGGGCGAGTACCTTGGCGAGGCGGTAGCGGACCGAATTCTGCCAGCTGCGGTTAGCGGTTTCCTGGATTGCGGCGTTGGGTGGTTAGACTGACGAATTGGTCATAGATGTAGATGGCCAGCAGAACGAGGCCAAGAGCCAGACAGGTGCCATAGGCGGACTTTGGAATCAGACCAATAACGTGGACTTGGCTAGTAGAAAGCATTGTTGAAGATGGTAAGAAATGAGTTTGGTGGGACAAAAAGAAGATGTGGATTTGTTGAAGTGTCTGGATTTTCTGGAGCAGAGGAAGTGTTTTATCCTTGCCTTCAGTCTCGAACCGCTTCCTCACGGATTTGGCTGCTCCGAATCATCGAATGACAATCGTCCAAGGACGAGTATAGAATCATGAGCATCGAATGATATTTTTGTCGCAACAGGCAGAAGCTGTATGTGGCTGTATCTCGCCCTTCAGTTGGCTTACATCGGGACCGACGGGACCTCATTCCGCATCACAGCCACCCGCCGCCGTCGTCACCCGTTGCGGAAATTGCCTATGAGTGAAACATGCCAACACCTGCAGCCCCAGACGGAGGATTCCATGGACAGACACCCAACACTGCCGATTACGAAAAAGTCAATCATGCAGAGGGCCCACAAGAAGCAATCTTCTGGGGCCTCGGCCAATCCTACATTGCTAGAATCAGAACACGAATCCTTCAGGAACACCTTATTGCCTAATCCGGTAAAACGCTCACGACTCTCTAAATGTAGACGCGTATGAGCACCATCAGGCAGGCGATGCATGTAAGGTGATCGCTGAATCCAAGTGCCGATGAGTTTACGAAATTTTATGCCGTGATGACAGGTGGGGTCTCAAAAGTTCTCAAACAGCCGCTGATGAGGCAGTGAAGACAGATATCAAGCGAAGAACTTAAACATATAACTGGGCCGACGTGGTCGAACTCAAGCTTGCATTCACCACTCATCCAGCCACATCTTCATCATGACATCAATTTTGTTCCCTACCTCTGACAGCCCCATGGGCGCGCGGACGAAGCAGGACTACGTCCCGTTCATGAGCGACATGGCCCGCGCTGCCTCAGACGCCGCAGATGCTCTGATTCTTTTCAAAAATCTGGTCGAGGGAACCGCCGGCGGGCCAGATTCCACCGGCTTCATGGCGTTCGATGCTCATGGTGGCGATACGGGTTGCCAGTTGCGGGCCGGCATGGTGCTCGAGACGTTCGTCGTCTACCGGCACTTCCAGTCCTCGATGCCGGACGTCTGGGATGCCGTTCGGGCTTGGCTGGACGAGACCGTGGCCAAGCTTCAAAAGGTCCACACGGAAGCCGAGCTTGCCTGCAGGAAGCTTCTCAAACACGAAGTCCACCCCAGCAAGCTGGGCCTGCCAAGTGTCGAGAAGGCCCTCCAAATTCTTGGCTGGGACCACGCCGCCGAACCACCCTCGCTGATCGACGTCCTCCACCAGTCCCTCAGCGAGGCCAGCGATGCCATCCTCGCAGGACTCCCGCCCATCCTATGCCACTACCTCGAGCAAGCCGGCGTCATCGGCCCTAACGGCCGCCCCTACTCCACGTCGACGCCGTCCAGCAGCAGCGCCGGGAGCCTGTACGCCGCCTCATCCTGCAGCTCTCCAGAAACGGCCCCGCAATCCTGCCCCTCCTCGCCGCCATCACTCTGCCTTGACGAATCAATTTTTGCTGCAGCCTCGACCCCATTGCCCGACAACAAAGAACTGCCGCTTACAACCGACTGGGCCATCCTCGAGTTTTCCACTCTCTCTCGCTTCATCGTCTTCTGCCACGTCTTGTCCAAGTACAAAGCCTTCGGCATCCTCAACGGCACAATTGGCGCGCGTTTGGCGCCCGATGCCGCGGCCGAGGCTTCATACGCGTATGTGCGGCCGTACGTCGCCAAGAAGAAGGCGCCGGGAAAGCCGCAGCGGACACTGCGCGAGCTGAGCGGGCTACAGGGGTGGGTGGCGGATTTGAGTTGCGCATGGCTGCGGGCGCTTGGAGTGAGGTCAGGGACGGGGATGGAGAGGTGAGTAGGGACACATCTGTGTGTTGTTTGTGTGCGAAGAACGTGCTAATGTGTATTTTGTGGCAGGCTAATCATGAGCACCGTGCAGCAATCTGACAAGGGCCTCAAGGCTGCGGCGTGCTATCCCGGTTTTCTTCTCGCTCGCGAGGCATGGGCGGCAATGAATGAAACGTTGTTGCTCGTGGACCGGCACTTCTGCGCCGACGGAGGTAAGTCTACAGCCCTGCAAACCTACCTACCTACAGCAGCCACATTGCATCGCCGCAGGATTAACACGGCACAGGATTCCATTACAATCTCTTCACCGCCACCCTCACCCTCGCGTCTCCTCCTCCCAGCGCGCGCCCCAGCCACACCGCCCCGCTCGGCCTCCACGTGCGTTGGACCATCCAGCATGACTCCCTCTCCTCCTCGTCCTCGTCCGACAACACCCGCCCCCACCTCGTGATCATGGGCAACAGCATCGCCGGCGGACATGCCGCATACATGTCGCGTATCGCCGCAGCAGCAGCGCCGCACCACTGCACGCCTGACCACCCCTGCGCAGACAACGAGGCCCACGTGCGAGATGTGCTAGCCGCAGATCACAACAGGCTTGCACTAGCGTTTTTTGCGGTGCACAAGGCGTATGCATTCCCCGTTGGTTCGGATGATGGGGAGATTGCTTTTGTGGAGGGGCAAATGGATGCGTGGGAGGAGCAGGGTGGTGTTTTGGGGGTAGACGATGACGCGGCGAGAGTGGCGTTGAAGGATGTTTGGAAGATTAGCAGGGAAGAGGCGGATGAGATGGGGACGGGCGAGGGGGGCATGCAGACGTTTGCGTGGCAGCATGCATTTCTGGAGACGCGGGCTCGAGTATTGAGAAGGGTGGAGAGGTGGGTTGAGAAGGGGGAGTTGATGCCGTTGCATTGTCACGACCAGCACTGAACAATCCGGCAAGTAGATATAACGCTACAGTATGTACTGTAGCATTGTCGTAGCTAGAGTGTGGATAACTGAGAGCCAGCTGTGTACCTAGCTTAACTGACTAAGCGAACTCTGAGTTGCCAATATAATGAGTTCCACCCTCGCATCGCCATCCGTCACCATCCCTCCTACAGGCGTAACCTGCTATACAGCGGCCCATGGCTTGTAATCGAGCCTGGATATGATATAGCTCAATTCGACTGGTGTCATAGCAGGATGGGAAGCGGATCAGAAGCGGAGCGCCGACAGCGATGCTCATTATCAACAACTTGATGAGACAGTTAGATCACTGCGCAAATAGAGAGGCGCGCGGAGTGCTACAAAAGGAGCTGGGTGGAAGCGAGCCGATGCATCACTTCGTCGGATGGCCCGGGCTCACGAATACAAATGCGGTTGCAGTCAACGGCATCGCTATGGTCCTCATTATCATTGTAGAGGCCGTTTACGTCCCGTTGGACGGCACACACTTGCGCTGTATGTTCGTTTATTGTACTGAGTGATGTGATAGGCTTAGCATGTGGAGGGGTACTATTATCTGCCACGTTCTTGCTAGTCGGAGGCGGGGGAGTAGTGGCTTCTGGCTGTTGTGCTTGAGGAGCATTCACGGCAAGTTGGGGCATGCCTGCGCTATACGGTTTGTTAGTACACCTCTCTGATTGCACTTTGATTATTTCCCGCGCGCGATGTTCTACAATATTGTAAGATAGCAACCGCGATTCGTCTTGGTATTTTGGTGAAGTGAGGCTTGTTATGTTTTCATATTGTAGGCGTTGTTCCGTAACGGAATCAAACGTAGCGCTCTGAAGCCGTGGAGACTAGAGAAGTCAGGCCCACTAGCCGTGCAGTATTTCCTTATTCCGCTATCGCGAATGTCTACTTTGAAGTCAAGAATAACATACAAGACGGTGGAAATGAGGCTAAAAGGGCTGGGGCAAAGCTGGCTGGAGCAAAAAAGGACCGATATGACATTGACTCGGTGAGGATAAAGTTGAGCAAAACAGATGGTAAAATTATCACTGAGGCCATGCGGTCAGCCATGCAATCAGCCGAGAGCCGGAAGCGGGATGTTGAAGCCAGATTGCGGGCATTGGAAGAGACCGTCACGATATTTGAGCAGATGATTTAGGCTGGGCATGACTCTGTTCGGCTTACAGTACGGATGGGAAGAAAATTTCGGAATCGGTAGGTATAGTAATATGCAATGACTCTCCATCTTTCTAGCAATTGTAACCGCCCTGACACGATGCGTGGTAGAACTGGAATACGACGAGTCAGGGAAGTATTTCCGAGGATTCATGCAGCATTGCCACGTCAGCAAGGTTGCTTTGGAGTGGCGGGGCGATGGAGTAGCTCAAGTCAAAGTCGTACTGAGATGACAATAAAATACACAATGTTTTCGCCATCTACTTACTTCGAGCTGGCAGAGACGCGAGCAATTACAAAATGGCAAAGACGACGAGGGGCTTGAACAAGTGTATTGATAACTACAGCCTACAGTGTCACGGTGCTTGCTCTCGCTGTCAGATTGCTAACGAAGCATGTAGTGCAGTCAGGTAGAAAAAATGCAATGAATGCACAGATAGAGTATAATTCAGTAATTATGACTAAATACCACGATCCTGTCTACGAGGAGCGGGTATGGTGTGTATTACGGAAGTAATTAGTACTATTGACCAGTCATCCTGGTCATTCTTGGGTGATCAGTCCTGGTCTGGATTCTACCAGGTGATGCAATATTTCGGTTACTAGTGACGATAAAACGTTAGCATATTTCAGAGGCCGCATTAAGGATGAGGACACACACTTACCAGTCGTTTACCGAGTCCAGCAACCGTTGATGTTTGCGAACAAAGAAGTAAGGGCATGAGCACCACAAGTGGTCATGCCCGCAACAACAGCAGGCGTGGCGACACCAGCGGTGGAGGCCATGGCAGCATAAGCGGCAGCAGCACAGACGCCAATCTCGGACGCCGCAGCAGCACCGTATCCAATGGCACAAGCGCGGCAGTTGCCCGGGTGCGTGGCACCGGCGCAGCTGCTGACGAAGGACTGAGTCTTGGTGCTGGCCTTGGACTTGTCGGTGGACTCATCCGCCTCGATGACTGGGTTCGTAGCACGGGTCTGAAGATTGGATTCGGCGGCCGTCATGTTGTTGGCCAGGTAAGCATCCAGGTCCAGGTCGCCGTAGCAGCGGATGGTGGGGAAAATGGATACGAGCTCTTGTTCGAGAGAAGTGCAGTAGTCGGAGCGCACCGACACCAAGGATGCATCGACACTGGCGTACGTGCCCGCGTCGTCGGCGATGGCGCACTGGATTCCAGGAAGGAGGGCGTCAATGTGCGGGTAGACGCCCTTCCAAAGCTCCTGAATGTTCCCAGGCTGGAGGACCTCGGTGCGGAACGCGTCAAAGTCGAGAGTTTCGTTGCGAGCAACGGGGACCACCACCGCGGCGGCGCTGGTGGCCAGGAAACTGAGAGCGAGAGTAGGGAGATGCATTTTAATGAATGGAGAAGAGATGCGAAGCTGATCTGAAGAGAGAATGTGTTGAGCTGTGCAGCTGAGAGTACTCTGCACAGCCCTATTTATACTTGTTTTCTGCCATATTTTCCGCTACGCCGTGTCAAAAGTTCGACGATCCGTTCGGCCATTTCGGAAGTTCTGTCAGGTTTGCCTGCTGCTTACTCGAACACCATGCCTCACAATGTCGTCTGCTACGGCAGATGATGGAGTAGGTATCACAGACAGAACACGAGATGTTCTTACGGCCTCCCGTTTGTCTAACTTGTTATAGAAAGACATGCAGAACAGGCGAGGCGCGGATGAGAAGAAGGGCCGAGATTTCGGTTTCGTGGTCCATGCTCAGGGGCTCCTACTCGATGTTCGTCCCACCCAGCCAACCAGAATGCGAATCTGGCTCGTGTGCCCTACAGCGCCCCGTACTGGGCCAATGGGAAGTCTGCGAAGAAATCATTCCACTCTCACACCGACCGTTTTTATCAGGGCCCCACCGAACTCATCGACCACAACACGAAGCTTGGCTCTTGCTTGTCCAAAAGCTTAAGCCCTCAACGCCACCAGGGCTCTAATAGGCAAAGAACAGCAAAGTGCAAGCGTCAGTTATCGACGCTTTGTTGCTTACAGGTTCGCGTACTGAGTCTTGGGTACTTATTGCTCTTTTAGATGTTGACTCGTTTGACCGGCATTACCCGTCCATGTATTAGTAGTTGCCGCTGTTCTCCAGTCCCACATCACTTGGACAACGGCAAAGACAAACACTTGATGCGCCGGAAGAAAGACTCGGAGTTCAGCCGGTAGTTTTATGAAGTCGAGTCACTTGTTCCAGAATGGCGGTCATCGTCACGAAGTTGGTCAACTCGTTCGAGATTCCATCCACGTATAAATATTGATAGTGAGTACCTCTGTTCTCTCACCACCGCTTCAAAGAACTTTCATTACATTCCAACTACCACCTTCGTTCGCCAGTTGCTCACCGCATCGCCAACTTCCATCACAATGCAATTCACCACTGCCTTCTTCGCCCTCACGGCCGTCTTGGCCAGCCGGTGAGTCAACAAACATTTGGGATTTACTGTCTTGTCCCCATCTGACTGACTCAGCATCGGGCTCACTGCTGCGCGCTCGCATGGTCATTGCGCTTGCCAGGCCGCTTCCGGCGGCGAGGTTGATGCCGTCGTGACTGCCATGGTTGTTCAGTACAACCCCAACAAGTGGGAACTTGGTTAGTCCAACACACACAGAAACAGTCCGATTCGATCTGCTAATGCCTGCATCACAGCATCTTCTCCTTCGACCCTGGAGCAGGGTGCTCACTTTGCTGGAACTTACGTATGTCACGTTCTCCGGCTCTTACATCGCATGCATACTGATATTTTCCACAGGCTATCGCCAAGAACAATGGAAAGATTGATGGAGACGACTTTTTCAACCAGTGCAAGGAGTACGGTGCCGCCGACTCCACTTGCTTCTAAGCTTTTCTCTTATTATCTAGCTAGGAGTTTCTTGTTAGCTACTTAATCTCTATTCGCTTCGGGAGCTTTCCTGCCGAGATTACTGATTCCTGCCCTGGGCTTGCCTCGGCACCTCGGGCTTAGGACTGCTGCAACGTGATCCTTGCATTTACTGTGTATATCTGGACTTGACACTACGTAGATTGAAACAGGAGTCGATACACGTATCCATTGATTTTCAAGCGTAAGAGTCATTGGGAACAAAAATAAGACCTCTACTTTTTCCCCCAGAACAATTCTACAAATTCTCGCGGTACAGTAACCCGATCCATCCGCGCTGTAGGAGCAAAGACGTCTAATCTCAGAGGCTTGACGGTCTTGTTGCAAGTTACAGCGCACACGCCACCGGGTACACGTTGTGCAAAGCTTCGTAATTGCTCAATCAGGCCTACCAGCTTTCGTAACGCTTCCTGGTTACACTGCTCCCATTCTGTGAAGTTTGCGCCATCATTCTTGACTGCTACAGTGATGAAGTTGCCTTGTTCATGGGAGCCGGTGATCAGATACGGGGTACGGCCAAACCAGAGCTGTGGCTTTACTATTGCAGCAGATAGGGGCTTCCGGCCAACAGTCTTGATCTCAGCTAGTTTCGATGCAGGGACGTCGTGGCCGGCGTGTATAGTAGCTGGGATACTACGGCAGGACTGCGAATGCACACTTGTCGTTCCCGCAGGCACTACAGGATCGGACAGTGAGAGATTGTTGAGTAGTGCCTCTGGTGTCTCTTCTTCATCGGTAGCACCATCATCGCACCAGGCGTCGACCTCGCACTGTATAAGGCAGTTTATATTTCCGAGCCTGTACTGAACTGCGCGATGATGGCCGTTGGCATCCTCAAGTCCTGGTGCGGCCTCGGTGAAGGCGAACTCGAAGTTGTGCCCCCACCCACCATCCGATGACGTTCGTTTGATTTTCTGTTTCAGGCTGCGTTCGCGGCGTGTCATGACCAGGGTGTTCCCTACTAGTGAGAGATCGATGCGAAAATTGTCCGGAGCCCTGTCACAGGCGAAGTCAAAAAGCTTGCGGAGGCTATTACGGTTGGCGAGAAGGTCGACCGTGTCGAAGCTGAACGATGGGCGCATGATCCGAATTGCACTGAGAAGAGGGGAAAAGGGACAAATTGGGCACCTTGACCCGTTCTGGTCAATGTAGAATGTCCCCGAGTCTTTTGGGACTGTTTTTGGCAGTGCATGCTGAGTCCATTTACGGGGTGCGCCTGGCTGATATTAGCTCTCGAAGCGTAGTCGCATCTGTCAGCCCACTGAGTACCTGGTACATAGATTGTCGGCTTTGAGCCTTTAGCCCAACTGAAGGAGCACACGAAATCGCATCCAGATTGACTCTCTACAACTGACTCCACGGGACGTAATGAAGCTGACTGGATGCTCCCGATGCGCCTGCCAGTATCCCGACGAATCCAGGAAGTCTTCCAAGCAGGCTTGTTAGAAGCATTCCTGTTCATTCTACCATGTTTCGTTTCAGCTGCCTGCGGAGGAACGAGATTCTTTTGCTGACATCCATTGACTTTGGATGTTGCGGGTTTCGGTGAGCCTGCACTGTCGCTTCTTTCACGTAAGGCAAATGGTGGAGCTTGCATGCTGCGGTCTCTCGCGTTTTTGTTGTGGTTGTTGAAATACGTATTACATGAGGCGAATGGGTAAGTGGATGAAGAGTTGATGGGTTGAACTAGAGCCGAGGGCAGCCGGCGTGTTTATCTACCTACCCGACTGCCAAGACGCTAGCCCTGTTGGTCATCAGATCACGAGACAATTGACCCAGCTACGTATTCTGATACTCAGTAGGAAGCGCGGTGAAGATTCTACTATTAATCGTTTGCTATAACGTAACGCCCTAATATCACGCGCATATGTTTAGACTTTTATGTTTCCCCAAAGTTTGGGAATGTGGGCTAATTGATCGTGAACGTGCTGTTGCGGCGCAGCCTCCGCGGAGTAGGAAACAACAGGATAAGGGAATTAGTGGGGTCTACGAGCCGGTATCGGACAAGACCCACGTGGCGCCTAGAATTGATCTCGTCACTCCCGCGAAGAAGTAACAGATCAAACATAGTTGAGAGGAATTAATCCCATTGATCTCGCTTAAGGACAACAGATCAAAACATCCATCGCTAAAGAAGTAGATTGTATGAATCCAAGGCTTTTAAGGCTTGAGAGTCACATTCAGTAAAACGTGGAACACGATTGAAAGAGCTGCAGCAACTTCCTCTGCTGGAGAAAGGTTAGAAGCAAGCACTCGCAATCAGTAAAGTCTCGCATAAGTTACACAAGCTGCTATAGTATCCAAACCACGAACCACACGTCACACATCTTGGAAGTAGAAACCAAACGTATTACATTAGCTGATATAACACCCCAATAGCTGCGAAGCACCTTTGGGACGTACGCGACACGATATTAAACCGGATCCCCGCCAGAGCGGCCCTCCGTCACCTCTGGGAAGGTCAATGGCTCCTTGAATCTTGGAATCGTTGAGTCCGGCCTAAGCACCGATACAGTGGCACTGACATCCACCCTCAATCCTTCCACCCTCGCCGGATCCTTTTGCTGACGGTTGACCTGTGCACAGATATCAGCCAACATCCGAACTCCGAAGACTCACAGCCGCCACATCAACTGCATGGGTGGGAGAGACTGTGGGCAAAAAACTTACATCAGCAACCCTCCACACCAACTCCTTCTTCAAGAACGGCACGACATCACGCGGGCTCAAGCTCTGCAGCTGACCCGCCTCAATGTAGTCGAGCAGAATCGGCTTGATTGCAGTTGTGCCAGTCACTCGATGCCCATGTTGCTCCTGAAGCGCGCAGTTATCGCACGCCTCCCTCGGCGCGCTGAAGATATGCGTAGTTCCGGCAAGAATGTGGGAGGACTGCCACTGGTTGGGGTTGGAAGGGATTTCGCTGCGGGGTCCGAGGAAGAAAAAGATGGTGAAGGAACCATTGAGAGCGGTCCTGTAGGCGCACTTAGTTAGTACGAAAAATGGTGAGGGTAAAGATACAGACTGACTTGTTAACTACAGTGTCGATGTACCACTGCAGCACCAACTTGCTGCCCTCAGGCTCATCCTTTAAGATCTCATGGCCACGGTCAAATGATGGCACATGCTCAGGCCCACCAGGGGGGCCATGGCCTGCGCTGGCGGTAGTGGCGAAGCCAGTGTTGGCCACCCTACCGGCGGCCTCCATAATCTTCGGCGCTGCTTGCCTGACTGCCCCCCCTACTAGTTCTGCCGCTGTGTAATCGAAGACCTGCGCGGCCACTACCTGTTGGTTGTTGGGCTGCATGTCTTTGGGAACGACCAACTTGTTGTCCATCCGCGCCTTGCGCGGCAAGCTCCAGCGGTAATTTGCATCAAAGTCTTTCAAGATGGCTTGGCGATTGGGTTTGTTGACCAGGTCGGGATAGGTGTAGCCGAAGTCGGTGTGATTGCGGGCGGTGGCGCTCGTCCACATTTTGCCGGATGCTTTGTCGATGTAGCGGAAGGGGTAGAGATTGGTTGCAGCGTTGGGATATGAGGGTCCATCGGTGATGTACTTATCATGCGTCGCTTGCCAGACTGCAAAGATGCGGTCGATGTTGCTGTATTAGTTCAGTATCGGCTCATGTGAGTCAGTCGGAATGAGTAGGAGACTAACCAGTGGTGCAGCCAGAACACCGGGTCGAACGCCGCAACTGGGATCCGGGACATATGTCCTGCGCCTCCGATGTGGCCATGGTATGTGTCATGAAAGCCCTCAAGCGAGCCGCTCGGTGCATTTGGGTCAGGCTCCTCCAGTGAAGGCCCCGTCGTTGCAAAGTAGTCGTACACGCCGTAATGGGGCACCTCGAGCAGGTCGAGCATGGTAATCACCATCTGTTCCCGCGCTTTGTTCAGCACGGTGTCGAGCTCCTCGAAGTTGTCTTTGCCGTTGCCGTGATCGAGAGCGTGGCGCACAGTGTGATCTTGGGGGAGGGTGAAGGTTGCCCCATCCGCCTTTGCACTATCTTCCATCACTTGCCATTGGGACAACGGAATGTTGCCTTTCTTGGGGAACCGGAAGCTTTTGAGCGGGTTGTCCATCGGCTCCAGTTGCTCTTCGTTGCCAGGCCTGTAGACCATCAACTTGTCTTGCTTCAGCACCTCAGGAAGGCGGAAGTCGTATGGAAAGGTGGCCTTCGTGCCATTAGGACGAGTGAAAACAACGTCCTTCTGCTCGCGCGGTTTGAAGTAGTCCCAGTAGGGCAGGCGGAACTGCTTCGCTGCTTTGAGGTACTTTTGGTCTTTGAATTCTTTCGCGATCTCGCCAGCAGTGTTGTAGATCGTTTGCTACGTTAAAAGGTTAGATATACGATTCTATCACGGTAGGGATAAATGTGTTACCTCCATCATAGCGAGATACGGCCGGTGCCACGTTGGGAAAAGATTGAAGCCGTGAGTACAGTAGCCACCAACTTCTTCCGTGTCGCCTTGGACATTGTCCCAGTTCTCGGTGGGGAGACCATGTATTCCTGAACATGTTAGGCAGAAACCCCAAGAATTGACTGATGGCATGGAGAGTACCAGCTATTTTGAAGTACCCCATCTTGCTCTGGTCTTGTTGAAGACGTTCGAGAGCCAGCAAGAATAAATTGAAGACATTAGGATGCTCGACGAGAAGCTCATCGATTTCAAGTCGTTGTTCGACATTCGAGAGTGACTTGAGGCCGATGACGACACCGTCATCCTGGGCGGTTTCAAGGGTGGTGGGAGCCATGATATGTAGTACGAGGACGAATGTCGTCAATGCAATCGTGGTCGTCAAACTTGAATCCGGGCCTGGCGAGCGCCGACCTTTATAGACCTCTGAAAAGGCCAGGCCATCGGCGTATCGCAAATCATGTGCGCTGTATGCCACAGGCAGGGATGTGGCATCCTTTGCTCAATGGGTGACTCACGCTTCCTGCGTTTGGAACGAAAACTTCAACTAGATCGGATTACATCTCCTCCCTTCCTACTTCACGTGCAAAACACTAAGAAGCTGGTTTCAGTGTTGTAGTGACTGGTTGCAAGTTCGTCTGAGAGTCTGGATGGAGTTTCTGGCTGGCTGCAAACGATTTCAGCTGACCGCAAGCAATTTTAAGAGGTGGCAACTGTTTGAAAATTTAGGTGGGAAAGAAGGGAAAAACCAATTAGAGAGGCTGGTTCCATTGGTCCCTTGTCCCTTGTAATACTCGTAATAGTGCTCATAAGTAATGTATTTCATAGATGCTGACCAGGGCCCAAAACAAGGTTTTGCGGGGGCGGGACCCCACCCGGCCCGTACCGCTCCCATGGATTGCAAGCGCGACATGTTGGTGCGAACCGTAGCCAGAATTCAATTGTTCTAGCTAGGAGGAGTAAACCTTACCCCACATGCTGAAGCTTGTACCTACTCTTTTCTAACAGCATCCTACATGTATGTACCAATACGTTTCCGATCCACACGGACGACCGACGCTGAGCATGATTTCGGTGAGAATCTGGCGCAGCGGAACGATGAGCCGGGCACCGCGCTGTAACAGCTTGCTGCCGAAGACGGTGAGCTGCTCGACGTTGCGGACCGCGATGGACGAGGTCGAGACCCACAACGTTTCGCGGTACACGGATGTGAGCACGGGGCTTTCGCCCAGCTTCTCACACAGCTCCCGGCTGGATGTGGAGACTGCGAGGGCAGGTCGTATCTCCGCGGGGACGGAACCGAGCAGGCTGGAATCGAACAGCAGGTGGGCCAGCATCCAGAACGAAAGCTTCCAGGCATTTCCGTTGATCCTGAAAAACGGTTTACAGTCAGCAACTACTGTCTCGGATGCAGGCGAGCCTATGCGCCAGGCTACTCACACCCAGAACGTCAGGCAAAGGCTTGCAGCAATGTCTCGGGCCTGGACGCCTAAACGCCCGAGGCCCGCATATCCGCCTCCATGGTAAAGACCATCTATACAGCATTGGCCCGCTCCTCCTGCGGGAGCTCGAAATACCTAGTCAGTACTATCTTAACCCTCTCCTGCGCAGCCAGCATGGGCGTAGACCAGAAAGGAGGGAGCCGGTACACAAGCTTCCAGCTCTAATCATCGAAGCACGAGAAATTATCCAGCAGCCCTACGTCGATTTTTTCGGGAAAAGAATTGCTAAAGAAGGCTCTAGAACCACTCTATGCACCGTCCTGCGGAGCTACGCTACATTAAACGACACATTCTTGTACTCCAAAACTTCTCTATTCATCTATCGGACGTGACTCTTCGCCGTCGTGTTGAAGTGAATCTTCATCCCGTACGCCCGCAAGTCCAAAAACCACTACATCGGGCTGTTGCTGCCGCGGACTATGAAATCGTCCATCATCTCGTTTACCCACGCTTTACTAAACTCAGCTTAACATTCAGAGGACCCTTCTCCCATAGGGTAAATGTCTTTTAGTCGTCGATCCAATTAGTACTGTCCCGCTGTAGCGTAAGGTCGAAGTTCCACAGCATTCTGCAGAGGATGATCCTCATCTCCGCAAGCGCAAGGCTGCAGCATAGTCAGTCGGTATAAACAGTCAAAGCCGATCAGATGACTTACTTTCTACCCAAGCAGTTCCGGGGCCCAAAAGAGAACGGCTGTAGCACATCCTTGCTGTCGTGCTCGAGCCGCTCATCGTCGAGCCATCTTTCTGGCGCGAAGCTGTCGGGCTCGAGGAAGTTTCGCTCGGACCTATACGACGACCAGTAGTAAATACTAACTAAGGTGCCCGCTGGAACAAACTTCCCGCAGACGACTTCTCCCGGGGCCGGTGTGGTGCGCGGGAACGCGTTGGGAACTAGCGGGTACATGCGGAGTGATTCTTCCAGGACGGCGTTAAGGTACGGCATCCCGGCTGTGCTCTGCATGCTGATATCCTTTTCCTTTTCGAACGTGGAGCGAATTTCCTACTTCAGCTTTTCGAACACCCTCTCGTTCTACAAAAGAAAATAGGTGGCGCCAGACAGCAGCGTGGCCGTGGTCTTACTGCCAGCAATGATGAGAATCTGAGCGCCGACTTTGAGCTCGTCCACCGTCATGCCTTTCTCGTTATTCTCGCGGAGGATGTAAGACACTTGGGGGTCAGCAGTTGCCATGCTCGAGGGCATTCTGCACTTACTGAAATCAGGCCGTGCGCTTCCTTCTTGCAGTCTCTTTTCGATTCGGGCCGAGCTGAATTCGTACTAGTACTTGCGGTCCTCAATCAGCTTCTTCGGCGTAAAAAAGAGGAAGATCTCCTTAATCGGTAACGGGAAGCGACGTGCGGCGCGCATGTAATTTCCGCTCTTAAGGACGGAAAAGAGAACGTCGATCCAGCGATGCCAAGTCGCATCTCTAAGGTATCCAAATAGTTCTCCGAAGGCCAGGTCACCAATGATGTCAAAGGTGGTGAAGTTGTACCATCTAACAATGTCGACAACGCCGTCGTCCTACGGGTGCGCGCGGCCCGACAGCTGCTTAATAAACAAGTCGACATATGTCGTGATGACGCTCTCCTATACCTTCAAGGCCTTCTCGGAGAAGGCGTGGGACTGAAGACGGCGCATGCGGCGGTGGTCATCGTCGTTTGCAACGATGATATGAGGGGAGCCGTTCCCAAGTGGATTGAAGAATGATATGTCTTTCTCGAAGCTCCCCGGCCGGTTCCGCGTCCTGTGCCCTGGAGTCGTGTTACCATTTGTCGCGAACGAAGTCAATGTTATGCCTACCACAGATATCCCTCCATGCTTGTGCCGAGTTGTAAGACAATTCGTTGGGTGCGATGCGAACGACTTCTCCGTATTGCGCATGCAACTCGTTGAGCTTCTTGTGAGTGACTCCCCTAAGGTCCCAGAAGATTAAATATATTCGCGTCGCTCGCGCCAAAGGCGGTCCAGGATAATATCGCAAAGGGTGGAAGAAGAGGTTGTAGATGCATTTAGCGAAGCCGAGAAATGCAGACTGCAACAATCAATATCAGCTCGAATGCAACCCATGGTGAATGGCAAACTTACAACGGTTGCTGCGGACGCAATAAAAGCTGCCAAATTCGCCATTTTGATGCTACGCCTTGCTTGTGTAAGATCTAGAAACGTCGCCAAGATACGTGTTGAGACAAAAGTGTTCGTGAGTTTGGGCTTAAGATCCAGCGCAAATGATTCACGCTTCTTATATACGAGCATACATTTCTCCCGCAAATCGAAGGGGTGTGGGTCTATCCCTACTTGTTGTCTATTATTGTCGGTTTTTTAGCACTTTAAATTCGGCCGCGGAGTAGTTGGCCCGTTGATAATAGAGTTCGGCCGAGAACAGTTTCCCTTAGCCGCTGAATTGAATTTACCGAACCTGCTACGCAGGATTTGCGGATGCATTACGTCTTTACAGCCCGTACCGTTCCCAAATACAAGAACGTGGCAGTAAAAGCGGTGGAAATCACAAAGAACTATTACATTCGGCATATACGGCAAGTCGCAAAATTAGCTTTGGTCATCCGCTCAGACCGGTGAGCAGGCCCTCAACTTGATGTGCGTTTGTTTCGACCACCGAGCAACTGTTGGACTAAGGGCATAAGCCGCAGTAGTGTATGCGGAGTCAAAATGCGGGATTACACTCGGCTTCTGGGCCGGCCTCTGTGCCGACCCGCGCGGCGGCTGATAGACGGCAGGCCGGAAGAACGACCGTATTTTGATATTACCAAGTCTGCACCTGTTAAGCTCTCGCCTGTGCGACATCTCCGCATTCGTGGCTAATACAGTCAGGGCTGTATGATATCCACGTTGTCATTGTCGGGGCAGGCATTGGCGGTCTCACAGCCGCTCTGGCTCTCGCAACGGCGGGGCACCGCGTCACAGTTGTTGATGCAGTAAAGGAAGTTGCAGAAGTAACCACATTTGCATGCAGGGAACAAATACTAGATTGACAAAGCACAGATTGGCGCAGAAATCCGAGCCCCCCTTAATTCTTCCCGGGCAATTGACGATGCTGGGGCCCTGCGCACCACTCTCGGCGTTTTCAACAGCATTTCGAAAGCTTCCAGCGAGTATCAGCGGCAACGAGCTCCGCGAGCGGGGTACATTGTTCAAGAATACGGGCGTGCTACAGGAGTGGATACACCTGTACGATGGCTCTGCGCGGGATAGGCGGGATGAACTGATGCGGCATGACGACAAGATGAATCCCGTCTTCTCATGGGGTCATACACACAGGAAGAATTGGTTGTTTCGCCATGATCCGCGAAACATTTTCACTGAGGGAGACCTTCAAAGTCCCAAACTACCGCCATTACCTCCGCCCGAGGAGTCCGTTTACATTAAGACAGCTTCGTCAAATCTTTAAGGTTACTCCAGACACCACTGTTTAAGCAGTCTTTTATTACCTAGTGTAGATGTACGATGCCTTAAAATGGCATAAATCTCGATGCACTAAGAAAAGAAAAGCACGCAACAATCTTCCCCTCTAGCCTCTCACGTGGCGCCTCTCGACTACGAGCGGAAGAGACTTTAAACGTATCATCCCCGTACTTCTCAAGCTGTCAAGACACGCCTCTGCGTCGTATTGTGGCGCTGGTTTGAACTCAAACTCGTGCAGAATTGTGGTGACAAATTTCCGCATCTGGAGCAGCGCACAAGGCTTGCTAGCGCAGTTGAAGTTGAAGAGGGCGGATTCAAAGGGCGCGAATGCAGTAGGGATGTGTCTGAAACCTTCTTGACGTTGAGTCTCTGGCAGCCACCTTTCGGGCATGAACCTCTCTGGCTCAGTGAACTTTCGCTTGTCTATATGCATTACGTAGGTGCCTGAGAGAACACTTTCCAATTTTTAGCCGCAGATTCGAAGAGATGAAGGAGTATCATTGCCGCTAACAATGACAGGATCTATGGGAGGGCCAAGATACCGTCGGAGAGGGTGAAAGAACATTGTGTAGACCAGATTACTGGAGCTCAGTGAGGCCAGGTAGAGCGTTTTGAAGATTGCGAAGCTTAAGGCTAAGACACCGTAACTGATCGGAACTTGGCTGGCCCAGAGATAAATAACAAAAAAGGCTTGGAGCGACGGTAGAGAGGCAGCAGACCTCTTAATAGTAGGATCGTAACATCGAAAGACATGATAAGACAAAAGGCCGAGAATCAATATAAAATAAACAGTTCGACCGTGCATTGTAACAGAAATTAAAGTCGGATGGATAGCTCACAAGTTATAACTGTTAAATCGACCTGATCGATAGTATACTTGTTCGGTATGGCAACGAGTCCGGTGCCCCGCATTAAATCCCATCTCGTACGAATAGGTTTCGCGTTTGAGGATTTAAATTGGCGGCTTGGGGCCGGGGAAAACCCAACATCAAGTCCATGTCAAAGCAGATGTTTCATTGGGGAATTTCGGGCGAAAGTTTTCGGCCGGCACCGAGTCGATGAGCGGAGACCGGGATTCATGCCAATATAGTGGCTCTCGGGGCCGACGTTCTTGTGAGGGGCGTTAGTTGAGGGTGGAGGGAGAAGGCGCGCCTTACCCAGGTCAGGATCTGGACGAAGTCAGGTTGGGGAGACATGTTGAGGATATTCTGCATTCGCTAGGAGAGAGTGTCCTTGCCCAGCGCGGTAGAAGTTGGCGTCGTACTAAAGGCATTTGTCAGTGCATGCCTAATTGATTGGACGCATTTTAAATACGGCATTCTTGTACAGGAGCATAATCAGACCATTCATGGCCGTCAATTTCTCTTCGTGGGCAGTGGTTGTCAGGTTGGCGTCCTTGGCGATGCTGGGAATCCCGCTGTCCCCTGTCGCTGACCAGGTGTACTCCCAGCTAAGAATTCTATACGGAAATCTCCACCGCTCAACTCGGCATTCATCCTCCTTGTCATGATCAAATTTATGCTGTTGCCAAAATCCTCGAGATAAAGGGATAAAACTTTGAAAGCAATAAATAAAGACATATGAAATTGTGATTCGACTACTACAGATTCCGCACCGAGAACAAGATGTCTTCGGATTGATTCACCCGAACCCGCCAACCACTAAGACCAAACCACTCTTCTGGGGGCCGATCGTCCCGGATAATGCCGCCACTAATTTTCCAGGCGGCCTATCGGCATCTTCGAGTCTAGAGGTTTTTCTTCACCCCTCTTCTGCTCCCATCGGTTCCTTCACCATCACTTCTCACCTTCGAAACTTCACGGGCTCAACAAGGCCTTTGGCCAAGTCTCAAGTAGCCACGCACAGTATGGTAAATGTATGGAAGATGAACAAAGCAGAGAAATCGACACTTTGTGCCAAGTGAATTCGACTCGTATCGTGCGTTGCTTTTAAGCATATCGGAGCACGTCATTCGTCGTCTTTATGCGTCTTTTGGCACCATGGGCTCGGGAACTGCCTTTGCTTCCCCGCATTCTCCGCTTCCAGACACCTGCGCCGTTCCGCGAGAATGCAGGGAGTTGAGAGCGGCGTGGTTGGCCGGCCCGTCATGTCCGCGGATATAAGACGCTCTCGGCCGAACAGTCGGCCGAAGACAGTTTCCCGACAATGCTGCTGTTGCGAACACCATGCTTCGCGCGAACAGATTGACTCACGGAAGGGAGCCGCAAATGTGAGATCTGTAGATACGGTTGATTTCTTGGCTAGGCAGAAGCATGAGTCCGAAGTCTGTAGCCGCGCGCTGCGCAGCACAAGGCGGCGCCATTCCCCATGCGGACACTGCATGCTGAATAAAACCGGCTGGCGGGAATATCGACGGTGGCACCGAATTTCCCCTCTCTCTTTAGATCGAAAGCAGCCGTCGCAATGGAGGCAGCGGGAGCAGACATCGAGTCCGAACGGCCAGCTGCCGTTTCGCACTGGCGACTCCTGGCCGATCAGGCGCTTCTGACGCCTCACGTTCTGAGCTCGAGTTTCCACGGGCAGGGAACCGAAACGGAGCCGTTCATCGTCGAATGGGATGACCACGATCCCAGGAACCCCCAAGGCTGGGCTAAGTGGTACAAGTGGATCATCACCGTGGTGGTCGCCATTGCTTCGCTAGCCGTGTCCTTTTGCTCGTCCGCATATTCTGGAGGTACGTTGGTGTAGATCTGGTTCCAACTTGGTGTGGCTAACTAGTGGCAGGCATAGCGGACATGATGCGAGACTTTGACATCAGTCGAGAGGTTGCCGTGCTCGGCCTGAGTCTGTTTGTCGTTGGCTTCGCTTTAGGTCCTCTGCTCTGGTCAGTACGATCTCGTGCAGAGATACGCTCGAAGCTGAATGAAACACCAGGGCTCCGCTCAGCGAACTGTATGGCCGACAAGTCATCTTCTTCGTGACCTTCGGCGCCTATGCCGCTTTCAACGCTGGTGCCGCGGGCTCTCAGAACACCGAGACCGTGCTCATACTGCGGTTCCTCGCTGGCTCGTTTGGATCATCGCCGTTGACCAATGCCGGTGGAGTCATTGCGGACATGTTCGAGGCAGAAGAGCGCGGACTGGCCATGTGCGTGTTTAGCATCGCTCCCTTTATGGGTCCAGGTCAGTTCGCCGCTGTCGTCGCAGCTGTAGCTTTGCTGACAATGCGCAGTTTTAGGACCAGTCGTTGGCGGATTCCTCGGAGAGACTGCAGGCTGGCGATGGCTCGAAGGGCTGATGGCCATCTTCTCTGGAACGCTCTGGATCGTCGGCACTCTGGCCGTCCCCGAAACATACGGCCCCGTCATTTTACGAAAGCGCGCAGAGAAGCTGGCTCGAATGACTGGCAAGCACTACCGAAGCATAGTCGACCATGATAGAGGTAAAATGACCTTCCAGAAGGTGCTGAACAAGAGCATGCGTCGGCCGTGGGCTTTACTCTTTAGGGAGCCCATCGTTCTGCTCTTGACCATCTACCTGGCTATCGTCTATGGCATTCTGTACATGCTGTTCGGCGCTTTTCCTGTGGTGTATCAGCAGCACCGACAATGGACCCAAGGGGTGGCTGGGCTACCCTTCCTTGGAGTGGCCATCGGCATGGTGGTCTCGATGCTGTACAACATCTTGGATAACAGGCGCTACATACAAGTCGTGAAAGCGAACCATGGTCATGCGCCCCCAGAGTCCCGGCTCCCGCCTAGCATCGTCGGCAGCTTTGCGTTGCCCGTTGGCCTCTTCTGGTTTGCATGGACCAGCGGTGCCTCGGTGCCTTGGCCGGCCAGCGTTGCAGCAGGCATCCCTTTTGGATTCGGCATGGTGCTGGTCTTCATGGGAATCATCAACTACCTTGTGGACTCATACACCATCTATGCAGCATCAGTGATGGCTGCAAATTCTGTACTACGATCATTGTTTGGAGCTGCCTTTCCGCTGTTTACGGTGCAGATGTACAACAAGCTGGGTACGCCTCCAAACTCGTCAACTGTGGCATCTTTTACTAACGTAATCCAACATAGGCATCCATTGGGCTTCTTCGCTTGCGGCGTTCCTAGCTCTTGCGTGTCTACCGTTCCCTTGGCTCTTCTACAAGTACGGGTATGCGGTGCGAGTCAGATGCAAGTACGCGGCGCAGGCGGAGAAGTTTGCACGGGAAATGAGGGAAAGGGACTTGAGAGACGAGCCCGAGGACGGTATTGAGCAGAGCGGGCAACGGACGCCGGACAACTCTGACGGCGAAACCACCAAGGAAGGGGAGCAAAAGGCAGCGGGGAAATCGGAGGAATAAATCCACGAGACGTCGATACGCATAAACACACGGCCCCCAAGGCTGCTCATAGAGGTTCCACAGGCAAAAGAAAATGGCGCAGGCACCTGAGACCCACGCCTGCGGTGTGTATTACATGCAGAAAGACTGCCCCCGGGCGGTTTTGATCTCAGCTAGGCCGCACAAGCGCGGCGGCTGAGGATCCAGCGGGAGCACCAGCCATACTGCTCAGCCAGGGATGCCTCGGCTATGTAACAAGTAGGGAAGCATATGAATCATTCGGCCGGCTCGGGGTTAAGGGCGCGGATGCGGCCGCGCAGCGAGTGAATATTAGCCCCGCCCACCCCGCCACGGCCGAACGAGGTCCAGCAAAAAAAGCTTGAATCCCGCCACATCACCTTTTCCCATCGCGTATGTAGTAGCGCAGAGGAAGCTCAAAGACACCCCCATGGACGAGGAATCAGGCTATGCGCCGGCATCCCTGCTGCCGCGGAACAGAAGCAACACGGGGCGGCGGCGGCGGGGGCGGGCCATCACGTCGTGCTTCACCTGCCGTCAGCGCAAAGTCAAGTGCGATCGGGAACACCCGACGTGCTCGGCATGCCGGACCGCCAATCGCGCGTGCGACTACTTCGACCCGGGTGAGAGGGACGCCGTCGGCAGCTCCGCCTCGCCCTCGGACCGGCCTAGGAAGGCGGCCGGCGGGTCGCAGATGAGCCTCACCGAGATCAACCAGCGCCTCAGGAGGCTGGAGTCGCTGCTTGAGCGCACCCTGCAGCAGGAGGCGGTCCACGAAAGCGTCGAGGCTCATGTTAGCGAGAAATCGACATCTGTGTCCAGCGAGGAGCCGATCCACGCCGTCAATGGCGACGACGGCACGCTATTAGGGTTAGGGTTAGGGTTAGGGTTAGGGTTAGGGTTAGGGTTAGGGTTAG